TTTGAATAAAAACAAAAAATATAAAATAAATTTTGTTTTGTTTTCAGCTGATATAGCTTTTACTAATAGAGTTTAATATTCTTTAATCAATATCTTTAATATTGTCAGATTCATAGCATTTTTTTAAAAATTTTTGAAAATACTAACTTTGTAGATCATCTGAATTTATAATAGAAAATTACTATTCAAGGTGACTCACTATTTTAATTTTTATTAAAAATTATTAAATTTGTTTAATTATTTAGTAAATTAATTACATTTGTCAGTCTAAATTTCTATGATAGGTTATTTTTAATCTAATTAATAGCTCGAACATCCAATAAAATTTATTGAAGCTAGTTGATCCTATGTTAAGAGCATCATTATTGCTTTCTTCAAAAATATTATATCTTTATAAAATGATAAGATATCTAAATCTTTTATCAGCTATTCTTCAATTTTTTGCTTACGCTATTTATCTAAACCTTAAGATTTTAAATCCTTACTTCTTTTAAATTAATAAATATGAATTAAATTTTATTTTGATTGGGTAAAATAAATAAATAATAAATTATTTACCTAAATCCAAATATTAACTTTTTTATAAATTTATCTTAATTTTTTTATATGATAGGCTGCTATGGCTTTATTGGATTTGTATTTTAAATTTTATTTGTTTCCTACTTTGGCTAATTTTATTTATTTAAAATAATGCTTACTTAACCATCATTTCTTTCCTCAAAACAATCTTTTGACAAGACCAAAGATTGGTTGTCATCTTTTTATTTTAATTAATTAGAATAGCTTAATTTAGGCCCTACATTTTAAATTTTAAATTTTGTTTTTTCCTTACTACTTTCTATTTCAGATTCACTTTTTTAAACAAAACTTATAAATATTTATTAATCTTATTAAAGAAAAGATGTAAATTTTTCTTAGTCAAGTATGCTATTTTCTTACTATTTAAGAACTTAGTTTTAAGCTAATTTTTAATCATCAATTTTTTAAGAATTTTAATCCTTATCTTTTTCCTTCATCTTTTAATTTTCTAATTAATTTTCTTATAATTTCTATTTTTTTAAATATTTTACACAACACAATACCTTTTTAAATTATTTTTAAAAATCAATAAATTTCACATCTGATTTATTTTATTAGCTTTCAGTAGAATTTGAAAACTTTAAGTTATTTAATTATAAAATCTATTGATAAATGTCTTAGTAAACATTCTTTATCAAAATCACAAAGAAATCTTCCTTCAAAGAACATTAAGATATAATCTTCAAAAAGAAACCTAAAATGACTAACAAATTAAATACACTGTTAACCTAAGCTAGAACTGAAGGAATTGTTGGGTATTGAATTGATATTTATGAATAAACCTAATCTATTTACAAATTAACAATAATATAAGCACTGAATCCCAGTTTTTCCTTTATAAATTATCTATCTAAGCTTTAACTATCAATATTATAGTTAAAAGGCCTTATAAAACTGGATTCTTATTAAATAAATAAACCGTCTTTTATGGTAGTTTTCTAGTTTTATTATTTGATATTAGATGATTTTAATTAATCTTGTGAAATCAAAATATTAAAAGTTTGATATGATTAACTCATTTTTTTTTAATAAATATCAAAATAAGATAGTGACATTTTTAATATTATTTCACTGCCATTTACCATTTCATCTATATCCTATTAACTAGCACAATTTTTTTTATTTTATTCTTCTTACTCTTGACAACTTTAAATATACATATTTATATGAGCTAGCTTGTAATTATAATCAAAATTCTATATTTCGTTTTTCTAATTATCATCTAAAAATTAAATTTAGTCATCAAGACATTCAAACCTTTCGCCTAAATTTGGGTCTTCACATTTTTTTGTTGGAATAATTGCATAATAAATATTTGTATCGTTTTTATATGCACCCACTATAAATGGATAAATATATTTTAAGTTTTCATCTGGAGGAATGAGATAATTAATCTTAATTGCGTAAATATTTGAGTTTATATCTACCTATTGCGTTTAATTATTTATGATATTCTGAGCCCTATAAACAGGTTCAATTTTATTGGTGAAGTATAGCTCAAATAAGTAAATAAAGTATGAAAGAGTTAAAGCAACAACAATTATAGTGAAAATTGCTCCGGCTATTGTTCCTTTTTAGATACTTGATCCTCCTATATTAAAATTGAAAGAGCTTGAAAATAAATCTATTCTACTAAAACTCATTTTTAATTTCTTAATCTTTACTTATTTATTTATTTTTATATTTATAATTTTTATAATCCATCGAATTTATAAAGTTTTGTATTTTTTACTTACACAATTTTAAATGAAAACACTCATCTAAGTTTTTTTTAATATAAAAAATTTTTAAAACGTAAATAATTTAGTTACAAGAATCTTGATATTAAAAAGCAGGTAAATTTAAAACAGTATATCATAATCGTGAATTTAGTAGTACAGAAAAAATTTAACCAAATGATGAGCTGAAATTTTTTTTGAATTAAATCTATTTAGCTACTATTATTTATTTATGAAAGAAAAATTATTTTATAAAGCTAAGTAAATACATTAATAAAATTGTAAAGCTTACAGAAAATAAAATTAAAAGATGTATCTAAATTTATTTATATTTTAATTCTTTTTGAATCAGTTTAAATTAATTTTCAAATAATTTCATGTAAAAAAATAATCTCTCAATTTAATTTTTGCTAACAGCTAATTCAACCTGAGTAACTCTTGTATTTAATTTTGTATAACAAATCAATTTATATACCTTAAAATTTGAAATAAACTCCTTAAATTTAATAGTCATCTAACATTTTTTAAATATCTATTCATTCATTCTAAAATCAATGAAAATTTTTTTTAATGGGGATTTAGAAATTTCTACCCTATGATATATAAGATTTTAATCTCAAATTGCATTTAGTTAATGACAATTCCTGCTACAAACTTACCTACAGCTTTATTTTCAAAGATAGGTAATCTTGTATCCTTAAAAAAATAGAACAAAATAAAATAAATTAATAGATTTTTTTTTCTATTTAAATTTAATTCTAATGATATTTCATTTTACTTTTAAATATTATATAATCATTCTAATAATTTTTTTCCATGGATATATGGATTGATTTTGATCCATTCAACAGTCATTTTATTATAACAACATACTCTATTACTTAGTCTATAATATTAATAATCTAATAGCCAAATTTTGTTTAGGAGTTAATGAATTTAAAATAATAACATTTTTAACTTTTAAAAGTATAAAAACAACTAATCAAATAAAATTTAATATGTATTTGGATAACCATAACACTAATTATATAAGGTTTTGGATATTATGAAGCAGAGTTTAAGTGCAAATTAAAAATTTTACAGTATCACGAAAATGAAAAAGTAAATATTTTGAATAAACACAAAAGGTATTAAATAAACATTTTTGCTTTCTTTCAGTTAATATAGCTTTTACTTATAGAGTTTAAAATTCTTTAATCAATCTCATTTATATTGTCTTTATCATAGCATTTACTTAGAAATTTTTGAAAATATTAACTTTTTAGATCATCAGAATTTATAATAGAAAATTGTTATTCAAAGTGACTCACTATTTATTTTAAAATATTGTAAAAAATATTAAATTTTTTAAATTATTTAGAATATTACGTTTGTCAGTCTAAATTTTTAAGATCGATTATTATTAATCTAATAACTAACTGGAACACCCAATAAAACAAATAGAAGCTAGTTGATCTTATGTTAAAAGCATCATTATTGCTTTCTTCAAAAATATTATATCTTTGTAAAATTATAAAATATCTAAATCTTTTATCAGCTATTCTTCTATTTTTTTCTTACACTATTTATCTAAACCTTAAGATTTTAAATCCTAACTTCTTTAAATTTAATTATAAAAATACGTTGAATTTTATTTAAATTAAGTAAAATAAATTAATAAAAAAATAATAAATTATTTACCTAAATCCAAATATTAACTTTTTTATAAATTTATCTTAATGATCTTATTTGATAGACTGTTATGGATTTATAATTTCATTTTAAATTTATTCCTACTTTGGCTAATTTTAGTTATTTAAAATGATGCTTACTTAACCTTTATTTCTTTCCTTAAGAGAATCTTTTGAGAATATTTAAGATTGGTTGTCGTCTTTTTATTTTAATTAATTATGATAGCTTAATTTAGGTCCTACACTTTCAATTTTCAATTTTGTATTTTCCTTACTACTTTTCATTTCAGATTCACTTTTTTAAACAATATTATTTATTGATATTTATTAATCTTATTATATTAAAGGCGTAAAGTTTTCTTTGTGAATAATGCTATTTTATTACTGTTTAATAACTTAGTCTGTAGCTAATTTTAAATCATATATCTTTGAAGAATTTTAATGCTTGTCTTTTTCCTTCGTTTTTTAATTTTCTAATTAATTGTTTTATATTATTAACATTTGATCGTTAATAAATGATATATTTTTTTAAGAATTTGACTTTTTTAAGTTATTTAATTATAAAATCTATTGATAAATGTCTTAGTAAACATTCTTTATCAAAATTACAAAGAAATCTTCCTTCAAAGAACTTTAGGATATAAACTTCAAAAAGAAACCTAAAAAGACTAACAAATTAAATACACTGTTAACTAAAGCTAGAACTGTAGGAATTGTTGGGTATTGAATTGATATTTATGAATAAATCTAATCTATTTACAAATTAATAATGCTATAAGCATCATATCCCAGATTATCCTTTACAAATTATTTATCTAAGCTTTAATTATCAATATTATAGTTAAAAGGATTTGTAGAGCTTGATTCTTATTAAATAAATAAACCGTCTTTTACGGAAGTTATCTAGTTTTGTTATTTGATATTAACTTACCTCAATTTAGTCGATTAAAGCTGAATATTAAAAGTTTGATATGATAAACTCATTTTTTTTTTATAAATATCAAAATAAGATAATGACATTTTTAATACTATTTCACTACCATTTAAGATTTTATCTATCTGCTATTAACTCGCACAATTTTTTTGTTGTGATGGGTCTTAATCATAACAATTTAAAATATACATATTTATTTAAGCTAACTTGTAATTGTAATCAAAATTCTATATATCATTTTTCTAATTATCATCTTAAAACTAAATTTAATCAAGACATTAAAACCGCTCATCTAAATTTGGGTCTTCACATTTTTTTGTTACAATAGTTACCTATTAAAAATGGGTATCATTTTTATAAGAACCCACTACAACTGTAGTAGTATATTATAAGTGACTATTTGTAGGATCGAAGTAATTAATCTTAATTGCATAAATATTTTAGTTTATATCTATCGATTGCGTTTAATTATTAATGATATTCTAAGCCCTATAAACAGGTTCAATTTTATTGCTGAAGTACAACTCAATTAAGTAAATAGAGTATGAAAGAGTTAAACCAAAAACAATTATTGTAAAAATTGCTCCAAATATTGTTCCTTTTGAGACATTTGATCCTCCTATATTAAAATTGAAAGAGCTTGAAAATAAATCGATTCTACTAAAACTCATTTTTAATTTATATATTTTTATTTATTTATATACATTTATAATTTTTATAATCCATCGAATTATATAAAGTTTTTTATTTTTTACTTACACAATTTTATATGCAAGCAAACACTTACCTAAGTTTATTTTTATTTAAATAAACTTGTCGAACATAAATAATTTAATTACAAAAATCTTGATATTAAAAAGCTAGTAAATTTAAACCACAAAATCACAATAAAGATTAAATAGTACAGAAAATAATTTTACCAGAAGATGAACTGAAATTTTTTTGAATTAAATCTGTTAACTATTTCTACTTATTTATAAAGAAAAAAAAAATTTATGTAGGTTAGTAAATATATCAATCAATCCAAATAATAAAGCTTACATAAAATAGAATGAAAAGTTGTCTCTAAATTTTATTCTTTTTTAATTCTTATAAAATCTGTTTTAATTAATTTTCAAATAGTTTCATCTCAAAAAATAATTTGTCTATTTAATTTTTGCTTTCTAGTTTGTGTATGATTTATAATTAATTGGTTTCTTTTAAAGTAAACCATGATAGGTAGGTAATATTTATTTTAGCTATTTTTTTGTTTAAAAAACAAACATACTAAAATATGAAGTATTTAAATTTAATTTATATAATTTCAATTAAATTGTCAATAATTTGGTGAGTAAGTATTCTTTAATCAATTCCACTTTACTAATATATTCTTTTTCAAATAATTTCCCCTAAAATTTTAAAGTATAAATATCAAAATTACTTAGAATTTAAAAGCAAGGATTAATTCTCATCATAGCTTCATATTTTATTGTTTGTTTAAAAAAAGATCACAAATATTTTTTAAATCAAGAATTTAATAAGCTACCTTAATCAGACTAAACACTTTTGATAAATAGTGATTGGATTTAGAATTTTTATATAATTATTTTTAATTTTTAAGTTTCCTATCTATATATTAATTGAATTATTTATATTATTCCTCATGTATTATTACTATTAGATAATTTAATGAATTAAAAAACTGTTGAATATGTTGAGAAGCTTTTTTTAGTAAAATATTGATTATAATTATTTATATTAATCATATGATAATTATTTTAAAAACTTTAATATAATTCATTTTTTTAAATCTTTTAAAGGATAAACTACTTCATTTTTTTTGTTTTATTTAAAAAAAAGGCCAAAAAAATATAATTTTTAATTTTTTTTTGCTTATTTTAGAATGTAAAAGGTAGTTAGTTTATTTTAGAAATTATTTTTCTATAAATTAATTAACTAAAATTTAAAATTAATTTTGACCACCCTAACACTAATTATATATGACCAAGTAGTATTAAGCTTAGTTAAATTGAAAATTAACAAATTTTTAAAGTATTACTAAAATATAAATGTTAATATTTATAATAAACACAAAAGGTATAAAATAAATATTTTTGTATTCAATTAATATAGCTTTTACTAAGAGAGTTTAAAATTCTTTAATCAATCTCATTAATATTTTCCTTATCATAACATTTTCTTAAAAATTTTTGAAAGTATTAACTTTGTAGATCATCTGAATTTATAATAGAAAATTGTTATTCAAAATGACTCACTATTTATTTTAATATATAATAAAAAATATTACATTTTTAAATTATTTAGTAAATTAATTACATTTGTCAGTCTAAATTTCTAAGAATGGTTATTTTAAATCTAATAAATAGCTCGAATATCCAATAAAATTTATAGAAGCTAGTTGATCTTATGTTAAGAGCATCATAATTGCTTTCTTTAAAAACATTATATCTTTGTAAAATTATAAAATATCTAAATCCTTTATCAGCTACTCTTCAATTTTTTGCTTACGCTATTTATTTAAAACTTAAGATTTTAAGTCCTTACTTCTTTTAAATAAATATCATTAAAATAAATAAATATTTGTTGAATTTCATTTTGATCAAATAAAATAAATAAATAATAAATTATTTACCTAAATCCAAATATAAGCTTTTTTATAGATTCATCTTAATCTTTTTATTTGATAGGCTGCTTTTGATTTATTGGAATGATATTTTAAATTTTATTTAATTCCTACTTTGGCTAATTTTAGTTATTTAAAACGATGCTTACTTAACCGTCATTTCTTTCCTCAAAACAATCTTTTGAGAGAATCAAAGATTGGTTGTCATCTTTTTATTTTAATTAATTAGAATAGCTTAATTTAGGCCCTACATTTTAAACTTTAAATTTTGTTTTTTCCTTATTACTTCCCATTTCAGATTCACTTTTTTAAATTATGTTTATACATATTTATTAATTTTATTAAAGAAAAGGTGTAAACTTTTCTTAGTCAAAGATGTTATTTTCTTATTCTTTAATAACTTAGCTTTAAGCTAGTTTTTAATCATCACTCTTTGAAGAATTTTAATGATTATCTTTTTCCTTTCCCTTTATATTTGCTAATTAATTGTCCTATATCTTTTACGTTTGATTGCTAATAAATGATTTATTTTATTAGCTTACAATAGAATTTGACTTTTTTAGGTTATTTGATTAATAAATCTATTGATAAATGTCTTAGTAAACATTCTTTATCAAAATTACAAAGAAATCTTCCTGCAAAGAACTTTATGATATAAACTTCAAAAAGAAACCTAAAAAGACTAACATATTAAATACACTGTTAACCAAAGCTAGAACTGAAGGAATAGTTGGATATTGAATTGATATTTATGAATAAATCTAATCTATTTCCAAATTAACAAAGCTATAAGCACCGAATCCTAGTGTTTCCTTAAAAAATTATCTATTTAAGCTTTAGTTATCAATATTATAGTTAAAAGGTATTATAAAATTAGATTCTTATTAAATAAATAAACCGTCTTTTATGGTAGTTTTCTAGTTTTACTATTTGATATTAGTTTTTTTTAATTAATCTGAAGAAATTAAAATATTAATAGTTTAATAAGATTAATTCATTTTTTTTTAATAAATATCAAAATAAGACAGTGACATTTTTAATACTATTTCACTTCCGTTTACTATTTTATCTATTTCCTATTAGCTAGCACAATTTTTTTTTTGCGATTCTACTTAATCTTAACAACTTTAAACATATATGCCTATTTGAGCTAACTTGTAATTGTAATCAAAATTCTATATCTCACTTTTCTGGTTATCATCTGAAAACTAAATTTAATCAAGGCATACAAACTATTCATCTAAATTTGGGTCATCACATTTTTTAGTGTTAATATTTACAAACTATTTGTTTGTATCGTTTTTATATGTGCCAACTATTGATGGAAAGATATATTTTAAGTTTTCATTTGGAGGATAGAGATAGTTAAACTTAATTGCGTAAATATTTTAGTTTAAATCTATCTATTGTGTTTAATTATTTATGATATTCTAAGCCCTATAAACAGGTTCAATATTATTGCTGAAGTATAACTCAATTACATAAATAAAGTATGAAAGAGTTAAAGCTAAAATAATTATTGTAAAAGTTGCTCCAGCTATTGTTCCTTTTTAGATATTTGATCCACCAATATTAAAATTGAAAGAGCTTGAAAATAAATCGATTTTATTAAAACTCATTTTTTAATTTTTTAACTTTTACTAATTTATTAATATTTATGATTTTAATAATCCATAGAATTATATAAAGTTTTGTATTTTTCTACTTACACAATTTTATATGCAAATACTCATCTATCTGAGCTTATTTCTATTTTAAAAATTTCTTCGAAAAAAATAATTTAGTTACAAAAATCTTGATATTAAAAAGCTAGCAAATTTAAACCATTATATCAAAATTACAAATATAGTAGTACAAAAAATAACTTTACCAATAGATGAGTTGAAATTTTTTTTGAAATCTATTTAGCTATTACTATTTATTTATGAAAGAGATAATTTTATTAAGGTAAGTAAATACATCAATAAATCTATAAAAAATAATAAAGCTTACAGAAAATAAAATTAAAAGATGTATTTAAATTTGTTTTTATATTTTAATTCCTATAAATTCTGTTTGAATTATTTTCAAATAATTTCATGTAAAGAAAATAATTTGTCTTTTTAATTTTTAACATAACTAATGAAAATTTTATAATTGATTACTGCTATAAATAAAGCACAATAGTAACATTTTTAGCTACACTTTAGCTATTTTTTGTTTAAAAAGAAAACAAATTAAAATATAAAAAAATATTAAGTATTTTTAGTTAAATTTATATAATTTCAATTAAATTGTCCATAATTAATTTACAGAGTTATTATTTATTTTTAATTAACTCCCCTACACTTACTGATATATTCTTTTTTAATCTAAAAAATTTACTTAGTTAATTAGGTAGGTATTAGAAATTTTTTTTTCTATCAACTAATCAATTAAAATTTAATATGCATTTAGACCACTATAACACAAATTATATATGACCTTAGCTGGTCTTTGTTAAATGAAAAATTAAAAAATTTACAAAGTATTACGAAAATATAAAAGTAAATATTTTGAATAAACATAAAAGGTTTTAAATAATTTTTTTTTTCAGTTTATATAACTTTTGCTTATAGAGTTTAAAATTCTTTAATCAATCTCATTAATATTGTCCTTACCATAACATTTTCTTAAAAATTTTTGAAAATATTAACTTTGTAGATCATCTGAATTTATAATAGAAAATTGTTATTCAAAATAACTCACTATTTTAATATTTTATAAAAAATATTTAATTTTTTAAATTATTTAGTAAACTAATTACATTTGTCAGTTTAAATTTCTAAGATCGATTATTTTAAATTTAATAAATGGCTAGAACATCCAATAAAATTTATAGAAGCCAACTGATCTTATGTTAAGATCATCATTATTGCTTTCTTCAAAAATATTATATCTTTGTAAAATTATAATATATCTAAATCTTTTATCAGCTAATCTTCAATTTTTTGCTTATTCTATTTATCTAAACCTTAAGATTTTAAATCCTTACTTCTATTAAATAAATATCATTATAATAAATTAATTAATAAATAAATATGTGTTGAATTATATTTTGATTAAGTAAAATAAAAAAATAAATAAATAATTATTTACCCAAATCCAAATATTAGCTTTTTTATAAATTTATCTTAATTTTTTTATTTGATTGGCTGTTATGGATTTATATTTTAAATTTTATTTTATTCCTACTTTGGCTAATTTTAGTTACTTAAAGTGATGCTTACTTAACCATTATTTCTTTCTTCAAAACAATCTTTTGAGAATATCAAAGATTGGTGGTTGTCATCTTTTTATTTTAAATAATTAGAATAGCTTAATTTAGGCCCTAAATTTTAAATTTTCAATTTTTTATTCTCCTTCCTACTTTTCATTTCAGATTCACTTTTTTAAGTAATACTTCTACATATTTATTAATCTTACTAAGGAAGAGATGTAAACTTTTCTGAGTGAAATATGTTATTTTCTTACTGTTTAATTACTTAATTATAAGCTAATTTTTAATCATCAATCTCTTAAGAATTTTAATCCTTATCTTTTTCCTTTCCCATTTAATTTTATTATTAATTGTCTTATATATTTTACATTTCATTGTTAATAAATGATTTATTTTATTAGCTTATAATAGAATTTGACCTTTTTAAGTTATTTGATTATAAAATCTATTGATAAATGTCTTAGTAAACATTCTTTATCAAAATTACAAAGAAATCTTCATGCAAAGAACTTTAAGATATAAACTTCAAAAAGAAACCTAAAAAGACTAACAAATTAAATACACTGTTAACTAAAGCTAGAACTGAAGGAATTGTTGGGTATTGAATTGATATTTATGAATAAACCTAATCTACTTGCAAATTAATAATGCTATAAGCATCGAATCCTAGCTATTACAAGATTAATTATCTATTTAAGCTTTAAGTATCAATATTATAGTTAAAAGGCATAATAAAATTAGATTCTTATTAAATAAACAAACCGTCTTTTATAGTAGTTTACTAATTTTGTTATTTGATATTAGATGCCTTTAATTAGTCTGAAGAAATCAAAATATTAAAAGTTTGATATGATTAATTAATTTTTTTTTAATAAATATCAAAATAATAAAGTGACATTTTTAATTATATTTCACTACCATTTAAAATTTTATCTATGTCCTATTAACTAGCGCAATTTTTTTGTTGTGATTTGTCTTAATCTTAACAACTTAAAATGTACATACTTATTTGAAATAGCTTGTAATTGTAATCAAAATTCTATATATCATTTTTCGAATCATCATCTAAAAACTAAATTTAATCAAAACATTAAAATTATTAGCCTAAATTTGGGTCTTCACATTATTTTGTGCCAATATTTACAGAATATGTATTTGTAGCGTTTTTATAAACACCCTGTATTAATTAATAGGTATATTATATCTGTTAATCCTAAGAAGTAGTATAACTAATCTGAAACGCATAAATATTTGAGTTTATATCTATCCCCTGTGTTTAATTATTTATGATATTCTAAGCCCTATAAGCAGGTTCAATTTTATTGCTGAAGTATAACTCAATTACGTAAATAAAGTATGAAAGAGTTAAAGCTAAAATAATTATTGTAAAAGTTGCTCCAGCTAATGTTCCTTTTTAGACATTTGATCCTCCTATATTAAAATTGAAAGAGCTTGAAAATAAATCTATTCTATTAAAATTCATTTTTAATTTCTTATTTTTTACTTATTTATTGATTGATTGATTGATTTATTTATTGATTTATATTTATTATTTTTTTTATCCAAGAAATTATATAGAGTTTTTAATTTTTTTACTTACACAATTTTATATGCAAACTCTCTAAGCTTATATTAATGATTATAAGAATTTCTTCTTGAAACAAAAATAAGAAATCGATTCTACTAAAATTGATTTTTAATTTCTTATTTTTTACTTATTTATTTAAATTTAATATTTTTTTTATCCATGAAAGTAAAGAGAGTTTTTAATTTTTCTACTTACACAATTTTATATGCTCTCTTCTAAGCTTATATTGATTATAACAATTTCTTGAAACAAAAATAATTTAGTTAAAAAAATTTTGATTTTAAAAAGCTGGTAAATTTCAATCACAATATCAAAATTATTTAGCAGTTAAGAAAATAATTTTACCAAAATATGAGCTGAAATTTTTTTTGAATTAAATCTGTTTAACTATTTCTATTTATTTATTTATGAAAGAAAATTATTTTATAAAGCTAAGTAAATACATCAACAAATCTATAACAAATAATAAAGCTTACAGAAAATAAGATTAAAAGATGTACATAAATTTCATAACATTTTAATTCTTATAAAATCTGTTTGAATCAATTTTCAAATAATTTTGTGTAAAAAAATAATTTGTCTTTTTAATTTTTGCTTACTAGTTGTGAATTTTATAATTGATTACTACTAAAAATAAACTTCAAAACACAATACGTTTAGCTATTTTTGGTTTAAAAAAGTAAACATACTAAAATATGATAAAATATTAATCATTATTAATTCAATTTATATAATTTCAATTAAATTTTCCATAATTTTCAGAGTTAGTATACTTTAATCAATTTTATTCCTCTAACATATTCTTTTTCAAATAATTTTTCCTAAAAAAAATTTTCAATTATAAATTTCAAAAGTCCTAATAACTTAATAGCAAGAATTGATTCTCTTAATGATTTGCTATTTTTTTGTTTAAAAATTGCTTAAAAAAAATTTTTAATCAATAATTTAATAAGTTACCTTCACTTTAATAAGTAGTGATTTAATTTAGAATTAAAAACAGAAACTAATGGAATGAGAGAAAAATTCTAATAAAATTCTTATTTTAGAGTAATAAAGAAAAAATCAAAAATATAAATTGTAAAACCTATATTTTATTTAATAAAGATATTGAGTAAAAAACAATTTTAATTTTTATCTAGTATTAAATAATCTATTCAAATTTTAAAAATTAATCAGTTTACAAACTAAAAATCTCTAAAATCTTGGTAATACAAACTCAAACTGCAAATAAATAGATAAACTATAATTATATAATCAATTAGAATTAGATAAAATGTAAATATATATACTGTAATTCTTCATTAATTAAGGCCATTTTAGAAAGTTTTTAATTTAGGCCATTTTTTTCAAAAAGATACATGGATTGCCTTTAATCTATTAACACTAATTTTATTATCCACAACATTCTCTATTATATTGTATAATAATCTAATAGTCAAATTTTGTTAAATCGTTAATAATATTTTTAACTTATTTAAGTATTAAAAAATTTCTAAAAAATTTACTTACTTACTTAGTTAGTTAGTTAGTTAGTTAGTTAGTAGAAATTATTTTTTCTATCAACTAATCAATTAAAATTTTATATGCATTTATACCACCATAACACTAATTATATATGACCTTAGAGGTCTTTGTTAAATGGCAAATTAACAAATTTTTATAGTATTACAAAAATATAAATGTAAATATTTTTAAAAAACACAAAAGGTTTTAAATAATTATTTTATCAGTTAATATAGCTTTTGCTTATAGAATTTAAAATTCTTTAATCAATATCATTAATATTGTCCTAACCATAACATTTTCTTAAAAATTTTTAAAAATATTAACTTTGTAGATTGTCTGAATTTATAATAGAAAATTGTTATTCTAAATGACTCACTATTGATTTTAATATATTATAAAAAATATTAAATTTTTTAAATTATTTAGTAATTTACATTTGTCAGTTTAAATTTCTAAGATCGATTATTTTTAATCTAATAAATGGCTAGAACATCCAATAAAATTTATAGAAGCTAACTGATCCTGTGTTAAGAGCATCATTATTGCTTTCTTCAAAAATATTATATCTTTGTAAAATTATAAAATATCTAAATCTTTTATCAGCTACTCTTCAATTTTTTGCTTATTCTATTGATCTAAACCTTAAGATTTTAAATCTTTACTTCTTTTAAATAAATATTATAAAATAAATTAGTTAATAGATAAATATGAATTGAATTTTATTTTGATTAAGGAAAATAAAAATATTAATATTTACCTAAATCCAAATATTAGCTTTTTTATAAATTAATCTTAATGTTTTTATTTGATAGGCTGTTATGGATTTATATTTTAAATTTTATTTTATTCCTACTTAAGCTAATTTTAGTTATTTAAAGTGAAGCTTACTTAACCATTATTTCTTTCCTCAAAACAATCTTTTGAGAAAATCAAGGATTGGTCGTTATCTTTTTATTTTAATTAATTAGAATAACTTAATTTAGGCCCTATATTTTAAAATTTCAGTTTTGTATTTTCCTTCCTGCTTTTAATTTCAGATTCACTTTTTTAAGTAATACTTATAGATATTTATTAATCTTATTAAGGAAAAGTTGTAAACTTTTCTAAGTGAAATATGCTATTTTCTTACTATTTAATAGCTTAGTTTTAAGCTAATTTTTAATCATCAAATTTTTAAGAATTATAATGCTTATCTTTTTCCTTCCATGTTATATTTACTAATTAATTGTCTAATATATTTTACATTTCATTATTAATAAATGATGTATTTTATTAGCTTATAAAAAAATTTGATTTTTTTAAGTTATTTAATTCTAAAATCTATTGATAAATGTCTTAGTAAACATTCTTTATCAAAATCACAAAAAAATCTTCCTGCAAAGAACTTTAAGATATAAACTTCAAAAAGAAACCTAAAAATACTAACAAGTTAAATACGCTATTAACTAAAGCTAGAACTGAAGGAATAGTTGGGTATTGAATTGATATTTATGAATAAATCTAATCTATTTCCAAATTAATAATGCTATAAACATCGTATCCCAGCTATTACATCATTAATTATTTATTTAAGCTTTAAGTATCAATATTATAGTTAAAAGGCTTTATAAAACTTGATTCTTATTAAATAAATAAACCATCTTTTATGGTAGTTTTCTAGTTTTGTTATTTGATAGTAGATGCCTTTAATTAATCTGAAGAAATCAAAATATTAAAAGTTTGATATGATTAATTCATTTCTTTTTAATAAATATCAAAATAAGAAAGTGAAATTTTTAATACTATTTCACTACCACTTAAAATTTTATCTATTTCCTATTAGCTAGCGCAATTTTGTTGTTGTGATTTGTCTTAATCTTAACAACTTAAAATAAGCATACTAATTTGAGAAAGTTTGTAATTGTAATCAAAATTCTATATATCTTTTTTCGAATCATCATCTAAAAACTAAATTTAATCAAGACATTCAAACTATTCTCCTAAATTTGGGTCTTCACATTTTTTTGTGACAATATTTACAAACTATGTATTTGTAGCGTTTTTATATATACCCCGTATTAATGAATAGGTATATTATATCTGTTCATCCATAGAATCGCTATAATTAATCATAATTGCATAAATATTTGAGTTTATATCTATATGTTGCGTTTAATTATTAATGATATTTTAAGCCCTATAAACAGGTTCAATTTTATTGCTGAAGTATAACTCAATTAAGTAAATAGAGTATGAAAGAGTTAAAGCTAAAACAATTATTGTGAAAATTACTCCAGCTGTTGTTCCTTTTTAGATATTTGATCCTCCTATATTAAAATTGAAAGAGCTTGAAAATAAATCGATTCTACTAAAACTCATTTTTAATTTCTTATTTTTACTTATTTATTTATTTATTTATTTATTTATTAATATTTATGATTTATTTTTATAATCCATCGAATTATATAAAGTTTTGTATTTTATTACTTACACAATTTTATATACAAAATATCTTCTAAGCTTATATTGATTATAAGAATTTCTTGAAACAAAAATAATTTAGTTACAAAAATCTTGATGTTAAAAAGCTGGTAAATTTAAACCACAATATCAAAATTACAAATTTAGCAGTAAAGAAAATAATTTTACCAAAAGACGAGCTAAAATTTTTTTTGTATTAAATCTGTTTAACTATTATTATTTAAGTAAATACATCAACAAATCTATAACAAATAATAATGCTTACAGAAAATAAAATTAAAAGATGTATATAAATTTCATACTATTTTAATTCTTATAAAATCTGTTAGAATTAATTTTCAAATAATTTTGTGTAAAAAAAATAATTTGTACTATTTTGTGAGAATTTTATAATTGATTACTACTAAAAATAAACCACAAAACGTAATATATTTAGTTATACTTTAGCTATTTTTGGTTTAAAAAGTAAACATATGAAAATATGATAAAATATTAAACATTTTTAATTCAAATTATTTAATTTCAATTAAATTATCTATAATTAATTTACAGAGTTAATATACTTTAATCAATTTCGCTCCACTAATATATTCTTTTTCAAATAATTTATAAATATCAAAAATCTTTATAACTTAAATGCAAGAATTGATTCTCTTAATGATTTGCTATTTTTATTTTTAAAAATTATCAAAAAATTTAAAAATCAAGAATTTAATAAGCTACCTTAACTTTAATAATTAGTAATTTGATTTAGAATTAAAAACCGAAACTAATGGAATAAGTTTTCAAAATTCTAATAAAATTTCTTAAATTAGAGTAATAAAGGAAATTTAAAAATATAAATTGTAAAACCTATATTTTATTTAATAAAGACATTTAGTAAAAAAACTATTTCAATTTTTATCTAGTATTAAATTTTAAAAATTAATCAGTTTACAAACTAAAAAGCGCTAAAATCTCGATAATACAAACCCAAACTGCAAATAGATAAGCTATAATTATATAATCAATTAGAATTAGATAAATTGTAAATTAACTAATAAATCTTATTATAGGACAATAATTTTAACTTTCTTTAAAATATTATGTCTTTAAAGCAAAAAAATTTGCATTAAATTTAATTTCTAAAAAGTAAAACAAAAAAATATTCTAGTAAGTAAAAAAGCTGCTAATTGTTTGAAAACAAGAAGCTTTTAAATTTTGAATAATAACAAAATAATAAGAAAGGATAATAATAATTATTACTTAACAGACAAAACCATTATCCATGGTGTATAAGCATAGTAGAATCTCTTTCTACTTATGATTAATTTATAATTTTGCTTAATCTATTCACTATTCGAAATAATTTTAAGAATAGTGAAGCTGCTAATAAATTAGGTCAAATAAAAAGAGATATTAATCAGGCTATTTAAGAAAGCTTTAACAAAATTAGAATGTAAGCACTATAGCTCTAAGTCTGAGAGGTATATTCTTAATTTACCAGCTACAGAAGATAGTTTTTTTATCCTCTTGAAGGAGAAATCCATTTCACATATTTAAAAGCATAGCTGAAGAAGAATGGCTTAGTCGATATGATCTATTGCCTAATAAATAATTAGTTTACAACAATTTAGACGTATTGAAAGTTGACTGATGCATTAACCATTTTAATCAATCCAAACTAGAAACTTTTGAAGAGTACAAACTTACTTGCTATGAAACCAGGTAAAGTGATTCTAACAAAATTTTCTTTGACCAGATCTACTTTTGTGAGATTATAATGAATTAAAATTTAGTCTTTGAATAAATTGGCATTTATATCCCAAATATTGCGAGTAATTAGATTTTATTTATCAGGAAAAGAGGAAATCAGGGGTTAAAATTATTAAAGATGAAGAAGCTATGGGCAAGTTTTTATTAGTGCTTCATTTAACTTGTCAAGTTCAGATTATAAATTTTTATGAAGGATGACAAACTTTTAATCAATCAAGTCAATTAATTAGTTTTGTAAATTAATAATTTTATGTATCTAGTTTTATCCAATATTTAATACTAATTTTTTTGAAAATAGATTTTTTAATTTAAAATTTTTAAATTATTTTAAATTTTTAAATTGGAAGAAAAATAAAAAAATAATACTTGGATCTAGGAAGTTAGGTTTATTTTTTTATAATATATTATTACAAAAATAAAAAAGTAAATATTTTTAATAAATACAAAAGATATTAATAATAATAAATTTTGTTTTTTTTTTCAGTTAATTTAGCTTTTACTTATAGAGTTTAAAATTCTTGAATCAATCTCATTAATATTGTCCGTATCATAACATTTTCTTAAAAATTTTTGAAAATACTAACTTTATAAATCCTCTGAATTTATAATAGAAAATTATTATTCAAAATGACTCACTATTTTAATAAAATATTATAAAAAATATTAAAATTTTAAATTATTTAGTAAATTAATTACATTTGCCAGTCTAAATTTCTAAGAAAGATTATTTTTAATCTAATAAATAACTAGAACATCCAATAAAATTTATAGAAGCTAGTTGATCTTATGTTAAGAGCATCATTATTGCTTTCTTCAAAAATATTATATCTTTGTAAAATTATAAAATATCTAAATCTTTTATAAGCTACTCTTCAATTTTTTTCTTACGTTATTTTCCTAAACCTTAAGATTTTAAATCCTTACATCTTTTAAATAAATATCATTAAAATAAATTAATATATGTCGAATTTTATTTTGATTAAGTAAAATAAATAAATGAATAATAAATTATTTACCTAAATCCAAAAATTAACTTTTTTATAATATTATCTTAATGCTTTTATTTGATAGGCTGCTATGGAATTATTGGACTTATATTTTAAATTTTATTTAATTCCTACTTTGGCTAATTTTAGTTATTTAAAATGATGTTTACTTAACCATCATTTCTTTCCTCAAAAAAATCTTTTGAGAGGATCAAGGATTGGTTGTCATCTTTTTATTTTAATTAATTAGAATAGCTTAATTTAGGACCAACATTTTAAATTTTAAATTTTGCTTTTTCCTTACTACTTTCTATTTCAGATTCACTTTTTTAAACAAAACTTATAAATATTTATTAATCTTAGTCAAGTATGCTATTTTCTTACTGTTTAATAACTTAGTTTTAAGCTAATTTTTAATCATCAATTTTTTAAGAATTTTAATCCTTTTCTTTTTCCTTCATCTTTTAATTTTCTAATTAAGTGTCTTATATCTTTTACGTTTCATTGTTAATAAATGATTTAGTTTATTAACTTAAAATAGAATTTGACTATTTTAAGTTATTTAATTATAAAATCTATTGATAAATGTCTTAGTAAACATTCTTTATCAAAATCATAAAGAAATCTTCCTTCAAAGAACATTAAGATATAATCTTCAAAAAGAAACCTAAAATGACTAACAAATTAAACACGCTGTTAACTAAAGCTAAAATTGAAGGAATAGTTGGGTATTGAATTGATATTTATGAATAAATCTAATCTATTTCCAAATTAATAATACCATAAGGACCATATCCCAGCTGTTCCTTCATTAATTATCTATTTATGCTTTAATGATCAATGTTATAGTTAAAAGGCATTATAAAACTTGATTCTTATTAAATAAATAAACCATCTTTTATGGTAGTTTTCTAGTTTTATTATTTGATATTAGATTATTTTAATTAATCTGGAGAAATCAAAATACTAAAAGTTTGATATGATTAATTAATTTTTTTTTTATAAATATCAAAATAAGATAGCGACATTTTTAATACTATTTCACTACCATTTATCATTTTATCTATCTGCTATTAACTAGCACAATTATTTTGATGTGATTTTTCTTAATCATAACAACTTAAAATATATATACTTATATGAGCTAGTTTATAATTGAAATCCAAATTCATTATTTCATTTTTCTAATTATCATCTTAAAACTAAATTTAGTCTAAACATTAAAACTAATCATTTAAATTTGGGTCTTCACATTTTTTTGTAACAATACCTATCTAATGAAAATTTGTTTAGTTTGTAAATGCACCATATATAACTGGAAGAGTATATTTTAAGTTTTCATTTGGAGGAAAGAGGTAATTAATCTTAATCGCATAAATATTTGAGTTTATATCTACCTATTGCGTTTAATTATTTATGATATTTTAAGCCCTATAAACAGGTTCAATTTTATTGGTGAAATATAGCTCAAATAAGTAAATAAAGTATGAAAGAGTTAAAGCAACAACAATTATTGTGAAAATTGCTCCTGCGATTGTTCCTTTTTAAATATTTGATCCTCCTATATTAAAATTGAAAGAGCTTGAAAATAAATCTATTCTACTAAAATTCATTTTTAATTGCTTAATTTCTTAATTTTTACTAATTTTTTTAGATTTATTATTTTTATAATCCATCGAATTATATAAAGTTGTTTTTTTTTACTTACACAATTTTATATGCTAACACTCATCTAAGCTTATTTTTATTTGAAGAATTTTTTAAACGTAAATGATTTAGTTACAAGAATCTTGATATTAAAAAGCTGGTAAATTTAAACCAGTAATTCACAATTGCGAATTTAGTAGTACAGAAAATAATTTTACCAAAAGATGAGTTGATATTTTTTTTGAATTAGATCTATTTAGCTATTACTATTTATTTATGAAAGAAAAATTATTTAAAAAAGGTAAAAAAATACATAAATAAATGCTTAGCAAATAATAAAGCTTACAGAAAATTAAATTAAAAGATGTATCTAAATTGTTTTCTTATTTTATTCTGTTTGCTTAAAAATAATCATAAAAAATTTTTAAATTATAAATTTTTTGAGTTACCTAAATCAGACTAAACATTTTTTACTAGTTGTAATTGAATTTAGAATTTTTCAATTATTTTTTTTAATTTATAATTTATAAGTTTCATCTTTATATATTCAATTATTTATATGATTCTTCATGCTCTATTGCTTTTAGATATATTAATGAATTAATAACAGTTGAATATGTTGATTTTCATAGTTGTGAAACTTTTTTTGGTAAATTATCGATAATAATAATTTATTTTAATTAATAAAATTATTTTAAAAACTTAAATATCGTAAATTTTTGAAATCTTTTGATGATTTCACTTTTTAATTTTTTTTTTTTCTAGAAAAAAACATATATCCTATTAGCAGCAAAATTTTTTTGTTGCGATTCATCTTAAAACAACTTCTAACATATATAATTTTTTTGAGCTAACTTGTATTTGTAATCATAATTCTTTTTTTATTCTAATTATCATCTTAAAACTAAATTTAATCAAAATATTTAAACTAATTTGGGTCTTCACATTTTTTTGTGATAATATTTACCTAATAAGTATTTGTAACGTTTTTACAAGTGCGCTCAATTACTGAATATATTTATTTTTACTGTTCATCTGTAGGAAATGGATAATTAATCTTAATTTAATAATAAGTAAATAAAGTATGAAAGAGTTAAAACTATAGCAATTATTGTGAGAATTGATCCAGCTATTGTTCCTTTTTAGATACTTGATCTACCTATTTTAAAATTAAAAGATCTTCAAAATAAAAAAATTCTACTAAAACTCATTTTTAATTTCTTAATTTTTGCTTTCAAATTATATAAAGATTGTATTTTTCTACTTGCACAGTAGTGTTTGCACACTCTTCTAAGCCTATTTTGATTACAAGAATTTCTTGTAACAAAAAATAATTTAGTTACAAAAATCTTGATATTAAAAAGCTGGTAAATTTAAACCACAATATCCAAATTACAAATTTAGCAGAAATGAATTCAATTTTACAGAAAGATGAGATGAAATTTTTTTTGAATTAAATCTATTTAGCTATTACTATTTATTTATAAAAGAAAATTATTTTATAAAGGTAAGTAAATACATCAATAAATCTAGAACAAATAATAAAGCATACAGAAAATAAAATTAAAAAATGTATCTAAATTTCATACTATTTTAGTACTTATAAAATTTGCTTGAATTAATTTTCAAATAATTTCGTCTAAAAAAAAAAAATATATCTTTCTAATTTTTACTTAGTAGTTTGTGATAATTTTATAATTTATTGCTACGAAAAATAAACCACAATACATAATAACAAAACTTTAGATATTTTTGTTTAAAAAACAAACAATTAAATAATTTCAATTAAATTCTCCATAATTTGCAGAGTTAATTTTCTTAAATCAACTCCATTCAACTAATATATTCCCTCTTTTTCAAATAATTTTCACTAAAATTTTAAATTATAAATATCAAAAATCCTTATATTTTATAATATATTATTACAAAAATAAAAAAGTAAATATTTTTTGAATAAATACGAAATATATTAAATTATTTTGTTTTGTTTTTTTCAGCTAATATAGCTTTTACTTATAGAGTTTAAAATTCTTTAATCAATCTCATTAATATTGTCCGTATCATAGCATTTTCTTAAAAATTTTTGAAAATACTAACTTTATAGATCCTCTGAATTTATAATAGAAAATTATTATTCAAGGTGACTCACTATTTTAATTTTTATTAAAAATTATTAAATTTTTTAAATTATTTAGTAAATTAATTACATTTGTCAGTCTAAATTTCTAAGATAGGTTATTTTTAATCTAATAAATATCTCGAACATCCAATAAAAGTTATAGAAGCTAGTTGATCTTATGTTAAGAGCATCATTATTGCTTTCTTCAAAAATATTATATCTTTGTAAAATTATAAAATATCTAAATCTTTTATCATCTATTCTTCAATTTTTTGTTTACACTATTTATCTAAACCTTAAGATTTTAAATCCTTACTTCTTTTTAATAAATACCATTAAAATAAATTAATATATGCTGAATTTTATTTGAATTAAGTAAAATAAATAAAAAATACATTTTTACCTAAATCCAAATATTAACTTTTTTATAAATTTATCTGAATGCTTTTAATTGATAGGTTGTTATGGATTTATATTTTAAATTTTATTTAATTCCTATTTTGGCTAATTTTAGTTATTTAAAATGATGCTAACTTATTAACCATTATTTCTTTCTTCTACACAATCTTTTGAGAATATCAAGGATTGGTTGTCATCTTTTTATTTTAATTAATTAGAATAGCTTAATTTAGGACCTACATTTTAAATATTCAATTTTATTTTTTCCTTACTACTTTTCATTTCAGATTCACTTTTTTAAACAATGCTTATACATATTTATTAATCTTATTAAAGAAAAGGTGTAAACTTTACTTAGTCAAATATGCTATTTTCTTATTGTTTAATAACTTAGTCTTAAGATTATTTTTAATAATCAATCTTTGAAGAATCTTAATGCTTTTCTTTTTCATTCATCTTTTAATTCTCTAATTAGTTGTCATACATTTTTTACATTTCATTGTTAATAAATGATTTAGTTTACTAGACAATAGTAGAATTAGACTATTTTAAATTATTTAATTTTAAAATCTATTGATAAATGTCTTAGTAAACATTCTTTATCAAAATTACAAAAAAATCTTCCTGCAAAGAACTTTAAGATATAAACTTCAAAAAGAAACCTAAAAAGACTAACAAATTAAATACACTGTTAACTAAAGCTAGAACTGAAGGAATTGTTGGGTATTGAATTGATATTTATGAATAAATCTAATCTATTTACAAATTAATAATGCTATAAGCATCGTATCCTAGCTATTCCTTTAAAAATTTTCTATTTAAGCTTTAATTATCAATATTATAATTAAAAGGCATTATAAAATTTGATTCTTATTAAATAAATAAACCATCTTTTATGGTAGTTTTCTAGTTTTATTATTTGATATTAGATGATTTTAATTAATCTGAAGAAATCAAAACACTAAAAGTTTGATATGATTAATTCATTTTTTTTTAATAAATATCAAAATAAGATAGTGACATTTTTAATACTATTTCACTACCATTTATTATTTTATCTATCTCTTATTAACTAGCGCAATTTATTTGTTGTGATTTGTCTTAATCATAACAACTTAAAATATAAAAACTTATTTGAGCTAGCTTGTAATTGTAATCTAAATTCTATATTTCTTTCTTCTAATTATCATCTTAAAATTCAATTTAGTCAAGACATTGAAACTAATCGTCTAAATTTGGGTCTTCACATTTTTTTGTTACAATAGTTACCTATTAAAAATTTGTATCGTTTTTATATGCTCCCACTATAATCGGATAAGTATATTTTAAGTTTTCATCTGTAGGAAAGATATAATTAATCTTCATAGCATAAATATTTGAGTTTATATCTATCTATTGCGTTTAATTATTTATGATATTCTAAGCCCTATAAACAGGTTCAATTTTATTGCTGAAGTATAACTCAATTAAGTAAATAAAGTATGAAAGAGTTAAAGCTATAACAACTATTGTGAAAATTGCTCCAGCTATTGTTCCTTTTTAGATATTTGATCCTCCTATATTAAAATTGAAAGAGCTTGAAAATAAATCTATTCTACTAAAACTCATTTTTAATTTCTTAATTTTTACTTATTTTTTTATTTATTTATTCTTTTATATTAATGATTTTTATAATCTATCCAAGTAAAAAAAGTTTATTATTTTTTACTTACATAATTTTATATGCAAACACTCATCTAAGCTTATTTTTATTTTAAGAATAGTTTCGAACATAAATAATTTAGTTACAAAAATATTGATATTAAAGAGCTGGTAAATTAATTTAAACCACTCTTTCACAAGCGAATTTAGTAGGACATAATATAATTTTTGCTAAAAATGAGTTGAAATTTTTTTTGAATTAAATCTGTTTAGATATTTCTTCTTATTTATGAAAAAAAATTATTTTATTAAGGTAAATAAATACTTCAATGTATCTATAACAAATAATAAAGCTTACAGAAAATAAAATTAAAAGATGTATCTAAATTGTATTATTTTTTAATTCTTTTAAAATCTGTTTGAATTAATTTTCAAATAATTTCATCTAAAAAAAATAATTTGTCTATTTAATACTTGCATACTAGTTTATGTAAATTTTATAATTGATTTAGCCTAAAATAAACGACAATAGTTGATATTTTATTTATTTTTTTGTTTAAAAAAATAAAAATATTAAGCATAATTAATTTAATTAACATAATTTCAATTAAATTGTCCTTAATTAATTTACAGATTTAGTATTCTTTAATAAATCCAACTCCATTAATATAGCAAGCCTTCATGAGAATTAATTCTTGCTTTTAAATTATAACTAATTTGAAATGAAAATTTTAGGGAAATTTATTTGAAAAAGAAAAATTTTTAATTTTTTTAATATATTAAAAAAATATATATATAAATAAGTTTTAGAATTTAATTAAACTTAAAACATTTTTCAATGGTTGGCTAAAAGATATTTTTTTAAACTGGAATAAAAGTAAAAAAATTATACAAATTGGCTATAGCGAACTTGACTTTTTATTTTATAATATATTATTACGAAAATAAATATTCTGAATAAATAAAAAAGATATTAAAATATTTTTTGTTTTCAGTTAATATAGCTTTTACTTATAGAGTTTAAAATTCTTTAATCTATCTCATTAATATTGCCTTTAAAAGAGCATTTTCTTAAAAAATTTTAAAAATACTAACTTTGTAGATCCTCTGAATTTATAATAGAAAATTGTTGTTCAAAGTGACTTTTGTCAATCTAAATTTCTAATATCTATTATTTTTAATCTAATAAATAGCTAGAGCATCCAATAAAATTTATAGAAGCTAGTTGATCTTATGTTAAGAGCATCATTATTGCTTTCTTCAAAAATATTATATCTTTGTAAAATTATAAAATATCTAAATCTTTTGTAAGCTACTTTTCAATTTTTTGCTTACGCTATTTATCTAAACCTTAAGATTTTAAATCCTTATTCCTTTTAAATAAATATTATTAGAATAAATAAATATGTGTTGAATTTTATTTTGATTATGTAAAATAAATAAACAATAAATTATTTACCTAAATCCAAATATTAACTTTTTTATAAAACTATCTTAATACTTTAATTTGATAGGCTGCTATGGATTTATATTTTAAATTTTATTTTATTCCTACTTTGGTTAATTTTAGTTATTTAAAATGATGCTTACTTATTAACCGTTATTTCTTTCCTCAAAACAATCTTTTGAAAATATCAAAGATTGGTTGCCGTCTTTTTATTTTAACTAATCAGACTAGCTTAATTTAGGACCTATATTTTCAATTTTCAATTTTGTATTTTCCTAAGTAGTTTTCAATTCAGAATCTCCTTTTTAATCAAAACTTATACATATTTATTAATCTTATAAAAGAAGAGGCTTGTCAAATATGCTATTTTCTTACTGTTTAATAACTTTGTTTTAAGCTAATTTTTAATCATCAATCTTTGAAGAATTTTAATGCTTATCTTTTTCCTTCCCCTTCTAATTTTATAATTAATTATTTTATATTTTTTACATTTCATTGCTAATAAATGATTTAGTTTACTAGCCTATAGTAGAATTAGACTTTTTTAAGTCATTTAATTATAAAATCTATTGATAAATGTCTTAGTAAACATTCTTTATCAAAATCACAAAGAAATCTTCCTTCAAAGAACTTTAAGATGTAATCTTCAAAAAGAAACCTAAAATGACTAACAAATTAAATACGCTATTAACTAAAGCTAGAACTGAAGGAATTGTTGGGTATTGAATTGATATTTATGAATAAATCTAATCTATTTAAAAATTAACTATGCTATATGGACCAAATCCCAGTTTTTCATTTATAAATTATCTATTTAAGTTTTAATTATCAATATTGTAATTAAAAGGCATTGTAAAGCTTGATTCTTATTAAATAAATAAACCATCTTTTATTGTAGTTTTCTATTATTATTATTTGATAGTAGATGATTTTAATTGATCTGAAGAAACAAAAATATTAAAAGTTTGATATGATTAATTTATTTTTTTTTTATAAATATCAAAATAATATAGTGGCATTTTTAATACAATTTCACTACCATTTACCACTTTATCTATCTCCTATTAGCTAGCACAATTTTGTTCTTGTGATTCATCTTAATCTTAACAACTTAAAATATATATGCTAATTTGAGCTAACTTGTAATTGTAATCAAAATTCTATATATCTTTTTTTAAATTATCATCTAAAAACTAAATTTAATCAAGACATTCAAACTATTCTCCTAAATTTGGGTCTTCACAATTTTTTGTGGTAATACTTACCTAATGTGCATCTGTATCGTTTTTATAAGTGCCCAATATTGCTGAATAAGTATATTTTTACTGTTTAACTGTAGGGAAGAGATAATTAATCTTAATTGCATAACTATTTGAGTTTATATCTAACTATTGGGTTTAATTATTTATGATATTTTAAGCCCTATAAAGAGGTTCAATTTTATTGCTGAAGTATAACTCAATTAAGTAAATAAAGTATGAAAGAGTTAACGCTATAACAATTATTGTGAAAAGTGCTCCAGCTATTGTTCCTCTTTAGATATTTGATCCTCCTATATTAAAATTGAAAGAGCTTGAAAATAAATCGATTCTACTAAAATTCATTTTTAATTTCTAAATTTTTACTTATTTATTTATTTATTTATTTATTTATTTATTTATTTATTTATATTTATTATTTTTTTAATCCATCCAATTATTTAAAGTTTTGTATCTTTTTACTTGCACAATTTTAAATGTATACACTCTTCTAACTAAGCTTATTTTTATTTTAAGAATTTTTTGAAACAAGAATTCTATAACAAATAATAAAGCTTACAGAAATAAGATGAATGTAGATTTTATACTATATTAATTCTTATAAAATCTGTTTTAATTAATTTTCTAATAATTTAATGTAAAGAAAATAATTTGCGTTTTTAATTTTCGCTTACTATTGTTGATTTTTTTATGTTGGAAACCAAACCAACCATGAAAATTTTGTTATGATATTTGGTTTCAACATACCTTAATTAGTATAATAGCATAATAAGATCATATATGGGTGATGACTCTGAAAAATTTTATGATAAATTTAATTTTTTTATAGAATTTTTAAATTGATAATAATTTATTTTTTTAAATAATTATATTGAAAAATATAAAAATAATAAATGGTTTTTTTGAAATAGTATATCTGATATAATTTTTTAATATTTTTAAACTGGAATAAAAATAAAAATATAATACAAATTAGCTCTAGGGAAATAGACTTATTATTTTATAATATATTATTACGAAAATAAAAAAGTAAATATTTTGAATAAATACTAAAGATATTAAATAAATATTTTTTGTTTTCAGTTTATATAGCTTTTACTTATAGAGTTTAAAATTCTTTAATCTATTTCATTAATATTGTCTTTATAAGAACATTTTCTTAAAAATTTTTGAAAATATTAACATTGTAAATCATCTGAATTTATAATAAGAAATTATTGTTCCAAGTGACTTTTGTCTGTCTAAATTTCTAATATCTATTATTTTTAATCTAATAAATAGCTAGAGCATCCAATAAAATTTATAGAAGCTAGTTGATCTTATGTTAAGAGCATCATCATTGCTTTCTTCAAAAATATTATTTCTTTGTAAAATTATAAAATATCTAAATCTTTTGTCAGCTACTTTTCAATTTTTTGCTTACTTTATTTATCTAAACCTTAAGATTTTAAATCCTTACTTCTTTTAAATATTATTATAATTAATTAATATGTATTGAATTTTATTTTGATTAAGTAAAATAAATAAATGAATAATAAATTATTTACCTAAATCCAAATATTAACTTTTTTATAAATGTATCTTAATGTTTTTAATCGATAGGTTGCTATGGATTTATTGAATTTATATTTTAAATTTTATTTTATTCCTACTTTGGCTAAATTTAGTTTTTTTAAATGATTCTTACTTAGCTTTTATTTCTTTCCTCAAAACAATCTTTTGAGAATATCAAAGATTGGTTGTCGTCTTTTTATTTTAATTAATTAGTATAGCTTAATTTAGGACCTATATTTTCAATTTTCAGTTTTGTATTTTCCTAACTACTTTTCATTTCAGATTCGTTTTTTTAAACAATACTTATACATATTTATTAATCTTATAATGGAAAAGGTTTACATTTTTCTTAGTCAAATATGTTATTTTCTAACTGTTTAATTACTTAGTCTTAAGCTTATTTTTAATCATCAATCTTTGAAGAATTTTAATGCTTATCTTTTTCCTTCCCCTTTTAATTTTCTAATTTATTTTCTTATGTATTTTAAGTTTAATTACTAATAAATGAATTAGTTTGCTAGCCTATAGTAGAATTAGACTTTTTTAAGTCATTTAATTATAAAATCTATTGATAAATGTCTTAGTAAACATTCTTTATCAAAATCACAAAGAAATCTTCCTTCAAAGAACTTTAAGATATAATCTTCAAAAAGAAGCCTAAAATGACTAACAAATTAAATACGCTATTAACTAAAGCTAGAACTGAAGGAATTGTTGGGTATTGAATTGATATTTATGAATAAATCTAATCTATTTACAAATTAACAATGCTATAGGCATCGAATCCCAGGTTTTCCCTTATAAATTATCTATTTAAGTTTTAATTATCAATATTGTAGTTAAAAGGCATTGTAAAGCTTGATTCTTATTAAATAAATAAACCATCTTTTATTGTAGTTTTCTATTTTTATTATTTAATATTAGATGCTTTTAATTAATCTGAAGAAACCACTATATTAAAAGTTTGATATGATTAATTTATTTTTTTTTAATAAATATCAAAATAATATAGTGGCATTTTTAATACAATTTCACTACCATTTACCGTTTTATCTATTTCCTATTAGCTAGCACAATTTTTTTGTTGCGATTCATCTTAATTATAACAACTTAAAATATATATACTTATTTGAGTAAACTTGTAATTGTAATCAAAATTCTTTATATCATTTTTCTAATTATCATCTGAAAACTAAATTTAATCAAGACATTCAAACTATTCTCCTAAATTTGGGTCTTCACAATTTTTTGTGATAATATTTACCTAATATGCATTTGTATCATTTTTATAAGTGCCCATTATTACTGAATAGGTATATTTTAATTGTTCATCTGTAGGGAAGAGATAATTAATCTTAATTGCATAAATATTTGAGTTTATATCTAACTATTGGGTTTAATTATTTATGATATTTTAAGCCCTATAAAGAGGTTCAATTTTATTGCTGAAGTATAAATCGATTAAATAAATAAAGTATGAAAGAGTTAAAGCTATAACAATTATTGTGAAAATTGCTCCAGCTATTGTTCCTCTTTAGATATTTGATCCTCCTATATTAAAATTGAAAGAGCTTGAAAATAAATCTATTCTACTAAAACTCATTTCTTAATTTCTTTAATTTTTTACTTATTTATTTGTCTTTATGAATTTTATAATTCATCCAATTAATTAAATTTTTGTTTTTTTAATCACAAATTTTGTATACAAACACTTTTCTAAGCTTATTTTAAATTTTTTGAAACAATAACTATAACCTTGATATTAAAAAACTTGTAAATTTAAATCACAATATCACAATTACAAACTTAATAGTAAAGAAAATAATTTCACTAATATATGAGCCGAAATTTTTAATAAAGTTTGTTTAATTGTTTCTATTTATTTATGATAGAAAAATTATTTTTTAAAGGCAAGTAAATATACTAAAAAATCTATAAAAAATAATAAAGCTTACAGAAAATAAAATTCAAAGACATAAGTAGATTTTATACTATTTTAATTCTTATAAAATCTATTTGAATTAATTTTCAAATAATTTAATGTAAAGAAAATAATTTGTCTTTTTAATTTTCGCTTATTAGTCTGTGAGAATTTAATAATTGATTGCTACTAAGCCTATCCTATTATGTAATATATTTAATTATAACTTAGTTAGTTACTTGTTAAAAAAAAACAAACCTACATACACAATTACTAAAATATTTCATAAATTCAATTTATTTAATTCCAATTAAATTGCTCCATTAAAATATATAATTAAACTCTTAATTTTGCATTACCTATCTGTTGTATTTAATTTATGTGAACGTGATGAGTATTAATTTTTTCTAATCTTAATTGTTTTAATATTAATAATTGTTTTTGGATGGGGTGAAACAACAAAGAATATTCTTTCGAGTAGTTTAGAATATTTGGGACTTAAAATCTCTAAACGCAGAAATTATGATCTCTGGTACCACCTATCAACCTCCCCAAAAATAATTATTTACTAATTTAAAAAAATTAAAATTATATTTATGTAATATTTATAGTACAGAAGCTAAATATTTTTCTATTTTTTCTAATATTGCGGTCTCTTCTGTTGAAAACCTCAGTTTTCTTATAGTTCTGTATCATCCTGCTCCTAGTCCACCTTAATGTTTCTCATCCGATCATGCTTTTAGATTTAATAGCGTCTTTATTTTTTTTCTTATATGATTTAGATTTATTTTTTCCATAATTACTGAATTTAATTTTAATTTTACATAATATTTCAATGGGCTAATATATGTTTTTTTTTTAAATACCATAGTAAAAGAATATTAAAATTACTCAAAAGAGTGATTAAATCATTTAAAATAGTGGAAATATTAGACTTAAGTTCTTTGCTAAAAAAAAAGATTATATATCAGCAAAACTGCAAAAAATACTTTAAAAATTTAAGAAATGTTTACTTAGGTTTTTAGAAAAATGGCACAAAGAGTGTAGGGGTAAGTAATTATGAAATTATAGATCCATTTATGAACAATATAAAAAAATAATAAAATGCAAAAAGAATAGTAGAATTATTTATGATAATAGTTTTGATGGTAAATTAATTTAATTAAAAAATAATAAAAATGTTTTTAATTAAATTAAAAAAATTATTTACAAAATAAATTTTAAATATATAAAAATAATTATCAAAATTTTAATGTAATGAGATTATTTTACTAATTTAAGTACGATAAGCATAAATGATATCAAGTTTAAAAAGTATTAAAAATAGTTAAAAATAAATTAAAATTCTTTCAATTTTAAATACTCATATTTAACTATTTTCATTATTATATTTTATAGAAACTTTTTTGATTTTCAAAAAATGATGCTTGTAATTTATCATATTAATTTAATTATCATAACCAGATTTAATTATTATGGAATTGGGCTTAAATTATTATATTAAGATATATCTCAAACTTACTTGAAACATCATTATGTAATAAATTAAATGTATTTTAAAGTTTTAGATTTTTAACCTGCCCTTCAAATATCTTATTTTTCTAATTAATTAAATCCTTTTAGTATCTAAACAAATAAAATATATCTTCTAATATCTGTTTTTAATAAAATAAAATGTTTAAAATAATTAAAAATTATTTAAATTTAAAAGTAAGTATTTTACCAATATTCTATATCCTAAAAACAATTTATATCACTTCATCAATCTATTTTATTTATAAAAAATGAAATAAATAAAATTTATTTATTTGGTAGATTGAGATGTAATAAACAGTAAAAAAGATATCTTCTTCATTTAAAAAAAATAAAAAATTTATATACATTTACTCAATTCGTTAAAAAATTCTAAAAACTAATATGTATTAAATACTTGTATGTTATTTTACTTAATAAATAATAGAATAAGTGATGGTCTTTTCATTTTAATAAAGATTTTTTGTATTACAGCCCATTTATTTTATCATTTTTTCCCTTTAGGTAAATAAGAAATAGATTTCTTATCCAACAGAAATTAATTTAAATTTATTCTTTGTATTCATAATTTTATACTCTTTTATTTCCTTTGTCATGCTAAATTTAAAATTTATTTAATAATTAAGTCAATTTTAATTTTTTGTTATAAGAATTCTTTTGATTTAATTTTTGATAAGAAAGATGATCATAAAGAAAGGATCAGATCAGTGAATTTTAAATAAAGATATTACCTGTACAGTATTTTAATTAAAAGTACCTTGATAATTGAATTATTAAATTATTATGTATCTTTATTAATTTCTTAATTTAATGAATTTTTATTTGAGTCACTTTAAAATAAAATACTGTATTATTAATTACTTTTATTACAAAAATTGATTTTAAAAAGAAGGCAATTCACTATTGTTAATATAATTAAATTAAATCTAAAACAAATAAAATAGAAGGAAAGAAAAAAAATGAATAAATTTGTAGCAATAACTACTGTCTTGTTCTTAATTTCAATTGGAACTGGAGTCTTATTGATTCAAGGTGATAAAACTGATGTAGCTGTCACCCGCTAAGTTACATTTGCAGAATACTAGGATTGTATGGACAAAAATATTAACTAAAATAACCCATGCTTAAAAGAAGGGGATACTTATGGTATGGTTTAATAAGCCAAGAATTATTTTGCCTCTTAACCAGCATGCATTAAATTTATGGAATACTCTAATAGTGTATATACCTCTAACTAATAAAATACTGCTTATATTAACTCTCACTGGTACTATAACGACTGTTATAACTCTAATGAACTTAAGACTATAGCTTTAAGGTATTATGAATGCCTTTATAAATAGTTCCTTGAACCTTAGCTCTAATTGTGCAGTGGCTTATATTGATACTAAATCTAAAAAATTATAAGAAATATGTATTAATCTATATTTATATGTAAAATAAAATAAAATTCAAACGCTTATTGCTTTTTATTATTTAAATATTTTAAAGAATACACAAATATAGGTTTGCTATTTTGCTTATTAACAATAGAATAAGTGATGGTCTTTATTTTTCATTTTAGATTTTTTATAATACAACCTATTCATTTTATTAAGTTCCAAATCTAATCATTTTTTTCTGATAGGAAAATAAGAAATAAATATATTTCTTATCTAAGAAAAATAAATTTAAATTTATTCTTCATATTATTAATTCTTAACATACTTTTTTATATCCTTTATGATGCTAAATTTAAAATTTATTTAATAATTAAGTAAATTTTAATTTTTTTATATTTAGAAATTTTTTCATAAGTTTCTAATATTATAGATGATCATAAAAAAAAGTTAATTTTAAATAAAGATATTATTTGTAAATTATTTTACTTCAAAGTAGCTTGGTCTTGAAATATTAAATTATTATTTCTTTAACCTTATTCCTTAAAATTTTTAATTAATTGTGAAAATTGATTAAAAATAAATTAATAATAATTATAGTAAAATAATTTGATTTATTTTAAATACTAATTAATATGTATTTGTGAAAAACTGTATTATTTGTTAATTATTTAAATATATTTTTTTAAATTTATATCAATTATTTCAGAGTTAAATTTTTTAAAACATTTCTTCTAAAATAAAATTTTAATGAATTTGATAAAAAAAGATACTTGATTTACATCCCTTTAATAATAGTAATTAATAAATTTTTAATTAGTAAATATCAAAAAGTTTTTAAATTAATTTAATTATATTGAATATATTCTACTTTTTTAAATATAAATAATATATTTTGGAGGTAAATAAAGTAAGAATAAACTAATTTTATCAGATTAAATTACTTGAAAATATTTAAAAGCAACATTAAAATAAATAATAAGTTAAATAATTTATATATAAATTCAGATCATTTATATTTTGACAGACATGAGAAATTCAATTATTTTTTAATTTTTCAATTTTTTTTTGAGCGAGCTTACAATTTAAATTTATTTTAAAGAAAAAAATATTGCTTATATTTTATCATAAAATATTTGGTTGTATCTAAGGTGGCCTTATGTTTCTTTCAAGTCTTTGCTAATGATCTTCCATAATTAGGTTACGAGTGTTGTTTTCATAAAGTTGCTTTTTCAAATTTTGAACTATGCTCTTAGTAAGTTAGAATGATTTCCAATCACATTTAATTTGTTTACGAAGAGGCTGTTTTAGAGAATTTTAGAAAATAAATGTTGATATTAGAATTGTGTTATGAGGACTACAGATCACTGTTACATAACCATTTTAAGTGTTTATGTAGATTGCTTATCCACCATGGCAAACATTAGCATGTCTATTGAGGCTACCAACTGTCATACCTATTTGTTGAGTGCAAGAAGATGCACATATCAGGTCTCCACAAATAATGCATTACATTAAATCAGAAATTAATGGAATCTTATTACATAGAGAACACTTTTTTTTGTAGATGGTCTTTGAATACTCTAAGTAATCGTTAGGGATAGGTATTATATCGAACTAATATGAGTCACATGTTGAAATAGTAAGTGTAGAAAAAACAAATGCATTAATTTTTTTTGTTTTGAATTACTAAATTAAAGTATCATTATCTAGATTATCGATTTCATTTTAAGAAGGGAGACATTATGAATTATTCAATTTGAAATGTTTCATTATTATTGAGTGTTCTGACTCAAATTTTGAAGAAGATGCAAAAACTTTATCAAACGTACAATTTTATTGGTTAAATTTTTAGTGAAGAATACTTGTCACAAGAGCTCTTCTAGTTAAGCGTAATAAAAAGCAAGAGAGGTCTTCAATGTCGTCTTCATTATCTATTTGATACTTATGGATAGCATTAAGCATATAACATTAGCTGTAAATGACTTATAAACTTAACTTCTTGAGCGTAGAAGAAAGAGAAGTTTTTATAAGTTCCTCTTGGTTTTATTTGAATTAAAAATTGAACTAAATGAGTAAATACTAAGTATAAGCATCAACTAGGTTATTTTCAAGATAATTTTATTTTAAGATGTAGGGCAAATCTTTACATGTATTTTCATCAAACTTAGCTATAGTTCCAGTTTGAATTAATTCTTCAAAATATTTGCAGTATTTAAAGCGTTTTTCTATGATTTAGCGCCTGATTTATTGATCTGTAATTAAGGAAAACGAGTTCAATGTACATTGAAATAGCAAAGGCACCATTTTTAATATAGAAGTGTCATCATCAGGTCTTTTGTTAGCTAAATCAAAATACCTTATTTAATTGTAGAGACATCTTTCATAGAATTAGAACTGATCTATTGGTTTTTGCACAATTTACCCAAAGTTATAAGGATTAAAAGGTTATTTTGATTCATTGAGCTTAATGAATTTTTCAAATATCTCTGTAGCTAAATTTAATTCATTCATTTGTTTTTGATGTTTGATGATCTCCTATTCATCTTACTGTCCTTGGGCATGAGCAGAGGCAGATAAACGTGCTTAGTTAGATTTTAAGCAATTATTAAATTCTTTTAATTTAGCTTTTTCTTTTTGTAAGATAGAATATATTTTATTTATTCTTTAGAAAGAGTGATTTTGAGATTCTTTGAATTATGCTTCATTATTATTTTTTTTCACTTTTTTGTAAATTATTTCTCTAACTTCACCATCATCATCTTCATCATTTTTTCCATGTTGTTGTTTACTCTTATCTAAATCAAATCCTAAATCAAAAGGATCAGAATTGAAGCAGTTGTTGTTAATGTTGTCAAATCCACCTTAATAATCATAGCTATTCATATCGTATTAGTGAGTACTGCTGTGATCAAAGTTGATTGAGCCCATATCAAAAACATTATTAAAAGGGTTGCTAAAGATATCTATCTAGGAGCTCTCTGTGTTTTTGTTTTTTTTATTTTCAAACTTTTCTTCTTCGAAGTCATTGTTATTGCATATCTCAAAGAAAAAATTTTTATATTGCTTGCATATTTGGCATTTAATTTCAAACTCTCTTGTAGCCTGCTCATATTAGCTCAATTATATATTATTGATGTTTGATTCATAGCATTCTTTGTGGATTTTGTGGTCACAAGTATTGAATATGAAAGTATCATGAAGTTTCTTTTGCTCATCCCAATAGATATTTTTAAAATATTCAAATTTATTCTCATTTAATAAGCAGTTCTAAATAGTTTTTATAATTTAAATATTTATTTGAAAATTTAATTAAAAAAAGAATTACTTCTTTTGAACTTTTAAGATTGCTTTTGATGATTTTTAACTCCTACTCTTGGTAAAAGTTGTTGTTTTAAATAGAAACTAAAACACCGTAGGCAGATTTTGAAAGGGGTTATTTGCAAAAACAACATTCTTCTTCAATCGATTAAGAGCTGCTGTTATTATTTTCGAAGTACATTTATTTTACTTTGTTTTACTAGTTCTGCATTTACTTTAAGATTTCTTACTATCTAAGTAATTAAGCCTTTTTTCTCTGTTCATGAGCTAAATCTGTTACTTTCTTCTCCTCAGATTCCACTTCCATGGCTTAATCATTTTAAGCGATGATTTCAGTTTGAGCTTGTTGGAAAAAATCTTTAGAATAATTATCCTTCATTTACAAGACATGTTAAATAACAGCTTAGAACTATTTTTCGCTCATACAATTTTTTATGCGATTGAAAATATCATCTAATAATAGAAAATTTTCTTAGCTGCATGCTTATACTTGCATGAAAATAGTCATTAATTTGAGCATAGAATAAAGAACTCTTTCTTTGATCTAAATGTTTTCAAACATTACTTTCAAGTTATATTCTGACTTCAAGAAATTGAGTAAATACTCAAGAAGACAAATGTTAACGGTATTCTTTCCAATCTCTATGTAATCTTGCTTCTTGATTGGAACATTACCAATTATCATCACCACTTTTTCTTAAATCTAAATAAAATAATTTAATTTAAATATCTTTCTTTGTTTGTTTTACATAATTAAATACATTTTAGTTAACTTCTATAGCTCCGTAGTATCTGCTTTGAGCATCGTAATTGAAAGTAAAATTGTATGGTTCGTAGATGTTTTCATATTCTTTAAGGATGGAAATTTGATTGTTTACTTCATTCTTACTAACCTTTTAGTACATTTTCTGTACAGGAGCTTTCTTGCCAAGATCTTGTTGGTAAATCTCTCCCAAACTTTTAACATCGTTCATGGTTTTACTAAGCTAAAAAATAAAAAATTCAATATATTGCTATGAAATTATTTTATTTTACTCCATTAATTAGAGTTGCAAAATAGGTAGTGGACTGAGAAAGAATATCTTCTCCAATTTCAGTTGAGTTTTAACAGTGTTATATGCACTTGAAGTAAATTTCATCTAAATCACTGCAAACGTTGTAACTAATAAAATTGAGGTAACAAGAAAATGAAACGAATGACTTTTAAATCATATTTTGAGCGTTTTCAAAGATTTTATTCTCTTATGCTGCATACTTTTAAAGAAGTTCTTACTGTTTCTACTCATTAAGGCTTTTAGTGAAAGGATTTTGAGGAATATAGTCTATGAAATTTTTAAATGAATAGAGCTTTGTCACAATCTTAACAAACATGGAGTCTACAACCTTCAATTCAAAATCAGGAAAAGTGTACTACTTGATAAAAGACTCAAACTCATCTCCATTGAAAACCCACATTTTATTCTAAACTTCCTATTAATACAAATAACATTTTTGAATTATTAAACAATTGATATTAATATTTGGTAGATCATTATTTATCCAAATTAATTAAGTGAAAAATAAATTCAATAAAAAATATAATCAAATTACCTGGTAAAGGGAAATGGATTGCATAACTTATTTTAGGATGTCTAATAAGATTTACTACATTTATTCTTCATCATATCCTAGTTACTTTTGAAGGTTTTCTAGGTTTTATTTATTGACATTCTTCAGTTCAAATTAGAAATATGCATAAAAAAGATAAATGAAAGCTCTTTCAAGAGGGGAATATGTTGTACTTTTGCATTCTAGTTAATCTTAGTTTTTTTTGGCTTCGTAATATTCCTTTCTGAATTGCAAAGTTTTTTTCATGTAAGTAATTAATTTTTTTTGGTAAAACTCTTCATTTACCTTAACTGCAAAGTTATTAGCGATGATTTTAAACAAATTGAGCTATCCTGTTAATCTATAATACAATAAGTATGTATTTTTTTCAATGAAGTTATGTTCGGGCATGTAGATTTTATGATCGAATTCAATAATACCTTGTAATTACTATTGTGCTTATAAAAGAATATCGAAAAGTTCCTCTTATTCCAAGAATTTTTAAAATAATAAATCTTTATTAATTAAGCTAGAAATATTCACATAATGATAATAGAAGAATTAATATGGTAAAATCTTTGATTTAGAATCACCAATATCTTTTTTCTATTAGAAAAATTTAGCTATTTTTAAATAATTAAGGAAAATCTATTTAGCTTAGCCAGTTTCATAAACAGCTTAATTCAATATGAAACTACTGAATACTTCTTATCTCGTTAAACAAATAAGGTTGTTTGAAATTGCTTGGTACTTTTCAATAGGTGTTGCTAAGTCAATTTCATTTAAATACATAAAGTTTTTTATAAAGGCTTTTGCATAAGCAATTTTGTAGCTCTAAACACTTAAAAAGTCAGTCAAGCTCTGTCTAATCAGTCCTTGTGTTTCATAAGTGAAGCTTGACATAGAGAATCTAAACAATAGCTCTATGATGCTGCATGTGCATTCTTTTTTGCTTTGATTCTTACCTAAATTTTAAAAATTTAATATGAATGTAAGCCAATTTTGAATCAATTTCAAAGAACACATAAAAAACTGATATGCTTCTAGACAATTTAGAAATCTTTTGTGAGAACATATTAAAAAATTTGAAAATAAGATTATCTAATGCTTGATAAGCAATTAATAAAATAAACTGATAAAATATTAATTGAATTAATTTATCAATAAACAGAAATTATTTTATTTTTTTCTGAAATAATATTTTTTTTTAATTACATGGTATTTTGTTTTCATAGTCATTGCAATCATGGTAAAGTAGGTATTTATTAGAAGGCTTGATCAAAATATCAGAAATAGCTTTTGAAAGGAAAACATCATTTTTAAATCCAAGTGATTAGATAACTTTGAAAATGCATGTTACCATTTTATTTTAAAAATCACTAAATTGAGGATCCATACTAATCAAAAAGTACTCTGCAGATTCAAATACAGATTTAAACCACTCAGGTATTAACTTTCTAGCCCTAGTTAAAAATTACTGATCTAATTATTACAAATCAACATCATCGTTTTTGATATTGCCCTTATGTTTAGAACAGCCAACCTAATCATCAATTAAAAAAATTTAAAAACTTCTTTTCCTTAGATATTAATTGTAATATACCTTAGCATTTGGGTGTAATACTTCTTAATCTCCGCAATCACAAAGACCTGCGTTTTCCTTCTGACTATAATATCTGTGTCCATAGTGATCAGATTATTCGAAGCAATCTTCACATATAATAGCTTTTCTGTCTTCGAAGCAATCAAAACAATGATAACTAATAACTTCCTTAAGATTTAATCCACACACAGGTTTAACAACTCTAGAAGCTCTAGCAGCTGTTTACTAATTAAAAATTTTTTTATATTCCTCATTTAATAGCAAATCTTTTTCCATCTTGGCTATCAAGTCAAACTATAAATATTAACAAAAAAGAATATTTATAAATAGGTATAAAAAAACAAAATATTATTTTATTAACACTAAAATTATCATTTTAAAATTTATTTGATTTTTTCAAATAATTTAGTATTTAAATGATAACTTGTTCTATAAACAGGTTACTTCTTGAAAGCTATTCATATTATTCAATATTACTATCTACAATTGTCATAAATAAATAAAGGAAACTTTTATGTAATAGATAGAATTTTGGCTCTTTGGTTAGTGCTTAAAATTCTCAATACAAATTAATTGAGGTATTCTGCTAAAAAACAGAATAAGATAAATCAAATAAGGATATTACATTTTATGAATGGTAAATACAAATAGCTTTGGCTGATGAGACATGATTATTTTGAAGGATGTGAGAATCGTTATGAACTAAAGACTATGAGATTTGAGAGTTTTTATGAATAATTTAGTTAGAATTATAGTTTTAATCATAGGAAGCTGAGGAGAGATTCTCATAATAAAGAGACTCAAGATTTAAATTAGAAGTGAAGACTTAATTGCAACTGCACACAAATTGTTTTTCAAATAGATTTTCTTATGAATTTAACTTAAAGTTTTACGTTTCAGAAGCTGTGCTGTGCATTTATATATAATATTTATATATTTATTTTATATATGTATTTGTTTGCTTTAATAATATTTTTTTTTTAATCTTTTGAATTTTAATTAAATCAGCGAAAAAAAACAAATGTGTTCATGCACGAATCAATGAATAAAAAATGCATGTGTTTATGCAATCAATTGAATCAAAAAAACAAGCTAGCTTATTCTCCTTGTAATCATGAAATTAGTATATTGAATATAAGCTTTAATTTTTCACTAAATTAAATTAATAATTTCCATTCTAATCAGAAAAATAATTAATATACAAAGAAAATATAATTTTTTTTCTGAACGGGATTAAATTATATGAGTGAATAGATTCCACATTTTAAAAACATATTGATACTAAGTGAATGATATTTAATTTATTCCTATTTTTTTCTGCTCATAATCTGCTGTATTTAATAAATAAAGATAATAATTTAAACATTATTAGTTAATATTATTTTCTAGATTCCCTTCCAAATGATAGCAATTAACCCTTTTTAATAGGCATAGATTTAAAACAATTTTATTTTTACAATTTCTCAAATTTATCTATAAGTGATTTCTAGTCAAACTTTAATTATTTGAGAATGTATTTTATTAAAATACATAACAAAATTTATTATTGGAATTCTTCTAAATTGTATTTTTTAATTTAAAATTAAAGGGCTCCTCTGCCCTATAATACAAATTAACTAATCGTTTTTGATGAGAATTAATATCTTTCTGATTTGTTTTTTTTGACAGAGCACGGAATATTTTGATACTCTTTTCAAATTTATAATCAGTATGATTATTATAATTTATTATTCTTCTAATCATTGATATATTAATATTTACCCTTAATAAAACTAATATTCTGATTAATAATAAATCAATGTTTTATTTTTGAATTTTCTTAAATATAAAGTATTTTACTTTTCTGCTTCTCATTTTTTTTCTATTAATTTTCACTAATCACATAGCTTATTAATTATGACAAGAAGATAAATTTAATTTAAAGCTTATTATAAAAGATTAATAGCTATGGTGCATTCATTTATCATAAAAATCTGTAATGGAAATTCTTTTATTTAAAATAAGATGTAGTTAAGGTAACAAAAATAATTCATCACACTTCCTATCAGTGTTTTGTAGATGAAAATTTTTATATTTTTTCTCCTTATAATTTTAGAATTTAGAGTACTCAATTTATTTAATTTATTAGCAAACCCAAAGCAGAAATTACTAGAAGAAAATAATTTATATTTTAAGCATGGATATGATAAAAAATAAAAAACAAAACAAATTAAATAGTTGACTTACAGGTTCAAGCTATTTTGAAATGTTTTTAAATTTGAAAACATTTGTCATTTTTATTAAGATATCATATTTTTTACTTTTTATCTTTATAAAATCAATATTTTTAAGTTTTATACTTAAAAAATTAGAAATTCATGGTATTTTTGAATATTATTTTTATTATCTTTTATTAAATAAATAATATTATTCTTTATTCTACTCAAAAATTTATATAAATTTAACATTTTTTTTATTTTAATAAGGTATTATAATTATCTTTTATTTAAAAAAAAAATATTAATTTTTTCATTTATTATTGTTCCATTTTTCTTCCATGAAAAATTAAACTCTCTGATACCCTACTAATAGAAAAAATATTAAAAAATAATAAAATTCCAATACTATTTAGAAAAAATATCTTTTTTACAATTATAAATAATTTCATTAATTTGATAAAAAAAACTTTTCTAGAAGTATTTTATTTAATTAGAGAACAGAAAGGATATTCAAATACATTTTTAAGTAACTTTGAATTGCTTTATATTAAAAGAAATTTAAATTGAATTATTTATTGATGACAAAAAAGAAAAATGAAAAATAAAAATAATATTTTTAATTTTTAGTTGTTGCTATTCTATAATTATTTTTATATTTCATAAATATTTTTTACTTTTGTCATTTTTACAAGAAAGCATTCAATTTTATTAATACTTTTTTATAATTTTGCTCATTAATAGATATAAAAAAATTTACTAAATACTAAGAAAACAAATATATTTTTTATAAATGCAATTATCAAATTCGAAATTAAAACTGGACTTTTTCGAAAGATATATTTTGTAAATAAAAGATTAATACCTAAATAATAAATATAAATTTGTTATTTGCTTTATTTTTACATTATAAAGTAAAGAGAGAAAACCTTGAAGATTAATTAGTATCTTTCAAAATAGTTTATTTTAAGTAAAAATAGAAAGAAGAATTACAAAAATAAAAACAAAATATTATCATAATTAAATAGTTAAATAAATATCAATCTTTATTATATATTTAAACAAAAAATAATTCAACAAATATCAAAATCTTTTTTTAATTTGTTGATTTTCTTATATATTATATAAAAATAGCTTTCTAAAATCAGAAATTAGCTCATTAATCATAACATTCTTTTGAAATGATAATTTAAAGAATAATACATAGAAATATTTATACAAGTAATAATAATTAATAAATAATAGATATAAATCTCATAAAATATTGAGATGCAAAAAAAATATTTTATTAAATAAGTTGCCTTCATTTAATTTATATTTGGCATATATGAAGCCTCTTACTTTTAAATATAAAAATATAAATAAACATTTAAATAATAATGGTTTAAAGATAACTAACTAATTTAGTAAATAATATATTATTTTTTTTTTTTTATATTACTTTATAATTATAATACCATTTTTTAAATTTCCAATAAGATTAATAAACTTGCTCACTTAGCTAAAAAATAACTCGATACCAGTCAGTCAGTCAGTAAGTAAGTCATTCGCTAATTCATTTATATATTCAAATTTTCAAAATTAAATCACTTTTTTTGCTTGGCAAAATCTCTGTACTCGATAGATGAATCTTCATTCAACTGATAAATACTCATTATGAAGTTTTTAATACCTGTGTCAATAGATTCGTTTTTATTTCTATCTTTCACCCAAATTTAAATAACAATGTGCTAAGGATCTTTTGCTTGAAGAGAAATACCATTGATGTAGCTATTGAATTCGCATTGATTTCCAATTAATCCTAAAAGTAAATCTTCCCAAAATCTGTTAGAATATTTAATTTTAACTCTCATTTAGAATCTTCCTCCACCAACATTTGCAGCGTCTTCCCACATTGGCATAACTCCTTCGGTAAAACAATAAAAAGTAGTACCTTCTGGTAATTTATCAGGTCTTGCCATATGCTAATAATATTTCCAAAAATCATCAACATCACTAAATGATCCAATTTTTTTAAGCTAACTAACATAATTATCTTTATTTTCAACTCTTTCGGAAACAAACCAAAAGGTGTATCCTCTTGAAAGCTTCATAGACATCCTTTTTCTTATATTTTTGTAAATATTCTACTTTTTATAAATTAATTATTTTCCTTTAAAAATAACTTTAAGAATTTTCTTCCTGCAAAAATTAATATTCTGACAATAAATAAATCTTCCTCTCAAATTTTAGATAATGAGTTTGTTAATTTGATAGTTGTGGAAGTATTTAAATTAATTTATAGGCAATTAGATTATTGTTCGTTTATTAAATTAAGTATACACAATAGATTATGTAGAAACTTTAAATATAATTAGTTAGTTAGTTTTTAATGAAACATAGTTAGTTATGCAAGCATATTGCTAATATTTAACTATGATTTATAAATATAGACACTTTTAGCTAAATATTTCGAAAAATTTAATTGCTTTTAAATTTTAAAAATTTGCAAATATAATTAAAGTTTTCATTAATTGCTATATGAAAAGCTAATATTAAAATTTTAGTTTTCACAAATATTTTATTACTTTTTCAAATATTTTCAATAAAAAATGATATTGTTTAGTAATTTAATTAAATAAAAATAATTTAATATTTTTAGGATTTTGAATTAATTTTTTAGACTACAACAAAAAACTATTAGGTTTGTTTTTATATATTTTACTAATAAAAATACATTCATAATTTATAAAAATAACTATTATAAATTTTATAATGTCTAAAAAAGTAATTTATTATGACAGATATCAATGATTCTTCTAATAAATACCATAAACAATAGTTTAAAATCTTTAATTTGATTACAAAAGTAAGATATGCAGCTATTAGAATTTGTTAAGAAAATTAAGATTTTAATCAAATATGTGATTTTAAAATAAAAATGATAATTAAAAAATATAAAATATATTTGTTAATTGTTTATTAAAAGAAATTTCTATTGTTATTAGATGGATATTCAAATTTATAATATTTTTCATGATTAACTAAAGTAAAAATTATAATTATTTAATATGGCAAAAAAAGGAATTTGAATAGAAAATTAAACTATTTTTAGCAAATAACACAATAGACAATATAAAATTTTTAATTTGATAACCAAAGTAAGGTAAGCAGCGATTAGAACATCGATTAAATATGCTTATTTTATATGGTTTTATTTTAATTATTTTTTTAATTTACATCTTTCATTGGTTATATTTCATTTTTGAAATAGATAATATTTCTTAAACCATTAACATTATAAATAATTGATAAATTTGTATAACTAGATGAAATTTCGTAATAATTAAAATTTAAGGTATTGTAAAAGGTAATGTAATAATTTGGGGAATAATTAATATTGTGTCGCTTGAAATTTCATGCAAGTATATTTAAAAGTAAGTCATTTAGAAAAGATTATTTCATATAAATTGAGCTTTACCAAAATTAAAACAGTCAAAATAATCTATCTGAAAGTACAAATTAAATTGGTGGGCTTCAAACAACAACTTTCAAACAATTTTACTTATAATTTTGGATATAGAATGATTAAATCTGTTTTTAATTGATTAATCTAGATATTAATTTGTTTTTTTTAATCAATAAATCCAAATTCAAACAAAAATATTGTGCTTTTTAGCTTTTAGACATAAATGAAATTTATCAATATAACCATGTTTCTTCTTCTATTTTTCTTTTTCTCTTTTCAAGTACTATCATAAATCTGGTAATTTTTGTTTAAATAGTTTACGTGAGGTTTTCTTTTACTTGTTTTTTAAATAATAAATTTTTTAAGTTAACTTTTAAGCTATAAATTATAAAAAGCAAACACATTAAAAAGCCATAAAAAACCAAATGAAGAATTAAGTTCTTTCAAGCATTTTTATACTTTCTTTCATCACTTTTGCCTTTGCAGAATAAAAAGAAGATTAAACAAAATAATCTGTATGTAGACATTTATTTTATTCATTTAAATCATAAGTTCATTTTACATATTGAAAATTTACAATTATTTATATCAAAAGATTAGTGAAGATATCTCTTCTAGTCTCTCTTTATTGAAAGATCATGGTGCACTATTAGGCTCTATGATTTCCATATTATTTTCTGAAGTAGGAGATAAAACTTTTATTATTACTGCTATTCTATCAGCAAAATACAATAAATTTTATGTCTTTCTTGGATCATATGGCGCTCTCTTTTTAATGACCTTTATCTCTTGCTTTATTGGTAACCTATCTGACTATATACTCCCTGAAAAGTATATTAAAATCGCATCTGCCATCTTGTTCTTCTTTTTTGGATTCAAATCTCTATACGATTCAGCAACTAATTAACTCGAAGATGATGATTAAGAAATCGAAACAGAAATTAAGGCCTTAGAAGAAAAATTAAACAAGGGAACCAAAGATAGTATAGATGATTAAAGCGAAGAGTCTAAACAAGAAGTTAAAAAAGTAAAAGGTACTGAAGACTCAATCAATTCAAGTAGTTAATCATAGGTTGTTTAAAGAGAGTAGAAAAAAAGCGAAACAAAATAAAATAGTAAACAATAATCAAGTCACTAAGTTTCAAATAAAACTATTGCAGCTTTAACATTTGCATAAAATTTTTTGGGAGAATGGGGAGATAAATCCTAATTATCAACTATAGCTATGGGTGCTTCCTTTAATTTCTATAAAGTATTCATAGGAGCTGCACTTGGTCATTTTTGTTGCTCACTACTAGCTATTACTGGAGGTAAATATTTGGCAGAATAGCTCTCTGAAAGAACATTAACATTCTTAGGAGGACTTCTATTTATAACATATGGATGTGGTACTTTATATAGTAGTCTTGTCTGAAATTAATTTTAAAATGGTAATAGTATTTTCATAAATAACATTTTATATTGTCAAAAACAAATAACTAAATAAATAAATAATAGTTAAGCAAGTCAATAAATTATTAAATATATTCAAATAAGGAAATAATTATTTGTTTATTACTAGCTGTTTACTTTACTGAGTTGAATATATATTTCGATTTTATATATCATTAAATAAAAATTTTACTTTTTAATGTATCACTTTCATTTTAAAAAGCTAAAATTATGTTAAATATGTTTTAAGCAAAATACTGACAATTATTTAAATAATTTTATTATTTTTGCTTAACTAATTAAATTCAAATAATAACATCTAAATATCCTTAATATTGAATGTTTAGTTTATATTTCAATAATTGAGTTGTTTGAAAATAGATAAAATTGTTTTGAAATCTAATTAGTGAAGTAATATTTATATTTGTTAAATATTTTATCATGTTAATTAATTCAAATTTTTTAAAAGAAAAACAATTAATTTATAAACTATTTTTTGTATTTAACTGTAAATTCTCCTAAATTAGCATTTATAAAAATTAACCCTAATTTTTGAAAATATTTAGCTTCAAAATTTAAAAAAATTAAACTTTAGAAATATAAAATAAAAAATATAAATACCAATCAACAATATATAAAATAGCTAATTTATTTCAAAGTAAATTAATTGATATTTATGTATTTTATTGCTTCGATTTTCCATCTATAATTACTGCAACTATCTTGCCTTAAGATTATAATACCTTAAAAACTTTAAATTTTATTCAGGATTACATTTGGCTACAATTTTGAATTTATCTAAGCAAGAATTCAATTCAATATCACTCATTTAGTAAAATTTGATAACTAACAGTAATTGCAGACTCTTCATGAGGATAGATGATACCATTTTAGATATAAATTGCTTATTCAAAACTATTATTTGTAATCTAAGTTTTAGGATGACAAAATTAAATTATGAATAAATTTCGAATTCTAATTATAAGTGAATTATCATAAAATATTTTTACATACACATTTACATAAAAATTGTAACAAAAAAACTATTCTCTATATTTAAGGGCAATTAAATTTTTATCTTCAAACTTTTAAAGCTTATATAAGAGCATAAGATTAACTATTTTTTGTTTAATGTATATTTTAAAAATTAATATTAATGATTTCATAACCTTAATTCTTCTAATTTATATATTTAAATGAATATAGTTACTCTTAACTACAATAATATACTTGATTATTAAAATTTTCTTTTTATTGTTTTGATACAACAATATTGTTTTCTTAAGACTCTAAGACATCAAATATCTCATAATTTACTACTTTCTCCATAGAATCTAAAGTACTATCTATTGATGATGTAAACTGTTTCAAACTATAAGTTGATAGATAATCTTAATAGAAAGATAAGGTTTTATAGATATAATTTATTTCACTTTCAATAGTTTATCTTTTTCCTTAAACTTCTTAAATATACTATTTTATTTACTTTTTGGATTATTCTGGGTTTTAATGCATTTAATAAAGAGCATTTTATATGTTTTTCTTAAGGCTTACAGTGTTATAGTAATCTTTAAGCAGTTTTTTGTTATTTTCAATAATTTAATACTGGCTTTTGAGCTTATCTTCTATTTTTTCCAGCTTTTCTATAATAGAAGATTTAAAACCTTTAAAGAAAGTAAATGTTTCTTCAAAGTTTATTTTTTCAATTTCATAAGCTTTTGTAAAAATATAATTTTTTTATCCAAAAAGAGGCCAATTATCTAAAATTGTTTCATTGTTACATTCAAAAATGTCTTAAAGAGACAAGTATTTTGTAGGATCTAAGAAAAATTTAGTTGAGCATTTTGAGCATTTAAAAGGGCTGGCTTAGTTATCTACTTCTAAATACAAAATGTTACATCTTTGTTTATGGATTTGGCATTCAAAAACTTAATTTTTAATAAAATCCTCAAAATTAGTGTTAAGTACTTCCATCTTAATGAATATATTCTTTTTATTTTGATATAATTTTTATAAGTTTAAATTAATTATATTTAAAAAATTGATTAATTGTTTGATTTTTGTTCTTATTTTTTGAGATAAACAAAATTTAATCAGTAACCTGATAAGAAATAAATTAAATATCATCAGAATTATTTTAATTAATTCTGTTAAGAAAAAATTAATTAATAAAAAAACAAATCAATTATTGAGATAAAAATTTTTTATTTCCTGACAATAAAATAAAATGAAATAGATAGATTGATTGATTGATTTGTTAAGCTAAAAATCAAACTCTATTTTTTTTTTTGTAAAAAATTAAAAGTATATTTAAAATAAATATTTAATATTTTAATTGATAATTTAAAGACTATTTGTTTCAAAAAATTTTAATTTGATTTAAACTTATTACTAAATTAATCATTTTTATAGATAATTACGAAATTGATCAAAAAATATATATCAATTATTTAATAATGAGAAATAAAATTGACTTCTTTCTTATAATTTAATAATTCCCTTATAAGAGTTTACATATCTTTTGTTTTTAAACTATATATAACCTTCCTGGCTTTAAAATTCCGCTAGTGGAGTAAGTAGTAAAAATATAAATATATAAATGACTAAATGGTAGTTTAAGTATTTTATTTTCTTTTTTAAATCAAAATTTATCTGACAGATGTATATACCTTTACTTAAAAATCAAGCAGAGTATTTTAATTTTTGATGCAAAAAACACTTCAAAATTTAAATTAAACTTAGAAATATAAAATAATAAATATATATATCAATCAACAATATATAAAATAGCTAATTTACTTCAAAGTTAATTAATTAATATTTATGCATTTTATTATTTGAATTTTCGATCTCCAGTTACTGCAACTATTTTATCTTAAGATTTTAATGCCTTGACAAACTTTAATTATTATTCAGGATTGCATTTGGCTACAATTTTGAATTTATCAAAGAAAAATTCAATCCAATATCACTCATTTAAAAAATTTGATAACCAGCAGATTCTTCATGAGAATAGATGATACCAGTTTGGATACCAACTGCTTATTCAAAAATATTATGTGTAATAAAAATTTTAAGATAAAAAAAATTAAATTATGAATAAGTGTTGAATTCTAATTATAAGTGAATTAACATAACATATTTTTACATACACATTTTACATACAAATTGTAACAAAAAAACTATACTCTATATTTTAGGGCAATTAAATTTTTATCTTCAAAATTTAATAGCTTAGATACGAGCATAAGATTAACTATTTTTTGTTTAATGTATAGAATAAAAGTGAATATTAAAATTTTCTTAAGATTAATTCTTCTAATTATAATATTTAACTGAATATAGTTACTCTTAACTACAATAAAATACTTGATTATTAAAATTTTCTTTTTATTGCTTTGATACAACAATATTGTTTTCTTAAGACTCTAAGACATCAAATATCTCATAATTGACTACTTTCTCCATAGAATCTAAAGTACTATCTATTGATGATGTAAACTGTTTCAAACTATAAGTAGATAGATAATCTTAATAGAAAGATAAGGTTTTATAGATATAATTTATTTCACCTTCAATAGTTTATCTTTTTCCTTAAACTTGTTAAATATACTCTTTTATTTACTTTTTGGATTACTCTGGGTTTTAATCTATTTAATAAAGAGCATTTTATATGTTTTTCTTAAGGCTTACAGTGTTATAGTAATCTTTAAGCAGTTTTTTGTTATTTTCAATAATTTAATACTGGCTTTTGAGCTTATCTTCAATTTTTTCCAGCTTTTCTATAACCGAAGATTTAAAACCTTTAAAGAAATTAAAAGTTTCTTCTAAATTTATTTTTTCAATTTCATAGGCTTTTGTAAAAATGTAATTTTTTTATCCAAAAAGAGGCCAATTATCTAAAATTGTATTATCCTCACCTGTAAAAATATCATAAAGAGATAAGCATTTTGAAGGATCTAAGAAATTTTTAGTTAAGCACTTTGTGCATTTAAAAGGGCTTGCTTAGCTATCTTAATTATTATCTACTTCTAAATACAAAATGGTACATCTTTGTTTATGGATTTGGCATTCAAAAACTTAATTTTTAGTAAAATCCTCAAAATTAGTGTTAAGTACTTCCATTTTAATTAATGTTTTCTTTTTATTTTGATATTTTTTTTATGAGTTTAAATTAATTATATTAAAAAAATGATTTATTGTTTGATTTTTATTCTTACTTTTTTGAGATAAAAAAATCTAATCAATAACCTAATAACCTGACAAGAAATAATTAAATATCACCAGAATTATTTTAATTATCTATTTTTAATTAATTCTGTTAAGAAAAAATTAATTAATAAAAAGATAAACAAATCATTGAGATAAAACTTTTTTACTTCCTAACAATAAAAAAAATGAAATAGATAGATCAATTTGTTAAGCTAAAAATCAAACTATTAATTTTCTTAGGGTAAAAAATTAAAAATATATTTCTAATTAAAATGTAATATTTTCATTGGTAATTCATAGACTATATGTAACAATAAATTTATTAAATTGATTTATATATTAAAAACTTATTAATCAATTAATTATTTTTATAGATAAAAGACAAATTGATCAAAAAAATTACATCACATATTTAATAATGGTAAATAAATATGACTTCTTTCTTATGAATTAATAATTTACTCAATAAAGTTTACATATCTTTTGTTTTAAGCTATATATAAATTTAATCCCTATATAAATTATTATAATATCTTTAAAAAAATATTTTGATTTCAAAATATAAAAATATAGAATATGAGATTAAAATTATTTAATAATAATTATAAAAATATTAATTTCATATTTACTATAAATTAATGCTTCTTTTTCTTCTTTTCGAAGTAGAATTCATCCATTCATAAATGTATAAAAGGTTCTTATAGTATGAAATTAAGATTTATTTATTTGAATGCATTGATTAATATTTAAAAATGTAAAAACAATTAATAAGAAAAAAAATAAATAGTGGTGAAATTTAAAAAAATTAATTCTAAATACTTTATTAATCATATATTGATTTGTAATCAATTTTTTAATTGAGTTTATTTTAGATTTTTTACATACATATGTTAAGAATTAAGTAACTTTTGATTAATATTTAATTCAAATAAATTTAATATTAAGGGATTAATAGCCATTTAAAGTTTTACCTATTAAAGAATTTTATTCATTTAAATATATATTGAAAATAAATGAAAATATATAATATATCAAGTTACTTTATTTTAAATGCCTGTATGTAGAATATTTTATATTATCCATAATGGATGGAATAAATAGATTAGTAAAAGTTTATATAAAAAAACATAAATTATTAATTATCGCTAAAGATAATGAAATAATTTTTATATTAATAATAGTTTTTTTCATGAAGTAAATAAAATCTCTTCACCTTACTTCATTTTTATTTTATTACATTTATTTATATTTAAAATTGGAACTTAGATATTAATTGATATTTTCTAGTTTTTATTAATATTTTACAAACTATCTTTACATTAAATAGTTATCTAAATAACTATTAAATTAATTAGCCTTTCAATCATTTATTTTTTTGGTTTAATATAGACATTTTAAATGATATTTTTAATGGACATCTACTTGATTGATAGCCAAAATAAATACTAAGTAATTCAGTTAGTTATTCATTTATTATAAAATAATAATTTATCCTATTATTGAACTGAAAAATAATAATTTTTGTAATAGATTTTGTTGAATAAAAAAAAAAAAAAATTAAATCAGATACATATTTTTTGAGTCTTGTTATCAATAAATGAAAAAATAAAAAATAATATTAATTAAACAAGAAAGAAAGAAAGAGTTATATTTGTTTTTATTACTTTTTAAATATTTTTTGATTTTCTCTCTACTCATTTAATATTGAATTGTTACGTAGAAGCTATAGAAACTTTTTCTTCAAAAGCTTGATCAAAATAGTATCCAAAATCATTATCCAGAAGAATTAAAATTTATTATATATCAATAAAGATTTCTGATAACTAATTCTTTCTGGTTTAATTAATAATAATAAAATTGGGAAATACATAAAGTGGCTAGACAGACAATAAAAAAAAAGCTTAATTGAAATCATAATTAAATCTTAAGAGCAATAATACGAATAATTGCAGATACATTTATTATATACTTCCTCTAAAATAAAACAGCTTAGAAAGTAGAAGCACAATGGATCCATATACTTATTTACCTGAAATCACTTCAACTTTAGAAGAAAACATTCAAAAAATACACTTTTTATGCACAAAATTACCCTATAGAGGTGTTAATTGGACTTATTATCATAATATCAACAGTATCATTGTTGAATGGATGAGATAATAGACAATAAGATTCGAATAACAAGAATAAAGTGGTGAATTTTATCAAAAATATAAAGATTTATATTTATTAGGAAGAAAATCAGTTGAAGCTGAATTGAGATACTAAAATCTATTACACAAATCTATTTTTAAATGCAATTACACTGGTAATTCATGCGTTTTTCACTTTTCATGATACAATTATTTTTTATTGTTTCATTTTTTACATAAAAAAACTTAAATATTTATTTTACTTTTGTGTATTTTGATAAAGATAATTTTGTTAATGAGTTCAGCAAAAATAGCATCCAAAAGTAAAAAGTCATATTCTCCTATATGAATTATATTGCTTAAGGTTATTTCAGATAAATCAAAGACATATTTGATATTTTTGAAGTTCCACACAAGGGATAGGAGTTAGAGAAAATGTTTTGTGTAAAAGTAATGCATAATAAATACTTGGTATTTTTGGTAACAGTTTAAACAATTCCAGTTCACAGCAATCATAGAGTATGTTATATATTTTATCAAGCATAGTATTAATTTTTTTACTTGTTTTTTAAATAGAAATTAGCCAAAATGAACTTTACTTAAGTTATAGTCTTTTTAGATATCTTAACTCCAGCATAAGCTGATTAGTTAAAAAACAAAGCACATCCTAAAGTTTATACCAAAGTACTTCAAAACTATGTCTCTGAACCTGGCTACATGATAAATCATAAAATGCTAAATCCTTATACCTGCTCTGAAAAGAATTTATTTATTTATGATAATGGTAGATACATTTATAATTATCCACCTTAATCTTAAGATCCTGCTTTACATTCTAACAATCCTTTCTATGAAAGCGTTCTCAGTTATTTGCCTAACAATTTTTATCAACACAAATTTTAAGATAGCGATTAAGAAACCTATTACTATGATGCTAGAAAATAGAGATGGGTCCTTTAAGATTAAAATTTCTTAAGAGATTTGTAATCAATGAGAGATTACTAACAATAAGTTTCTAATCATGTTATTTCTCAATGTTTGAACTTTGGCTCTGCTTAAAAACTGGTTAATGTTCTCTAGAAAATCCCTAACTTCAAAGTTAAATTAAGTAGTGAACAATCTCATATTATCAGTTGTAGTGGAAATGTTGTTTGCATAGGTAGGTCAGGAACAGGTAAACAAACTTATTTAGATATTTAAATTCATAAATTTTTTATTTAAAAATATTTAATTTATTTTTTTGATTAAAATATTTAAGAAATTTAACATTTTTTTAAATTCTAAAATAAAATTAAAATTTTTAATATCCTTTTTCAAATAATTTCAACATTTTTTCATTAAATTTAATATTTTTTACTTAAAATTACAATTTATTTTATGATTAAGTTTAAAATAATAACTTTGAATACTTCTTTATTTTTTGAGCGATTTTTATTAGAAATAAATTATGTAATTTTTCTTAAAAATTATTTAATCGAATAGGTAAAACAACAAGTGCTGTGCTTAGAATGTTTGCTTTAGAAATGCTTTTTAAGTACAGATTGCACGTTTATCATAATAGACATATGAAATTAGCAAGTTAAACTAGATTTAACCCAAAAGATTTGGATAAAATGGTTGGTCTAAGATGCATTTTCGTAACAGCTTCTCCAGTTCTCACAAATGAAATTAAAAGATACTATGATAGATTAACTAAATAATTGAAAGAAGAACTCATCAAAAGGGATGAAAAATTACATGCAGAGTAGCTTGAAAAGTTAATTCAATAAAAAAAAGATTAATAGAATGATGAAAAATAAGATAAAACCGAGTCAAATGAAGCAGATAAAGAGCTTGATGCGGAAAAGGAAGAAATAGAAATTCTAATGGAGAAGCAATTCGAAAATCTCTAATTAAACAAAGAAATTAGCACTGATGGTGCTGCATAAAACGATGCAGAGGATGCTCAATAAGAAATAAAAGAGGAAAAAATTACTTTCGAGGATGATGATGCTGAAAAATTAGAAAAAGAGATGGACAAATATGAAAATTTATCAAATATGTCTCCTCAAGATTTCCCTGCTTTTATGACTGTTAGAAATTTGATCATGCTCATAGACGCATCACTCTCCTATCCTTTCTTTAAGAGAAACAAAGAGGGTAAAATAAAAGGATAAACTGCCTAAAATACTTGGCACAATGAGCAAAAAGGTACTCTTTATATCAACAATTTCCACAAACACCAAATAAATGAATCCAACCTCAAAGACGCAGATTAAATTATGGAGAAAATGAACATAGGATTAGAAGATGATGATGAGGAAGAAGAAATTTAAAATATTGATAATTTAAATGAATACCAAATCAATCAGTAATATTAACAAACTATAAGACAATAGCAAAAAAAAATTAATCAGATAGCAGCCTCAAAAGCTAAATAAGTTTCAAAGTAATTTTATTAAAATAAAATTAAATTTATTTAAAAATATTTTTTTATAGGGCTAAGAAAATGGCTTATGAAATTGATTTTGAGTATTTCAAGAGATTCTTCTGGAAGAGAATATAGAATAAAGTTATAGGCTTTAAGTCATTAGATGTTCATTTTGTATGGACAGAAATATACTCAATAATAAAAGGATCATCCCAATCTTGCTTTTACTGGTCTGGTGTATCTTATGGTATTATTAAAAAAGTTACTTTGTTTAATTATTAAGGTGTTTTTTTTTAATTCAAATAGGATTATCAAAATATATCTATACTCAATAGTAGACTCGTTTAAAAAGTCATGAAATCGATAAATTATATGAAATCTATCAAGAGTATGAAAGATGGAAAGATTAAGAAGGTAGCTACGATTTCATGGATATTGTAAACTATGTAATTAGATCCATAAATTATGGTTTTAATAAAAATATTTAATATCTTCACTATATCATGGTTGACGAAGTTTAAGATCTTCCAATGAATATTCTTTATCTTTTGAAAAAAATGACAACAAATGGTATTTTTTATTCAGGAGACACAGCTTAAACAATCGCTTAAGGTGTTGGTTTCCGCTATGGTAGTCTTAAATCTCTTTTTGATAATAAATCTGTTGGCTAATACTATACTGATTCTAAATCAATAACAGATGATGTTACTATCTAACAGCTCACAGTAATTTTATTATTTTAATTTACTTAATTTAATTTTTATTTATTTATTTATTTATTTATTTATTTATTTATTTATTTATTTATTAATTCTTAGGTAAACTTCAGATCTCATAATAAAATCCTGTATTTGGCTAACTCTGTAATTGATTTACTTGAATTCTTCTTCCCTGAGACAATCGATAGATTGAAAAAGGAAAAATCCAGTATTGATGGACCTAAGCCTATAATTTTAGGTGAGAGTGATCCAGACCTACTCTTTTGCATTCTTACAGGAGATTCTAGCTTCAAGAGTGAAAGACATTCTTCAAATTAAGGTGCTATGGGAAGAAATCCTATTGAGTTTGGGTGCAGCTAGGTAGTTATTGTTAGAAATTAAGAAAGTAAGAAGAATTTACCTCCCATGCTAGCCCATGCACTTTGCTTGACTATTTATGAAGCTAAGGGTTTGGAATTCGATGATGTTATTCTTTATAATTTCTTTTAAGACTCAACCATGCAACCTTAGAAATGGAACCTACTCAGATATGTTTCTTACTTAAATTAATTTATGACCAAAGAGAAATTTAATGAAATGATTGAAGAGTAAGAAATAGAAAGACTCCACAGAATTCACTATATTTAACTTTTGAGAACTGAAATTATTGAATAAGATTGGAAAGATAAGTAAGCTATGAATAAACTTCAATACATTATGGATAATGAAAAAAGATTATCCTAATTGAAAATATTAAATGATCGTGCTGTGTAAAGAGAATAGAAAATGGAAGAATTGTAATAACAAGAACAAGCTTTACAGAGTGATGCTGTATATGGCACTCCCGTCAAAGGAGAAGAAAACTTAATCAAAGTTGTTAAATTGAATTTGAATTAGGAGGAGTTTAAGAAAAATAATATTTCTTAGAAAGATTTTTCTCAACTTTGCTTAGAGTTAAAGTAGCTTTATGTTGCAATTACACGTCCTAAGAATCGTGTTATTATTTATGATGAAAATGCAGATGCAAGACAAATCATTCAAGAGTATTGGGAAAATCTAGGATGTGTTGAAGTTATTACATCTGAAGTTCTATCTGGTATGGTTGATTAAAAGAACGTTCAAGAAAGTGGTATTAATATCAAAGATGCTCTCTTGCGTAAAAGTGACTCAAACTAATGGAAGTAATAAGGTTTGAGAATGATGAAAATGCGCTATTTCTAACAAGCTATGCTTTGCTTTGAAAAGGCCGGATGCTAAGAATATATGGAGCAAGCTAAAATTTTCCATTTAGCTGACCATGCCAAGGAAATGTTAGAAGAAGCACAACGTGAATATATTTTCTTGGACTAAGGTATTATGGAATATTCCTCCATGAGCAAGACTGAGAAAGATACAAAGAAAGCTTAAATTAACTTGTAAATGAAAATAGCAAGAAAAGAATTTACTTAAGTTGGTGAGATATTCTACAATCGTGAATAGTATAAACAAGCAGCTAAATGCTTTTTCAGTGCTTTAAATTATTAAAGAGCAGCAGATTGTTATATTAAAATTGGTAATATCAGATCAGCTGCAGAGTGTTATTATATAATTTAAGATTATGTAAGAGCCAGTGAATTATTTTTAGAAGGCAAAGAGTACGTTAAAGCCATAGAATGCAATGATCTTCTAGAAAATTGGGGCAAAATTCTTGAAATTATTAATCTTGCTAAAGGTAGTATGACTTTAAAAACAAGAGAATTGTACATTAAGAAATATGCTCCATTAGCACTTGAAGAGCTAGTTTCAAATATTGGGTTATCTAAAATTGAAGTTACTACCAAATAATAACAAAAACAAAAGAAAATCTTAGAATTAATTGTCTAAGAATAAATTAACGAAGAAGAGGAAGATGAAGAAAATGCCACACTAGAACAATCTTAATAAAAAAATAAAGAAAATGAAAGTGAAGAAGAAGAAGAAATTGAAGATGAAAAATCAGGCTAACAAAAAGAATAAGCTGATCAATAAAAAGAAACAAAATCTATACTTGATGACTTAAACAAGCAAGAAGAAGAAGAAGATAAGGATGATGAAGAAGACGAAGATGAACATGATTCCGTTGATAAAATAGATCTTGATGATATTAGCTAAGATGAAAGTGTTGAAAAAATAAATAAAACCAAGCAAACTTAAAAGAGTGCAGCAGATAATAATAAATCTGTTAGCAACGCTGATTTCTCAGTGATAGATAAAACACAAGGCTAGATGTAAGATGTTTCTGTTATTGAGAAAAGTGTTAAATAAAGCAGACATGATAATACTTCTTTCATAGATAATATATCTTTTAACGATAGTTCTAAGGATGAAGATGCAAATGAAGATCTTAATTTAAGCAGTCTTACTTTAGATTTCATAAAATCTAAGAACCAGTTAAGCGATTTTGAACATTTAAGTGAATTTGATCCTGAAGACGAGTGGCTTAAGATGGAAACTGGTTCAATTGCTGAAGTAATTTAAAAGAGTAGAGACAGTGGTATCTTTTCTTGTAGTGAGTTTTCATCTTTAAATATTGCAGATATGATGTCTACCAAAGCTCAAATGATCAAGACAAGTGCTGATATCTTTATTTAAGACGAAATCATGTAATAGGTCATAAAGTACATGTCAATGTTTAGCGATAATTTCAAAACAGAGATATTAAAAATAAAATCTAAAGATGCCCTTCTCACTTCAAGAAATGAGTAACATGATGATACTCTCACTGAGTATGGAGCCAATGAACTTTTAATCGATCTGGACAATATAGACATTAACTTCCTCTACCTTATCTTAGACACTCTTGAGTACTATAACATTTTCAGACTTGCTATTTTCGTTTGCAATAGGTATTTTTAAAAATTAAATTCATTAAAAAATATTATATATAAATACAATTCTTATAATTAATTAAGTAATTCAAATATTTAAATAAATAAAAAGATATAAGCTTAGTAAGAAAGTAGGAAGATATTTAATTTCTATTGCCCATAAATTCTCCTTTTTAGCTCATGAAGACGCATCCCTTGACTTTACACTCCTTAATCTTACTCCAGAGAAACAAAAGAAAATTGAAAAGGCTATAATTGCAAATATTGCCATTCACAATTTGTTTGAGGTCATAAATCCAGAGTTTATTAGATTAAAAGAAGCTGATGAGGTACCTAATGAAAATAATTCTCTTGGTATTGAAGTTTATAGAGGTTTCCTTTCTTTGGGATACTGGAAAAAGATACTTTTCATAATGGATTACAAGAGATCTTTAGAGTTGGCTTATTTCTTCAGCGACTTCAATAGTTATAAGACTATTTTCTTGAATTTCAACAAGAAATATAAGAATAAGGCTGCTTGCATTTCTTCTATTAAAAACGGAGAACCAGACTTCTAATGCTTGCCCTTCGATATTCCTAAGACAGCCGAAGAAATCGAATTTGCTATAGTAGTATTAGAACATGTAATTACCTTCTAAAATTCAAAATAAAAATTATCTAAATCTACTACCCATAATCTTTCATTCTCTTCAAGAAGCTAAATGATGAATGCAGAAGGGTAGTATGAAAAAATCCCTTAATTCCCAAGTTATTTCACCTACAACGCTATTTTCTGGAAATATATTAATCACAAAGTTAGCAAAGGATTTGCTAAATAAAACAATGAAGATAGCTAATTCTTTAAATATGTTGGTCAATGTGCAAAGAATGCTCTTGAAATTTTAGATAAAAAAGATAATTTTGAATCTGACTTAATTAACTTAAGAATATTTGATGTTTTTAGCTTTTTGAGCAATCTCTTTTTCTAATTACAATTCTAAGACAAGCTATTTTAAATTTTAATCTAACATTTAGGTATTGATTTTATTAGTTTTTTTTTCATGAAAAATAAATAATTTCTTCAAATAAATATTTAGATTTTATTTATTTATTTTATTAATTAACATAGATCTTGATGACTTTTAGAACTTCGTATTGATCATTAACAGAATATTGAAAATGTTTAGTAACATAAATACAGAATAAAGAAAAAGCTATTTAATTCTGAGAGCTCTTGTTTCTCCTTTAAAAGTCAGACTTAACATGAATACCACTGACTTACTCTCTGCTTTTGGTTAAACAAAAGTTAATATTCACAAGAGCAGTAGGTTAATTGCTTACTTCTTGCAAAAAAAAAATGAAGCTGCTGCTAAATTAAAAGTAGAGAACGTGATAATTAAAATAATGCAATTTGAAGAATTCTGCTTGAAAAAACGTGGCAAAATTCTTAAATAATATGAAAAAGAATATAGACAATATAGAAATGAAACCAATTAATTACAGGCCTAAATAACAGCATTGTTAAATAAGGGAGATAAAAGATCAATTTAAGAGGCTTCTTATCTTGTAAACAATGTTGAAGAAAAAGAGAACTTAATGAACTATGTTAAACAAATAGAATTTTTGGAAAAAAAATAAAAGAATAAATATTATTTCTTGGATTTGGACTGTGAATTTATTGCTGCTCCAATTTAAGACGTTTTACAATTCTTTTAAGAAAATTTATATAAGGTAAACAAGCTTTTTTTAAAGATTTTTCAAATTAATTTCTTTATTAAATAACTTCATCATTTAATTATCATTTTTTTACATCAATTAATTTTGATAGCAAAATTCTATTAAAAAAATTATGATTAATTAAAAAATAAATACTAAATATTAAAGGAATTTGATTAATTTTTTCTTTTTAAATAATTTATTTCAACAACATCTTTTATTAATTAATACAAATTAGCTCACAATTCCTTTAGTTCATAGAAAGATTTCTACTTCTATTAAGTTGTCTGGAACTAAGAATTATACAATTGAGCGCCTCTTCTTAATTTCAGCTTACAATATTGCTTTCAGTTAAATTCTTAAAGAAACAGATCAAATAATGAAAAGTACTGAAGGGTATGACTTATTAAGCAAAACCAAGGGTTATGTGCCTCCCGAATATAAAAAATACAAAAAGAGTAACCCTCTATATAAGTTCTTTAAGTTAGAATACTTGAAATAGATAGAAGAATAAAATGAAGAAGAAGAAGATGAAGATATCTAGCAATATATGGAATATGAAGGAATTAAAAAGAAATCCAAGAAAATAAACTATCCTCTATTGAAAAAGTGTAAACGTTAACTCTCTCAATGCTTATAAAACATATACCAAGGTTACTGGGAAGTTTCAATTAGTCCTTATGTAAGAAATGTACTTTTACAAATTGTATTAAAAACTATCAACAGTTATGAGTTCAGCTCTCCCTTTGACTTTAAAAGTATTCAAAAATATGCTTAATTCTTGAATATTGTTAATCATACCTCATACCTGAATAATTTTAAAGTGTCTTAAAACTTAAGAATAGGTAAATAATTACCAAATACAGTCTTTAATATTAAGATTTTTTTATTTTTAAATAAAACAGATGCCAAGTTAATAATAGAAAACGTTTACAACCACAGAAATGGACTTATTCAAAAATATATCAATAACACTCTCAGCATCTTAGACAAGCACTTTGATCAGCTTGAATTTTAAGAAAAAGTAAGAATTTAATGAAATTATATATTTATATTTATTTATTTCTTCATAAATTTATTAAAAGATGCACTAATTAGAATATTGTGCAATATGGGCTACTCTATCTTACTTAGCCTCTAAGGGTGATACCTTCAACTTTTATTTGAATTAGAATTTCTTGAAGTTACTTCCTCCTTTGAAGTTCACTGAGTTCACAACTGACTAAAAGGATGATAACGTAATCAGTGTCCCTGCTCGTTTCGCCTTAGAAGTTTCAATATAACCTATTAAATCTTTAGACACAATTGTTGAGATATTCTAATTTATTGCAGATATTTTCACCAAATAAGGCACTTAAATCGTTTAGAGAAAGGCTGTTTTCTAAAGATTACTTTAATTAATTTTTATAGTTCTCTTCAACTTAAAGAAAATCAACAACGATTTAGCTTAAGAAATATTAACTTTAATTGATTTATTAGATCAAGAAGAGTAGCTACAAAAAATCATAGGTAAATATTTTAACTTTAATAATATTTTTATTTTTAATTAATATAACATATTTAATATAGATAAGATTGATTTCTGGGAGGATTTAATTTAATGCTAAAATGAAAAAGAAATTGAAGAAATTATTCCTCTTATGATTTCTGAAAATTTATTTGAGTTTGAAGAGTCTTATGAAAAGGCAGATATAGTCTAAGAAATATAAATAGAAAACATTATTAGCAAATCTATTACTGAAGAAGTTAGGCAAAAAATTACAAATTAATAGATTCTACATGACTAAATTTAACACTCGAAAAAGATAACTGCTTCCAGAATTATTTTGAATAACTATAACTACAATAAATAAGAAATGTGGAAAGCTTAATCTAGACTTTGCAAAAATTAAACTTAACTTTTAATTTTATCTCGTTTCAACAATAAGCACATGTTGCCAACAGAGTCTTTAATAAGTGCAAATTTAAAGAATTCACAAATATTCAACTTCTTTGAAGAAAACGATAATATTGTTTCTGATATCATTTGCAACATGACTTCAAATTCAGTATTTGATCCTCTTGATTATCATTACTTATTGCTCCTACTTGATTAAGCAGATAGAAGACAAGGAGAATATGAAAAACATCTTCTAAGCTTAGTTAAAGAAAATGATTAATCTAAAAACTAGTTTATCAATAAATTAGTCTAAGAAATTCAAAAGAAAAAGGAAGAGCTCCTTAATTGGGCAACATAATAATTCTCCAAAGAAAACTAAGATCCTCAAGTTTTCTTCCTACAAAACAAAATGAGTATTGCCATAAAATGGGCTAAAATGGGTTATATCAATGATGCTAAGAAACTTGTGACAGATATAAATGATGACTTTAAGCTAAAAGAAGCCCAATCTTTAAAGCTCAACATGAATAACTAACCCCCTAAAATTGGAAATAAATTCAAAAAAAATAAATAAGCTAAAAAATGAAATAAAAAAATATTATTGTTTCTTTTTATCTATTGGTTTTTTACCAGCTATTATAAATATATATTAATAGAATTTTGAATTTAATTTTTATTAATTTTATTTTTCTCTTTAATAAAAACAAAATTTATTTTCTTTAATAAAAAATATACTTTCTAAAAAAGTAATCGATCGATCGATTGATTTATATAAGATATTTATTTAGAATGTTTATAAAATATATGATCATCATAAAATATTATTTATTCTTATTTATTTAAATATAATTACCCAAAAAGTTAAAGTTATTATTTAGAGATTAAAGAAATTTTTCATATTTTAATTGAAGTAAAGTTAGCAAAATAATCTTTCAAATCTTATAAAAATAAAGTCAAAAATATCTAAAAAAATATGTAGAAAGAAAATCATCTCTCTTTTCTTTCTTTGTATTTAATAAATGAAAAAAAAAATGAATTTTACTTAAAAGAATTAAGCTTTACAAACATAAATATTTAAATTATGCTTTTTTAAAAATATTAACTAACTATTTTTAGATTTAACTTACTTAGAAAATCTTTTCAAAATCAAAATATTTTTAATTAATTAAATAATATGATTTTCAGAAGAATTCATAAAAATTTATTTTTCCAGTTCAAAATTAAAGATTCTAATCCATTTTTTAGAATTGGTTTATTTATAAAATCTTTCATTCCTGATTACATTGCTGCGTCTACATCTTCTTAACCTACATAAGCAGTGCAAGCGATAATAATTGGTTGATACTAAACAGGTAAAGCTACTTATTCATAAAATTAATTTATTTCAACAGCTGTTTCATAGCCATTTTTCATTGGCATTTCTATATCCATAAATATAATTTTGGGAGCTTTACAGCAGCTTTTTTAGTAAAGAGACTGTACCTCCTCAATTGCTGAAAAACCATCAGATAAGCATTAAAAAGTAAAAAAATACTAGCCTAGAATTTTAGAGAGAGCATAGGTATTAAATTAATTATCATCAACAATCATAAACTATGGACATCCACATTTTCTTTATATCTAGTTTAATTCTTTGATAAGATTTATAGTCTGTTAAGGATCAAGATTAGATTCTATGTTATTAAAATTCTGTGAGGCCTCTTAAATATATTAAAGTTCTTTATTTGTATTAATTTATTCTTCGTAGTTATCAAAAACCTATGAGGATATCTTTTACTGAGATAACTATGCGTCTAAAAATCTACTAAGACCTACATAAGAAGTAAAGCCTTCTTACTCTTTAGCAGATCTATCTAATTTATCCATCGTCCCAGTGTTAGCTGTTTTTACTTTTGTGTACAAGTTGCTAAAATAATTCCTAGAATTTCTTTCTAATGAATTTAATTCAGAATATTGATGAGGGAGTCCCTCTTCTTCTTCATTTTAAAAGCTATGAATTCTGTCAGTTTTTTCAAAAATATCACTAGAGCTTCTGAAATTAAATGCTCTATTATCAAAATTTTGGATTTTTATTGGAGATTATTTATTTTTTTAATTTTTTAAATTTTAATTCGATTTTTATAATTTCTATTTACTGTAATTATTTTAATTGAAAAAATGTTCTTGGTTTTCCAAATGAGATTGACCAATATTTTTGAAGTCAAATTCCAAGCTCTAAGGTTTATTTATTTCAATTTATTTATTTTTTTCTTCCATTTCTTCAAATCTTTGATAGTAATTTCTGATCTTCAAATTAGAATTAATTTTTATTTCTTTTTTGTTATCATCCTCATACTCAATTATTACTGAAGAATCTATTATGTTTTAGTTTTTCTTATTATTTTAAATTTAAATTATCTACTCTTCCTGAATTTCTTCAATTTTACTGATGTTATTAGTAAAACTACTATTCTTATTGATATCATTTCTCATGTATTATTTTGAATTATCGCTCAAGAAACTATTGCTATTTTCATTTAATGTGTAAACAAAATCAATTTATGGAGTAATCCTCTATTTACTCTACCTATTTATTGCTAAATCTTCAATCTAAGCCTATTAATTGAAGTTACTTTTAACAGAATAGGAATATTGTTTTTAACTATAAATTTGATTATCTTCGTTCTAAAATTATTTTTCTGAAAATTTTTCTAAGATTGTATTATTATTAAGAGTGTTTTAAGTATTATCCTCTTTTTGATTTTGTTAATTTATAGACATATCTTAAATTAAAATACTAAAGGTAGATCCATGTCCATAATCTGATTCTACTTTTATCCCTCCATCATCCTCTCCATTTTTAACTAAACCTTTAGCAATAGAGTTTGATATTGTCAAACCTAGACCACATCCTTGTCTATTTAAATGCTGATCTTTTTAATTATAATTTACCTAAATATTTTACAAATAGAACATTTTATTTATTTAATAATGATAATTAATTTAAATAAATTTTAAAATATTTCAATTATTTCTTGATAAAAAATGACTTTTGTATTTAAAATAAAGCATTAAATATTTCATAGAAATCAATAAGCTGTTTTAAAATTATATAATTGCTTGTTTTTATTTGAACATTAAGAAATTCTATATGGAGTTATTTCGAAAACCTAGCTAAAAACTTTTGTAATTAATCAAAAAAATAACATAAATTCAAAAATTAAACTTACTTTTCCACAAAAATCAAAGATTGTGTCTAGATTCTCTTTTGTTATTCCAATTCCAGTATCTTTGACATAAACCTTTAACAAACCTTTTTTGTTATCAAATAGTGTAATTCCTATTTCTATGTATCCTTTCTTGGTAAATTTAAGTGAGTTAGACAGAAAATTTAACAGTATTTAACGTATTCTATTTGGGTCTGAGCTAATCATTTCTGGGACCTATTTACCAATACTAATTATAATTTCTATATTTTTCAGCTTAGCTTGCATACTGATCAATTTTTTGCAGTCATTAAATAAGTTAGTAACATTAAAATCATAAAAGGAATACTTAAACTTTCCACTATCCATTTAAACATAATCAAGTAAATCATTAATTTAATTGAGTAAAAGTTTATTCGAAAATAAAGCTGGATTCAGATATTCTTCTATTAATTCAGGGTTGATTTATTCAACATTTTCTCTGATAACTTCGAGCATAGATATAGAACAATTTAGAGGAGTCCTCAGTTCATGGGATAAACTTGCAAAAATTCTCATCTTATCTTTTTAAGTATCCTAGACTTTTTTTTAATACAAATCTTTCCATAAATCTTAAACTATAATCAAAACTAACGGGTCTTTTTTTTCGTTAGAAACTAAGGCATCAACTTATAAAAATTCTAAAATCAAATCTTAGTCCTGAAATTAAACCTTGTTAATATTTAAAAAAATTATTTTAATAATCAAAAAAATATTTTTTCTGTCATTTACTTGCATTTTAGCCTTCGTATCTGTTTGCTAAAAGTAATTTAAGTCATTTTCATTTTAATTTTTTACACACTTAGAAAAGGAAGTTTACTTTTGATAGTTTTAATCTACTTTTTAATTATCATTAATATTGAGCTTAGAGTTGTTTTTAGAACATTTTTCTTAATCAGTAAACTTTTGACTTGATTGATCTTTTTTGACTTAAGAGTCTTATTCAAGCATATTTTCGATTATTCTTTTAACATCTGTTTTTTTATAAGTAATTTATCCCTATTGCTCGTTATTTGCTGTTTAGCTTTCTTTTTTAATAAAATAAATTTATTAAATAGTCAATAAATTTTTATAAGCAAGTTTTATATTTTATTAAAATTAATTTCTTTTGTTTGATAAAATAAATAATTAATTTAATTTAATATCTTTAATTTATAAATAAATTTACTTTTAAATTTAACCTTGAGCTTGAAATTTTATTGTTTTATTTAATTTCTATCAGTCTAAATTTTTGAATCTAATAAAGTTTTGTTAAGTAAATTGATTGATTTAGTTGACTATTGCATAAATTTGCTATTCCTTTATAACTATTAACTAATACTAATATCATTTTTTATATTATTAATTTTTTTATTTATTTAGAACATTTAATTTTATTATTTTTTTTGTTCTTCATTTTACAGTTTTTCAAGTTTATTAACTTTTTAAGATTCATTCATATTCAAATTAATATTATTTGTTGGATTTAAGGCTTGTTATTGCTTTTAGAGTATTTTATTTGACTTTAAACTACCTTGCAGATTATATTTCTTTCTTTGAAATGAATTATTCCTTTAATAAGAACTATAATTCATTGAAAGTCCATAAGAATTTTACTTTTTATAAGAATTAATGGAATTTTGCATTATTTCAGGCATATTTTACACTTTTTAAAATTTTGATTCTTTCATTTCAAAATTCATGTTTTTAGTTGACTCATCGATAGTTCCTTCAAAATAATCAGTTTGTTAGTTGAACTTTTCAGGTTAAATACCAAATCCTTTGTATGAAATTATATCACTTTGCTCACTTTAACCAAAATTTGCACTTTATAATGTATTTTGTTTGTTCATTTGAGATTTTCCCTAAATATAAAATAATTTTTTACAATTTTAAAATTCAACAATTAATTAAATAAATTTTAAAAATTACTTTTCCTTAATAAATTGAGCTTTCTCTTCTTATTGACTTTTTAACTTTATTGGATACCTTTAAAGAATGAAAAGAATACAACGAATATTCTCTTTTCCTATTTTAACTTAGTGACCTCAACCTTCCATGATGCGAATCTTCATCTTAATTTCCAAATTAGCTAATATTTAACAAGTTTTTATTTTAAGAATTAAATGACGCTAGATTGGTAATATTTATTTATTATGATGGCTCTTTTAGCAGTCTTTAGGATTCTCTATTCAATCTACTTGAATCTGACATTTTAACTTCTATATTTTAATTAATAATGCTAAAATCATTTTATTTACTCTTATAACTTTCTAGGCCTTCTTATTAGTCATAATTTTAAGCTATCAATGCATTGTTTTCATCTCTTTACAATTTATCATTAACTAAATGAATTTTTTAACTCAAAATTTCACTTTTATTTTAACTATTAATTTATATTTGTAAATCTTTTTATTCAATACCCTTTTAAGTCTATTAAATTTAATCCTATTTTATAGATTATTAACTTTACTTATTATTATCTTTATCTTTAGCTTAAGAATTATTTTATTAATCTTAAGTTTTTATATTTTTAGAACTAGGCTTATTCGTTATTGCTTATTCATACTTTACTTTCTAGTTTCCTAAGTTTAGTAATATTTAAAGAACTTCAGTCTTTTTATTAGATTTCAATATTTTTTTGAGAGTAGGGTTAGCATAAAGAAGCTTTTATTCTTTATTAATTACAGCTAAACCTTCAGGTATAATTCCCAAAATACTTTTATACAAATTAAGGAGAAAGCCTTGGTGTTAATTAGTTTATTATTGTTAGATTATACTTTTTGTTTGAAGGGAATTATTCACTTGAAAATTAAAAAATGTGATAGAGAATAAATAATAAAATATATTAAAAATCAAATTTATAGTATTAAAATTAAATATTATTTGCTATCTTACAAAGATGTATGTTTACATTAACACAATCCAAGAAAAAGCGATTTTTAGTTGCTATATTTTTTATAAAACTGCTATCAGATAGACCTAAAGGAAAAGAGTAGCATTAATGGCTTAATAATAATTATCTTATATTTTTATTAGAAACTCAAATATTGATACACAAATAGTAGCAAAATTTCCAGCGGAAATAATTAAAATGAGCTATAACTTTAGGCGTCCATTAATCTTTAGCTTACTTAAATTAAATTCTCTATTTTAGTCATTTTTTCCATACTTTTGTAAAAGTTAGTGGAAGATTAAAGAAAATATATTAGAAAGCATAATTATACTACCCAAGACATATTCTTATTAATTTAAAGATAATAATCCAACAAAAAAAACGATGCAAACCATAAGAAAACTATTAATCTTCTTCAAATATTCAGCGCATTTTTATTGCTTAAGATTCTACTAAATATTTTTGTTTTAAAATTAATTGTCTAAAATTTCGCTCTTTGTTAGCATATATATATATATTCTTTCTTCACTGAAATTTCTACTTGTATTTTTATTTATTCAAATATATGTCCTAAAAACAGGTTTATATATTAAATTATAAATAATCATAAAAAAACTCAATATAAACCTGTAATTAATTCAAATGCTCTTTTGCAATCTTAGTTCTACTAATTTTATTTGGACTCTACCCTAAGCGTCCTTCCTTCCCCAGTTTTTTATATTTAAGATTTTTACTAAAATAAATTGTAAATATTAAGACAGTAACAAAAATCTATAATACCATTTATTACTTTTTGCATTTTATACACGAAATTCCTAATACATAACAAGCTTCTAGTAATTATTAATTCTATAAAACTCTTTTTATATCAATCATTCGAATATTAATTATTGTATATTTTTAGTGAAGTATAAAAAAATTTACTGATTTATATAATAAACAAATTTTAATTAAAGATTTAACATTAAATAAAATTATTTTATTTACAAAATACTGTAAAATTAAACAATATATTTAAGTATGGTAATTTTTTAAAATTTGTTATTATAATTATACAATGAATACAAAAGGATTTTATTTAATTTAATTTACAAATCTGAGGATAGTTTTTAAAACAAATGAAAAATTTTAAAAATATGAAACACAATATATACCATAAATATTTTTGATGAAGATATTTTAAATTTGTTAATTGATTTTATAAAATTAAATATAGGAATCAGGAGTATCAAATTAAGAAATGTTGGATATTTTTTAATAACTAACAAATGACTGCTCTAATACAGATTTCAATTGGTAATAATTTGAAGCACTGCTTTTTATGATATCATGCTTGATAATACTTCAAATGCAGGAAAAAATTACTCTTTTTTATATTTTTTATATAATTTTTTAAATAAACACTTAATTCATAAAAAAAATTTTAAACTTAATTAAATTCATTATTTCTATTTTTATCTAAAAAAGGGATTTAAAATCGATTATGTATTATTTAATTCTATGTTAATTTTGTTTTCACTAAATATTATTTTATTTTATTCAATCTAATTAAAATCTAATGATTAAAATGAATCTTAACCTCTTTAAATAATATACTTAAGTTGTTTAATTAATTATTTTTATTTGATTTTATTTTAGCTTTTTATTTATTTTTTCATTTTTTAAGTGGGTTTAATTTAGTTTGAAAATTGAATTTATTTATTTGTTTTACTCTTAGGAGTTAACATGCTTTATTGCTAATATAATCTTTAGAATTAATTCACCAAAATATAAGCATCTTAATGAGGCTAATTTATACTTTTTTAAATCTAGGGATCTATAGGATTAGTAAAAATAGATTCTTTTTACTTGAATGAATTATCAACAATTTTTAATTTCTGTAGTTAAAATATTTATTATTTTTATGGATTTTCGTTTTGCATTATTTTGCTTTTTTTGCTATTAAAGAAAAAGTAATCTACTAAATTAGTAAGTAAAGAATTCTTGACTTGCTTAATAGGAGTTTCTCTTGTAATTTCTGTCTAATTTTAAGCTTAAAACAAAGGAATATTTTGTTGAGCGATTGGCCCTTAAGACTATTCATGAAGAATTTTAAGATTAAATTACATTATTATATAGTTTTTAACATTATAAATCCTAATCAATATTTCTTCATGATCTGAACAAGTAGGGATTCCTTCTAGAATTATAAGTCCACTCTTGCAATCTAATTAAATCCAGTTAGGTAAATATTAATATTTAGAAATAGGTAATCTTTCATACTCTAAGTTAAGCATTTTTTGAAAGAAATTAAATTTACTTTATTTTTTCAATTAAAATGCTTCAACAGAAAATATTTGATGTTAATGAATAAAAATTGACTCACCTTTTGATTTATTAATCACTCTTTTATTTAAGTTGTTATTTAATAATCCTAGAGACTCAAATATAAGGGCTTATTTAAGGAGAACTGGGCTAATACCATGCTACCAAATTTCGTCAAACGGTTAGTCCACGCTATGATATAAATCAAGATTGCTCAAGCAGTTCAAGATACTACTTTCATTTACACTAACATTTGAAAACGGTATTAACATTCCATGACAGTCTAACTCATTTGTTGGCTCAATTTGAACGAAAGCTTTGTACCAATCATTTTCTGTTACATTCATATATTTTTATGAGTATTCCTTTAAGTAAGAGTAAACAATACTCGTTCTTATATCTAATTAAAGAAGATAATCTACCACCTTAGCATTTAAGCAATAATTAAATCTGCTATGATTGTTGTAATATTCTTTTGTAAAATCAGCTATTCTCAAGTAATTTCCTTAGTACTTTATTTTTAAGTCATTCTAAATCATTTTAGAAAATAATTTATCAGCACTTATCTTGATGTTAAATAATTTAATTTGATTATAATATTGTAAATTATGGGTTAAACTTGTTGATGAAAGGAGATTATTTACTATTTGTGGATGAGAGTAGCACAGCTTAAATATTTAATCTTAATCATAAAAATTATTTATTTTAGCCTCTTATATACTCTTCTTTACAAATTAAATTCTTTTTTTTTCATGTTCACTTAGGTTTTCTTTTTCTTTACTTATACTTAAAGTATTTCTTGAAAAAAGCAGAGTTAAATTTTTAAAATATTATTTTTGCACTTTTTAGTTTGTATTTATTTTATTTTTTCTTAATTTCTTCTTCTTTTTTATAGTTTTATTTATGGAAATATATTTAATTTAATTATTATTACTACCTTTAAGCATTTAAGAAATTTAGAGAAGGCAAAGAGAAGCATCATTTTATTTCTTAAAACCTATTTATGTAGAATTTAACTATATTTATGAACTAAAAAAAGCATTACTGCTAGAAAAAGCAGGTCTAAAACTAAAACTCTCTGGATCAATCTATTCAAAAGAAGCAATATCACCTTAATTTCCAAAGTAATTTTTTTGTATTTATATTGTCTTCTTTTTGAATCTATTTTTGCTCTGAAATTCTTTCAAAAAAGCCTACGCTACAATCAGTTCGTTTTCTATTAAAGTAATCTTTTTTCTGAATATCTTATTGATTTGCGCTAACTCTTAGCTGTATAATGTTTTATTTTTAAACATTATATTTATAAAATAACTTTTATACCTATAAATTCCTAAAATAAATGCAACTGGTCCAATATATTTTAGCAATAAATTTAATAAGTAGGTTAAAGAAATATTATAAATTTTTATGTAAAAGTCTGATGATAATTAGTTATAACCATTTGAAACAACTAATCTAAGGCGTATTATTTCAAAGAGATTAGATGCTTATGGAGTACCTGTCATTCTCAGATTTTATTCATCAAACTTCAAAAAATATTCTGGGAGAATAGATGAATAATTATTATTTTAATATATTAATAATGAGTAAGAAAGAGGGATTCCATCAGGATCTATGAAGGTATTGTGATCAAATTAAATAAAAAATGTGGATTCTATAGCAAATGTGCTATCACTAGATATTTTTTCAATTTAAGACTGTAATTCTTTTAACTATTTAATATTTTATTTTTATTTAAGAAAACTTAAATCGCTCACATTAAATTTACCATTAATATTAGAATTTATACCATCTTAAATAAGTAAATTAACTTAATACTGATTATTAATATTATCATTATTTTAGCAATCAATTATATGATATAGAATATTGCCTCTTAAAATATTATTAATACTCTCTACAGATGATTAAATATTCAAAGTGGTATTTTAGTCATCACGATAAGAAATAACATTCGGATACTCTTTTTATACAAAAATTAAAGATGAAGCAGCGCTGAATGAAAACTAAATGCTCACATAGGTAGATATTGAATGGACTTGGAAGGAATTATTTTTTTAATCTAAAATATAATTTAGAGAGCTCTAAACTTTAAATTAAATAGGACTATAATCTATAGTATTTTATAGAATATTTCTTGCCATTCTTAATACTTGAATTTACTAATTAGGGTCAGTTAAATCATTTCCGAAATCATTAAAATTAAGTGTGACTTCTGGATTATACAAATCCGTTACTAAATCTTAGCTATTAATGAAACCACATGTTTTTAAATACTAGTAAATTTTACAACTAAGGCTAGGAGATACAACAAAAGATGTTGAATTTAAAATAAAAGAGGAATTATTCAAATAAAACTGGGTTTGGACCAGCAGAGTAATAATAGAATTACTTGAAAAACTAACAGCTTCTTTAGGGATAATTATTTCTAAATAAAGTTTGTTTATTTAATTAATCCAACTAGGTATAGCTTGCTTTTGTTCGTTTTAATATATAAATATATTATTTATTAATTAATTTGGTTATTGGTATAGTGGGATTAATCTAAGTTCATATGTCTATCCAACCAGCAAGAAATCTTCTTAGCTTAAAACTACCCTTCCTTTAGAATTTTAGTCAAACTATTTAATTGAGAACTCATGATGAATAAGAATGTCACTGTCAAGAGGAAAATATCTGATACCTTATGAATTCAATATAAGTAAGTATTACATGTTGGGGTCGACGCAAGTAGATTAGGAATTTTATTAACCTATCTAATATGAAGATATTAGAATTGGATTGCTTTTATCTTTTAAATTAACGAGAGATAGCATTCCTGCATCCATAGTTGATATTATCCCAAAATTTTCATCACTCAATAAAGTAATATCATTAACCCATCCTTATAATTTAAGATTACTTAGTATTACAACTTTAGGAAGAGCTGAAGTATCAAATATAAGTAATCCATTAAATCCGTCTAAGCAATACATCATATCATATAACTTAGAAGCTATGACAGTTTCTGCAGCTTTGGTTTTTAAAACTTAAATAATAAATGGATTTTATTTATCCTTAGCATTTATAATCCATATCCCTATGTTTCTAGCAGTAGCAAATATATAATTTGTATCTCTAGTAAATTCTGCTCCATAACAATTACTATACATGTCTTAGATAGTTAAAAGAGAAAGCACTTCAAACTTTTCAATGTCTACAATCATCACTCCAACTGAATAAGCTATTACCATATATCTATTATCTTAGCTTATTTTTAAGGATTCAGCAAACTAAACATTATTGTATTGTAAAGACTATATGTATTGCAAAGGGGCAGATGAATTAGTCGAACTTGGAATTTAATATTTCAAAATAATGTTTGATTCATCAGTTATAGGAATGTATAAAAAATCTTCATTTTTATCAATACATACTGTTTCAATATAAGGTGTAGAAGTGATAATGTCTTTTGCGTATGGAAGGGTGTCTATCTGTTATAAATAAATATCTCCTTTTAATTGGTTGTTTTTAATAATTTAAAATCTCTAAATCATATCTATATCAAAAGCAGCAAACAAAGCATTTGACTTTTGTAATATTTAGCATCTCCATTTGTAAAGCGGAGGTCCATCAAACAAACTTTTTGACTTATGAGAATTATACATATTTGGTGTATTATTTGTGAAAGATAACTTAGTTTATTGGTATTGATATAAACCATTAGAATTAGAGTAATAAAGAGCTTATCCTTTATTAGAAATAAGTAAATAATAAGCTTGGCCTTAAGCAAAGAGCTAATAATACCAAATAGGATTTGAAATGTTTGAAATGTCATAAATTAAAATACCCTAAGATCTTACACCTAAGTAAAGATATTTTTGATCACTTGAAATTGCCATACAATAAGTAGTTGGACTTAAATTGACACTTCCTAATCCAAATTGAGTAGGTTTAATATTTTTAATAGTCTGTGTATTATTTTAATATAAAGGAGATAAATCTGCAAAATAGAGACCTTACCATGGATCGATGTAGTAGATAAAATTTTTGAGAATGATGAGCTAGACAATCCAATAGTCACATTAAATACTAGTTAAATAGGCTAGATTGGAAATTTCTACAGTATCATCAATATTGAAATTCTTTTCTATTTAAAATATAGCTATGTCTTTTAATGATAAACTAGAAAACATAAATCTCTCATCTTGAGTTACTTATGCAGATAAAAAATTGAATTCATCGAATAAAAGCTTATTTTTTTAAGATATATTCCCTTTTCCAAGATATTAAAAGATTATCACTATCCCATCTTAACTTAAAAAAAGAATATAATTTGTGATAGAAAGGTATACCATGCTAATCATTTTAAGATCTAAACTTAAGGTCTACCTTTCAACAAGAAATTAATCTTTATTTATGTCTTACTGAATTTAATAGACTGATGCATAGGTGATCATTGCTGCTAATAAATACTATTAATTATCAAATATCATAATTGACTGAACTTATTCAGTAGTTCTTATAATTTTCATCTTATTTTTACTCTCATCAAAAAGCGCTATATAATTTTCTTGAGTGATAAATAAGATTAATTATGAATCTTCTACTATAAGCATTTGAGTTGGTACAACAGTTTAATTTTGATTAATAGTTATTACTTGTTTAGGTAGAGCTTAAAATATAGTTTATTAAGATTAAATTAACTCCTATGCGTTTACAAAGAATATAATATTGCATAAGATAGCAGTTATTTAAAAATAAGACATGTTTTTTTTAATATTTGATTAAATATAATTGAAAGTACTTTATGGATATGAGTGAGTTATTTAATGTTTTTTTAGCTAATTTTTGTTTCAAACTGTTATTCTAAATATTATTTATTTCTTGAATTATATTTTTTCTATATTGATTTATCTTCAATTCATCGTAATTATTAAATTGAAAATAACTAACAATAATTTAAGATACATTTACTCAATAACTTGCTATAACATAAATGTTATTCAATAATTCATTGCCATCGAAAATTTTATTTTTATATGAAAAGTATATGATACATATCTTAAATAACAAATATCATAAAATTAGCTTTAAAAAATCCAAACTGATATAAATAAATTCATAAACGAATCATATATTTATTTTAATTTTTAAATGAAATTTTATCAAGTTAAGTTCCTGCTTGAGCATTCATTTTGTGCACAAAATTTTTTTTAATTGTTTTGAATGCACATACTGTGACATTTTGATCTTTAATGAATGAGTAGGACTATTTTTTCTTATATTTTTTTAATACTTGCAGAGTATGAGAAAAGTTTTTAAAACTAATGATATTTATATAACACGAAACACAATATATGTCATAAATATCTTCGACTGATATTTTTCAAGTTTGTTAGTTGATTTAATAAAATCAAATATACATTTTAGGAGTATAAAATTAAAAATTGTTTCTGATTTTCAAATACAGTAACTCTAAAACACATTTCAATTCATACTATAAAAATAATTTGAAATATCACAATGCATAATATACAATGATATTTAAAATGCAGGTATAATTATTTACAAAATTTTGTATAATATATTTTTCAAGATATGTTTAACAAATAAATCAAAAAAAATTTCAGCCAAAATAATTTCATTATTATTATTTTAATCCAAATAAAGGATTTGCAAACTATTATGTTTTATTTAATTCTAGGCTAATTTTATTTTCACTAAACATGTTATTTTATTCAATCAAATTAATGTCTAATGATTCAAATGAATCTTAATCTGTTTAAATTTTATACTTCGGTTGTCTAATTAATTATTTTGATTTTATTTTTTATTTTTTAGTTTTTTTATAAGATTTAACTTAGTTTTTCAAATGAATTTATTTATTTATTTTAGTCCTTGGATTTAATGTTTATTACTATTAATATAATTTTTTGAATTCATTTACTTCAAGACAAGCATCTTAATGAGGTTAATTTTTTTAAATATAGGGATCTATAGGATTATTAAAAATTGATTCTTTTTACTTGAATGAAGTTCCAAAAATTATTTATTTTGATAGTTAAAATTCTTATTATTTTTATGGATTTGTGTTTAACATAATTTTGCTTTTTTTACTATTACAGAAAATACAATCTACTTAATTATTAACTATGGAAAACTTATCTTGTATAATAGGAGTTTCTTTTGTAATTTCTGTTCTATTTTAAGCTTAAAATAATGGTATATTTTATCCTATCTTCAGTTCTTAAGGCTGCTCGCTAAGGATTTTAAGCTTAAATTACCTGATTATATAGTTTTTAAGATTATAAATCCTAATCAAGATTTCTTCATGATCTGAAGAAGTAGGGATTCCTTCTAGAATTATAATCCCACTCTTGCAATCAAGTTAAATCCAGTTAGGTAAATATTAGTATTTAGAAATAGGTAATTTTTCATAGTTTAAGTTTAACATTTTTTAAAAGAAATTTAATTTATTCTATTTCTTCAATTAAAATGCTTCAACAGATAATATTTGATGTTGAAGAATGAAAATTGACTCACCTTTTGACTTATTAATGATACTGTTATTTGAATTGTTATTTAATAATCCAAGAGACTCAAATATAAGGGCTTATTTAAGGAGAACTGGGCTAACACCATGCTACCAAATTTCGCCAAACGGTTAGTCCACATTGTTATATAAATCAAGATTGCTCAAGCAATTCAAGATACTACTTTCATTTACACTAACATTTGGAAAAGGTATTACTGTTCCAGTACAATCTATCTCATCTGATGATTCAATTTGAACGAAAGCTTTGTACCAATCATTTTCTGTTACATTCTTTTATTTTTTTGAGTATTCCTTTAAGTAAGAGTAAACAATATTTGTTCTTATGTCTAGTTAAAGAAGATAATCTACCACCTAAGCATTTAAACAATAATTAAATCTGCTATGATTATTGTAGTATTCTATCGTATAATCAGCTATTCTCAAGTAATTTCCTTTATACTTTATTTTTAAGTCATTCTAAATCATATTAGAAAATAATTTATCAGCACTTATCTTGATGTTAAATAATTTAATTTGATTATAATATTGTAAATTATCGGTTAAGCTTGTTGATGAAAGGAGATTATTAACTATTTGAGGGTGAGAGTAGCACAGATTAAATATTTAATCTTAATCACAAAAATTATTTATTTTAGCCTTCTATAGACTATTCTTTACAGTTTAAATTCTTTTTTTTTCATGTTCACTTAGGTTTTTTTTATCTTTATTTGTAAATTAGTTTTTTATTGAAAAAAGTAGAGTTAAATTTTTAAAATATTGTTTTTGCACTTTTTAGTTTGTATTTATTTTATTTTTTCTTAATTCTTTCTTCTTTTTATTTGTTTTATTTTTGGAAATATTTTTAAATAAGTTATTGTTTTTTCCTTTTAATTTTTATGAAATTTAGAAAATCAATGAAGAATTATTTTTTTTTTACTAAAAATCTTTTTATGTAGAATTTAATTCTATAAATGAATTAAATAACTAATTGTTACTAAAAAAAGAAGGTCTAAATTTAGAATTCACTGTATTAATCTATTCTAACGAACCAATATCGCATTAATTTCCAAAGAAATCTTTTTGTATTTTAATTTTCTTCTTTTTGAATCTATTTTTGCTCTAAAATTCTTTCAAAAACGCTTATGCCACAACCAGCTCATTTTCAATTAAAGTAATCTTTTTTCTGTATAACTTATTAATATATGCTAACTCTTAGCTGTATAATGTTTTATTTTTAAATTTTATATTGATAAAATAACTTTTATACTTATAAATTCCTAAAATAAATGCAACTGGTCCAATATATTTTAGCAATAAATTTAATAAGTAGGTGAAAGAAATATTATAAATTTTGATGTAAAAGTCTGATGATAATTAGTTGTAACCATTTGAAACAACTAATCTAAGGCGTATTATTTCAAAGAGATTAGATTCTGATGGAGTACCTGTCATTCTCAGATTTTATTCATCAAACTTAAGAAAATATTCAGGGTGAATTGATGAATAATTATTATTTATATATATTAATAATGAGTAAGAAAGAGGGATTCCATCAGGATCTATGAAGGTATTGCGATCAAATTAAATAATAAATGTGGATTCTATAGCAAATGTGCTATCACTATATATTTTTTCAATTTAAGATTGTAATTCTTTTAACTATTTAATATTTTATTTTTATTTAAGAAAACTTAAATCGCTCACATTAAATTTACCATTAATATTAGAATTTATACCATCTTAAATAAGTAAATTAACTTAATACTGATTATTAATATTATTATTATTATTATTTTAGCTTTGAATTATGTGATATAAAATAATGCCTCTTAAAATATTGTTAATACTCTCTACAGATGATTAAATATTCAAAGTGGTATTTTAATCATCACGATAAGAAATTACATTCGGATATTCTTTTTAAACAAAAATTAAAGAAGAAGTAGGGCTGAATGAAAATTAAATGCTTAATTAGTTAGAAAATGAATGGACTTAGAAGGAATTCTTTTTTTAATCTAAAATATAATTTAGAGAGCTCTAAACTTTAAATTAAATAGGACTATAATCTATACTATTTTATAGAATATTTCTTGCCATTTTTAGTACTTGAATTTACTAATTAGGGTCAGTTAAATCATTTCCGAAATCATTAAAATTAAGTGTGACTTCTGGATTATACAAATCCGTTACTAAATCTTAACTATTAATGAAACCACAAGTTTTTAAATACTAGTAAATCTTACTACTAAGACTAGGAGATACTACAAAAGATGTTAAATTTTAAATAAAAGAAGAATTATTCAAAGAAAACTGGGTTTGGACAAGCAAAGTAATAATAGAATTATTTGAAATACTAACAGCTTCTTTTGGGATAGTCATTTCTAAATAAAGTTTGTTTATTTAATTAATCCAACTAGGTATAGCTTGCTTTTGTTCGTTTTAATATATAAATATATTATTTATTAATTAATTTGGTTATTGGTATAGTGGGATTAATCTAAGTTCATATGTCTATCCAACCAGCAAGAAATCTTCTTAGCTTAAAACTACCCTTCCTTTAGAATTTTAGTCAAACTATTTAATTGAGAACTCATGATGAATAAGAACATCGCTGTCAAGAGGAAAATATCTGATACTTTATGAATTCAATATAATTAAGTATTACATGCTGGGGTCGACGCAAGTAGATTAGGAATTTTATTAACCTATCTAATATGAAGATATTAGAATTGGATTGCTTTTATCTTTTAAATTAACGAGAGATAGCATTCCTGCATCCATAGTTGATATTATCCCAAAATTTTCATCACTCAATAAAGTAATATGATTAACCCAGCCTTATAATTTAAGATTACTTAGTATTACAACGTTAGGAAGAGCTGAAGTATCAAATATAAGTAATCCATTAAATCCATCTAAGCAATACATTATATCATATAAGTTAGAAGTTTTTACAGTTTCTGCGGCTTTTGTATTTAGTGCTTAAATAACAAATGGATTTTATTTATCCTTAGCATTTATAATCCATACCCCTATGTTTCTAGCAGTAGCAAATATATAATTTGTATCTCTAGTAAATTCTGCTCCATAGCAATTAATTTACATATCTTAAATACTTAAAAGAGAGAGCACTTCAAACTTTTCAATATCTACGATCATCACTCCTACTGAATAAGCTACTACCATATATCTATTATCTTAGCTTAATTTTAAGGATTCAGCATACTAAACATTACTGTATTGTAAAGACTGTTTGTATTACAAAGGGGCAGATGAATTAATAGAACTTGGAATTTAATATTTCAAAATAATGTTAGTTTAATCAGTTACAGGAATGTACAAATAATCTTCATTTTTATCAATGCATACATTTTCAATATAAGGTGTAGAAGTTGTCGCGTCTTTTGCGTATGGAAGGATGTCTATCTATTATAAATTAATATCTCCTTTTAGTTGGTTATTTTTAATAATTTAGAATCTCTAAATATAGTCTACATCAAAAGAAACAAATAAAGTATTTGACTTTTTTAATATTTAGCATCTCCATTTGTAAAATGGAGGTCCTTCAAACAAATTTTTTGACTTATGAGAATTATACATATTGGGTGTTTTATTTGTGAAAGATAACTCAGTTTATTAGTATTGATACAAACCATTAGAATTAGAGTAATAAAGAGCTTATCCTTTATTAGAAATAAGTAAATAATAAGCTTGACCTTAAGCAAAGAGCTAATAATACCAAATAGGATTTGAAATGTTTGAAATGTCATAAATTAAAATACCTTAAGATCTTACACCTAAGTAAAGATATTTTTAATCACTCGAAATAACCATACAATAAGTAGTTGGGCTTAAGTTGGTACTTCCTAATCCGAATTTAGTAGGTTTAATATTTTTAACAGACTGTGGATTCTAAAAAAAAGGTAATAAATCTGCAAAATAGAGACCTTACCATGAATCAATGTAATATATAAAATTGTTGAGAAAAATGAGCTAAACAATCCAATAGTCACTATAAATACTAATTAAATAGGTTAGATTTGAAATTTCTACAATGCCATCAGTTTTGACATTCTTTTCTATTTAAAATATAACTATATCTTTTAGTGATAAGCTACAAAATATAAATCTCTCATCTTGAGTTACTTATGCATATAAAAAACTAAATCTATCATATTAGAATTTATTTTTTTTATATATATTACCATTTCCTATATACTAATATATTGTTACTACTCCATTTTAGCTTAAAATAAAGATATAATTTGCAATAGGAAGGTATAGCATGCAAATTACTTTAAGATCTAAACTTAATGTCTACCTTTCAGCAAGAAAGTAATCATTATTTATATCTAACTGAATTTGATAAATTGATGTATATGTGATCATTGCTGCTAATAAATATTACTAATTATCAAATATCAAGATTGACTAAACTTATTCAGAAGTGTTAATGACTTTCATCTTATCATTCTTCTCATCAAAAAGCCCAATATAGTTTTCTTTACTGATAAATATAATTAGTTGTGAATCTTCTATTATAAGCATTTGAGTTGGTACTGCAGGCTAATTTTCATTAATATTTATCACTTGTTTAGGTAACGCTTAAAATATACTTTATTATTAAGATTAAAATAACCCCTATGTACTTACAAAAAATATGATATTGCTTAGGATTGCAGCTATTTAAAAATAAGACATATTTGTTTTATATTTGATTAAATAGCTTTGAAAGAACTTTATTTATGTATACGAATTCTATTTAGTGCTTTTTTGGCTAATTATTGTTTCTAACTATTATTTTAATTATATTAATTAAAAATATAATAAGAAACTTTGATAATATATAAAGGAAGATATGCGATGCCTACAGTATTGAAAAGAGTTTTTTATTTTAATTTTTTGTATGAAGGTATTAAAAAATCAATTAAAAAAATTCTATTTACTATTTAGTGTTTGACTTATTAATTAATAATATATTTCACCCATAATAAATAAACGCAAAATTTAAGGTAAATTCATAGAACCAATAAATAAAGTTAACTTTCTTTTTGATACAACTACTTTAAGAAATATGCAAATTATCAAAAGTTAAATATTAAAATTTTTCAACAGTTAATAAGTGAAATTTAATATACAAAATTATTTTATACAAAACTACAAAAATATCAAATTTTTAATAAAATCCTCTTCCTTCTATATTAACTATTCAACTATTTTTGAGTTAACTAAAGTGCTATTTAATTTATTTTAATTTGCTATAATATTATTTTATTTAAATTAGTATATTTCTAGTGATAATGCAGTCTATTTGTACTTTATGATTTGGGAGGTCTATTAAGATATTAATTTTGATTTTAGTTAGTTTTTTAGGTGTATTTAATTATTTTTAGATTAAAGCTAATTTAGATTTTTAAATTCATTACTCTTCTATTAAGTAAAGCTACTAACTGTATTTTAAGGGGAAAAAAGTTGATAAGGTTAGAATAACTGGATAGGTATTTTTAAGTTTTTAAATTAATTAAAAAATATTGAAGAGTCACTAAGAAATTTATTCATTTATAGTTAAATAACTAGGATCTATTTGCTTATTTAATGGAGAATGGTTTTAGCTTAATCCTTGATTTTATTTTATTTTTTATGAATTATTAATCCTTATTTGTATTTTTTAGTTTATTGTACATTTATTCTTATTGGCATTTTTTTCAAACATAGAATAATTTGTTATTTTAAAAGGTGATTCATTAATAATATTTGTTGAATTTAATGTAAAATACGATGATAATTTCTATTAAATTTAGAATTCTTCAGATTGCTCATCTATAATTTTTAGAATATGTTACATCATAATATAGTATTTCAGAATGTAAACTCTTATCATTATTTCTTCTTAATCTGAATAAGAAGAAATTATTTCCAAAATAATTATTCCATTTTTACAATAAAATTCAATCGAGCTAGGTAGTGATTAATATTTAGATATAGGAAGTATTTAGTATCCAAAGTTTAGTATATTTCTAAAAAATTAAACATATTTCTCGAATTTAAAAGATTCAATAGAAAATACTAGATAATATTAAACAAAAATTCACTTATATTTTGATTTACTAAATCTGCATTTTTTTTAATTTATTGCTAATCCAGGAATTAAAATATGATGGATTTATGATTTTTAAATACTGACTATCTTTCAAAATAATAAAAATTTAATAAATACTTATAAAAATAAATGTAAAAATTTGTATGGCAACTTACTCTAGAAAATTTTTTAAAACTAATGAAGAATTAATATAATACGAAACACACTATATGCCATAAATATTTTCGATGAATATTTTTTAAATTTGTTAGTTGATTTAATAAAATCAAATATAAATCTTAGGAGTATAAAATTAAAAATTGTTGCTGATTTTCTAAAAAGTAGCTCTAAAACACATTTTAATTCATACTATAAACATAATTTGAAATATTACCAAGCATAATATCATAAACAGTGATATATAAAATGCAGGAATTATTATTTACAGAATTTTGTATAATATATTTTTCAAGATATATTAAAAAAATAAATCAAAAAAAAATTTCAGCTAAAATAATTTCATTATTAATTTCTTAATCTAAATAAAGGATTTGCAATCGATTATGTTTTATTTAATTCAATGCTAATTTTATTTTCACTAAACAATATGTTATTTTATTCAATCAAATTAATGTCTAATGATTCAAATGAATCTTAATCTCTTTAAATTTTATTCTTCGGTTGTCTAATTAATTATTTTGATTTTATTTTTTATTTTTTATTATTTTAAAAAGATTTAACTTAGTTTGTCAAATGAATTTATTTATTTATTTTAGTCCTTGGATTTAATGTTTATTATTATTAATATAATTTTTTGAATTAATTTACTTAAAGAAAAGCATCTTAATGGGGCTAATTTTTTATTTTTTAAATTTAGGGATCTATAGGATTAGTAAAAATTGATTCTTTATACTTGAATGTGGTTCCAAAAATTATTTATTTCGATAGTTAAAATTCTTATTATTATTATGGATTTTTATTTAACATAATTTTGCTTTTTTTACTATTACAGAAAATACAATCTACTTAATTATTAGGCATGGAAAACTTACCTTGTATAATAGGAGTTTCTTTTGTAATTTCTGTCTTATTTTAAGTTTAAAATAATGGAATATTTTATCCTATCTTCAGTTCTTAAGGCTGCTCGCTAAGGATTTTAAGGTTAAATTACCTGATTATATAGTTTTTAAGATTATAAATTCTAATCAAGATTTCTTCATGATCTGAAGAAGTAGGGATTCCTTCTAGAATTATAATCCCACTCTTGCAATCAAGTTAAATCCAGTTAGGTAAATATTAGTATTTAGAAATAGGTATTCTTTCATAGTTTAAGTTTAGCATTTTTTAAAAGAAATTTAATTTATTCTATTTCTTCAATTAAAATGCTTCAACAGATAATATTTGATGTTGAAGAATGAAAATTGACTCACCTTTTGACTTATTAATGATGCTGTTATTTGAATTGTTATTTAATAATCCAAGAGACTCAAATATAAGGGCTTATTTAAGGAGAACTGGGCTTATACCATGCAACCAAATTTCGTCAAACGGTTAGTCCACACTAATATATAAATCAAGATTGCTCAAGCAGTTCAAGATACTACTTTCATTTACACTAACATTTGAAAAAGGTATTAAAGTTCCAGTACAATCTATTTCATCTGATGATTCAATTTGAACGAAAGCTTTGTACCAATCATTTTCTGTTACATTCTTTTATTTTTTTGAGTATTCCTTTAAGTAAGAGTAAACAATATTTGTTCTTATGTCTAGTTAAAGAAGATAATCTACCACCTAAGCATTTAAACAATAATTAAATCTGCTATGATTATTGTAGTATTCTATCGTATAATCAGCTATTCTCAAGTAATTTCTTTCATACATTATTTTTAAGTCATTCTAAATCATATTAGAAAATAATTTATCAGCACTTATCTTGATGTTAAATAATTTAATTTGATTATAATATTGTAAATTATCGGTTAAGCTTGTTGATGAAAGGAGATTATTAACTATTTGAGGGTGAGAGTAGCACAGATTAAATATTTAATCTTAATCATAAAAATTATTTATTTTAGCCTTCTATAGACTATTCTTTACAGTTTAAATTCTTTTTTTTTCATGTTCACTTAGGTTTTTTTTATCTTTATTTGTAAATTAGTTTTTTATTGAATAAAGTAGAGTTAAATTTTTAAAATATTGCTTTTGCAATTTTTAGTTTGTATTAATTTTATTTTTTCTTAATTCCTTCTTCTTTTTTATATTTTTATTTATGGAAATATGTTTAAATAAGTTATTGTTTTTTCCTTTTAATTTTTATGAAAATTAAAAAATGAGTGAAGAATTATTATTTTTTTACTAAATACCTTTTTATGTAGAATTTAATTCTATTTATGAATTAAATAACTAACTGTTACTAAAAAAAGAAGGCCTAAATTTAGAATTCTCTGGATCAATCTATTCTAACGAAATAATATTGCATTAATTTCCAAAGAAATCTTTTTGTATTTAAATTGTCTGCTTTTTGAATATATTTTTGCTCTAAAATTCTTTCAAAAACGCCTATGCCACAACCAGCTCATTTTCAATTAAAGTAATCTTTTTTCTGTATAACTTATTAATATATGCTAACTCTTAGCAGTATAATGTTTTATTTTTAAATTTTATATTGATAAAATAACTTTTATACCTATAAATTCCTAAAATAAATGCAACTGGTCCAATATATTTTAGCAATAAATTTAATAAGTAGGTGAAAGAAATATTATAAATTTTGATGTAAAAGTCTGATGATAATTAGTTGTAACCATTTGAAACAACTAATCTAAGGTGTATTATTTCGAAGAGATTAGATGCTTATGGAGTACCTGTCATTCTCAGATTTTATTCATCAAACTTCAAAAAATATTCAGAATGAATAGATGAATAATTATTATTTATATATATTAATAATGAGTAAGAAAGAGGGATTCCATCAGGATCTATGAAGGTATTGCGATCAAATTAAATAATAAATGTGGATTCTATAGCAAATGTGCTATCATTAGATATTTTTTCAATTTAAGATTGTAATTCTTTTAATTATTTAATATTTTATTTTTATTTAAGAAAACTTAAATCGCTCACATTAAATTTACCATTAATATTAGAATTTATACCATCTTAAATAAGTAAATTAACTTAATACTGATTATTAATATTATCATTATTTTAACTTTGAATTATATGATATAAAATAATGCCTCTTAAAATATTGTTAATACTCTCAACAGATGATGATTAAATATTCAAAGTGGTATTTTAATCATCACGATAAGAAATAACATTCGGATACTCTTTTTAAACAAAAATTAAAGATGAAGCAGCGCTGAATGAAAATTAAATGCTCAATTAGTTAGAAAATGAATGGACTTAGAAGGAATTCTTTTTTTAATCTAAAATATAATTTAGAGAGCTCTAAACTTTAAATTAAATAGGACTATAATCTATACTATTTTATAGAATATTTCTTGCCATTTTTAGTACTTGAATTTACTAATTAGGGTCAGTTAAATCATTTCCGAAATCATTAAAATTAAGTGTGACTTCTGGATTATACAAATCCGTTACTAAATCTTAGCTATTAATGAAACCGCAAGTTTTTAAATACTAGTAAATCTTACTACTAAGACTAGGAGATACTACAAAAGATGTTAAATTTTAAATAAAAGAAGAATTATTCAAAGAAAACTGGGTTTGGACAAGCAAAGTAATAATAGAATGATTTGAAATACTAACAGCTTCTTTTGGGATAGTCATTTCTAAATAAAGTTTGTTTATTTAATTAATCCAACTAGGTAAAGCTTACTTTTGTTCGTTTTAATATATAAATATATTATTTATTAATTAATTTGGTTATTGGTATAGTGGGATTAATCTAAGTTCATATGTCTATCCAACCAGCAAGAAATCTTCTTAGCTTAAAACTACCCTTCCTTTAGAATTTTAGTCAAACTATTTAATTGAGAACTCATGATGAATAAGAACATCACTGTCAAGAGGAAAATATCTGATACCTTATGAATTCAATATAAGTAAGTATTACATGCTGGGGTCGACGCAAGTAGATTAGGAATTTTATTAACCTATCTAATATGAAGATACTAGAATTGGATTACTTTTATCTTTTAAATTAACGAGAGATAGCATTCCTGCATCCATAGTTGATATTATCCCAAAATTTTCATCACTCAATAAAGTAATATGATTAACCCAGCCTTATAATTTAAGATTACTTAGTATTACAACGTTAGGAAGAGCTGAAGTATCAAATATAAGTAATCCATTAAATCCATCTAAGCAATACATTATATCATATAAGTTAGAAGTTTTTACAGTTTCTGCAGCTTTTGTTTTTAGTGCTTAAATAACAAATGGATTTTATTTATCCTTAGCATTTATAATCCATACCCCTATGTTTCTAGCAGTAGCAAATATATAATTTGTATCTCTAGTAAATTCTGCTCCATAGCAATTAATTTACATATCTTAAATACTTAAAAGAGAGAGCACTTCAAACTTTTCAATATCTACGATCATCACTCCTACTGAATAAGCTACTACCATATATCTATTATCTTAGCTTAATTTTAAGGATTCAGCATACTAAACATTACTGTATTGTAAAGACTGTTTGTATTACAAAGGGGCAGATGAATTAATAGAACTTGGAATTTAATATTTCAAAATAATGTTAGTTTAATCAGTTACAGGAATGTACAAATAATCTTCATTTTTATCAATGCATACATTTTCAATATAAGGTGTAGAAGTTGTCGCGTCTTTTGCGTATGGAAGAATGTCTATCTTTTATAAATTAATATCTCCTTTTAGTTGGTTATTTTTAATAATTTAGAATCTCTAAATATAGTCTACATCAAAAGAAACAAATAAAGCATTTGACTTTTGTAATATTTAGCATCTCCATTTGTAAAATGGAGGTCCTTCAAACAAACTTTTTGACTTATGAGAATTATACATATTTGGTGTTTTATTTGTGAAAGATTACTCAGTTTATTGGTATTGATACAAACCATTAGAATTAGAGTAATAAAGAGCTTATCCTTTATTGGAAATGATTAAACAATAAGCTTGACCTTAAGCAAAGAGCTAATAATACCAAATAGGATTTGAAATGTTTGAAATGTCATAAATTAAAATACCCTACGATCTTACACCTAAGTAAAGATATTTTTAATCACTCGAAATAACCATACAATAAGTAGTTGGGCTTAAATTGATACTTCCTAATCCGAATTTAGTAGGTTTAATATTTTTAACAGACTGGGGATTCTAAAAAAAAGGTAATAAATCTGCAAAATAGAGACCTTACCATGAATCAATGTAATATATAAAATTGTTGAGAAAAATGAGCTAAACAATCCAATAGTCACTATAAATACTAATTAAATAGGTTAGATTTGAAATTTCTACAATGCCATCAGTTTTGACATTCTTTTCTATTTAAAATATAACTATATCTTTTAGTGATAAACTACAAAACATAAATCTCTCATCTTGAGTTACTTATGCATATAAAAAACTCAATTTATCATATTAGAATTTATTTTTTTTTTATATATTACCATTTCCTAAATTCTAATATATCGTTACTACTCCATGTTAGCTTAAAATAAAGATATCATTTGCAATAGGAAGGTATAGCATGCAAATTACTTTAAGATCTAAACTTAATGTCTACCTTTCAGCAAGAAAGTAATCATTATTTTTATCTAACTGAATTTGATAAATTGATGTATATGTGATCATTGCTGCTAATAAATATTACTAATTATCAAATATCAAGATTGACTAAACTTATTCAGAAGTGTTAATGACTTTCATCTTATCTTTCTTCTCATCAAAAAGCCCAATATAGTTTTCTTTACTGATAAATATAATTAGTTGTGAATCTTCTATTATAAGCATTTGAGTTGGTACTGCAGGCTAATTTTCATTAATATTTATCACTTATTTAGGTAACGCTTAAAATATACTTTATTATTAAGATTAAAATAACCCCTATGTACTTACAAAAAATATGATATTGCTTAGGATTGCAGCTATTTAAAAATAAGACATATTTGTTTTATATTTGATTAAATAGATTTGAAAGAACTTTATGTATACGAATTCTATTTAGTGCTTTTTTGGCTAATTATTGTTTCTAACTATTATTGTAAATATATTAATTAAAAATATAATAAGAAACATTGATAATATATAAAGGAAGATATGCGATGCCTACACTATTGAAAAGAGTTTTTGATTTTAATTTTTTGTATGAAGATATTAAAAAATCTATTTAAAAAATTCTATTTACTAAAGAGCGTTTGACTTATTGTTATATAATATATTTCACCCATAACAGATAAACACAAAATGAATCGAACCAATAAATAAAGTTAACTTTTTGACACAAATACTTTAAGAAATATGTAAATTACCAAAGTTAAATATTAAAATTTTTCAACAGTTAATAGGAAAAAGATTTAATTTACAAAATAATTTTATACAAAACTACAAAAATATCAAATTTTTATAAAAATCCTCTTCCTTCTTTATTAACTATTCAGTTATTTTTGAGTTAACTGAAGTGCTATTTAATTTATTTTAATTTGCTATAATATTACTTTATTTTTATTAGTATATTTCTAGTGATAATGCAGTCTATTTGTACTTTATAATTTGGGAGGTCTATTAAGATATTAATTTTGATTTTAGTTAGTTTTTTACGTGTACTTAATTATTTTTAGATGAAGGCTAATTTATATTTTTAAATTAATTACTCTTCTATTAAGTAAAGCCACTAATTGTACTTTACGGGCAAAAAATTTGATAAGATAAGAATAGTTGGATAGGTATTTTTAAGTTTTTAAATTAATTAAAAAATATTGAAGAGTCACTAAGAAATTTATTCATTTATAATTAAAAAACTAGGATCTATTTGCTTATTTAATGGAGAATGGTTTTAGCTTAATCCTCTATATTACTTTATTTTTTATGAATTATTAATCCTTTTTTTATTTTTTAGTTTATTGTACATTTATTATTTTTGGTATTTTTTTCTAACATAGAATAATTTGTTATTTTAAAAGGTGATTCATTAATAATATTTGTTGAATTTAATGTAAAATACGATGATAATTTCTATTAAATTTAGAATTCTTCAGATCGCTCATCTATAATTTTTAGAATATGCTACATCATAATATAGTATTTCAGAATGTAAACTCTTATCATTATTTCTTCTTAATCTGAATGTGAAGAAATTCTTTCCAAAATAATTATTCCATTTTTAAAATAAAATCTAATCGAGTGATTAATATTTAGATGTAGGAAGTATTTCGTATCCAAAGTTTAGTATTTTCTAAAAAATTAAATATAATCCATATTTCTAGAATTTAAAAGATTCAATAGAAAATACTTGATAATATTAAATAAAATTGACTTATATTAGAATTTACTAAATCTGCATTTTTTTAATTTATTGCTAATCCAGGAATTAAAATATGATGGATATCATGATTTTTAATTACTGATTATCTTTCAAAATAATAAAAAATTTAATAAATACTTATAAAAATAAATGTAAAAAATTTAATTGTTAAATTAAGAAAAAAATATTTTGTAATCCAGGTATTAAAATATGATGAAATAGATGGCATTATATTTTAATGCCTGGATTATTTTTAATTTAAAATGAAAAAAAGAAATTAAAATATTTATGAAAAAGTAAGTAAAATCACTATTTAATAAAATTCATAAATTGAATATAAAATCTAAATAAAGAGTATATAAAGTTTTCAAATAATATTTTCAATATTTTTTCTAATTTTTGCGGGTTTTCATTAATATATATTATTGTACTGACAGTAAGCCTTGTAAAAGACAGTACCCTAGGGTACTATATATATATATATTTCATAAATATTTTTGATGATTAGATTTTAAATTTGTTAATTGATTTAATAAAAACAAATATAGGTAGGTCTCAAGAGTATAAAATTAAACATTTTTGCAGATTTTAAAAATTACTAGCAAATATCAGCTCTAATATTTTAATTAATAATCTCAAAATGAAATATCACTAAGATGATATCATATATACTAATTTAAAATGCACAAATACTTATTTATAAAATTTTTTATATATTTATTTCAATGATATATTTAATAAATAAAATAAACTTCAAGCCAAATTAATTTCATTATTAATATTTTAATCTAAAAAAAGGATTTGCAATCGATAATGTATTATTTAATTCTATGTTACTTTTGTTTTCACTAAATGATACTTTATTTGATTCAAACTAATTAATATCTAAAGATTCAAATGAATCTTAATCTCTTTTATTCTTAGGTTGTCTAATTAATTATTTTTATTTTATTTTACTTTAGGATTTTATTTTTTATTTTTTAGTATTTTAAAAAGATTTAACTTAGTTTGTCAATTGAATTTATTTATTTATTTTAGTCCTTGGATTTAATGTGTATTACTATTAATATAATTTTTTAAATTAATTCACTTAAAGATAAGCATCTAAATGAGGCTAATTAATAGATTCTTATTACCTTAATTAATTATCAACCGTTTTTAATTTCTTTAGCTAAAATATTTATTATTTTTATGGGTTTTAGTTTAATATAATTTTGTTTTTTACGCTATTATTGAAAACGCGATATCTTAAATTAGTAATTAAGGGATTCTTACTTTGATTAATACTCATTTATCTTTTGATTTTTGTCTAATTTTAAGTTTAAAATAAAGGAATGTTTTGTTGGATCATCAGTTCTTTAGGCTACTCAGGAATGATCTTAAGGTTAAATTACCTGATTATATAGTTTTTAACATCATAAATTCTAATCAATATTTCTTCATGATCTAAAGAAGTAGGGATTCCTTCTAGACTTATTAGTCCACTTCTACAATCTAACTAAATCCAGTTAGGTAAATATTAGTATTTAGAAATAGGTAATCTTTCGTACTGTAAGTTAAGCATTTTTTGAATGAAATTTAATTTACTCTATTTCTTCAATTAAAACGCTTCAACAGAAAATATTTGATGTTAATGAATAAAAATTGACTCACCTTTCGGCTAATTAATTATGCTTTTATTTTAATTGTTATTTAATAATCCTAGAGACTCAAATATAAGGGCTTATTTTAGGAGAACTGGGCTAATACCATGCTACCAAATTTCGTCAAATGGTTAGTCCATACTGTTATATAATTCAAGATTATATAAACAGTTCAATAAACTACTTTCATTAACACTAACATTTGAAAAAGGTATTATGGTTCCAGTACAATCTAGCTCATTTGTTGGTTCAATTTGAACGAAAGTTTTGTACCAATCATTTTCTGTTACATTCTTCTATTTTTTTGAGTATTCCTATAAGTATGAGTAAACAATGTTCGTTTTTATGTCTATTTAAAGAAGATAATCTACCACCTAAGCATTTAAGCAATAATTAAATCTGCTATTATTTTTTTAATATTCTATTGCATAATCAGCTACTCTCAAGTAACTTCCTTAGTATTTTATTTTTAAGTCATTCTAAATCATATTAGAAAATAATTTATCAGCACTTATCTTGATGTTAAATAATTTAATTTGATTACAATATTGTAAATTATCGGTTAAGCTAGTTGATGAAAGGATATTACTAACTATTTGTGGATGAGAGTAGCACTGATTAAATATTAAATCTTAATCATAAAAATTATTTATTTTAACCTCTAAGAGACTTTTCTTAATAATTTAAATTCTTTTTTTTTCTTGTTCACTTATGCTGTTTTTTTCTTTATTTGTAATAAAGTTATTTCTTGAAAAAAGCAGAGTTAAATTATTAAAATATTGTTTTTGCATTTTTTAGTTTGTATTTATTTTATTTTTTCTTAATTTGTTATTCTTTTTTATAGTTTTATTTATGGAAATATTTTAGATTTTATTATTGTTGCTACTTTTTAGAATTTAAGAAGCTTAAAAAATGCATGAAGAAGTATTATTTTATTGCTTAAAACCTTAACATGTAAAATTTAACTATATTTATGAATTAAATAACTAATTGCTGCTACAAAAAGAAGGTCTAAAATTAGAATTCTCTGGATCAATCTATCTAAATGAAACAATATCGCTTAAATATCCAAACTAATTTTTTTCAATTTATTAATTTTTCTATTTGAAAATATTTTTTCTCTGAAATTCCTTTAAAAACTCCTATGCAACAGTCAGCTCGTTTTCTATTAAAGTAATCTTTTTTCTGTATAACTTATTGATATGTGCAAACTCTTAGCTGTATATTGTTTTATTTTTAAACATTATATTGATAAAATAACTTTTATACCTATAAATTCCTAAAATAAATGCTACTGGTCCAATATATTTTAGGAATAAATTTAAAAAGTAAGTTAAAGAAATATTATAAATTTTGATGTAAAAGTCTGATTATAATTAGTTGTAACCATTTGAAACAACTAATCTAAGGTGTATTATATCAAAGAGATTAGATGCTTATGGACTACCTGATATTCTCAGATTTTGTTCATCAAACTTAAGAAAATATTCAGGGAGAATAGATGAATAATTATTATTTTAAAATACTTGTAGTTAGTATGACAGAGGAATTTCATCAGGATCTATGAAGGTATTGTGATCAAATTAAATAAAAAATGTGGATTCTATAGCAAATGTGTTATCACTAGATATTTTTTCAATTTAAGATTGTAATTCTTTTAATTATTTTATATTTTATTTTTATTTAAGAAAACTTAAGTCGCTCACATTAAATTTAGTATTAATATTAGAATTTATACCATCTTAAATAACTAAATTAACTTAATACTGCTTATTATAATTAATTTAGGATTCAATTATATAATATAAAATATTTTCTCTCAAAATATTGTTAATACTTTCTGCAGATGATTATATATTCAAAGTAGTATTTTAGTCATCACGATAAGAAATTACATTTGGATAATCTTTTTACACAAAAATTAATTTAGAATTAGCACTGAATGAAAGCTAAATGCTCACAAAGGAAGATATTGAATTGACTTGGAAGGAATTATTTTTTTAATCTAAAATATAATTTAGAGAGCTCTAAACTTTAAATTAAATAGGACTATAATCAATACTATTTTATAGAATATTTCTTACCATTTTTAATACTTGAATTTGCTAAGCAGGGTCAGTTATATCATTTCCGAAATCATTAAAATTAAGTGTGATTTCTGGATTATACAAATCCGTTACTAGATCCTAGATATTAATGAAACCGCTAATTTTTAAATACTAGTAAATCTTATTACTTAGACTAGGAGATATTACAAAAGATGTTGAATTTTAAATAAATGAAGAATTATTCAAAGAAAACTGGGTCTGGACAATCAAAGTAATAATAGAATTACTTGAAAAACTAACAACTTCTTTTGGTATAGTCATTTCTAAATAAAGTTTACTTATTTAGTTGATCCAGATAGGTATAGCTTGCTATTATTAGTTTTAATATATAAATATATTATTTATTAATTAATTTGGTTATTGGTATAGTGGTATTAATCTCAGTTCATATGTCTATCCAACTTGCAAGAAATCATCTTAGCTTAAAACTACCCTTCCTTTAGAATTTTAGTCAAACTATTTAATTGAGAATTCGTGATGAATAAGAACATCACTGTCGAGAGGAAAATATCTAATACCTTACTAGTTCAAAATATATAAATATTACATGCTGGAGTCAACGCAAGTAGAATAAGAATTTTATTAACCTATCTAATATGAAGATACTAGAATTGGATTGCTTTTATCATTTAAGTTGATAAGAGTTAACATTCCTACATCCATAGTTGATATTATTCCAAAACTTTCATCATTCAATAAAGTAATATCATTAACCCAGCCTTATAATTTAAAATTACTTAGTACTTTAATATTAGGAAGAGCTGAAGTGTCAAATATAAGTAATCCGTTAAATCCATCTAAGCAATACATTATGTCATATAACTTAGAAGCTATGACAGTTTCTGCAGCTTTGGTTTTTAAAACTTATATAATAAATGGATTTTATTTATCTTAAGCATTTATAATCCATACCCCTATATTTCTAGCTGTAGCAAATATATAATTTGTATCTCTAGTAAATTCTGCTCCATAGCAATTAGCTTACATATCTTAGATATTTAAAAGAGAGAGCACTTCAAACTTTTCTATGTCTATGATCAATACTCCTATCGAATAAGCCATTACCATATATTTGCTATCTTAGCTTATTTTTAATGATTCAGCATACTAAACATTATTGTATTGTAGATACTATACATTTTGCAAAGGGGCAGATGAATTAGCAGAATTTGGGATTTAGTATTTCAAGATAATGTTTGTCTAATCAGCAATAGGAACGTACAAGTAATCTTCGTTTTTATCAACACATATTGTTTCAATATAAGGTGTAGAATTGGTTATGTCTTATGCATATGGAAGAGTGTCTATCTAATATAATTAAATATCTCCTTTTACTTGGTTGTTTTTGATAACTTAGAATCGCTAGAGCATATTTACATCAAAAGCAGCATATAAAACATTCGATTTTTTCAATATTTAGCATCTCCATTTGAAAAGCGGAGGTCCATCAAACAAGCTTTTTGACTTATGAGAATTATGCATATTTGGCGTATTTTTTGTGAAAGATAACCTAATTTATTGGTATTGGTACAGACCATTAGAATTAGAGTAATAAAGAGTTTATCCTTTATTGGAAATAAGTAAATAATAAGGCTGGCCTTAAACAAAGATCTAATAATACCAAATAGGATTTGAAATGTTTGATATGTCATAAATTAAAATACCCTAAGATCTTACACCTAAGTAAAGATAATTTTGATCACTCGAAATAGCCATACAATAAGTAGTTGTGCTTAAATTGGTACTTCCTAATCCAAATTTAGTAGGTTTAATATTTTTAGGAGACATTGGATTTTAATATAAAGGCGATAAATCTGCAAAATAGAGACCTTTCCATGGATCAATGTAATAGATAAAATTTTTGAGAAGAATGAGCTAGACAATCCAATACTCACAATATATACTACTTAAATATACTAAATTAGAGATTTCTATAGTACCTTGAATATTGACATTCTTTTCTATTTAAAATATAGCTATGTCATTTGATGATAAATTAGAAAACATAAATCTCTCATCTTGAGTTACTTACGCAGATAAAAAATTGAATTTATCGTATAAAAGTTTATTTTTATAAGATATATTCCCATTTCCAACATACTAATATATCATTACTATTCCATCGTAACTTAAAAGAAGAATATTATTTGAAATAGAAAGGTATAACATATAAATCACTTTAATATCAATACTTAAGGTCTACTATTGAGCAAGAAAATAATCATTATTCTTGTCTTACTGAATTTGATAAACTGATGCGTATGTGACCATTGCTGCTAAAAAGTACTACTAATTATCAATTATCATGATTAACTAAACTTATTCAGAAGTTCCTGTAATTTTCAACTTATTTTTCCTCTCATCAAAAAGCCCTATATAATTTTCTTGAGTGATAAATAAGATTAATTATGAATCATCTACTAAAAGCATTTGAGTTGGTATAACAGGTTAATTTTCATTAATAGTTATTACTTGCTTAGGCGAAGCTTAATATATTGTTTATTATGATTAAAATAACTCCTATGCTCTTATTAATAATATGATACTGCTTAAGATAGTAGCTATTTAAAAATATGACATCTTTAATTTATATTTGATTAAATATAGCTGAAAGAAATTATGGAATATGAATGAACTATTTAATGTAATTTTTTGCTAATCTTTGTTTCAAAATATTTATTAAAGTAAAATATCAATTTCTAAAATATATAAAGAATATTTGATACAATATATATAAAAAAAGTGTTATTCCAACATCCTATTGGCAAGACTTTTCTATTTTAATTTTTTTATGGAGGATAGGATATTAGAAATCAATTTAAAAAAATCTATTTATTGTAGGATGGATAGACTTATTGTTTTATAATATATTTCACCCCTTTTAAGTAATACAGGTTAAAATTAAAGGAAATGCCTCTAACCAAAAGTATGATGCAAATTAGATTAATTATAATTGAAAAAACTCTAAACTTAATTGTTTATGAAAGTTATATATTAAAATATTTTAATAGCTAATTTATGTTTCATTTTTACTTATAAAACGATTTTGTACAAAAAAAGAAACTAAATAAAATTTTTATATATTAACTTTTCAATTACTTTTATATTAGGAAAATGGGTTTGAGAAAATAGAAGTGCTGTGTAATTTTATATTAAATTTATTTTCATTTGCTAAAATATTATTTTACTCTAATTGATCTATTTCTAATGAATATGAAGAGTCTTCATCTTGCTGAACTATAAAATTTGGGAGATCAATTAAAGACATTGATTTTGATTTAAGTTAGTTTTTCATATATTTTTAATTCTTATTAGATTAAGATTGATTTGGATTTTTAATTTAATTGCTCATTTATTATGAAAAACTACTTGCTGTATTTTATCGCTTATATAAGTTTTAAAATTTGCTAAAAATTTCTGAAGAATCTCTAAGAGATTGATCCATTGATAGTTAAATATTAGGATCTATTTGTTTATTGAAAGGAGAATGGTATTAGTTTAATTAATCATCAATATTACCTTATTTTTTATAAATTTTTAATTCTTTTTGTATCTTTTAATTTATTGTACATTTATTCTTATTGGTATTTGGTAATATTTAATCAGCAGTATTTCCAATCGCAGAATAATTTGTTATTTTAACAGGTGATTCATTAATAATATCTGTTTAATTTACTGCAAAATATTATGGAATATTCAATTAAATTTACAATTCTTCAGATTCTTCATCAATAACTTTTAGGATATACTACATCATAATATAGTTTTTCACATTATAAACTCTTATCAAGATTTCTTCTTAATCTGAATGAGAAGGAATTCCTTCCAAAATAATTACTCCATTTTTACAATCAAATTAAATCCAGCTTGGCAGTGATTAATATTTAGATATAGGTAGTCTTTCGTATTCTAAGTTGAGCATTTTTCTAAGAAATTAAATTCGAGTCTATTTCTTGAATTTAAATGCTTCAACAGAAAAGATTTGATGTTGCTAAATAAAAATCGATTCGCCTTTCGATTTACTAATTGTGCGTTTTTTTGAATTTATATTTAATAATCCCAGAGAGTCGAAAATAAGAGCTTGCTTAATAAGTGTAGGACTGATTCCATGTTACCAGATTTCATCAAATAATTAGTCTTTGCTGGTGTATAAATCTAAATGGCTTAAACAGTTCAAAATGCTACTTTCTTTCACAATAACATTAGAAAATGGAATTGGTATTCCATGACAATCTAATTCATTAGTTGGCTCTATTTAAACAAAAGCTTTGTACCAATCATTATCAGTAAAATTCATCTGCTTTTTTGAATACTCTTTTAAGTAAGAATAAACAATATTTGTTCTTGCGTCTAATTAAAGTAGATAATCGATGACTTTTGCATTTAAACAATAATTAAATCTGCTATGCTAGTTACGGTACTCTTTGCTGTATTCAGATATCTTCAAATTATTTCCTTAGAATTTAATTTTTATATCATTCTAAAGCATCTTTAAAAATAATTTATCTGCACTTATTTTTATATCTAAAATTTTATCATCATTCAAATATTAATTATTCAATTTATTATTACTTTATGAAAGGAAATTATTGACTATATATGCATGAGAGTAGCACAATTTAAATATCATATCTTAATCTAAAAAATTCTTTGTTTTAGTCTCTTCCAAATTCTTCTTTATAATCTAAACAATCTTTTCTTCCTGCTCACTCAACTTTTTAGTAGCTTTCTTTACAAATGAGAAATTTTTTTGCTAAGCTGGAGCTATTGAAGTACTTATATCTTAATGAATTTTTTTGTTGTTAAATAGTTAATTTGTATTTCTCTTATTTTTGCTAACACTCAATGTTTTCTATTTAGTTAAATTTGAAGTTTATTTATGTATTTAAAGATTTTCTTGATCTATTTTTTAATCTAGAAATTATGAATTTATATTAAACTGTTTAATCCATATTTGAGTAGTATTTTGGTTGCCCTATGTACTAAAAAATGTATTGGGGTTTGATAGAAATTGTTTCTAAGTTATGTTATCTTAATCAAGCTAAGCAAATGAAACTATATCATTTTAAATTTCAGTATTATTTTTTTCTAGCTTCAACATCATTTTCGATATGTTCTTCCTTTAGAATTTATTAAAAAATAATTCAGTTATGATTAACTCGTTTCCTATCAAAGTTATCTTTTTTCTATAAACTTTGTTAATTTAAGCTGTTTCTTAGCTATAAAATGTTTTATTTTTTAAAATTATGTTTATAAAATAACTTTTATATCTATAAATACCTAAAATAAAAGCAAAAGGTCCAATATATTTGAAAACTTAATTTAAAATGTAGCTTAAAGATACATTATATATTTTTATGTAGAAATCTGAATACATCTAATTATAACCATTAGATACAACTAATCTAAGGTGCAGTTTATCTAAAAGGTTAGATGCTTATGGAGTACCTGTCATTCTCAAATTTTATTCATCAAACTTAACAAAATGTTCTGGAGGAATAATAGAATAATTATTATTTTAATATATATATAATTAGTAACTAAGAGGGATATTATCAGGATCAAAGAAGCTGTTCTGATCAAATTGAATAAAAAATGTAGATTCTATAGCAAATGAACTATCGCTTGATATTTTTTATATTTGAGGCTAAAGTTCCTTCAATTATTAAATCTTTTGCTTTAATTTAAGGCAACTTAAGTCACTGACATTTAATTAAAGGTTTATATCGCTGTTATAACTATCTTAAATAAGTAATTAAACTTTATAATTTTTATTTTCAGAGTTCTAATCGTTATTATTAATGTGATATATTATATTTTATCTCAGAATATTATTTATGCTATCAACAGATGATTACAAATTTAAAGTAGTATTTTGATCATCTCTATATGAAATTACATTAGCATATTCCTTTTACACGAATATTAATGAAGAAGTAGAGTTGAATGAAAATTATATACTCACAAAATTAAAAATAGAATGAATTTGGAAAGTTTTGTTTTTTTAATCTAATATATAATATAAGGAACTCTAAACTTTAAAAAAGATAGGATTGTAATCAATACTATTTTAGATAATATTTCTTACCATTTATAATGCTAAAATCTGTTAGTTAGTGTCAGTTAAATCACTTCCAAAATTATCAAATGTTAGAGTTATTTCTGGGTTATATAAACTTGTCACTAAATCTTAACTATCAAGAAAGCCACAAATTTTTAAATACTGATAAATCCTAGAGCTTAAGTTAGGAGAAATTATGAATGATGTTGAATTATATACAAAAGATGTATTTTTTAAATAAAACTAGGTTTGAACAAGTAAAGTAATAGTTGAATTGTTTGAAATGCTGATGGCTTCTTTTGGAATAGTCATTTCTAAATAAAGTGTGTTTATATAATTTATCCAGATAGGTAAAGCTTACTTTTACTAATTTGAAAATATAAAAATATTATTTATCAACTAATTTGGTTATTAATAGAGTGGGATTAATCTAAGCTCATATGTCTGTCCTACTTAAAGGTAATCATCTTTGTTTAAAACAGTATTAGAATTTTAATTTCTTTATTTAAATGAAAATTCATAATGAATAAGGATATTACTAATTAGAGGGAAGTATCTAATACTCTGCTAATTTAAAATAAAAATATATTAAAATCCAGGATCAACGCAAGTTGTCTAAGAATTTTGTTAACCTATCTGAAACTAAGATATTAAAATAGGATTTCTTTTATCAGTTAAATTTATAAGTGATATCATCCCTAAATCCATAGTAGAAATGATAGCATAATTCTCATCTTTCAGAAAAGTGATATCGTTTGCCCAGCCTTGTAATTTAAGATTTGATAATTTTTTCAATTTTGGTAAAGCAGAAGTGTCAAAAATAAGTAACCCATTAAATCCATCTAAGCAATACATAATATCATATAATTAAGAAGATTTAACAGACTCTCCTGCCTTAGTTTTTAATACTTAAATAATTTATAGATTATACTTATCTTTAGAATCTATAATCCATATTCCAGTATTTCTAGCAGTAGCAAATATATAGTTAGTATCTCTAGTAAAATCGACTCCATGGCAATTTTTTTACATGTCTTTTATTTTTAAAAGTGATACAATTTCAAACTTTTCTAGATCTACTATCATTACTCCTATAGTATAAGCTAACACTAAATATTTATTATCTTAACTGATCTTCATATTTTCAGTAAACTATGGATCTATATACTATAAAGACTAAGTGTATTATAAAGAATTAGATAAGTTAGCAGAGCTAGGAATTTAGTATTTCATAATAATATTGTTCTAGTCTGTTACGGGAATATATAAATTTTCTTCTTTTTTGTCGATACATATATTGTCAATATAAGGAGTACTACTAATTATGTCTTTTGCATATGGAAGCGTGTCAATTATTTGCAAGCTAATATCTCCTTTTACTTAGCTGTTTAAAATAATTTAGAATCGCTAGATCATTTCTACATCAAAAGCGGCATATAAAACATTTGATTTCTATGATATTTAGCATCTCCATTTGTAAAAAGGAGGTCCATCAAACAAACTTTTTGATTTATGAGAGTTATACATATTTGGTATACTATTTGTTAACGAAAGACTAGTAATTTGATATTGATATAAACCATTAGAATTAGAATAATAAAGAATTTCCTCATTTTTAGAAAGAAGTAAATAGTAAGCCTAGCCTTAAACAAAGAGTTGATAATACCATATAGGATTAGTAATATTAGAAATATCAAAAATTAATATACCTTACGATCTTACGCCCAAGTAAAGATATTTTTGATCTCTTGAAATTGTCATACACATAGTTTCTGGACTTAAATTTACATTTCCTAATCCGAATTAAATACTTTAAATATTTTAAATAGCTTACATATCGTTTGAATACAAAGGAGACAGATCAGCAATGTAAAGACCTAACCAAGGGTCTAAATAATAAATAAAGAAGACATCAATTTGAAGAAGCTCAAGTTAAGGAACTTGATAACTAGAATTTAAATCTAATAAAAAAGCAAGATTTGATATTTCTATTGTTTTATCAATATTTGTTTTCGTTTCAATCTAATATATAGATATGTTTTAGGGATCTTTACAAATAAACAAAAACCTTTCATCTTAAGATATTTTTCCAGCTATAAAACTTTAATTATTAAATTAAATCTGATTACTATAAGACACTTTACCATTTTCAATGTAGTTATATAAGATTAGTACTCCTTCAACGCATATAATAATGATATTTTACTATTTTGGCAAGTAAAGCATCCAAACGATTGTAAGATCAATAATGCTGAAGGTCTACTTTAATTAAAGAGAAAAATCACCGCTACTTTCCTGCTGAATTTGGTAAATTGATGCAATTGTAATCATTCCTGATACTAAGTACTTTTAGTTATCTATTAGAAGGATGTATTAAACTTGTTCAGGCTCATTAAAAATTCTAATTTTATTTTTTTATTCGTCAAATAGAGCAATAAAATTATCTTGACAAATAAAAATGATCAATTATTAATCTTCTACTTTTATCATTTAAGATGGGACAAATGGCTAATTATCCTTGTCAGTTATAATTTCTTTAGGTAGTGCTTAAAATATATTCTATTAAATTTAAGTGTTAGTTTGCGCACTTACCTTTATTGTTAAATTGCAAATGATAACTATCACTTAAAAAAAAAATATAATTCCTAAAAGCATAATTAAAAAAATGATGAATATCTCTTAAATTTGTTTTTATAAACAAACTTGCTTTTTGAAAACTAATTTAGCTAATATTTTTCTTTTAAAAAATAAGCTTAACATAAAAATTATATATTTTTTATTGTTTTTAACTCATTTTCATTAATTTATTCAAACATACAAAAGTAATCTAAAGATAAATAAATTTTAAAATTATATAGACCCATCTATTATTATTAATTAAAATAACAGAATCATCTTTTTAATCACAATAATAACATAATATATTACCTGCTATTCCAACAGTTTTAACTATATTCCAAAACCATACACTTCTTTTTTTACATTTCCGTAATTGTTAATTTTTGAGTTTTGTTTATAAATTTGGATTATTAACATAATAAATTATTCTGTTTACTATTAAAACATTTTTAAGAATAATTAGATTAATTATTATTGATTGATAGATTTTAGTTTTTATGTTTCTCATTTTATTAATAATTACTAATTTATCTATTTAGATATCTTGCTTTAGAAGCTTTCATTTGAATAATTTATCACTAACTCAAATAGTTTTTGAACCACTTAAATAATTTTTTTATTTGTCATAGATAATGTTTTCCTATCTATTTGAATAACTTTATTAATAATAAGAGTTACTAATAACTTAAATTGGTTTATAAATAAATTTATTAATTTTAATCATATTATAAGTTGTTTATAATGCTTTACTAAGTTTATTAATAATAAAAATGAATAATTAAAATAAATTTATGAAAGATTTTAGTTTATGATTGATTGTTCGTTCATTCATATTAGTATTAATAATTTTATTAAGGAGGCTAGCTTCTAAATTAAATATCTTTATTAAGCCATTTTACATAACTTTGTTAATTATAGATATTCCTTTCTTATTTATTTAAATCGCTTAATTGATTATAAGAGTAACTATATTATTAATAAAAATTGATTTATTTTCATTTATTTTAAAAGTTAACTATTTAGCATTACTAAATTTGTTAATCTTTTTGTTAGTGAAGTGAATGATCAAAATTAATTTATGAAAGATTTAATAACTTTCCAAATTAGTATTGCTAATCTTATTTAGCAGGCTATTAAATCATCGAATAATAAATATTTTCATATTATGATTAATTAATCTATGATTCTCTCTATTTTTTAAGTCATGTTATTTATAAAAAACCATAATTAATGATGATTAATCAAAATTTATGAATTTCGCCCTACTAATTTTTACATAAATTTTTTCATATTTTAAGAATTATTTTTGAAGCAATTTTGATATATTAAGACTCTTCAATCTAATTAATAAATTTAAAAAAAAAAAATATTATTTTGAATATATTTATTAAATATTTTAAAGAAAATCTATTCATCAAAAGTTAGTCTTAAATAATATTTAATTTAACTAAAAATTTATTTTGAATTTTATTCTAAAGATTTAAAATTGTATTTTATTTATAGTGTAAATCACTTATTAATTCATCAGTATGTTGATTCAAATTTTTCTATTACTTTTAATATAATTAAAATTTCATTTATAATTGGTTAAAATTAAAATTTAAATAATGTAATTTTTAAAGATAATAATCTGTTTAAGAAAATTTTAAAAAGAATTTGACAATTTTTTAATAAAATTGATTTATTTTAGTTAAAAATAAGGAATTATATTTAATAGGCAATATTAATTTTAAGCTAATTATTAAACTAATTTTATATATTTATATAATCATTAAAAATATATAATTATATTTTGATCGTAATTTTTATGCGAATACTTCAACTTATTATCCAAAAATATTTTAATAATTTCAATTATTTTTGGATAGTAAAAGAATTATTTATTTTTTATAATTTCAATCAATATTAGAAACATTATTTTTTTGATTAAATAATACACTTTTATTATGATTTTTCATTTACAATGAATCTGGGACTTATATATTAAGATTATCTTGGCTAGGAACTTAAATGTCATTTTATTTATAATTTTCACATTAAGATTATTGTTAATATTCGGTTTTAAATGATGATTATTTAAGTAAAATCTTTTTGTTAATTATTTTTTTTTTAACTTTATTTAACATTTAGAAAGAACTATTTTTAGGGGAAGCATAAGTTGAAAAAGACTCACATTATTTTAAAATATTAGTATCAAAAGAAGAATTTTATGTGTTTGTAGGTTTGAATACCTAATTTATTAATTTTTCTTTTTATTCTGCTTCCTAATAAGTAAATAAGTTTTAAAGGTTATTTAACTATTTCATTTTTAAATCAGTAGCATAGTCTAAGTTATTTTTATCAAGATGTGTTTTTTAAGAAAAAGATTCCAAACTAGAAATAGGAAAACTAATTCGAGAATTTAACTGATAAGATATTTAAGAGTAATTTTCATCATTAACTTAGCTAGTTGTTTTTTTTTCTATCATTTTATTTTCCGAATTAGAATTTTTTACATTTACAGTGCTATTATTATTAAAATTTTAAAATAATAATTTGATAGAATTTTTTGATCTTTTTTTTTCATCTTATATAGACAGGTTATACTACATAATAATTTGCTTAGATAAATCGTAAACTCTTATCAATATATCATGGACATCTTGATGGGATGGTGTGCCTTCTAGGTAAAGAACACCATTTTTACAGTCAAATGATATCCAAGTAGGCAATGATAAATGCTTTGAAATAGGTATTCTGCTATACATAAGATTGCACAATTTTCTGAACCACGTTAATTTACTATTTTTTATAGCTTAGAAAGCCTCTATTGAAAGAATTTGTTCGTTGTGGATATGCAAAGATTCACCAAAGCATTTCTTGGAAGAAAAATGCTTCTTATCAAACACTAAACCTAATGCATCAGCAATTAAAACTTCTTTAATCAAATAGAAATTAATTTTAAATTTAGAAAGTTGTTATTGTAATTCCTAATCATCTACTTCTCCTTCTATGTCGTTAAATAAAAATTTTTGTTCTACCTATGAGAAATTTTCTATTCTATAGAGCTGAAGTTATTAGAGAATGTTTTTTAAATAAACATATTTGATTTTGGTTTTTGAAAAAGGAATGCACATACCATTATCATCTATTTCATTAGTTGGTATTATTTCAATGTAGTTTTTGTACCAATCATTTGGAGTTCTTTCGCTCAATTTATTGTTAATGGCAGACTTTTTTATAAATTTATAAAGATACTTTGTTTTGCTATCTGTTTAAAGAAGATATCTAGCTATAAATGCTTTTAAGCTATAAACAAATCTGCTATTATTATTTTCAAATTCTTACTTATATTCCAGCACTTTGTGCTTTTATAATTGTAATACTACTTCTAATTCTTTTTTTAACATATAATATATCACTTAATTAATATCAATTTTTCCATTTTCTTTGATACAAAGCTTTTGGATGATGTATCTTGCACTATAAGCAATTTTCTTTTCCTATTCTAGTTTATTTGATTTTCTTAGCTCCTAAATTCTTTTAATAAGAGATTTACTACTTTCGATTTTTAATTGATTATCAAGCTTTTTTTTACCTTCTTTCACTAAACTTTTATTTTAGTGTAAAATTTTGATAGCGTTCTTCATATTCTATTTCATATATTTATTTGATTCAAAACCAAGTATATTTTCGTTTTAATATTTGTTTTCTGTTTCTTAAATTTTAGATTTTCTTTTTTGATTTTAGTAATCTACATTTATTAGATTTAATGATTACTAAGGTTAATGATTTATTAATTGTTAATTTTGAATATATTGACATAATTACTGATCAACTTGAGATTAGATTGAAGACAAAGATCTTTTTTTTTATATTTTGTTTTAATTTTACTCTTTTTAATCAAATTAACTACTTTAGTATTTAAAATTAATTTAATTTTATAAAGAAAATCTCCTGATTTGGCTTTTTCTATTTTCCGTTTAATTTTATGTTTATATCATCAAATTTTATTCTTAATTTTTTAATTTGTGAATTTACTTTTGTCGCTGTTTAGATTTATAATTTTAAAAAAGTAAGTAATATTATTTTTTTCAAAAAATATTTTATTATTTACTATGATTTCTTTGGTCTATTAATTTATTGAATTATTTTAAGATCCTAATCTTTCTTTAATATCATCACTAAAAAATATCAAAAAAATATTTAGATTTATATTAATTATTATTTAAATTTTAAATTTAAAATTTGTAAGATTGTCAAAAAATATATATAAATGTTTTAATCAATTTACCATTCATCTATGATTTTATTTTGAAGATTTTGTTTTCCAAATCTTTAAATTTATGCTTCTTAAATTTATTAATATTCCGATTAAATAACTTTTTAATTATAAGAGTTTTATTTTAAACAACTAATTAATGTTTAATTTCCAATTATTTCTTAATAGAGTTTACTTGTTGGTTGACCAATAATTTTAAGAAATTTTTCGAAAAATAACTGAGTTATGATCAGCTCATCTCCTATTAGAGTTATTTTTTTTCGATAAGTTTGATAAATATAGGCTTTTTCCTATGAGTATAGAGTTTTTTTCTTGTTTATCATATTGTAAAATACATATCTTTTTTAATATACTCCTATTAAAAAAGCAATAGGACCAATAATTTTAAGAAAGATATTGAATACATAACTTAATGGTATTTAGTCAAATTTTAGATAGAATGTGTCCTACGCTTAACAGTATACAGTTCTTGCTACAATCATATAGTTTTACTATTAAAATATCAGACTAGAAGGTGGAGAACCTATTATTCTCATATTTTAAGAATCAAACTGTAAAAAATAATTGCTGGAAACTAACTCATATTCTCCTCTCGAATTCATTAAATAGAATTCATAAACTATGGATAGGTCGTTGATTGTTTAGTCCTCTTGGATACCATTTTGTGCTTAATTTCTTGTATTGAAATCAGGATCTAAAAATATCCTTTAGTCAAAATTAATTGAAAGTTATGTTTCAATAGCGAAACTTGCACCAGGAGATAAAAAATTTACTTAATCCTAAAGTGGCTTTGATAGTTCTATGTCTCTTTTTAGCTATAAAAAATGAGCCTATTCTATATTAATAATAAATTATTTATTATAGTTTATACCATCAGATAACTCAATTTAAATTTATTAATTTCCTATTGTTTAATTATTTTAGATATGATTACTGTTATTGTCTTTAATATATAGATAATAATAGATTTTGTCTTGTAAAATTTAGTTAAGATTTTGAGTAGTACTTTTTAAGCTAATAGTATTTGATTATTAGCCATAGAGAGATATTAAAGAATTTTAATAGTTCATATTTACAAAAATTAAATTTGAGTTGTATTCGAATGACAAAACTAAGGTGATTTATTCATTTAGGCATGATTATATTGTATTAAGGGAATCATTCATATCAAATTTCAAAGAAGACTCAATATTAAATTTGATTGGACTATAATGTATAGATTGTCTTAAGATTTATTACACATTAGATAAGATTAGTATTGTCCTATTATATGAACTAGAATCTGAGATACTTTTTAGTAAATCGAATAATTAAGATACATTATCTGGCAAAATATAATTCTTCTCATCATCATAGCAAAAATCTTAACTAATTATTTTATTCTTTATTAAAAACAACCAAATTGCTTGGCTTTCTAAATCACTAACGCTTAGCTAGCTTGTGCTTACAAGAAAGTCTGACGAACTTAGCTAATAGCAGTTTTTAACTACTAAAGTTAGTATACCTTATTAATAACCTTCTTTTAATAATTCTTTTGACACAAATATTGTTAAATTTTTGAAATCTTGACTAATATTTATCCAGATAGGTAATTTGCCTAATTTATTATCTTTCCAGATAAAAATATCTTATAAAATCTGATTTTCTTTTTTATATATTGGAATAATTTCAAATTCATAATATAATCCTACCTTCAAATAGCTTTTATTAATATTAAAACTGCTAATTTATTCATTAATAAAATTATTCTCTGTTATGAAAAAAATATTTTATTTTTCAGAAATAGAAAGTAGTTAGATATTAATTATTAAATTACTACTTGTTGGATATGAATATATCCCTCCTTTTCCAACAGAAAATAAAATATTTTCATTTTAATCAAAACAACAATAATAAATTTACTCCTACTAGCTATCAAAATTTTAAGAAGATAATAATTAAGGATTTTATTTAATTTCCAAGTCTATCACCATAACTTAATTCTAATCAAGGCTGTTAATAATTCCATAATTTTCATCAAAAGATAGGGTTAAATGTGATAACCAGATATTATTATAGTAATTTCCAACTGTTTTTAATTCAGGAAGATAATTCCCATCAATGATAACTAAACCATTGATTCCATCAATAAAGTAAATATACTCTTGTATTTTTGAGCTGACAATCATCTCTGCTCCTGAAGTTTTGTAGTAATTTGCAACAAATGGTTAACTTTTATTTTGTACATCAATAAAATATAACCCATTATTTTAGTAGATAAGTATTACATATTTGCCATTAGGAGAGAAAACTGCAGATTTACACTGACTAGTGACGTTTATTAGTGTATAGTTTGTAATTATTTAAAAATTATTTGTATCAACTAGTAAGAATCCTGATGATTTTGATAATACGAATTAAGTCTCTTATTTGTTAACATCAATATTTAATAATTCATCTTATTAATCAAATGTAATTAATTATTAAAACTATATGTTTATATTCTCAAGAATTCTTTTTTGTATATATTTTGGTTTAGCTTTTATATTAGAAGAATTTTTATTGTTTGAAGGAAAAATAAGATTATTAAAAATTTATTTTTGTTTATTCAAAAAATGATAAAAGCGGCTGGTTTTATTTTCTTATTGTTGATATAATTGAATTTAAATTTAATCTTATTTTTAAATGAGTTCATTGAGTTTTGTTTTTATTTAAAAGTTACGATTAAATTGAAGATTGTTAATTGATTAATTTTCAGATTTTTTATTTTTTTCTAATTATCTTCCCCACTAATCATTTAACTCTTTTTATTTTTTTTTGTAAGTTAACCTATTGTACGTTTGATTAACAGTAGAGAGGAGTCGTTTACTACTGAAATTAGATTAGATTTTTAATATTAAGGCAAATTTTCTCTCTCCTTTCAATAGCATAATCATTCTCTAGTCTGATGTTATTAAAAAATCAGAAATAAAAGTGTCATTTAAATTCAAAGTATTAAAAAAATAGTTTGTATTAAAAACAGGTAAAAAATTAGTAAATGATAAATAATTATTATTGCTTGTGTTATTATTTTGATTAAAAAAATAGCTAGACTAGTATTCAACTTATTATATTGAACTTTTATTGAATGGCCCATAGATTAAATTTGAAAATTGTTATATTAAGCATTTTCCATTTTATGAAGGATTTCCAATTTAAATCTATTATTTTTTATGAATATTAAATAAATTAGGTGTACTTTTATTAATATTCGGCATTTTTTAAGTATAAATTTAGAGTGATAGTGAATTTGAGATTATAATTCCATTAAAATCACTACATGCTAAAATCTTCAAAGGATTGCCTTAATAGTAAATTAATTAAAAGAAAATAGGATTCAAAGCATCCTCTTCGATGTTAAAAATATATATCCCCTATGATCTCACACCTACAAAGATAAATAAATCAAGAGGCGATATTGCTATTGAAGTAATATAAAGTTTTACTTTGAATTTTCCTAAACCAAAATACTTAAAGTCAGATTAGCTTTACTTTTTTATTGAATCAGAAGAGTGCATATTATTAAAAATAAAAACTCCTTAAACAGAGTCTACAGCATAGATAATATGGTCATTCTGTGATTTTGCAAAATCTACTAAATTTTAACCTGGTTAATTTTAGTATAATAGAGAACACTCCATTACAGGTTTGTCATTACTATAAGTCAAAGAATATATATTCAACCCACTATATCCGGAAACAACATATAATAAATTATAGTAAGTAGAAATATCTGCCTTTAGATTAAGATTAGAATAAGGTGTAAACTCTCCTACTAAACTAATGCTATTTAAATTCTATATATCATAAATTTATATTAGCTAAGAAGTAGTAAGTGCAATTATTAAAGTTTCATTACTGCTAAATATAAACTAGCTGACTGTGCTTCCATTAGTGCTGCAAGAAGATAGAATACTCATTTATTTATTAGCTTACTAAACTTAATATACTAATACTCGAGATTGAATTCCTAAAAATATGTTAAGTCCATTTGATGTTATTCCTATTCCTGAAACCTAAGAATCGCTAACTTAAGGTATTTAATAAGTTGTATTTGTATAATTTCTATCGATAAACATAATAAGACTCTCCCCTAAATAAGTTACAATAACTTTAGACTCCTTTGAAAGAGCGACATTTTGAAGTATTTAATTATAAAATTAATAATTGTAATATGGGGTAGAAGAATATACAAATTACACTTCTATTGAAGAGCTGTTTTTGTTTTAGCAAAGTAATATTTTAGCTTAAAAAGCAATTAAAAATAAAATTATGCTTCTAATTTTCATTTTTATTATTTCACTTCTAGTTAGTTTGTTAAATATTTAATTATTGTTAACTAATTAAAATTTTGATTTTTTTTTATTCTTTCTATTAATAAATAATTACATATTTTGCTAATCTATTAAAATATTATGAACTGGATAGCATTATATTTTAATACCTAGATAATGTTTAATTTAAAATGAAAATAAGAAATTAAAATAAAAAAAATTCATAAATTGAAAATAACATATAAATATATAGTATAAAAAGTGTTCAAATATAATATTCAATATTTTTTCTAATTTTTTAGGGTTTTCATTATATTTTTACAAACTCCACTGATTACATATATCCAATCAGTGGAATTGTTAAATCAGGAATGACTATATATATTAATTTATGGTAGATAATAAAAATAAATTTTTTTAATTGTAAAATAAAATAATTTTATTAATAAATATTACTTTTTTTTATTAAGATACAAGTTTTAAGTTAATTTCATCATTCAAATAAATAAAGTAGACCAATTAATTATCAATTATTAAAATGCGTTTTTCAAAATAGGCTTGTTTATAAAATCTACCATTCCAACTTAAAAGAATCTATTTTAATCTTCTTGTCCTACATAAGCTGTGCAAGCAATTAAGATGGGAAGTTATTTTAAGTTAACATTTTTATAAAATTAAATAATTTCTTATGCAGTTTCATAACCATCTTTAAATGGCATTTCTATATCCATGAATATAATTTTAGGGGCTTTGCAACAATTAAATTGATAAATATTTTCAATTTCTTACAGTGCTAAATTTCCATCAGAAGCCGTAGTATATCTGAAGTGATACTATTCAGCTACTTTACTTAGGGCATATAAATTAAATTAGTTATCATCTACAATTAAAATTTGAGGGCATGAGCAATTCTTCTTTTTATTAGTTTCTATTATATTATCTATTATATCTTATTAAGATAGTTTATACTCTTATTACTCAAAAGATTTTTACTAAGTTTCTTCATAATGCTCATTGTCAATATACTTATTTTATTAGGCCATAGAACTTTACAATTTGTGTGTGTGATCATTGTTTAGAGTAGATTAACGAAAAATTTTTGATGAATGTTGCTTTTCAAAAAACTTAGAAAAGCCTACATAAGAGGTGAAACCTTCTTAATCAATCATTGACCTTTATTAATCTATTTAAGGGAAAGATTCTGTTGTTTTTACATTATTACTTCCAAAAACATTGATATTTGATTTCTTACTAAAATCAAAATTACTTTCTATGTCTGATTTAGAATTTTAATATTTTGTACTCACTCTCTCATGATCACTTGTTTTATGTGATTAGATATGATCTTAATTTTAATTACTCAGCTAATCATTAGCTTCAGTAAATTCTATATTGTTGCTACTTTTTTGCTATTTCTTGGGAGACTTACACTTAGAGACTCTTAACTATTTATACTGAGATTTAATTATTTTTTAAGGATTAGAATTGTTTGTTAATTGCTTTTCTAATGAACTATTTTCATCATCTTAGTATTATTCTAGATTATTTTTAATTGAGATATGGGAGTGAATTTAAATATTTTATTAATTTTCTTCATCGTATTCAATAATTAAAGCAGAGTCTATTTAATGATTGTTTCCTATTTGAATAGGTTATTTTATTGATACTTTTTCAAATCTTTTACTTTTTTATAAATCTAATTGGGTTTGGATAAAAGAATTCTTGAGAAAATCTACACTTTGGTTGCTTTAATCAGCTTGGCTCATTTCATCTTCAATAATAACTTGAGAAGGATGAATTTAATGTTGATTCACATTTTTACTTTTATAAAGAGACTTTATTTACAATGAAGATCTTTTGCTTGTATTATTTTTATAGGGTGATATTTCTTCTTCTTAATTTTTCTATTCATTCATTTTATCAACTTATAAATCATTCAGAGAAATTTCCACTAAATCTTTTATAAATTATTTGCTATGAACTTAGAAATCCATGTCTTGAATTACTATACTAAATGTTGATCCCTTCCCATATTCTGACTGTACTTTAATGCCTTTCTCATTTATATTATTTGAAACTAATCCATTAGCAATAGAATTTGATATTGTTAAACCTAAACCACATCCTTACTAATTTAAACTTTCATCATTTTAATTATAATTTATCTTTTTTTTAAAAAATTATTTTATTTGAAAAAAGTGTTAAAGCTTGTTTTACTTTGTTGCAAAATTAAAATATCTTTTCTAAATTATCTTTCATAATTCCAATACCTGTATCTTTAACATAAATCTCATAGAGGTTTTTTCCTAAAGGATTTATTCCAATCTCAATATATCCTTTTACTGTAAATTTTAAGGCATTTGATAAAAAATTTAATAAAATTTATCTAATTCTATTCGGATCAGAGCAAATCCTTTCAGGAACTCCTTTTTGAATCACTACTTTTATATTTATATTTTTCATGCTGGCTTGCATACTAATAAGTTTTTAGCAATCTTTTAAGAGCCCTACTATATCAAAATCTATAAATGAGTATTTAAATTTACCTGAATCCATTTAAACAAAATCTAAAATGTCATTTATTTAATTTAAAAGGAGTTTATTTGAGAATAAAGCTGGATTAAGGTATTCATCTATATATCTTTGATTATTCACAGACATTTCATCCTTTAAAACTTCTAGCATAGATATAGAGCAATTCAAGGGTGTTCTTAATTCGTGAGATAAGCTTGCAAAAAGTTTCATCTTATCCTTTTATAGCTCTTATACTTTCTTCTTATATAAATCTTACCACAAATCTTAAACCATTATTAATACTAAAGGATCATTTTTCTAATTCTCAGTTAGTAAGTCTACTCTCAAGAATTATAAGACTAAATCTTTATTTTTATGCTTAACCTTTTATTAGAATTAAAAAAAAAATTGATAAAAAAAATATTTCAATTAATTCTTTTTTCTAAATTTTGTGATTAAGAAAATGAAAAATCTTAAAGAGATAAAAATATAGGTAATAAATTTCCCATAAAAAATACATCTTTAAGACCCAATTCTATAATAAAAATACAAAAATTTTGAGTTAAATTAAACAATTATAAAAAAATGAGAAAAAAGTTAGTTTGAAAAAATTAATTTGAAAAAAAAAATAAATAATTATTATATTCTAATAAAATATTTACCTAAATTTTGGTTAATGTATCAGTTTATTAGATATAAGATAAGTTAGGCTAGCTTTATTTCTAGAAATGAGATAAAAAAGATTTTCTTTATGAAGCACAATTAAGTGGAATATTATATTTTTCACAAAAATTTGGATTTTAGATATCATTATCATTTTTTTAATTATTTTTCTACTAATCTTTCCCAGAAGAAAGCATCCAATCAACGATATTAGATATATTTGTTTGAGCCAATGAAATGTTGCTGTTTTCTTAGTTTAGCTATTAGTTTTCTAAAAATTGGTTCAATTATTTGTTTTAAAATATAATTCAAAGTTACTTCTGGTTTTCACTTTCATAATAAATGGACAGGTTGTTTATTGTGAAATTCTTGCCTTATTTGTAGAAAAACTCAAAGAATCTTTCTTTATATTTGAAGAAATATTATCTATTGAATCAAATTTTAATTATAAGTTTTTCTATGTCACGTTAATTTGATTAAATTTTTTTTTGTTTTGTTATTCTAATGGTTAACATTCAAATAAATTTATATTGAATTAGTTATTTGTTTTCATCTTTACCTCATTTCTATTTTTCATACAATTTAATTCATTTTCTTTCTCCTAAATCATACAATTTTTATCTACTTAATCCCCTTAAATAATTTATAATTATTCCTATTTATTATCTCCTCCAAAAGTATTGTTATAAAAATATTTTGTATTTTATTGTTTACTTTAAATTTTACTTTCTTCACTTAAATTATCTACTATGTTAGGTTGACTATGCTACATTTACTATATTGGTCTTTTATTAATAGTAGGGGATAAAGCTGATAAAGAAGAATTATAAAATTTCCAACTTTTTCTGTGAATAGCCATTTATTTTGATCTTAAAGTAGAACTATCTGCTAGATTAGCTTTATTAGAAACAGAATCACATGCAATGCTATTATATTATATTTCAAAACCTAAATTTTTTGGATAAGATTAGTTTTATTCCTCTTAATTAAATCCAAATCCTTGATAAGATAATATTTCGCTTTAATCGCTTTAGTAATTTCCAATACTGCTTTAGTTTGTGTTATTTCTTGTAAAAAGGGATTTTCGCTTTATTAAAAATGATTTAATAATTTATATTTTTAAATTCAAATTTACTTGCACACACTGTTTTGAGTCCCTTCTTAATCCAACTATCTTTTTGTTGGAAAATGAGATGAATGACTTTGGTTGCTCCAACCCTATATTATTTTAACCCTCTTAGTTATTATTATTATTGATGCAAGGTCTTTGGATTTGAATACTTGTTCGAGGATCTAGATTTTTATTCTTCTCTTCTTATTTATTATTAAAATTCTACTGTTGACTCTAATTATCTATAGAAGATTATGAACTACTATCCATGGAAGCTTAAATAGCTTCTTAAATTTACTCTTGAAATTAAATTTTTATATTTGAACCTTGTTACTGACAACTCTAACTAGTATTTTCAAAGTTTAAGATTAAATTTTTTTTAATTTAAGTTTTTATTTATTTTGATGAAATCGCTTGCTGTTATTATCCTGCTGTACATTAGTTTATTTCTAAATTTGAGTATTGTTAACTATTTTTTTTAGCTGGATTTTAATTTAAAATACTCTACTTTTTACATTTATCTTAGTTATTTTTTTCTTTTTCTAGATTAAAATGACTTTTAACATTTATTTGAGTCTGTTAATTAATATTTTATTTTCCTGGATTAGTTTCTACTTATGGATTGTTATTTCCTAAATTCATTAATACTTAAATGATATCTTATTTTTTTTTTGATTATATTATTTTTTTTAAAGTAGAATTAGCATAAAGAAGCTTTTTCTCTGAGTTAATTACGGCGATTCCTTCTGGAATAATTGAAAGTATACTTTTATATAGCTTCATTATATTCTCAGTTTTATTTTTTTCGTGTAACTAAATGATTTTCTATACTTTGTTTGAAATGTGCATATTGTCAATATAAGAAATAGCTAAAATAAAATAGGCCAAGTTTAAGACTATATAAAAAGAGTTTATTTAAACTTCTAGCATGATCCTTACTACTGAATATATTTGCTGGCCTATTAAAAACATGTAGGCAACTTAAACTTATTTAGTGTTTTTCAATATAATCTTTGAAAATATTGATAAAAAAAAAGAAATTGTAATGATTCCTGCTTATTAATCCACCATAGTTAACAAAAGTTCAAATAAGCATACATATAATGTAGTTCTCATAATTACTAAAATTAATTCTAAGTACTATTCGCTAATTTTTTTAAGGGGAACTAACTTTTACATGAATGGATATGCACTTGGAGAGCTTTCTAAGTAATCGAAATATGCTAAAATGTTTTAATATTTAATTTAGTAAATTTCAAAAATGAAAAGTAGAGCTGCTTGAATAATTATTAATGAGCAAAGAAATTGGTAATTTGGTTTTTTGAACAAGCAATAAGAAGCCATCAAAATAGCTATAAATGAACCAGTAAATAAATTTAATACATTTAATAGTTATTTTTTCTAATCAAAATAAGAAGTATTTTGTATGTGTACTAATGGAATTTAACCTTCTAAGTTATTAGATTCCATTGGCTTTGTAAATCTTATCTTTATTGAGCTTTTTCTTCTTTTGTTTATACTTCTACTTAATATAATTGAAAAAATTATTTATTTACTTTAATATTGTTTTTATGATTATTAATATAAGACTTGAATGACTTGCTCTAAAAGATTATCTACCCAATTTAATTTATTCTTATTCGGCAATATAAAAAAATATCACAAAAGAATTCATTTAAAACTTTATTTACTTCTTTTATCTAAATTTTTAACTTTAAGATTATAAAAAAGGCAATAAAATTAATGAATTTACTTTATGAATCAAATTAAAAATTTTAGTGATTTAAAAATTAGAATATAAAAGCTTCAATATTTTTTTATCATATAATTATAATGAATTGATAGCAGAATATTTTACATTTGAGTGAGAGTATCACTAATTATGGCAATGCTTTGAATATTAAATTTTAGATTCATTTATTTGGAAGAAATCTCTAATTATATAGCATTAAATCAGAAATAATTTTTTTTAAATATTCATTATTTAATTTACTAATTTTTAATAAATATTTAACTCATAAATTATATTTTATTTTATATCCAAAAAAATTATTATTTTTAATTTTAAATTAACTTAATTAAAATTATTATTAATTTTATTGCTTAATTCTAAATGAATACATTAAAATAAATAAAAATAGCTTACAAATATTGATTTTTTAATAATTAATCTAGAAAATTTATTTTAAATTAGTTAGATTTTCTTATGAATCAATATCTATTAAAAAATTAATATCTATAGTTTTAAATCAAATTTTTGAAAGCCATCTTTAAAATAGGTTTATTTATAAAATCATCCATTCCAGATTCAATTGATTTTTCATAATCTTCTTATCCTACATACGCAGTGCATGCAACAATAACTGGAATACTTTTATATTGTTCAGTTTTATAAAATTAAATTATTTCTTTAACTGTTTCATAACCATTTTTAATCGGCATTTCAATATCCATCAAAATCATATTAGGAGAAGGACAACAATTTTCATAGTATTAATTCTTAATAGCTTCTATAGCCTAATCACCATCAGATAAAGTAGTCAGATTAAATTAAAATTATTATATAATTTTTTGTAGAGCATATAAGTTAAATTGATTATCATCTACAATCATAATTTAAGGGCATTAGCATTTCTTTTTTTTGTTTATGTTAAATTCTAAAACTTCTTCCAAAAATTGCTAAGAAGTTGGAATTAAAATATCATTTTTATTAATATCAATCATATTATCGACTTCAGTAGTACTTTTGTTTGAAGTTAAATTTGATTTAAAAAAGCAAATCATTTTACTTTACTTTTCATTAATTAATGAAGAGCTTGTAATTTTTGAAGTTGATAAACGCGATCCTTCTATTTATTTATTAACCGCATAAGAATTAAATCCTTCTTATTCATTACAAATATTTTCTTCTCTTGATTCCTATTTCTATTTAAAAATCGAAATAGATTTTCTTTAAGTCCAATTTTACAAACTTCCTTATGTACTTGTTTTTTTATTTAAATAACTAGTTTCTGATCCCATTTTTTTTATTTCACTGTCTACCATATTTTCAATAGTGATTTATGTATTTTCATACAATTACTATATGTTATCCTATATCAAACTACTAGATTTTTTATTAATCTGATTTTAAAGATCTTAATTACTATTTTAGTTTGTAATTTATTTATATGAGTTATTTTTTAAAATAGTTTATTCAAGCTTATTATTGTTAGATTGTTCAAAAATCTTTTGTGTATATTTTGAATTTTAACTTTTAAATGGAACACTGCATGGTTATAGCTTTAATGCAATACAATTTTGAAGTTAATTATTTTTAAAATCATACATTTCCTCTTCTTGAAACTTTCTATTTTATTGAATATAAAATGGCCTATTTATTGTAAGTCTATAATCTTAATTTGTTGCATCATCTATGATCTAGGAGGAACTAGCAATTTAAATATTTTCTTAAAATATAGATTTTAAATTATCTGAATTTATCTCTAAATTTTTAAGATTGTTCATTTCGTATTTATCCAAACATTTTTAGCTTTTGTCAAATGCAAATAAATCATTTCCTTAAATGAAAGGATGCAATGATTTATTTAATTCTTCAATCTAGCTATTTTCTAATTCATCATTTCCTTTTGTAGTGACTACTGACTATTCTGCATTTTACTCATTAATTTAGCTAATATTACTATTAAGCTTTAGATATTAAACATTTTTTATTGAATTTCTTTGGTAATCAATTCTATTTTAAGAAGATTTTATACTCTTTCTTTAGTTAATTTATTTCAAAGAATTTAGTTTAGATTATTATGTATTTTAATAAAAATGATTCAAATCTTCTACTAATATACTAAAAATTGAGCCTACTCCGTATTCTGATTCTACAGATATTCCTCCTTTAAAATTATCTGATGTTATTAATCCTTCAGCCAATTAATTAGAAATAGTTAAACCTAATCCACAACCTTAATAATTTAATTATTCCTCTTCTTTACTTTGATACTTTATCTTTTTTTATTTTTTAATTTATCAATATAATAAACACCTTAAATTTATTTTAATTTAAAAAATTTCTGATAATTTTTATTTTAATATTTTTAAAAAATAAATTCAAAATTAAAAACTACAATTTTATTGTAATAAGTGGATATTAAAAAATAAGAGTTAATATTGTATTTATTTTATTTACTTTATTGCAAAATCCGAATATTTTTTATTGATTTTCTAAAGTAATTCCTATACCACTATCCTTCACATAAATTTTATAAATATCCTTACTGATTTGCTGATATCCTAACTCAATATGACCTCCTGATTTAGTAAATTTTAAGGAGTTAGATAAAAAATTAAGTATGATTTGACGTATTCTATTTGGATCAGAGCATATTTCTTGATTTATTTTTGAATCGAAAGCTAGTAAAAGCTATATATTTTTCATTTTAGCTTACATGCTAACTAATTTACCACAATCTCTCAAAAGATTTACAATATTAAAATCAAAGAATGAGTATTTGAATTTTCCACAATCCATTTAAACATAATCTAAAATGTCATTAATTTGATTTAAAAGTAGTTTGTTTGAAAATAATGCTGGATTTATGTATTCTTCTATACAAAATTTGTTATTTTCTTTTTAACTTAATTCATCCTTAAGCACTTCAAGCATAGAAATAGAGCAATTCAAAGGAGTTCTCAATTCATGCGAAAGAGTTGCGAATAGTTTAAATTTATCTTTTTGGATATCTTCTACCTTTTTTAAATAAAGATCCTACCAAACATCTTATACAACAATAAAAACTAGTGTATCTTATTTATTAGAATCTGAAAGAAAAACATCAATAGAAAGAAGCTTAATAACTAAATCTTTATTTTAATATTTAACCTATTTATTTATATATTTTTTATTATTAATTAGATTTTTCCAAATAATTTTAAAATGCATTTACCTAAATCTAAGTCATATTTTCGTTTTATTAAATATAGTTTAAGGTTTGGTCAGTTAAATTGTTATTATTTATAGCTGATTCTCTAATTTTTATTTAAGAATAATATTAAATCCAAAATTAAATATATTTTAAATTTACTCTTTACTTATTTTTTCTTCTTAATTTTCTTTTTTTATTTATCCTTCAATCTTACTAGCTGACGATTTTTCAAATATTTTATCAATCAAGGCTGAAAAATTTATTTTTTATTTTTAAATTGTTTTATTAACCTAGTTTTCTAAGAAAAAATTAAATCAAAATTAAGGTATTTTAATATATAATCTTAATTTAATTAAAATTACTTGAAATCAATCTAAAATATTATTTTAAAAATTATATATTTTTAAATTTTTAAGCATTTTTATAAGCTCTTAATTTAAAACATGTTAATCTTTTTAATTAATTAAAAATAATAACCTTACTTGGTCTGATTTTAAATGTAAATGGAACTTTATTTTAATTTTCTTTCTAAATTTCCCTTTTGTAATATTAGAGAGGTTCACTTGTTTTATTATTTTCAGTATTTTTAGCATCTAGTTTTTCAAATTAATTTCCATTTTAAGATAGTATAGTTTTTTCTGAAATTTTAGTTCGTTATTTTAGTATCTTCTCTAAGCATTAAATATCTATACCAGAATATTAAAATGAATAAAGACTCTTTAGAGCACTTTCTTACTTATCTTTGTTATCTTCTTCTTCTTCAATCTTACTTTCATCAACAAAAGGCTTATTATTGTCATTTTGTTATGATAACTAACCTTATGTGTTAAAAATAATTTAAAAATAATTTAATGTTTAATTCTTTTACCTTCTTCATTTGAATTATCTGTTTTTTATTCACTAATCTAATTTATGTATTTTCTTTTATTTATGTTTTAAATTTATTTATTATTATTATAAATAAATTATTTACTTAGTGTCTTCATTATGTTTTTAAAATTGGGTTGGAATCTATGAATTATCACTATTTGTTTATACTTTATACTACTAGTGTAACTTCCCTTGATCTAATATATGTATTATCTATGAAACAGATGCATCCTATTTTATGTTAAAATTATTTTTGTTTAGCTTAATTGATGATTAAGTATGAATTATGCTTATTTCTAAAAATTAAAATGAGCAAATGTTATTTGTTTTGAAGGATAAAAAAATGTTTGAAAGAAAAAATACTTAGAAGTTTTTTGATGAATTTTTTGATAAGCTTTACAAATTATTTAAGGCACTCTTTTCTTTGAGCTGATCTTAAAGAGATTCAATTTTAAGTGTTATGAAACTTGCTTATTATTTGTTTTCAACTTCTTATGAAGCATTTTATATTAATTCACCTACTTGTTTATTTTTAATTATTGATTAGCTGTTTAAAATATATTCTACTTAACTTTTTTCAAAAATATTTTTATTTTTAGGCTTAATAGAAGAGAAACTTAAATTTTTAGTGCTTTGTGATTATTTTCTTTATTCTTCCCTTTTTTTTTAGATTTCTCTTTCAGAAGTATAATTAGGAACAAACACTTTTTAAACTTCTTACGTTTTTCTTTTCTAAGCTATATCTTTCATGTAATTACTCTTTATTAAATTTGTAGATTATTCTTTACTTAGGTTTTGCTATATACAATTCTAACTCTTATAAGTATTATTTTCACCTAAATTTAATAGAATTTGTTATAAAGCTTTTTAGCTTTAACATTATAGTATTTTTTTAAGTGAAGAGTTTGAATACAAAATTTATTTGTCTTAATTTAATACAGCTATCCCTTCAGGAATAACTTATAAAATACTATCATAGAGAGTAGTTATTATACTTGTCTAGCTTTAATCATCTATTGATTAACGTTTATTTTCTTATTTATGTGATTAGTAGTCTGTATTGGATGAAATTTGCTAAAAAAATAGTATAATGTTAAAAAAAGTGCTAAAATAATCAAATTTGTTTGATAATTATAGGCGAATGAGGGTATAGATTTGAACTGTAAATTAAAAGCACATATTTAATCTAAAATTTTAAACATTTTCTAATTCTTAGTTAATAAGCGTTTATATTAACATTGATATAACAATTATTTTATAGTTGCTTTATCCAATCTGTAAAATGACTTCGAAAGTAGAAATATAGATAGTAGAAATTATTAGAATTAGAGAAAACTCTAATACCTAACCAGCTTGCATAAAATTTTTTAAGTAAAAAACATTTTTCAAATTTTCAGGCAATTATTAGTTAGTCTACTTTTTATTATCTAAAAGTGTTTATGAGCGCTTTTAATGCTTAATGTAAGATAATATGATTGCATTTAAAATTATTAATGATCCTAAAATATTATTTTGAAGTTAAAAAAAACAAAAGATTGCCAGTGTAACTAAGAATAAATTAACAGTGAGCTAGTTCAATACATAATGTTTTTTAGTAATTGGTAAATATTTTTAACTAATTGAAATTTCCTTTTCTTCCTATTTTATTGCGTTATTTTAATTCTAATTTTCTTCCATTCTTTTGCTTATTTTATGTCCCTAGTATCGAATTGTAGATTTTTTAATTGATAATTCTAATTATTATGCTAATTAAAAATTACAAAAATGTTAACCTTTTTTATTAATTATTCTATTTCTTATGTAGAGCATAGTAAAAAATTTATTGCTTTGATTTACTCATTATTTCACTACTGCCTTTATAAATTTTTAATTAATCATGATATTTATGTAATGTTTACCATAAAATGGTTATTTACTTCTGAATGACTTATTTGATATAAATATTAGTTAAATTTCTTTGAATTCAATAAATATTAAATAAAAAATAACATTTTTTCATCAATAACAAAGTAAATTTGTTAAAATTATTATTAAATAAAATTCTGATATTTTTTTATTGAAATTATTACTATTATTTCCAAATAAATATCCTTCTTATATTTAAAATAATTATTTAACTGGTTTTATTTTTTTCTAAAATACAATTCTTTCTTTTACAAAATACTGATTAATAATTTTAATTATCAGCTTATGAACTTTTAATAATATAATATTATCAATAAAATTAATATCAAAGTAAATTTTTTGTAATAAAATGATTTATAAACAAAAACATTTCAAAAAATTAATTTACAATCTTATAATAAATTAATTATTCTCCAAAATTATTTTTAAATTCTTTGCTAAATAAACTTTTAAGGTTGTTAATATTTAATTAGACGTTATTTTTAGTGATAATAAATTAGCTAAAATAAATTAAAAAATTGACTGATATGTTTTTCAATATTTATTATTTTCATTTTAGATAATTTAATTATTGTGAGTTGTTTTTTATATTTAAAATTTCATTTAAGTTGTTTGTGTTATAAGAGTTAGCTATTAATATAATTTAGGAGGTTATTTCAAGCTCTAAAAATTTATTTAACTTACTTGAATTTATTTTTACAAAATTTATTTATTTGTTTTTAATTAAATTTGAAATTACTTTATTAAAATAAATTTAATTGGAATTGTTAATATTAACAATTTTAATTTAATTTTTAGATAGAATAATTGATTTAAAACTACTACTTTATATCTATGTTTGCTAAACAATTTATTTTACATGTTTTTTTAATTAGAATAATTTTAGATTAAAATTAAGTTCAACAATTAAATATTAATAACAATTTTTTATAGATTCTTAAATTAGTTTTGAAGTTATAACAAAAATTAAAATAATTATAATGATATATACCTTAAATATATTTGAGAATAAAAAAAATATTTCATACAAAAATGATATTGAGCAAATAGTTTGAGTAGTAAATAAATTTTTAAAATCAAAAATGCTCAAATTGAATAAATAAGTATTACTAAAATATTTTTAAAAATAAGATTTTAATTAGAAACCAATTTATATATAAATATCAATTAGATGTAATAAATTGAATACAAGACAAAAAATAAAAATATAAATAAATTTTTCTTTGAAGTGAATCTAAATAATTTGAACCTAATATAAAAATTCAGATAAAATAGAAATAATATACTTAGTATGAATAAATTTAGTAAAATCAAAGTGATAATAAGCCAATTTTTATATATTTTGGTATGAAAAACTAAATTAATTATGGATTATATTTTGATTTTATTTAGAAATATAATAATTTCTATTAATTATTTCATACAAAAAGGATTATTGATTTTTTATTTTATACACATAATTATATAGATGATTTATTAAAATCTTGATTTTGAGAGTTATAAATAACTAAATAAATGATGACTAATTAATAAAAATATGACTGATGATTTATTTGTAATAAGCTTGGAAGTGATTTAAAAGATTAAAATTCAGTCTAAAAGGGATGATATTAACAATAAATATAGACAAAGCATATAATTAATAATAAAGCAAAATTTATAAAAATAATTAGCACAGTGTGAAACAAAAGGAAATTAAAAAGTGTTAATCAGGCAGAGAAAATAATCAAAGTCTTCTCTATTTGAAAGAAATTCAAGATATTAAGAAACTCCAACAATCAAAATAATCAATCACTTCCTTCTTTTTAAAAGGACAAACAAACACTTAAATAAATAAGAAATATTTTAGCTCATTTAGCCAGAATCTTTTCAACACACACACACTCACTCACACACATCCAGATTGAAAGAAGCAAGACTCACTCCATCCACTCTTTTTAAATCCTTTTCAAACAAAGTTCAGCAGAAAATTAATTATTCACACTCTCAAAATTAATTACCCATCTTTAAAAGATACATTTAAAATAAAATCAAAAGTTAAAAAACAAACAACATTTAAATAAATGAGCTAACATTACATGAATAAAAACTACAAAAAATCTAGCAACTATCCTGAGTAGAACCAGTTATTGTACATTCCTAATTAATATTATGACGATCTATCCAACTCCTCTTCAATTCAAGATTTACTAGCACCTTAATACTACTAATAAAAGAATTCTAACTGCAAAAAGGGAAATTCAAGTAAGTCAAATTATGGCTACTAGGTTTTCAATCAAATAGCCTACTCTTAAAGCAGCTTCAACGAAGAAAAGCATAAAAATCAATAGAAGAAGAAACAACAAAAAGCTTAAAAATAATAAAATTCTTCATCTTTTTCTTTATCATAGAAGTTAACATTATCTAGTTTATCAGCCTCTAAGGGTATTAAAATCTATGTCGATGGTCTTTGTCTTTTCGATAAGTTTAGCTGTAAAGAAGTTAGTCCAACTGAAGAATTATTTTTACAAAGCAGCTGTTCCTCACAAGGTTCCAATACAAACTCTTCTATCAATTCATCAGTCACAGTGACTTCTTCTGATGATGAAAAAGGAAATTTATCTTCCACTAAATACTTTGCAACTTTTTCTACTTTTGAAGGTCCAGATCCAAGTGTCCTTGACCCACCTACATTCCAGTTCTAGTGAGAAGACTAATGAGGAAGACTACTAAGTCTTTTTCTCTAAATACCAAGCTAGTTTGCATTACATATGTAAAAAATGAGTCACTTTAACAATTTAAATATTACCATTTCAGCCATAAATTTCATATGATCCCCCGCCAATTAAAAGTTTTGCGCGGGTTAGACTTTAGAACTTTTATCAATCGAATGGAAGCAGTTTTAATGATGATTACATCAACATCGAATATAATTATTAGCTAGGCAAAGAATTCAGCTTAATTTTTACTCATTAAAGCTTCCATTCAATTTTATTGTTTGTCAATGATTCATTATAAATAAATTGCATAAGGAATAAATTAACATCAAAAATAGTTTAGATGTTTAAGCTTTTGCAATTTAATTTTTCTACAACCAATATTTCTTTTACCTTAAGTTAAACTTGTGATACCAATCAAAATTTAAAAAGAAAAGGAAAAATAAACAAAATCTTCTTATTTTGTTTCAAAATAAAAAAAGAAGAATATAAAATGAATCACGATTAGAATGAATAAACAATATCATATGTCATATGAAAAACATATTTAAATGGTTATATTATGATGGCGTTATAGCCTGTTAAAGAGGATTCTTTTTTTATAAGTGGTGCTTGCTAGCCAGATACTATCTGACAAATAAATAAATAAATTAATTAATTATATGATTAAGAGAAAATAAAAACAGCATTATGTGGATGAAGCTCCATAAAAAGACAAATATTGATTTGTCCGTCCATAAGTTAATTTATTGTTCATAATTTTTAACTTTTCTTAAATGAACTAAAGAAGGAATAATCATTTTAAAAGTAGACAAGTTAAATCTTTATTAAAAATAATTGGTGAGTTATATCATAATAACATTCAAGCAAAGATATACATATCAATAGTATAAGTCTTCTGATGAAAATAAATGATTATACTATTTATCAATAAAGTAATAAATAATAAAATGAAAATAATTAAGGCCAAATATAAATTTCTACAGAGATATCAACCAGAAACTTCTTCTTTAGAGCCTGTGTCTGTCTGCCAGAGACTCTTAACCTTAACTAAATTTAAATTTTTTTTACTATCAAGCTTATAAAATTAATTAGCCATAAATAAAAATAAATTAAGCTGTTGATTTATTTATCTTCCATTTAATCATCAATCGTTAATTGATCGATTGATTGATCCAAAGAAATTTAGCTAAATCATTACTTTATATTTAAATATATTTAAAATCAAATAAACTTAGTTAAATTTTATAAATAACCATAAATACGCAAATGATTTTATCTTAGAAGATATAAAACAATAGCTTATTTTATTTAATTTTGGCTAATAATTAAAATTGAATCAAGAGAGACTTACTTCACCTCACAGTTTTTGTGAAGTTTGTTTGCATGCACTCCATTGCTTTGTCTATATAATATTGATCTGTTCAAAATAGTTAAAAACTCATTAAAATACATCATATAACCATAAATTTGAGTTTCAAGTAAATTAAAATTTATTTAAATAAAATAACCTACTATTTAATTTCTATTTAACTTTCAATTGAAAAATGAATTAAATAAAGGCACTAGTTTATATTTATAGCTAGAGCTTTTTTAATTCACTTTAATTCAATTATTCTACAAATAAATAAATAAGTAAATATATAATAACTTTTTTAACAAAAAAATCCCTATAAATAATAATTAATAGTTAATAAACTAATATAACCAATGAGTATTTTCTCCATTTAATTTACTCAAACAAATAACAGAAAATTTTATAATTTAAAAACAGATCAATAAACATATACAAATGCTATGAATAATAGCTTGATAGTAAACATCAATTAAATATTATCAACAAAATTTAATTAGTTAATATACTCTTCTTCTTTAAAATTATCCATACATAATAAATATTAGCTAGCTTTCAATTTTAGGAAATAAGCTATCTATTTGAAAAAGGCAAAATGAGAAAATTAAATTCAAGAAAAACTCCAACAAGAAAGAACAAACAAACAAACACCCTCATACATGACTATCAATTTGCAAAAATCGGTCTCATAAACAATAGCAAGAGAATGAATTAAAGCATAAGGATAAATTCTTGATAAAAAGAAGAGATATTGATATTTTAGTAGAAGATTTACTGTGTGGCGAAGCTATTTTTGATAGAAACACATCAGAAAAAAGAATAAAGATAATAAAAACAATTTAACTAAATAAAATAATAATACTTTTCTTCTCTTAATCTCTTAAATTCTACATACTACCTCTGTTTCATCAATAAGTAACATTGTATGTGTAGAACTCTATATTAAAAATAAACTACAAAAAGCATAATGTCTAAAATTTTTCAATTTATGTTTATAATTTCAATATTTAATCCTATTTAATACTACTCAAAATAAACCCTAAACTCCAATTTCACATTATTCTTAAAGTTACTTTTATTCCCAAAATTTTTTTCTTAATATTTAAGAACAAATATTTATTAATAACTTAAAACCAAGTTTTAAATATTTTATTAATATTATTTTAAATTTCATTTTTATAATCAAAAACTATTTCTTTATTTTAAAAATTTTAATTTAATAATTTAACAATGATAAATTTATTTTAATTTTTTTTAGACTAGCAATTAAAATGATTTATTCATGCACTAATTTTATTATATTTATATTTTAAAAGCACACTTTTAATTCATATTTTTAATATTTAATAATTTTTTTTTATGATAAGTCAAAGTATTTAAATATAAAAAAAAGTTATTTCTTAATTCTGGAATATTATTTTATTTTTTGCTGTTAATATATTTGAAAAAGTTTAAATTTTACTAGAATACATAAAATAAGTACTTGATAATAATTATCATAATAAATATCTCTTAAGTATATGAATATAAAGAAAACTTACACTGTAGTTAATTACTTTGAAAGTAAAAATACGCAATAATAATAAATTTCAAAAAGGAGTCTTTTTAACCACACCCTACTTTGTACATCAGGAATATATAAAAATAAGTCTATTAATTTGTAAACTTTATTATTTTATTAACAAACATTATTATGAGTTTTATACATCTTTTCTATTAATTTGTTATCTATTTAAAAATAATATAAGATCAACAGATGGAGAGGTTTTTGGTTCTGGAACTGATAAAAATATATCTATGATTATTCACCAAGCTAATCTCGCAGAAATACACTCTTATTTTGAATACGATGCTTCATTAGACACTTTTAGTCTTATTCATGTAGGAGGGAATACATTTTATTCACCATTTACTTAACAATTTAGATAATTATTGTCTACTATCAATAAAAATACTTACATGATTGAAGGGCATTTATTTAAAATAGAATAAGGTAAGTTTTTAAATATTTATTTATACTTTAAATTAACATTTTAAAAAGGAAGTTAAATCAAAGCTATCGAAGCATTTAAAAAAATTCATAAAGACTCTATATTTATTAAAAATTACATGTTTGAGTAAGATTCTAAGCTAAGTGATTTAAAAGATTTTTTGATAAAAAAGCTATAAGAAAAATATGATGATAAATCTTTTTATTGTGAGCTTGATTTACTAATAAAGTCAATAGATATTGTAATTAATTCTAATTATAATTTTGAATATAACTTAAAATTTGAAGATAAAATTCTTGGTGATATAACAGTTGATTGGTTAGGAATTAGCATAAATAACAAGTATTAAATAATATAAAATATTGATAACTTGATATTTTAGTAATAAATAATTTAAAATAAAATAAACTCATAGACTAGTAATGAGCTAATTAATAACTCTTCATAACTTTAAGAGAATAGCTAAAGTTTAGTATTTAGCAATTTAAGTATTTCAGTGATTGATTAGGATTTATCAGATTAAGAATCTTAAAATAATAATTAATTTGTTAAAACTGACTTATAAAACTTTATTAAAATTTAAATTGCATAAAACAAAAACCATAAGGTTATTAAATTAGAAAATATAACAAATTAAATGAGGTAATTAATTAAAAAGCAGTTATTACTTTAAGTTAATTTGGTAGATGATGAAATTGAATTGATATCTTAAAATAATTTACTTTACATGCAGATAAATCAATAAAATACACCAATTAGATTAAATTCATAAGATCATATTTAATTAGGAGATCTCAAATTTGTATATTAAAGATTCAATTTAGGATAAATTTCAGATTAAGGCACAAGAAAGAATAACGAAGATGGAATTTTAATAATAGAAAATTTATGTAATTTAAGTTCGATTTATTTATTTGATCTTATTGAAATATTTTTTTAAGAAATAAGCAAAGAATATAAAAGCTCTTTACTATGTGTCATAGATGGTTAAGGAGGAAATAAGTGCACTAAATTTATAATAGATAATTTGGAAAAAATTATAAAAGACTAATTTAAGTCTTGCTAAATAGAGTTTAATGATGAGTACTTTAATTAAAAAGTAGTAGATAACCTCAAATAAATTATTTTTGAATTAGATTTAAAATTTTTAAATAAATATCCAAACGTTTCAAAACTTTGTGGAGCCACGATAGCTCTTAGCCTTATTTTAGGAAATAGATTGTTTACTGGATGGTTGGGTGATTGCTAATCTTTAATTTTTTCTGAAAGCAAAATAATTAGATTAACTAATGATCACATTCCTTCAAGATAGGATGAAGTAAATAGAATAGAAAACTCAGGAGGTTTCATTTAAGATGATAGATTATAAGTAATTAATTGTTTAATTTTTTTTGATATTTAAAATTATATTTAATATTAGGGAACTGTTACTATATCTAGATGCTTAGGATAATTTGAGTACAAAAATATTGATGAATATCAATAAAAAAAATTCTATCCAACAAATAAAATATGTGATTTAAAAAGCTTGATTTCTAGTGAGTTAGAAATAACTGTGTATGATATTGACAATTCAAGAGATAAATTTCTTTGTAACTTTACTGATGGTATAATAGATAAAATGAGTATTAATGAAATAGTATCATTCATTGAATCTTCTGTTTCAAACTAAAGAGTAATTTTATAAAATAAAGAATAAAAAATTTAAATGAAAATGAAAATTAATTATTTTAAATCCTACATTTATTTTTTAAATTAAATATTATTTTCCACCATAAAATTAATAATTTAGAGAGGGTGCTTAAATATAAAAAAATTTAAATTTGATTAATTGTAATTTAAATAAAACAAAACCTTATTCTAATTTCTTATATTTTTTAATTTTAATAATAATATTTAAAATATTCTAATAGAGTCCTTAACAGATATGCTAAGATTTAATAAATTAAGCATCAAAATTATCAGAAAAAAGAGATAATATGAGCTTAATTTTACTTTAATTTGATTGAAAGCATACATAAAAGTAGTTATTTAAGTTGGATAAATAAAAATAAGTATCATCAGAAACCTTTCTCGATTTTAAATTCATTTTTAGGAGTATGATTATACAATTAACTCTGTAAAATCATAATCGATTCATATTTGGCTAGTTTTCATCATAATTGATACTTATTTAGAATGCAATTAAATTATATATGGTATGATTAAAATTTTAAACTAAAATATACATATAATCATTTTTATTTAACAATCTTATAATCATAAATTAAATTTTTAATTTTATTTTAGTAAACTTTCTAAATTTTATTTGTTAAGTTAACTGTATGACTAAAAAGATAAAAATTCTTCATAACTTTTCTATTATTTTTTTTAAATAAAAATATATTATTATAAATTAAAAATATCTAAAAGATTTACCTAGTTAAAATTATTTTATTTAATAGCATTTGGGTAATCAAAGTCGTAAGCCAAACTTGTAAAGAAACTATTTAATTCCTTAGAACACTACTTAATTAGATTAATATTTAATTAAAACATTTATAAATAGCTCTGTTATTAAAATATTTAGTCAATTTAGTTATTTGGCTATTCAGGATTAATAGCATAGTATTTACAAATAACTAAATATATTGAAGTGATAGTGATTAATCTCAAAGAATATTTCATTTTGTTTGAATCAAGAATAATAAAATCTAAAAATTAGTAAGCCTCTCTGTATCTTTTATAGGATTGCTCATCTCTTTTTCTAAAGAAAATACAAGATTTACTTTATACCTATTGAATACTATCCCATTGTGCCATAGCCAAATCCATCCAATAGCAAGCAGTTATGGGATTGAGTTTCCACTTAAGACACTATTTATTTATAAATTATAAATAAAATGAATGCTAAAAAAAACTTACTTTGATTATTTCAATTTCTTGTTGGCTTATTAAATTTTTTTAAGATGCATACTGTGAACCAGAAAGAATATCATTCAAAGAGGGAGGATATATTTCCTTATTTTATTAATTGTTTAATTTAAAAAAAATAAATAAATTAAATTTACCTCTTATTTAGAAGCTATGAAGATGCAAGCAATAGCTATTATGTAATATCTATCTTCTTTGATGTTTTGTATTTTTGTAAAATATAAATCAAAGTAGTAAATTGCTTTGTGTGTGGTTTCTCTTTTTAAATAAAATTTCATGCATTATCTTTGCATCCAATCAACTAAAATAAATCTAGATTAGTGATTGAACTAATTACTTTTACTGAAAATATTATAATCAATATAATAAGTTGTTTCTGCTTCTATTAAGTTTGAAATATCTTCCACTGTTTAGAGCTATAATTCAGGTTTTTTTAGCTTTTCTTCAATATCAAACATTTGAATTTGCTCTTCTATTGTTAAGGTAGGTGGAAGCTATCTGAAGCTTACCTGAACTTACTAATTATTTTAACTGACAGAATGAAGGTTGAATAAAGATATAGAAGATGCAGATGGTGATGTATTTGAAGTAGAAGAATAGGGCTAAGAAAAAGGTGAAATACTTTCCTTGAATATATCTGTAGAGAGGTTTCTGTTTACAAGAGATACAGAAACTATATGCAATTTTTATGAATTATTTTCATTCAAATTTATGAGATTTTAATTTTCTTTTTCTTAATTTTCCTTTGATTAAGAAATAATTTAATTATTTAATTTACTGTTTTATACTTTTAAAGACTATTTAGATTTATCTTAATTGTTAATACTTTCATTATTAAATGCATTTGAGAACATTTATCCATTCTAATTTAAGCTATGAGGAGGTAAATTTTCATCATTCTCTAAATAGTTTGTTTCATTCATAAAGAAATTTTAATCCTTATTGCAGAATGTCATAACGTTTAAATCTTGTTTAAAGACACTTTAATTTTCATTTAGTTATATTATGTCAGTAATTCCTGATATACCTTGCTTTTGTATGTCACTAGGAATGTTTTGTCTATATTCATACTCACTTTGGCTTCTTTATGAATTAATACTTTATTGCTTTGTTTGTTTTGTTGGTTCATATGAAATTATTTAAATTTATTGTTTTTACATTTCACCTTCTATTAATGATAATCTAAGTTATTATTCAGCTAACATTTTCTTTTAATTTTACAGATTTTTTTCTGCTTAATTCTAGCTTATCATTTATTAAGTGATTTGCTAATTATAAGTTTATTCAATACGTGCAGTGCTGGACAAACTATTAAGTGAATTTATAAAACTTCCTTTTAAAGATTTATTTACTGCTTGTACTGCTTAAATATTTTCAGTATTCCTTTTAGTTTGATCCTAGCTAGCTTTGAAGCTGAGTTCCAAGCTATTTCTTGCTGATTTTAATTTTTAATTTTCTTTCTTTTCTAAGCTTTGACGCTCATTAAAATTGTTTAGTAATAAATTAATTGTTTGGGTCAGGCTGTTATTACTTTTTAAATTTTTGAAAGATTCATTAGATGATTAATTATTATTATTTTAAAAGTTTTAGGATTAATTTGAGCTTAGTTTCCTCTTATTATTATTTTTGCTTAAACTTCCATTTTGAAAGGGTTTTTTTGTTTATTCATGATTTATTTCAGTATTTGAAGTTTGTTAATTTTAATTTTTAACATTAACTGTTAATTGTTATTAAGTTTGATTAACATTAAAAGGCTTATTATTAATTAAAGTATTTAAAATCAATTATTATTTTTGCATTTAGTTATTTTAATTTATTTATGGAATTTATTAACTTATTTCAACTTCACTTTTACTATTTCTATATTTTATTACTTTAGGAATTTCTTCTTTAAAATCTTTAACAAAATTCAATAAATTTTAAGGAATAATTTCCTTATTAATAGATTTTGGGTCACTTACAAAGTTATTATCAAATGTTCCTTTGCCTGGATCGGTAAAATGACTTTCTAAGTTTCCTAATTCTTAGTTTTTAAATAGCTCAATGTTGTTTTTTTGTTATTAGAATTTAATATCACATGATTTATTATTATTAGTTAAATTATTTAGATTTTTATTTTCTTCATAATTCTCATTCTTATTTTAAATATTGAACTCACTATTATAATCGTCATTAGTATTTAGTTTTTAACTAAAGTTTTAATTTTGATTTAAATTATTCAGACTATTATTTTTTTCATTAATTGTAATTTTTTGTTTTAAATTCAAACTTTAATTGTTTTTTTAAGATTTTTCTTGAAGAGGTAGCTTGTTTTTTAAAATAAAACTATTTTTTATATAATTTTAATTTACAGGCTAACACAATTAACTATTATTAGCCTGACCTAATAAAGAGCTACCTCTCCCATCATAATTTGCAGATGAATTTGAATTCTTGCTTAAATTATTTTATCTAAAACTATTTGAAAGAGATTTACTCTCTACAACATTAACTAAGAGATTTTTTATTATTTATGTATTAAGACCTCTTTTTTTACTAAATGTGTTTACTTTATTGTCTTACTCAGTTTTTTTTTCATCAGTTTGATTTTCCAACAAAAACATACTTTATTCTTTCTAGTTTTGTTGAATACAATTTAACATTTCATCTTGTAAATTTTATTTTTCTAAGTTACTAGGCTACAAAAAAGATTTGCAAGATCTTTTTTTAATTAATCCATTATTTGTTTAAAAATTTTAAGGTTTTAAGTTAAAAATAGAATTATTACCCTAATATTCTAATCTGGAATCAATATTTTTGTTCTCTTTAAAGCTATCTTAAAAATGTTAATCTACAGGATATGTATTAATAGTTTGTGTATTCGTTTATTGAAATGTTTTTATGTTTAACTTTGTTTGTTTAGTTTAGTTAGGGATTTAATGCTCATTATTAACTATGTTATTAACACTATTGTAATCACTTTATTATGTTTCAATTTGGATTTAATCTTCTTTTTCTATATTTTATTGATTTATTTCTTTGCTTAATTATTAATTTTATTGATTTACTTTGTTTTAAACTTAAAATTCTTTTTCTTCTTCACTTTATTTAACAAAATCGATTTGTTTTTCTTGATTCTGCGTATATAAACTCCTCGAACTTTTTCGAATACCTAAAAATCTGTTCGAAAAAGGAGTGTCAAGCTTGTAATCATCTATTATTTTATTGCCCACTAATTAAACTGATGGAATTTGGCTATAATTTTAAGAGTTATAGTCAATTTAACCTTAGTCCTTTGGTGTAATTTTTTCTTAGCCCAGATAAATATTAAAAGAGTTATTTTAACCATTCAAAAAACTTTATCTCTAGCTAGAAGTATTAGTTTTATAATTATTCTAATTTAATTGTTATTAATTAAATTCTGAGAATAGCTAAAATGAATCCTTTTTAATAGGAACCTAACTTTCAGTTTATTAGAACTATTACTCTTAAGCATTTGTTTAATAATTATTGGTTAATGAGAGTTGATTAGATATTTTGAAGTTAAAATTTTTTAAAATTTCATCTATACTCTTTGATATTTAGTCATAATTTTAAGTGTCCATTTTCTTTAGTGAATTTAGATCATTTTAAAATGTGTTATTATCAATTTAGCTTTAGATTTATTCATAATTATTATTCTATCTTTAGTCCTAATAAAAGCTTTAGTTATTTGCTTTTTAATCTTATAATCTATAACTGCTAAAGTCTTATTACTACTAAATGATCACATTTGTGTCAACCTTTAATTAATTATTTTGACGAGAAAAGGAAGAATCCATATTATTTGTCATTTTTTCCTATTATATTTTTTAAAATTCATTTTAAGAAATGCTTTGATTGGTTGGAAAGTTATAAATATTAGAGTATTATTTATGACTATTTTCTTAATATCCATAATAATTGTTATTATCTGAAACTTCAGCAGCATTAAAATCAGGATTCTATCTAGTAATCCTGCTCTGCCTATGGCTGTAAGAGTTGTAGTTACTGATTTAATCTATTTAGGTTAAATACTATTCATTTTAGCTATAATTTCTTTACTGGAACTAACTATTTTATTATGTTAATAGCTAAGATTATTAGATTGATCTTGTTGAAGCAGGGGTTATTTCATTCAAATAACTATTTTCTAATTGATTATTATTAGTTGCGATATCATGCGATCTATTTGTATATACAGTTTACATATACACAGACAGGTTATTTGTGCTCGTCTTAACATTTCTTATATTCTAATCTGCATGATTAATTGCAGTCTTATTTCTCTATCTTGAAACCTTTTATGGTACCAGATATAAATATGGCTGCTATGTCCCGATTTCTTAGCTACTTTAATATTAAACCTATTCTTATATTCCATTTTATGGAGTTATATCTTAGATTCTCCTCAACTAAAAATCATCTACTCCTATATCCTACAATATAAATAAAAAAATTGATTGATTTACTTTGATTTTAATTAAATTAGTGAACTTTCTATTTTTTTCTTATTTGATAATAACATTTTCTCTTTAATATCTTTATAAGATATCTTAATAAATTTATTTGAATATCTATTTAAATAAATCTTTGAAATTAAAATTAATTTATAATGAGAAATTTTTAACTCAATTCAAACCTTTATTTATAAATTCTATTTCATTTTTATAATAATGGCTTTATTTTAATTTTTTTTTCAATTAGAAAAGGATTTTTTAATTTTGTGATTGTTTAGTATAGAAAATAAGTTTTTGATTGACTATTTGAGTGAATTAATATATGAAAAAATAATAAAAATGTTATTTCATGTTAAAAATAGATATATATTACGTGTTTATAGCTCATTTTTCTTGAATTAAATTATTAATTTCCAGCTGTTTAAGAGTTTTGGCTATTTATCTCAAAATGCTAATATTACTGCTGATTTTTTGGTAAGGCCTTAAATTAATTTTACTGGAAGTTATCATATGTCTATTGAGAGATAGTAGCTTCAAGTTCTTTGTTGTTTTAACTTTAAAAAGCATTGTTTATACTTATTTTATGTATATTCTAATTAATGCTACTTTGAGTTTGTTCTACTAATTTCTGAGTATCTTCTTACAACCTATATGATTGAATACTTTCAAATTAACTTTTTTGAGAATATACAGAATATGGATTGTTTAAAAAGCAATTAACTTACTAATATTACTTATAAGATTATTATTATTATTATTATTATTAAATGGTATTTTTGTCATGAATTATTTAATTATTTTTAATATTATTTGTAATCTAACTAAAGCTATTTGTTTATTCTTGTTAACTTTAAGATTACTAAAATTATTATTCTATTAGCACATCGTTCTATCTATAAATATTGTTTTAAGCGACTTCTTATATTATTTAATCTTATCCTTAAAAATATATTGATGATCTTCTTTGAGTCAGTTTATCTTCTCCTATTTGATGAATTGTGTTGTTTTTCTCTAACTCTCCAATTTTTATAAAACGATTATTTATTTGACTATTCTTATTTATTTCTAAATTACCTAAATTACTTTATCCATTTAGTAAGGCACTATTTTATTTTGAAGTATTTTTATAATCAGTATATTCTTTTTAATAAGCTTTTTGTTGAAAGTTTTCTTTACTTTGAAAAGTCTTTTAATCTAGCTAGTGTTGGTGAAGAAAATTGGAGTTAACATTTACCTTTAATATTTATTAAGGATTGGTATTTAGTTCATTTTAGATATTCTTCTGAGCCAAAATAGGTTTGATGCTGTTCTAAAGTTGTTATTGCTATTTTTAATTTTGATTGCATCTCTACTCTAGAGCTGCTTCTCTTGCACTTAAGAAATTATCAGTACAAATGTTGGCTAAGTGTTTGTTAATATCCTTCTTAATTACAATATTAATGTTAGAAGACCTAGCAGTGTTTACTAAAGAATGAGTCTGAGAGATAGCATTCTATGGAGTTATTATTTAAGTAGCTAACCTTTAATCAGTATCTTGTTGCTGATATGGTGCATTATTGGTTTAGTTCGTCTACACGTTTTATGATAGTCTTGTAAAGCTCAGTAGCTTCTCTTAAGGCAAGGCGAAATGTTTTGAGTTATAAGAAGACTTACTGCTTACTGTGTTAAGTCTAGTTTAAGGATTGTAGCAGTCTAATTCATTATTGTTGTACCCTAAAACTTATCTGTATAAATCTTTAGAAAATCCTACATTGTTATTAATAACTCTAGTTGTAAATGATTATGAAGAAATTTGTTGCTGCTTGTTGATAAGTTACTAAGGTTGAATTTTATTAGTCGAAATCACAACGTTTTGAGGAAATTAACTCATTAGAAACCTAAATTATTTACTTTTGATTTCAATATTTCTCGAAAGACCAACCTAAAATGCGTATATAGGATACCTTCAAAGACCTGATATTAGTTTATTAAATCTTTATTATATAAATAGATAGATCTATTGAACTTTTTTTGATTATTATTTTGGAATTGTATCTAATATTTGTTATTCAAATCAATACTGATTTTTTAAAATTTTGAGTGATGATAGAAATAATTAAACAACTTTAAACGACTTACTTACTATAATATTGTGATTAGCTATTTAAATGCACCAAGTAATTTAAACGAGATGTTTTAAATAATAATAAACAAACAGTTCTTAATATATTAATTACCAAATATATTATTTAGTATAGTAAATTTAACACTTTTTATTTTATTTAGAATATCCTATTACATATAAAAAATAAAAGTTTTTAAAAAATTTTTTAATCTACATTACAAGCTATGTTAAATTTTGAAATTTTATGAGATAAATATTTTAATAAATTATTTCAAAACGAGTAATTATTAAACTATTTATCAATCATTAATAGTTTTTAAATATTAATTGAAATAAAATTTCATAATATTTTTAATAAAATATTTCATAAGTTAAAATTAAGTAAACAAAATTTATAAAACTTCTTAAAATTTTAATATTATATGAAAAAAATTGATTTTATTTTTTAGAAAATATTATTTACATGTAAAATCATGTATAATTTAATTATTGTTAATTTTTAACTTGAATAAACTCAACAATCAGATAATAATTATTATAAAAAAGCACACTAATAAATATAAAGAATAATTTTTTAAAAAATAAACTTTTTAGCAATAAAAAATAAATATTTTCAATGTAATAATTATTTTGTAAAAATTACTATATCAAAAAAAAAATAAAATAAATTTTAATTTCATTTGTCTTATTTGATAAATGTAAACATTGGATAATAATTAGATAAAGTCAATTTTTAATATATTTAATTAATATTCTCTTGTTATTTAAACTAATAATGTAAAATTTAGTAAATATTTGTAATGGATAAAATTTACAAAACTAAATAAATAAATTAAAAAAGAGTCTAATTCATTCATAAAATTTTAGCAAAATAATATAAAAAATATTTTAATAAATATTTATTGATTTTATTTTAATTTAATTTATAATAATAATAATTGTATTAATATCATTTACTATTAAATATGAACATATATAGGAGTGCCTTAAATTTAAAAATAAGAAATTAATGCATAGAACAATAAGTAAATTTAAAAAGACATATATATTTATAAAGATATTCTTTTTAAGGTTTAATAATAAATTCATTTTAACTTAATCAGAAATAAATATACTTTGTAAAATAAATAGCTAAAATCAATCTTTCATTATTTTTATTTATTAAATTTTGTTTTGGCTGATTTAAATAAATCTATTATTGAATTTACAGGTGCAGCTAAACAAGTAAATAAGTCGTTGAAAAAACCTACTTTAATTGAAGAATTGTTTAAATGATAAATATACACATATGCATCATACTACTTTCCTTCAATATCACTATAGTGATCTCTTTTTATCTCTATAGCTTTAAATCCGTTTCTCTCATAATATTTAATTCCTGCGTTATTATAGGTAACTATGTGAAGATAAATGTATTAAACTAAAGGAGAATTTAAGCATATTTCTTTGAGTTTATCCATCATCATTTTTGCTATTCCTTAGCTTCTAAAGCTGTTAATAACACCTATTGTTGTAATATAAACACCATAGTAATCATCAATCAGATATTTATATCTGAACTATAAATATTTCTACTTGCAGGGCTTACTCATATAAAATAAGCATCCTATTATGACTTTTTACTTTTTACTAATTTCAAATTCTACTATTATACTTTTTACCTAATTTTTCAATATACTATCATAATAACTATCATGGTAGGGAAGCGGAAACCATTCTTTATGCAAATTTTTTATTTCTTCCATGTCTTCCTCCTCTACAAAGTTTCTTAAAGTGATTCTTGATTGTATATTAATTTTTTTTAAATCTACTTATTCTAATAATTTATGTACATTTGCTATATATTCAAAATTATTTTAAGAATCTGGAGGAAAAGACTCTGATAATCTATCTTAAGACCTTCTCACTTAAATCAAGGGCTTATTTTCATTCATTCTAGATTTTTTAATATGAATTTTTATTATATTATGTCTAAATTGCTTTCCTGTTTTATTTCCCTACTGTAATTTTAATTTATTCTTATAGTGTATTTCAACAGATTTAACTTATTATTTATTTATTTAAAATATATATTCTTGAAGAGTATATATGTGTTCGATTTAAAAATATTAATTTAAAGAAAATGAGGTTATTTACAATCTATGCAAACTCAATTATCAAAATTTAATTCAAAATTTAGATTTTTCGAAATAAAATTTATCAAATTAACTCCACTTATTTCGAAAGCGATTTCTTAGTGTAGTGGTTATCACGTCAGTCTTACACACTGAAGGTCCCGAGTTCAATCCTCGGAGAAATCAATTTTTTTAATATTTAAAAATCCTAAAAATTAATGAATTATATCTTCTTTTAAACTTTTTAATAGAGAAAATTTACTAAAGATATCAAAATCTATTCAATATTTAAAGAAAAGGAATTTTAATATAAATTATTTAAATTTGTATAGGATTATTATCAATAAAGGATTTCTTAGTGTAGTGGTTATCACGTCAGTCTTACACACTGAAGGTCCCGAGTTCAATCCTCGGAGAAATCAATTTTTGTTTTTTAATTAAACTAATATTTATATAATGACCAACTATTATTAATTCATTATTATATTTTTTTTTAATTTTTATATTTATTTAAAATAAAAAAGTTATTTTTAAAAATATTATCAAACAAAATTTATAATTTATAAAATCTATTTATTGTTAATTAAATTTAAAAGATGAATTAAAGTAATTTAAAAAAATATTTTCAAGTGAATAAATTTAATCAGAAGAAATATATTAAGGTAAATCTTTGCAGAATTTTACCCTTAAATATGAAATGCTATTAAATTAAATAAAAAATGAAATAAATTTATTCAGATATAGTATAAATTATTTTACATATTTTTTATCAATTTAATTATTTTTATGAAAAATGAATTTTGAAGTATTTAAATCTTTTTAAAAATGGAATAATTTTATTTATAATATAACTTAATAAACAAATAACATTGAAAATAAAACAATTTTAAACATTTTTAATATTAAACATTATGGAATGGAAATTAAACAAATTTAAATAAGTATTATTTTGCTCAAATAGATGTGTATTCTATGTATTTAAATGAAATATATTACTCAAGGATTTGATATATTAAATCTTTTCTAAATAAACTTTTGTGTTAAGAATAAATTGCTTGAGTTATGTAGCACAAATTCGATTTCATTTTTTGATATTTTTTAAATAAATCATTCATTTTTGTTTCAATTGACATAGTTTGGAGCAGTTTGCTATTTGCTATAATATTTTCTAAAATGATTCTCTTCTGTGTTTCATGAAATTACCTATGAAAAAAATAAAATTAAACTCTAATTATGATAATTAAGTGATACTTATCTATTATAAGGCAAATATTTCTCAAATTAGGAAATGGGTTTTAGCTAATTGCATAGAAAAGATTTTCCTTGCAGAACTCTCCAAAATCTTAAAACTGATACTGAGATTCTTTTCTATATTTTAAATAATTTTTAAGCTTTTATAAATGCCAAATTATTGAGTTTGTTTTACTAAATAAGATATATTTCTAAGTTTTTCAAAGAAAGACAATTTTTATTTATCAAAGATCCTATCTGCTCGATAATAAGGCTTAAATTATGACTGAATTCCCTATTTTGAAAATAAATTTGTTTAATAATTAATATCTAAATTAGTAATTTAAATTACTATAAATTTATTTTAAGAGTTGTAAGTTAGTAAGTGTGAAGAATCTCAAAAAGTTCAGCAAATTACACGTTACTCAAATTTAAATTATCTAAACTTAACTCTAAATCAGTTATTTGTTTATTTTTTTTAAAGATATCAATGAAATAAGGGAAATTTTGTTAACTTAAGTGGATATCCATATTTAAATAAGTTATTTTTCCAGTGCAGTCTGCCAAAAATTACAATAATTAACCATTTAAAATATTTAATTCACTTAATATATCATCTTAATATGATTCTTAAAATATACTCAAGCTCCTTAAATTATCAAGACACTTACTATTTTTTTATTATTTTAAAGCAAAGTTGAAAATTTAATCAAACGATACCATATTATTGATATTTTTAATTAAAAGATTATCTTGTGTTTTATTCTAATCCTATTGATCCTTCTGCTCTTCAATTTAATTTAGTAGATATTTATCATAACTTTAATTATTTATATCAATATTATTCATTTATTTTAAGTTAAATTCTTTCTTAGATTTATCTTCATTTTCATCTTCACTTGACTAGCTTTTTGTTTCTTTTTAACCATATTCTCCTTCGCTATGTTCATTCATCATGCATAGTTCTTCATTTTACACAGGACAATACTTTGCATCATTCATTTTGCTTTGACCTTCTTAATTCTAAGTTTTTTGCTCATTATTTTAACTTTTCAAGTGATATAAATTATCATCTTTATTTTTATTTTCATTTTCATTTTCAGCTATTTCTTCGCTTTAAATTACTTTTTTATTTTAACTCTCTTCTTCGTTTTCCTCTTCAAATTAACTTTCCTCTTCGTTTTTGATTTCTTCAAAAGAACTATCTTGCATACTTTAATCTGAGCTTTCTAAACCCTACTCGTAATCATCATATTCATCATCTTATTAACTGTTTTGAGTAGAGATAAAATACATATTTGAATATTAATAAGTTACCTCAAAATATTAAGAGTTATTGACTCAGCTTAACTGATCTTGAAAATTTATTATAAGAGGTACTCATAAAAGTAATAAATCTATTCATCTTAATAAATTCAATATTATGTATTGACCTATGATTTATTTTTTAATTTACATGATGTGTCATTAATGAAAAAGGAGCAGTCAATGCTTTTTAATGAAGGAAACTGCTATTAGATTTTTATTAAATCTGAATTGCCTTGGAATGGATCTATATCATATGATAAGTGCTACACATTTTACCAATTACCTAATTATGATGAAAACCTATTTTTAAAATGCAATTTTAGATTTTATTTAAATTTATTGAGTTTGATTACTCGCTTTTTATGAATAATTAGGTAGAATATTGTTATAAGTAATTGAAAATAGGAGAGATATTTTAATATTGAGTAAAATCAATATGTTCCTGTAAGTCTAAAATAATACACTTATCTTTTGTCGCTTAGATAGCTTTTTATAATTAATCAGACTACTTTAAACTATTATTTAAAAGCTAAATTACTGATCTTAGCTAAAATTGTAAGTTTGAACAAGAAATTAAACTTATTTATTTTAGTTTTATTTTATGTAAATAATATTTTACGCTTAGATAAATTTTTTATCTATAACAATGTGAACTAACTCTGCAAAGACTAAGCTTTAATAAAATTCTTCGCTTATCAAAGTTTTTTGGGTGATCTTTATTTATTTTTATTTATATACTTCTGAAGACAAGTCATTAATTTTCTTTAATGATCCATCTATCAGTTATTATGCAATATTGGGAAAAGCTAGTCTTATAAGATGACAAGAGGTATATTTCTTTTTGAACATATACTAGTCTTTTATAGTAGATTTACAATCAAGGCATAACCATTCGACTACGTTGCTTTTTTAAAGCTTTAAATACTCAATTTTTTATGAAATTTTGCATAAACTACAAAGTAAATTTTTAATCTAATTTTGATTTAATTCTTCTTTTTCTATCATCTCAATAGTAATTTAATTAAATTTGTTTATATTTTCTGGAAATCAATTAATATTTTTAATAATATAAATCATACAGTTGAATAATTTTTGTACAAATTATAAATTTAAATTACTAAATATTTTTTTGCAAATTTTATCTCCTCATTTACTAAAATATAAAAGATTTATTAATATAATATTTTTTAAATTAAAGTTTTAAATTAATGTTAAGTTTTCAGATATAAATTATAAAAGTTATTTTAATAAACAAAAATTTGAAAATAAATTAAAGTTTATCAAAATATATTTTAAAAAACTAAAAAAATATTTGATCATCAATTAACTAAAATGTAAATTTTTAAACTAATAATAATTTATAGGCTATTATAAATATTTTAAATATTGCAAATAACTAAAAAAAAAATAAAAAAAAGAAAATAATTTTAATATAAATTTTCATCTAATTTAAAAAAAAATTAAATAAATAGTACTTTATAATTTGAAGAAGAATAAAAATCAAATAAATTTATTTTTCATCAAAAACTTTTTAGTTTTTAAGAACACACCAAGTATAGATGATAAAATAATTATCTAATTAATTAATTAGTACTAAAAGTATTCATCAAAAAATTTAAAAATAAAATAAAATAAATAATAACTTCTCAATAGAATACAATTTTATTTAAAATATTATGAAAATATAATTTCAATTGAACGTTTATTTGTTTGTTTTAATTCATTACAAATAAGTTTTCAGGAGAATAGCTGATTTACGGTAAATGGGATCGGCTTCTAAATATAATTATATATTTTTAAGTGTTATTTTCTATCTTTAGCAATTAGTTGTGGCTAGACTGATTGCTTATGGCATAGACTCTAATTTTTAATCCTTTTTAGCATTTTTTGATTTTTAAGGAGGGATTTTTTGAATATTGTTTTTTATTTCATCAGCAGCTGTGCAACCTTTACGCTAAGTTCTATCAAGATCATACTTCATTGAAGATTTATCAAAAAGAGAGTTTTTATTAACGGAATCATAACAAGCTTGTTCTATTTCTTCATCATTTTTTTCAAGCTATGCACGCCTGATATTTTTGTTTTCAGTTTAGACTATGTAATACTTTAAAAAGGTCAAATCTCTGGCTCCTGTATAATCCTATTTATTAAGTAAATATTTATCTATTGATTAGCCACGGAAAGGAACTAGATGAGCTTCTAGCTTATCAGAGCAAAAAAGACGGAATTCGTTATCAATATTTTCAACTATACTGCTCTAAAGAAGTCTCTCGATTAAATTTTTCATATAGACCTTAAAAACTTCATTTAAATATGTAATAATTTTATCAGTTTCTGGACCAGAAGGTGTTTCTAAATAATTATCTTTGCATAACTAATCTAGCCTCTTCTAGATTATATCATCGCTTAACAACCTCTTAGTTTTTGTCTTTGTTTGAGATAAAATTTATTTAGCTGGCTAAAGAGCATGCTAATTTTATTCTTACTAAACTTATTAGTACTCTTATTTAGTTTGCTAGATAGTGCTTGATGGAGTTTCATCATAATTACTCTATGATCCATAAGCTGCCTTAGGTTATATTTATTATATCTATGCTTGCTATTAGCTTTAAATATTTGATTTTCCTTCTTCCTCAATTTTCATTGATTATTGACTTTAATTTCTAAATTAGCTTGCAAATTAATATTGCTATTAAGAGTTTGTCTGTACTGCTGCTTATGGTGTGAGTGCATTTTAAGGTTTATTTTAGGATTATGATACACCTTATGAAGAGCTATTTAATTATTACTAAGGAATGTTTTGCTAAATAGGTTCAGGAGTTATTTAATTGTACTAACTTTGATTTAATTGTTATTATTTTTAATATGGCTATGTTTCTTCTGGCTATCTTACAGGTCCACTAGGTCCTTATGAGGAATTCATGCTTTATTATCTTGGAGGAATTTGGCTTCTTTTTAAATTAAAACTTGCGATTTCTGGTTGCTATGCAAATATCTATTAAAAATGACCAATAATTTAATTTAGATCCTTATTAGCAAGAATGTTGTTAATTAAATTGAAATAACTTTAAAAATTTTGATCGTTTTAAAGATTCTTAAATTCTTTAAGAATTAAGTGCTCCCTATAAGTGCAAGGGATTAAAACTCTCTACTACAAGATCTTCTCAAATTATTGTTGTCTTTCTTATAATAAACTAGGCTCGAGAGCAAGTGACTTAAAGAAATTATACACTTCTTGTTAAATACATTAATACATTTTTTTGATATAGCTTATTCTCGTCTCTAAGGTGGCATAAAGTTAATCTATTTTTAATTCCTTTAAAAGCACCAAGAATGAATCAAAGCCTTTTATTTATTTTTATTGCTAAATAGACTCTATTTATCTTTCCAATATTTAATTTTAAGAATACTTTAAGAAATCTAAAAGATACTTAAACTCATTAGTGCAGTTTTAATCTTCATTCAATAAAACTTTTTTATCATTTTGAGATAGGTTTTAAGTACTAAAATAATAATAAAATAAATCTGTATCGTTGGTTATTTTATTTCTAAAATAATTAAGAAATGTAGTTAAATGTTCGCGCCTATTAGGATCTTAGCACAACTTAATGTTTTATTCAAAGAGTTGCAAATGATATTGCACAAACCTTCCTTTATCTAAAAAACTCCAATATTCCTAATCAATTTCTACTTGATTCTGATATTTTTCCATAAGCTAATTTTATTTTTACTACCATTAAGCATATTTAGGATCCTACTTGCTTATTTATTGCATATTTCTTTTTAAGATATTAAGTAAAAATTAGTAAGTGTATTATCTTCTGATCTCAGGTGTTATCTAACTGCTTGGATAACCTTAAGTACTTGACATCTTTGGCGGCACTTATTAACCACCTTGCACATTATATTATTATGACGATCCGTAGGGTTTTTATAATGTACTTTGAGATGGATATTATGCTGGTATTTATTGATAATTTGAGCTCATAGGTCTACCTGGAATCATTTGGTTGCTTGCCATTGTTGAGGTGTTTTAACCTTGAGACATTTATTGAGATTACATGCTTGTATTTAATGATCCCGAATATCCTTCATTTGATTGTTAACTTGCAATTTAGCTGCTATTTAATTAGACTTAACTGGATTAGTTGTTTGCATTAATTATAATTTCTAAATCCTCATTAGGAATGCAGAGAATTATTTCTTCGAATTCCTCAAAAACTCCTTTTGCATCTGCATAAGACTCATCTAATTATTTAATAATCTATGACTTTCTTTCGTCTGAAATACTTTAATTGCTATTCACATTTAGTTTGTATTATTAAAGCTTTTATAAAATCTTTTATTCATCCATTTTTAATGCCTTTTTATATTTAAAATAATTTTTTTTTCTGCTTTTTGTACCCAAATATCTATTAACAGCAAGCTATTTATTTAATTCTTTCTAGATCCTTTATTTGATTTAATAACAAATTAAATATTTTTTCTTTATCTCTAAAATATAATTGTTATTAAAATAAATAGACTGACTAAGCAAAGAATATGTAAAAAATAAATATAAATTCTATTTTGTTTGATTTTTTTCTTTCGCTCGCTCTCATATTTTAAATTTTTTTCAAAATATAAAAAATTTCCAACTGTGTCTACAAAAATACTTATTTGGCTTGCCAACTTTTTGTTGTAAAATAGTTTTTTTTTTTTCATTAAATATGCCAAAAGAAATTAATCCAATTTTATAAAAAATTTCTTCACTGAATTAGTATAGAATGAGATAAGCAAAATAAAGTATATTATTTATCATTCATTTCAAAGCTATAAATATTCATCAACTTTAAAATAAAAAAATATAAACAAAATTTACTCAATAATCTACATTTTTGGCCTTGAAAAATTATTTTTATATGATCTTATTAATAGAATAATAATGCATGAAACTGCATTTTTACTTATATTTTAAATATAATTTGTAAAAAAAACTATAATTTATTCAAACATTTTTAATAAAGTTAAGAGATTAGTTTTTTTTAAATATTTGCTTTTCAAATAAGACATAAAATTATTAATGAAACCTTATATTTTCATTTCTTTAAAATAGATAACCTCAAATAAATGAAGTAAAACATAATTCTTTAATTAATAGAATATTTGGCTTATCAAACTTCGAATTTGGTCTTACTAGGTTTCTTATCAGTTGATAATCTAATTTTATTTGGAATCAAATATTATTTACACAATATTTAATTTTATAAAGCTTATTTCAAAATTATAATAAATATTTAATATATCATGATGAAAAGTGCTTCCTACTTAATACTAAGCTACTTAATAGCTAAAATTTTTTGTACTACTTTTACGCTTATTGATTATACCCCTAATTTACTAGCTCCTCTCAATCTAACCGAGTCTCAGAGGGTCATTTACACATGTAACCATAATCTTTGCTATTCAATAACTAGATTTGGTTTTATTGATTGGACAGGCTATAAAGAAGTAATAAGACCATGTGAAAATGAAACATTTTGTTATCCTTTTCCATCAGATGATACTACAGATGTATACACTAATAGCATAGGTACTTAGGTCAAAATTTATTGGATAGATCCTACAGAAAGAAAATTTTATAATGTTATAATAGATAAATACATTGGTACTTATATTACTTATACAGTTTCTGATGCTGTTAGATTTTAGTATCTAAATGATGTAAGTACAATTTATATAGAAACAGAAACATCTCAACAAGAAAAATAGGTTTTATTATATTCAAATGGATAATATTTCAATTATTTTTCATTACCAAAAGATTGCGTATATTGGATTATCTAAAATTAATTAAAGTTTTTGTTTTATTAAAATGAAATATAATGCTAATAAGGTACTTAAACACCTCAAATCTACCAATTAGAAGGATAAGGAATAATAGATCCCTTACAATAAATACAATTCATAAATATGTAGATATTTGTTAAAATATATATCCCTTAAACTTAATAAATGAGGTTACTTTAGTTTAATGAAATTGGAAATTTAATTTATGATGTGACAATTCCAAACATTATTACAATTGACTAAATGTACTAAATATCCTCAGGTATAATAAATGGAATGAATTATTATTAATCTAACTCAACTTTGATTATAAATACAAATTAGACATTCTACTCAGCATCACTTTACACCACCACTCCTATTATTTTTTTTTAAATGTAGTATTTCAATGTTTGGGTATGCAACTAATAATATTTCTAACCTTTTATTCTTAATTAGAGTGCTATAAATGATACTTCATCTTTATATTAAAAATTAAATTAACAACTACATATCAATTTAAATTAAAGCTAATTAAGTTTATAATAATAGCAGGAAGCAATAAACTATCATCAAATTAAATTCCATTAGAATAATTCATAAATTGGATCTTTATAGATAGATGACTAAGCTATTTATGACTAAAACCATTTTCGTTTAATATAAAACCTGGTCAGTAATTTCGATGAATAAAGCAGCTAAATTCAATAATTGTAAGATAGCGGGGCATTATACATAAACAGTAAATAGCCTTGTATCATCAAGCTTCAAAATGGAGATTAAATTTAAGTGACTTCATTATAAATAGATCTTCAATCTATTACTTATAAAGTAAATTAGAATTCTGTTTTAAATTACTACTTTTCAGCCAAAGTAAATGGAAAATGGATGCTTTTTAAATCTAGCTTAAAATAATAAATACATTATACATAGGGTAGAGGGAGCTCTTTCACATTTATTACTATTGCTCTTACTACTTATTTCTTTTTAAGGGGTTCTATTTACTTTTATAGTGCCTTTGTTCACAGGAAAGAGTATACTTAAATGTAAGAATTTATAATTAAATAGACTTAAACAAAGATATCTGAAGAACTGTTTAATAAATGCTACACTATTCTCACTGATAACAAACTAGGAGAAGGTGCTTTTGGTGTAGTTTATAAATGCCAATACACTCCATCAGAGGAATATTCTTTTATGAAAAAATACAAATAAAATCAGATGTTTGCGTGTAAAGTACTAACTAAGACTGATTAAAATATGGAAATGATCACCTAAGAAATAGATGCTCTAGAGTCTGTCAGAAATTGCTAATCAGCTATAAAAATGATTAATTATAGTATTGGTAATGAAAAAGTATATATTGTGCTTGAATTAGCCAAATATTCTCTTGAAGACTGCATTTAAATGAAATATGGTAACAGGTTCAGTGATAACGAAATAATTTAAATTGCTTTAGATCTGGTAGAAGTGTTAGTATAGCTAAGAAATTGTAATTTTAATCATAGGGACATAAAACCTTCAAATATATTGATAATGGAAGATGAAAATAAAATTAAACTTACAGATTTTGGTGCAGCTAAAAGAATTAATATTTCTAACTTTACAAAAAAAAGCGATGAGTTGATTGGATCACTATCCTGGATGGCTCCTGAATTGGTTTAAGCAATTGAGTAATATGATGAAGAGTAAGATGATAACTCTCTTTCTTAAATAGACTATGAAAAATGTGATATCTTTAGTCTAGGACTCACTTTGCTATACTGTATTTTAAAAATTAAGCTAAAAGGATGCAATAGATTTGAATATATATTGAATAACTATTTTAGTAATTTAGATAAATAACATTCTAATATAGACAAAGAATTTCGTATTCTCTTAAGAAAAATGACATCTTTCGACCCTAAAAAACGTCCTACATGCTTCATCATAAGACAGCATCTTCTTGATATTACTAGATAATCATATTAACAGCTTCTTCAACGAAGTGAAACCACACTTACAGTAAATAAATGAAAACCTTAATTTATTAAGATAAATAAATATATACCTTATATTTTATAAAATCTATATAAATATTAACGTTTCAATAATAGAATGTGAGTTTATTATGTGGAAAAAATTTTTTGTAATTTTAGATTACATCAAAGTTTTTTAAAATAAAATCACCAGAAACTATTTTAAATTCAGATGGTTATTAATCAATAATATTGAAGATTTTACTTCCTTGCATACTTAACATCTTACAAATTTTTCTGATTACATTTTAATTAGATTATTCTAAAAATATTTAAGTGCTTAATTGTTAGAAATCTTTGTTATTAAGAGAAAATTTTTATTTTCTAATATTTTGGTCTTCATTTTTTTAAAGTTAGTCTTAGTTTAACTAAATTAACTCATTTAGTATTTTTTCTTAGCTTCCATTTTACTTAGAAAGAGATGTAAATATCTCAGAATTATTTCTTTTGTTATCATTTAAAAAGTTATTACTTTCTTAGTTTGAAAAAGATTTTTTATTTATTTTATTAGATGATAATTTTTCTTATTTTTCTATTTTGTTTATTTAATTCTACGCATTGATAAATTCCATACTTTAATTAATATATTAACTATAAATTCCACTACTAAGTTAGTAGTCTATTGATGGCCTTACAAAATTAATAGTCTATTATACTTTTTTCTACTTTTTAATGTTATTATTTGAGGTTTAATTTTTATTAAAATTCTCTTGCTCATCTGTATCACTTTAGCTATTATCTTCTTAATTATTTTAATTATTTTTTATTGTAAACCTATTGGATTTATTTCTAACTTTGTCTTCTATCTCTTACAAGCTAACTTAAGAGGAATCACCTTAAGTTGAATCAGGTATTATTTGTATATTAAGAGTTTTTTAATTTTAAAGCTTATTAAAATTGTTTTAGCTATCTGTAATTTCAGAATTCTAATAACACAATTCTTTTATTTCATATGAATTTTCTGACCAATCCCCATGTTCTTTTTATTGCTATTCATTTTAATAGTTAGTATAAATTTAGTCATCTTTTTAAAAATATTTATTGTTTTTAACAGGATCAATAGATTTAATATTAGTCTAGTTATTGCTATTCATACTACTTTATCTTTCAACAAATATGTCTTCTAAATTATCTAGATTTAAGTTATCATATAAGCTGTCTCTATGATTTCTGATTTAATTCATAGATTTTGCAATTTAAATTTAAGATTTTACTCTTTTTAGATTACTATTATGTTGTTAATCTTTCATTGTTGGGGTTATAGACCTATTACTCTTAAAAATCTATCTCTCGCTGATATACATTTTTGAGTTATCTATTTAAAAGAAGACTACGAAGTCTACTCTGTAGATGTTTACAAATCTTAATTAAAGATTTCTTAGGTTTAGATACTCTAGCTATCAGTTTCTTCATCAGTTTAAAAGAAAATTTCTGTCTCTGAATTAAAATATCTGATATTATCTTTTAAAATTTTGCAAGTAATTCTATTTTAGTGAAGATTTATTCTATTTTTTAAATAAAATAAATAAAAAAATAGCTATCTTTAATTTTATTAAAAGACGTATTATGTAAATATAATTTTGTTGTAACGAAAAATAATTAGTTACCTCGCATTTATTTTTCCATTTTAACTATTTCTTTTTATATTTTTATTTCTCTCTTAAAATAAACTAAAATTGTGCCTTAAAATAATAAATTATGAATCGAATTTTTAGTGCAATGAAGGACAATCCTTAGCAAAGTGGCCCTGATTTTTGCACACATAGCATTCAATATGTAAAAATGTATTATCTTATAAGACTTTTATTTACTCTTCCATCATTTTAAATCTCTCAAAATCCTCTTAGTTTTCTTATATCAAATTAATAAACTTATTTCTATCTATTTTATAGAGTGTTGACAAGTTCAAGCTCCTTGCGCTAGAATTTCTGGATAAAGAAGAAAATAAAGAAATTTCTCCAAAAATGCTTCCTTACGAGATAACTTTTAATGAATGAGCCTTGGGCTTAATATTTTAATTTATTGAAACTTAAATTAAAGGTGGTGTTTAATAAATTTCTATCTAACCACTCTCTATGAAGTAGATTGATTAATCATTACAATCACCTTTCTCAAAAATAACCTCATTAGGAGAAACGATTACTTCTTTCATAATAAAAACTAATTTTCTCAAGCTTTAGGAGGAGAAGTTAGCGCTAAAAATAGTATTATTTTTAAGTAATCTTGAGTTTACTTCTACTATTATTTCATTTCTCAATTTATTTGATAGGATTTATAAGATTTCGTTTTCTTATTATTAATTTCTATCCTTTTACTCTTTAGCTAAGAAGCAAAGGTAATGTCTTACTCTACACTATAACTGTATATTCACATTTTTTCTATTTAAATACCTTAAAATATAATAAAATTTAATTATTTTTAAAGGTTAATTTATTTTTATATTAAATATATAGAAAAAAAAACTTTGTAAATAGGCTTTGAAAAGGAAATAAGTTAATTAATTAATTAATTAATTAGAAGCTTATTAATTTAATCAAATTATATATCAAATTTATGAGCTAATTTACTACTTACCTTTAAATGATAATTATATTATCGTTAAGCACTTTTGAAGATTTTTCTATTTCTTAAAGTATAAACCCTATATTGTTTATTGAATATGCAAACACACAGCTAAATAAGATCATTGAAATGTTATAAAAAGTGCTTCAATATAATTACTTGCTGATATGTCCCCGTAACCAACTATAAAGATTAAAATTAAAGATACTGGAAATCAGTAAAATATATACCTGTTGTCATTGTTGTAATTGACCAATAGATAGAATAAAAATACAGCTAAATGTATGTCAAATCATTAAAATTATATTTTTAAATCCATAAAACCGAATACCCATTTTAAATTTCATACTAAGCCAAAATGTGCCAAGCTAAGCTAACTAAAATTTAATAAATAATAAGTTAATAAATTTAAATATATTTAAGTGGGAGTTTTTCAATTGTAGATTAATTTATTTTTTTAAAAAATCAAATAATTAATTTACCAATATGAGCTACAGAAATAACAATAAAGAGTTAGTTAAATAATTTCATAATGTGCTTTTAGTAATTTTTTAAGGTAAAAGCATAGCTAAAATGCTTTTTCTTTTAATTGACACTTTATAATTTTAAAAATACTAATAAGTTAATTGCAAAGTTGATAAAACTGTTATCAGGATTATACACTATATGAGAATTTTATATTATTAATTTCAAACCCATAGTAGCTAAAGTTATAGCATCTGCTATGAAAACACTTGAAGATAAATTTTTCCAAGCTATTTATTTACGATTAGTAATAATCACATCTTTTTTAAAGTATGCAGTATTAAAGGTAATAAGTATATCAACTAAGAAAAATATGTAAGTGTATTGGTAATACTGTTTTATAAAGATAGAATCTTAATCCTACATAGCAAAGAAAATTAAAATAGAGTAAATGTATATAAACAAGTAAGTATAGATAGTTTGTAGGATATCCCAATAAATTTTAAATGTATTTGTAGGCATAAATAGAGGAATTTCAATATCAATCTTTAAAATATTTTAAAATTTATTGATGTATTTATTAAATAAATTATCTGTTGTCTTTGAATGAACAAAAAAAGTTTGATCATTAATCAGTCTATATTCATTTTCTTAAGTAATATTTATTATTCTATTTTTATTTCTAATTTTTAGTTAAAATATAAAGTTATTCACATGTTAGTTTATTCTTTAAACTCTATTCATAGATTTACTAATTGCATTATTTAATATATTTGCAGCTTTTTCAATGTTTTCTCTACTTTATCTCCTTATTTTTTATTAACTTTGTCTTGTATATGTTATTTCTGACCTTATTTAAGATTAATTGTTACTTGTATCAATATTTGAATCATTTTTTTAGCTTTCTTTTTCGCTATTAGAAAGTTTAAATCTTTCTATGACACTATTTTATGCTTTAGAAATTTCACTATTGAGTCCTTCTATAGTTATTGGCTTATGTTTATCCGAATCAACTTTGGTAATATCTGCCTCATTAATTCTACTTATTTCCTTATTATTGTTTTCTTTTATTGTGCTAATTTATTAATGAAAATTATTAACTTTTAATGAACTTTGCTAATATTCATTCACTCTTACTTAAGTCTTTTAATCCAATTAAAAAATTATTAATTCAAATATGTTTCTCTAAAATATTTTACTTAGCTGCTTAAGATAAATGGGATATTTTATATATTATTCGATGATTTATATTTCTTTTCTTAAGCTTCATTAGTGTTAGAAATTTCAGTTAAATCTATTAGATCATTATCACCATTTGAGCAATTTACAATACTTCCGCAGAAAATTTTCCCTTACAAAGATTTATTTTGAAACTCCAAGTCCTCTGTTATAACTGGGTCTATTTCATCTAATCTTTTTATACTCATTCTGATTATTTTTTTATTAGAAGTTCTATTTAGTTTTATAAAGAATCAATTTCTTAATATTAGCTTTTTTTATTTGTTTTAGTTTAACTATTTAACTTTTGTATTTAATAGAATAAATTCATTGCTAAATAATTAATTAATCATCTAATCTTAATATTTTTTTTTCTAAATTACTAAATCAACGTACTAATTATATAAACGTTATTAGTCGCTTAAAAATATTAATGAAAACAAATTTATAACAAATACACAAGACATAATAAGTGCAAAGCTTTATTTTTCTACCTATTAACATTTTTTAACATTACATCTGTATAAACATTTTTTTATATAATAAAAAATAATTAATAATAATTAAATGACATTCTTTTATTTGTAACTTATTTTATAATATTTACATTTTAAAAATTTTTAATATTTTTTACATACTAAAATTATAAAATAACGATTTAAATTTTACATAAAAGACTAATTTTTAATTTATCTTAATAATATTTATCAAAAAATGTGTTTCCTATCATTCTTTCTATTTATATTTGAGTTCAAATTTTAATTTTTGTATTAAAATGCTTGGTTTATAGATACTCCATAAGAAATATTACTAGAAAATGTTTAAGTGTTTTTTTGACAACCTTGAATTTTGTACTGATGAGATGAAAACTTAGATTTATTTTATGAGTTTTAATTTCTAAATAATTATAATCTGGATAGAAGCATTTTTAGGTTTTTATGTTAGATGAAGTTGTAATCTTTTATAACTTAGCTATAATTATTTTATGGAAAATAATATTTATAAATTTTCATCAAATCAAAAACATTTTGAAATATTTTAAATGTTGATGACGTTGATTATCTATTTGTAAAAGTTGTTGTCAATTTATCTTCATAATTGAATTTTTATATTTTTTAAACTTAAGATTTTAAATTTAAACATTCTTCTTAGGTGGTTTTTATTGATCTTTAACTTTATTAATATAGATCTTTTTTTAAGTTATTCTTTAAATCTTCTTTGATTATTTTACTTATTTTATTTTCCATAAAATTTGGATTTTAACTTTTACTTTTTCTGTCTTCAGGAAGTAGTTATAAGTTTGAAATGCTAGATAAACAATTATGATATTTCTATTCTTGAGAACAAAAAGATTCAGCAATTAAATGTGATGATAAATTAATTGATTCCTGCTCATTTTAATAATTTAAATCATGTTATATTTTAGGCTGATCGATTTAAATATTTTCAATATAATTTTAATGTTTCAAAATTGTTGATCTTTTCTTATTTCTATTGACTGTTATGTTAGAATTGTTAGAATTCTCATTTTTGTTGCCTTATTTATTATTTATAAATATTAAATGTAAACTTTATGAGTGAGTGAGTGATAGATAGATAGCTATAAAAATTTTATTGCTAATCCTAAAATATTTAAGTCAGTTAATTAAAAAAGCTTCAAAATTTACATATGTCTCCTAATGAGTTGTAATTTTAGACTGTATATTCATCTGTCTGAAGATTCAATTAGATTTCTTATTCTTTTTCTATTTAGCTTCTATCACTAATTACATAATTTATGTTAAAATCAATTTTTTCTTTAGCAAGAACTTTATTAAAAGCTTACTAAACTTAATTTTTGTTGGAATTAATTATTTGTTAATCCACATACACGTTTCTTTTGCAAATAGAAGTTTAATCAAAGTTATTTATTGAGCTAGTGCTTTGTTAATTTTAAAAATCTTTATTTAATTAAAGCTCTTCTTGCTATTACTTTTATTCTTCTATTTGCATATTAGATAAAATATGCTAAGTGTTTTCAAAAATAGAATTAAAGAAATTAAAATATTCCTACTCCATTTTGAGCTGGCTTAATAATCTCTAATTTAATGAGGTCAAAATTCTTTATTAATTAAAAAGGAATTATACTTAAGAGTACTGTAAATTTTTTAAAAGCTGAAATATATAATCTTGAATAATTAATAAATTACCTTGCAGAGTATAATTTTGTATACTGCCTTTAATAATTTCTCCTTTCTTAAAAGTTATTAAAATTATGCTTCAGATTAATAAGCTAATGATCAAATTTTTAATGCAGTAATGGACACTACTAGATAATATGATTGGATTGTTTACAAGAATAACATTTTAGTTGTGCTTATTTATAGTCCTCATTAAGTATAATATTGTGCTAAATAGCTTTAAAAATCTCAAAATCTATTTAATTTTATTGAATTATTTGCATGAAATCTTTTCTTTCAATTTTATATAATGTTGATAAAACTATGCTTTTTGCTGAAGCTGATCTTGGTTTTTAACAGAAAAATGCAATTTCACCAAATATTTGATTGTTTGATAAATCCTTAAGGATTTTAGTCTGAGAATTATTTTAGTTTCCACTTATAAATATTTCAATTTATCCATTCAAAATCAAATAAACTGAATCATCTAAATCCCCTTCTAAAAATATTGTTTCACCTGGAGAAACAATAATTTCTTTCATTAAAAAAACGAGTTTATTAATGGTTTACTGGGAAAAACATTTAAATATATCAAATTTCTTAATTATTTGGGAATTAGCCTCCAAAATAATTTCTTCTCTAAGTTTAGTAGATAAAATAGAAAGAACTTACTCTTCCTCTTTTAACAATCTGCTATTTACTTAGTCTTCCAGATAAAATAAATATTGAACAACACGAGTCTTAAGCTAAATATTAACATTTTTTCTTTTTAAATACCTTTTATTTTTAAAATCATTATTTTTGTACTCATATGAATAATATTAAATAGCTACAATTTAATTTCTAAAAAATATTAATTAATGAATAATTTTTTAAAATAGTTATTTCTATATTTTATTTATCTCATAATTAATTTAAATTTTTATATTTAATATTTATGTTTTGTATTTTTAAGTATTTTATTTAGAAGAATGGAAGAATATCCTTAAAATACAAAAAAATTTTCCATATTTCGCAAAAAATATTTTTTAAGGGTATATTTTTTTATTTTAGGTTTAAGAATACAATATATATTAATTATCAAGAAGTGAATTATTTAATTATTAAAAATAATAGGATAAATTAAAAAATATCATTTACTTTTCTATTATTTAAATATGATTTTTTAGATTTTAAGAGGAGGCTTTGAAATCGTGAAGAATTTAACCAATATTGTTGATAGAAAAAGCAAATACACAGCTAAAAATAATTGTGATTATAGATATGTATAAAGCTTCTGTGTAGTTCGTTGCAGTTATATCCCCATATCCAACTTTATTAAAATATTAAATTTAATAATATTTTAAATACCTAAATATTAATTAGAATAAATTGATAGATTTATTCATATATTTTACCTGTTGTCATTGTTATAATAGCCCAGTAAAAAGAATAAATATACTTGATATAATATTCGCTATCCTGAATATTGATGTTCTGAAGCCAATTTTTTTAATTACTCTAAATGAAAGTCAATGAATACCATCCAATACAAGCTATTTTAAATAATAACGTTAAATTATTTATATAATATAAATATTTGATTAGTTACATATATGAGCTATTTAAAGAACGCTAAATATTTGGCAAAATAACTTATACAAATGTCTAGATTATTAACTTAGAGTGATCACATATTCTAGACGTTTCACCTTTTGGGATACACCATATATCTTTACAAATATCAAAACATTGGAAAGATATTTCCATATATTATTTTCTGGATTATAAGTAATGTAATTAGGATTAGATACTATCAGAATTAACAGTGTAAGTATACTGATAAAATCTGTAGAAAAGTGCAAGCTTAAAATATATTTTTTGATTATATAGCTTCTTTCTGAAATTATGTTATCTCTTCTAAAAAAAGCTAAGTTCAATGAAACTAGTATATCTAAAGTCATTATAGATAAGCTGAGGACGCAACACAATACAAAAAAATTAGAATTAAATTCGTATTAATTAAAGAAGGCTATTATAGAAAAGAAAAAGAAGAACAAGTAGAGATATATTATTGTTAATATATCAAAAATAATTATTAATTTATTTGTAGGAATAAAAATTGGGATTAATTTAATTAGTTCTACTATTTTTCTTAAAAAAATAATTAAAATTGAGGAAGCTTAAGATTAATTATTTTCTATATAGTAGCTATTGTCTGCTATCATCTCAATCTAAAACTTAGATATGTTTTCAAGCTTTCTACTCCTACTTATTAGCTTTAATTTTTTTATGAACTCTAATACATGAATTCTTAATTGAATCATTTTTGAAAGCGAGTTTTTCTTATTTTTTGTATTTTATTCCGTTTTAAAGCTTGAATTTGCAATTGTAGATACACTTGTTCTATTCTTTTATTTGTTAATGACTTATATACCATTTTTTAAGTGGCATCTTAAAATTTGCTCTGGGTAGTCTTTTTACTTATTGCATGAATAAGCAAAATCTTATTTCTCTTAATCATTTTTATATTAACTGAGGTGTACATTTATTTAATATTTGTTATAAAACTCAGATAATATTTTATCACCTTAATTTACTATTTAAAATAAATAATTGATCAATTAATATTAATGTTATAAAAACATTATTTACCAGTTTATTAAAAACTATTATTTCTATTTTCATAAAGTTAGGTAGAAGAAATATTTTAGCTCTTATCTAAAAATTTATTTTATCTTGAAAGTCCATATTTTATACTAAAGTTGCCTTGATCAATATTTTAATATAATTCTGGGATATTATTTCTGGATGTATCATCTTAGTCTTAGCTTGCCAAACTTTTCAAGTCCAAATCACCTTTCAATCCTTGTTTAATCATATCACTACGTTCATCAATTATTCCTTTTTAACAAGGTTTCTAATATGTACTTTCTAATTGCGAGTCTTATTGGCCTAAAAATTCAAGCTCTGTGTTGTTTTAAACAATGGTAGCAAGTTTATCTGTCATAATTCTTTATATTTTTTATTAAATTATTCAATAAGCTTTTTTTATAAATTATTTTTTTTTTTGCGAAATCAAAACCTGACTTTATTAATTACTAATCAATGAATTAAATAATATTAACACTAAAATCTATATTAAAAACTTTAATTTATAAAAAGAAGCAATCTTCTATTGATAACAAAAAAAACTTTGCTCTAATATAGTATTATAAAATTCTGGCAAGGCAATAAAAAAATTATTAATTGAATCATAAATTTTCTATTCATTTTACTAAACAATTTAAATTTAATTTTTTACTCAAGATACTTTTCTCACAAATATTTACAATAAAAATAATTAAAAATGAGTAAATAACTAAATATTTTTTAATAAATAATTGTTGACCTTTTAAAAAATACAATACATTCCTAAATAAGAAATGGAATTGATTTTAAGAATAGAATATATCAATATAAAGCATTAAACCAGTTAATAAAAGTAATTTATTTTATAATCTAACTAAAAGCTTTTAAGAATTAAAAAGGTTTAATTGAGTTCATGAGCCTTTGAAGTAAGTTAAATATTATATTCTAAATATACCTTTATAAATTATTAATTTAGTTATAAATAATAATAATATATATATATATAATGTACCTTCAATATAATTAAACAAATAAATTTTTTATATTTTTGCTTTTTTGTATTAAAAGATAAAAGTGGGTTAATTCTAAGAATTTGCTCTAATAATATTTTTAAATTTTAAAGAATTGAGGTAACTATTTAAAAAAGCATTAAAACATCCATACAAATTTAAATAAATTAATTGAGTCGAAAAGTTATCCTATCAAATTACACTTAGACTTTTAAAAATTGGCTGTTTAATTTATCTATTGATTTTTATTAAAATTTTATATCTCTACATACCATTTACAGTCAAAAGTTAAATATATAAATTCAAAAATTATTGAATATTTTTCATTCAAAAGTTAATGAAATCTTTTTTTAACTCCTCTAAAAAATAAAGAGAAACATACTTTTAATAAACTAACATATTTTTCATTAAAAATGAACAGGAAATTTTGAGGGGAGCTAACTTTATCTTCACAATTGTAAATTATAATTTGATTTAAGTTTTTATTATTGATAAAAAGAAGTTTAATTCTACATCTAAATATGAAATATAAATTGAAAGTAATTATAGTTTAGTTTCATACAATTTTTAAGGAAATATCTATTTTATGTTTAGGAAATATAGTTTCTGTAAGTTATGAAACACCATATGATAAGAAAGTAGGCTTGTATTTTTCATAATCTGTTTCAGAAAATTATGACTATTGAATTATCTAGTTACAAAATATTGATTTTCTAACCGAATTTTGTTGCATAAAAATATTTTTTCTTCTCTATTTTGTATTTTTAGATGATGAATGAATCTTCTTTTTCAGCTTTTGTGAAGTAGAATTTTTATAGCTGAATATATTAGTAAAGTTATTGTGGGGAAAGAATTTTTTATAGTTCTTCATGATATCAAAGAAATCTAAAATAAAATAATCAAAATCTGAGTTACAAAGTCTTTGATAGATTGATTTTTAATTATCTAATTTCAAATAATCATCAGCTCCACCGTCAATCATTTTATAAAATTTCTAAAGAATTTTTTAAGGATTAGGATGGTGTTAGGTAAAAACCTAAGAATTTTACCCAAATACTTCTATACTGTTTTTAGGTTTTTGTGAAAAACTTTAAGATGTGTTTTGAATCTCATATTTTTTAATGATGTTCAAATCATTATTTGAAAAAAAACTCTCTCTTTAATTGCTTTCTTATCTTTTTGAAAAATTTGAAAATATAGAAGATGTATTTCTTTTAAAATTTTGCAAAAAACTATTTCTTTCTAAATTTTAAAGTGATTTTCCTTCATAAATAGTTTAAAGTTTTTCATCTAATTTATTTACAGTAGTTTCAAATTTATTGATTTAGTTTTAAGCACTCATTAATGCTAAGCTTTGAGCTATACAAGCACTATAAATACCATTATAAGAGGAGCTCTCTATTGAAGGCCTCTTTTCTTTATATGATTGTAAAATTTTTTTTGTCTTTTGTTTTTTAACAGCAACATCAGTACCTTAATTCTACTTTTAAACATCTTCATCGCTTTTCTAGCTTTGATAAATCACATTACTATCGTCTTGATTATTTGAGTTGAATTTGATGGTAAGTTTATTAGGTTTAATTTTAGTCTTTTCTTCATTGTTTTCTAATAAGCTTTTATGAGACGAATCTTTATTGGTAGAATTTGAAAGTCTTAAATTATTCTACACCTTAGAATTATGTGTTTTGTTTTGAAAAATTAAATTCTCAAATTATTCTGAGCTTGGATTAATTTATTCTCTTGATTCTTCTGAATTCTTTTCTAATTTATCTTAACTCTCTTTACAATATTGGTCATTTTCAATGTTTAATATCATTGTTTAATCTTCATCAAATTTATTAAAATTATTTGTTTCTTAAGATTTATTATTAATTACTTTATTATTTATACCACTATTTTGTCTTTCACTATTCAATAAATTTTCTAGGTTTTCAATTATTTTATTATCTTTTAAGCTGTCTCTCTAATTTTTTACTTGTGAGGATTACTTTCCAATCTAAATTTAAGATTTTATCAACTTTAAACTATTATTATTGACTTGGTGATCTTTTAAAGTAGAATTCAGACTTCTATCACTTTTAAACATGTATTTTTCATTAATTGATTTATTAGAGCTATTATCTTTTAATGATGACTATGAAGTTTAGTTAGTAGAAGAATTTTAATCACCTAATTTGTTTTCTTCATAATCTGAATATTAGTTAAAGGAATCTTCATCTGTTTAATAAATAATTTGTACTTGAGTATTAAAATATCTTATATTTTCTTTGAGGACTTAGCAAGTTATTTAGTTATTGTTAACATTAATCCTTTTTATAAAAATATTAAATTATATGAAACGAAATATATATTATAGCTTTAAATAAAAATATTAATATTAATAAATAAATATAGCTAACCTTGCATTTTATTTAGTATTTGGGAATCTTCTTTTTGCCTTTCAATATCTTTCCTAAAACAAGCTAAAGTTATGCTTCAATACTAAAAATTAAGAATCAAATTTTTAATGCACTCTAGGACAGTCCTTGGCCAAATGACCTATACATTTACAGGCATAGCACTCTAAATATAAAATTGAATTGTCTTATAAAAACTTAATTTATACCTCCATCATTTTAAATCTCTCGAAATCTTCTTAGTTTTCTTAAATGAGATTGATAAAGCGGCTTCTACTAATTTTATAGAGCGTAGATAAATTAATACTTCTCGCACTAGCATTTCTAGCTAAACCAGAAAAAAATGAAATCTCACCAAAAAAATTATCTTTAGATAAAACTTTTAAAGAATGAGTTTTTTGTTTCTCATTTATATTATTTGTAATTTAATTAGAGAGAGGTGTTTAATATATTTCTATTTTACCACTTTCTATAAAATAAATTGATTAGTCATCATAATCTCCTTCTTCAAATATAATTTCATTAGGAGAAATATTGATTTCTTCCATAATAAAAACTAGCTTTCTCAAAATTTGAGATGAGAAATTAGCACTAAAAAGAGCATTATTTTTTAATATTCTTGAGTTAATCTCAACTACTATTTCATTTCTCAATTTATTTGATAGAATTTATAAAATTTGATTTTCAGACTATTAGTTTCTATCTTTTTGCTCATTAGCTAAAAAACTAAGATAGTGCCTCACTCGACTCTATAGAAATGCATTTATATTTTTTCTTTTCAAATATCTAAAATATTTAATTTTTAAAATATTTTTTAAAGTTTTAATTTTTTAGATAAAGTTTTAATCTAATTAATTTGTGAAAGAAAATTTGATAATATTTTTTTTTAAGATGAAATTAGAATTAATCAATTTATAAGCTAATACCTTTAGATGATTGTGATACTATCATTTAGCTCTTTAGAGGATTTTTCTATTTCTTAAAGAATAAATCCAATATTATTGATAGAATAGGCGAATACACAGCTAAATAAAATCATTGAAAGTGTAATAAATAGCGCTTCTATATAATTGCAGGCAGATATGTCTCCATAACCAACTATAAAGTAAAACAAAAGAAAATATTAAGCTTATAATAATTAAATATAAATAAATACCTGTTGTCATAGTAGTAACAGACCAATACATAGAATAAATATATATTTGAATATATGGTAAATCATTCAAATTATATTTTGAAATCCATGAAACAGGATATCCTTTTTGAATTTCATATTGACCCAAAGTATACCAAGCTAAGCAAACTATGTTTATTTGATTAAGAATAAATCAGTTTTTTTTTAATAAAAATAAATTTTTTTAGGATTATTTTGATTTTTAATTAAAATTAAATGCAATTCATGGGAAAATTATATTAATCAAAGATTTTTTAAAGAAGCAATATTTTAAATAAAATAAGAATTATATTGATTTTTTACCCAAATGAGCAACGAAAATAACACTAAGCAATTAATTAAGCAATTTCATAATATGTTTTTAATTATCTTTTAAGGTAAATGCATAATTAAATCTCTATTTCTTCTAATTAACACATTTTAATTTAAAAAACACTAATAGATTTATTGCAAAACTTTAAAAGCTGTTATCAGGATTATAAACAAGATGAGAGTTTTAAAGCATCAATTTAGACCCCATAATTATTAAAGATATAGCATCTGCAATAAAAACACTAGAAGATAAATATTTCCAAGCTATTTGTTTACGATTAGTAACAATGACATCTTTTTTAAAGTAGGCCGTATTAAAAGTTACAAGTGTGTCAGCTAAGAAAAATATGAAGGTATATAAATAGTATTACTTTATAAAAACTGTATCTTAATCTTGCATGGCAAAGAAAAGCAATATAGAATAAATGTATATAAATAAATAAGTATAAATAGTTTATAGAATGTCCCAATAAACTCTAAAAGTATTTGTTGGCATAAATAAGGGAATAGGTATTCTCATTTTTGCAAAGCGATATAATTATTACAAATACCTACTGAAAAAATTTCTTTTTAATATTTTTTTATGAGAAAACGCCAAATCATTGATTATCTTATATTCATTTTCTTACAAATTTATCATCTACCTATTATTTTTTTTATTTTTTAGTATTTATATAAAGTTATTTACATGTTTGTTTATTCTTTAGACTCTATTCATAGACTTACCTAAAATATTATTTATCATATTAATAGCTCTTTCAAAATTTGATACGCTCTTCCTTCCTATGTAGCTTATCTTTTATATCTTTGTATCAGTTTTTATACATGATTCACTAAGACAGTTTACTTCAAGATCAGAAATATTTTTAGATTATTCTTAATGATTTATAGAGTCCTTTTTTATATCTACCAAGCTTATTTCTACTTTTATCTTATCATAATACTCTTAACTCGATTAAGAGTTTGTAATTTACTGTTTTTTAATACTACCATATGTCTATTAGATGTGTGTAGGTTAATTAATGCTTTTGATACTATTTTTTCGTTAAGAGGTCTCGTTACTTTTATTTTGTGATTCTATAGTTTTTTCATCTTCTTTAAATTCTGAAATTTCTATTTTCCTTTTTTAATTCTAATCAAATAAATTGATGATGCTAAATGTTTAATGATAAATAATTTACTTTGACATCAAAATGCATTGGTTTACTTTGTATTTATAATATTTCATGTGACTTCTATCTTCCTTCATCAATATCTGTGTTGTTATAGGGCTAGGAGATATTTATGAAATCTTCATCTCCTTTTAAGCAATTAATCATACTTTCATAAAACATTTTTCCTTGCAACGATTTATTTTGAAGTTCTATATTATCTGATAAGGTATTTTGTATGCTTTACCTACTCATTATTTAGCAGTAATAAAATATGTTGTATTTATCTAGTTTATTATAAATAGTTTTTTGTTGAAGATTCCTTGAGGCAATGTTTTTTTGTTAAATTTATAGATTTTATCTTTGCTTTGATGAACTCTAATTATAATTATAATTATATAAATTATTAATTAATAATGACTAATAATAATAACAAAACTATGTCTTTGATAATTAATTTTTAATAATTTATTAACCAATTAATTTTTGTTTCTATATAATTTAAGAATTGAAGAATCAAATATACAAATTGTTTGATTAAAAATATTATGAGCTTAATGAAATAGCTATAACATTTTTTTATTTACAAGTACATTAAAAACCATTAGAGGGGAAGAATATTCAAACGAATATATGCTTATGAATAAATTTTCGAAATGAATATTTTTAATTTAACAAATATTCTTTTCCTAATAATTCAAAAATATTTAATTTTAGTAATATTTTATTTTTATGAATTCAAAAATTTTTACTTTTACAAATATCAGAAATTATTCTTATAAGAAATATTTTTTTAAAAGTCTGACCATATTTTTTATTGTTCCTATATATTTATTTAATTTCAATTTATTGTGATATATTAAATGAAAAAATGCTAATTATTTTGTTTCAAACCCTATAGTTAGACATAATATTTCAATATCACTAAATTAGCAGATTTTGTAGATTAAGATAATTGATCAGTTTATCACATTTAAGATATTGGAATATGATATATATTCTCTAATTATCCAAAATTAATTAATTATAAATATAAATAAAATTTTGCACAAATAGTTAAAGCAAGATTGCTGAATTAATATAAATATAAATCATTAAATATATTATATAAAATATTAATTAACTAAATATTATTTTATAAATCTTTTTTTGCATCCAAACAATAAAATTAAATATAAATTTTTATATAAATAAATAATACTTAGATTGATTTTTTATCTGAATAAGTTAAACTATATTATAATTGGAAATTAATTTTATATTAATTTTGATCATTATTATATTTAAAATTGAGGGAAAACAGATTCATTCTTTTATGAAACACCATAGGACAAGAAAGTTGGTTTATATTTTTCATAATTTATTTCAAAAAATGCAGAGTTTTGTTAAACTTAATTACAAAATGTTGACTTTCTAAGAGAATTTTGTAGTATGAAAATATTTTATCTCCTTTTATTCTAAGATTTAATCATGCTGAAATTCTTTTTCTATTTATTTAAATTGATTTTCTTTTTTTTAAACAAATTACAAAAATTGTTATGTGGAAAGAATTTTTTGAAATTCTTGATAAGATCAAAATAATTTATAACATAATAATTATTATCAGGATTAATAAATCTTTTAATGTCAGATTTTTCATTATCAAGTTTTAAAACATCTTCTGCTTAAATATTAACAATTTTTAAAAAGTTCTATAGTAGTTTTTATTTAAAAAATTATTCCATTGGCTCAGAAGAGTTTTACCTCAAAACATCTGTGTTTGCTTGCTGTACTTTAAACATATCTTATTAATCACATTTTTTGATTGTATTTATCTCTTTATCAGAATATTAGCTCTCTCTTTACTCATAGGTTACATTTTATCTTTTTGGTATGTTTAAAAATAGCGATGAGGCATTTTTTTTAATAGCACTATTCTGCAAACTGTTTACATCTTAATTCTATAATTACTTTTCATGTGAAATTGTTAACATTTTATCATCTATCTTATTTAAATCATTATCAAATTTATCTGTTTAGCTTTAAGTCATGAAGAGGGCTAAGCTTTAAGCAATGCATGCATTAATATTTGTATTTTAAACAGAGTTATCAATTGAAGATCTTTTTTCACTTTACTATGGTTAATATTTATTTGTTTTTTAATTTCTAAGTACAAGGCTTGAACCTTAATTACACTTTTAATTTTCTTCATCACTTTAACAACTTTTATTATTATTGTTATTGCAATCATCTTAGATATTTGAGTTATATTTAATGATAAGTTTGTTTGATCTAATTTTTGCTTTCTCCTCAATGACTTCTTACAGGCTTTTATTAGAGTAGTCTTTATTAATAGAGCCTGATAACTTTATATTATTTTGAAGCTTAGAATTCTAAGATTTATATTCTAAGTTTGGATTCATTTTTTCTTTTGTGTGTTCTGCAAAAGCAATTTCTTTATCTTATTTATCTTAAAAATGGTAATTATTTTGATTACTTGACTAATTAATTTAATTTTCGTCAAATTAATTTTTATTTTTAGTTGGACTGAGTGATTTAATATTTATCTTATTATTATTTATACTACTAATTTATATTTCACTTTGCATTAAATTTTCTAAGCTTTCCATTTTTTTATTTTCTTTTAGATAATCAACCTGATTTTTTATCAATGATGGCTGCTTTCCAATTTATATTTAAGATTTTATTATTTTTAAGCTATGATTTTTTTTGTGATCTTTTTATGAATAGTTTATACTTCTATCACTCTTAAACCTATATTGTTCTTTTATCGATTTATTTGAGCTATCACTTTTAAAAGACGATAAAGAAGTCTAGTTATCAGTTGTATATTAGTCTTCTTCTATATCTTACTCACAAATAGATTGCTAATTTAAGATGTCTTCATCAGTTGAAAATAGTATTTACATCTCAGGGCTCAGATCTCTAATATTTTCTTTAAGAAATTAGCAGGTTATTGTGTTAATTTTAATGAAGACTCTTTTAATATAAAAAAGGGGATAAAATTAACAAAAAAATAGTTATTAATAAGGTTCTAAAAAATTTATCTTCTTTCTTTTTTGGTATTTTATAAAATTTATTATTTAGTAATCATAAAAACCAAAATTATTTAGAAATTAAATATTTAAAAGTTTTTATATTCTTAAAATTAAAGAAGGAGGGGATAAATAAGGAACTTTCTTCATAAACAAAATATTATTTAAATTTTTCACAGTCCAAAAACTGTTTTTGCAGAAGAACATTATTTTTTCTCCCTCCTCCCGATTTTTAAAAATTAATTGACTTAAGTGATTTGAAAAAAATTTAAACTCTGATTATTAAAAATAAATAAGTAAGTGGAAAATATATTGCAAAAAAAAAATTTCAAAAATAATAAACCTTGGATCATAATTATCATTTTAGGATCTTCTTTTATATTTTGCCTATCTTTCTTAAAATAAACTAAAATTATGCTTCAAAGCTATAAATTATGAATCAAATTTTTAATGCACGATTGGGCAATTTTTGACCATATGACCCATACTTTTACAAGCATAACATTCTAAATACAAAATTGAATAATCTTGTAAGAATTTTATTTATTCTTCCATCATTTTAAATCTCTCAAAATCTTCTTAATTTTCTTAAATTAGTTTGATAAAGCTATTTCTATTTATCCTGTAAAGAGTAGATAAATTAATGCTCCTTGCACTTGCGTTTCTAGATAAACCAGAAAAGAAAGAAATCTCACCAAAAATACTGTCTTTAGATAATACTTTTAAAGAATGAGTTTTCTATTTCTAATTAAAGCTATTTAAAATCAAATTCTAATGAGGTGTTTAATAAATTTCAATTTTTCCACTCTCTATAAAGTAAACTGATTGGTCAATGTAATCCCCTTCTTCAAATATAATTTCATTTGGTGAAACAACTACTTCTTCCATAATAAATACTAACTTTCTAAGGGTTTGAGAAGAAAAGTTAGCACCAAAAATCGAATTGTTTTTCAGTATTCTTGAATTTGTCTCAACAATTATTTCATTTCTCAATTTATTTGATAAAATTTATAAAACTTGATTTTCAGATTATTAGTCTCTGTCTTTTTGTTCTTTAGCTAGGAAGTTGAGGTAGTGTCTAACTCTACTTTGTAATTATGCGTTCACATTTTTTCTATTCAAGTACCTAAAATATTTTAAACAATTATATAGATCAGATTTTTATCTTGCTAAATAACTCAAAACTATAAAATTATTATTTTAAATATTTTTAGTGTTAATAGATACCTTTAGATTATAATGATACTATCATTGAGCTCTTTAGAAGATTTTTCTATTTCTTAAAGTATAAATCCAATATTATTTATTGAATATGCAAATACACAACTAAATAGAATCATAGATATTGTTATAAAAAGCGCTTCTATATGATTGCTTGCAGATATGTCTCCATAACCAACTAAAATTTAAAAGAAGTCAGTATTATAAAAAATTAAGTTATATATATATACCTGTTGTCATAGTAGTTACTGACCAATACATAGAATAAATGTATAATTATAAGTAAGTTAGCTCATTCAAGCTGTACTTTTAAATCCATGATTAAGAGAATCCATTTTAAATTTCATATAAGCCTAACGAATACCATGCTAAACAAACTAAAATTTATATTATTAATAATAAATAATCTTAATTAATTTATTATTATCATTAATAATATAAATAAATTTTAAATCTTAGATAAAGTATATATTAAAGTGGGAAATTTTATACTAAATAAGCAACTATTTTTTTCTATTCCCTTAACTAAATAAAATAAATTGAATCATTAATTTACCCAAGTGTGCGACAAAAATAACACTTAGCAATTAGTTTAGTAATTTCATTATATGTTTTTAATGATCTTTTAAGGTAAATGCGTAGCTAAATCGCTTTTTCTTTTAATTAACACATTTTAATTTTAAAAAAACTAACGAATTTATAATAAAAATGCTTAGGCTATAATCAGGGTTATAAACTAGATGAGAGTTTTTTAAAATTAGCTTCGATCCCATAGTTATTAGAGATATAGCATCTGCCATGAAAATACTAGAAGACATATACTTCCAAGCTATTTATTTTCTATTTGATATAATAACATCCTTTTTAAAGTAAGCGGTGTTAAATGTAACAAGAGTATCAATGAAAAATAATATAAACGAATATAAATAGTATTGCTCTATGATAGCAGTATCTTAATTCTACATAGCAAAGAAAATTTATATTGAGTAAATGTAGATAAATAAGTAGGTGTAAATAGTTTATAGAATATCCCAGTAAACTCTAAAACTATTTGTTGGCATAAAAAGAGGTATTGGTATTTTCAGATCTGCAAAGCGATATAATTTATAAATGAATTTATTCAGTATATTATTTCTATTAATTTTGTTAAAAGAAAATGCCTCATCGTTAATTATTTTATATTCATTTTCTTAGAGGGCTATTACTCTATTGTTTTTTCTATTCTTTAATATTTGAATGAAATTTTTTACATGCTTATTTATTCTTTAGACTCTGTTCATAGACTTATTTACAATGTTATTAATTATATTAGCAGCTTTTTCGTAATTTACTACATTTTACTTCCCAATGCTAAACTTACTTCCTTCAATGTCAGATATGTTTTTTTATTGTTAATAAGATATAGTTTCTTTTTTTTTATTGATTAAGTTTAGTTCTACTTTCAAATTATTATCATTATGTTATTATAATCCAGAGTTTTAAATCTACTATTTTTTATTAATGATCTTTTTTTTAATCTCCTCTATATTGCTTATTACTTTAATATCATTTCCTTCATAAAAAACCTTATTTTTTGATTTGGAAAAGAAATCAGCTTGTTTATTTTGTTAAACCTCCTAAATGTCTACTTCTAAACTCTTTTAATTCTATAAAAAGTTTTTGAATTTTTTATGAATATAATAATAAAACTTTTTTAATTTACTTCACACTGAGAAGAGGAATTCTTTGTTTTCAGTACTTCTTGAGATTTTTACCTTCTTTCATCTATATCTGTGTTATAACAAGGTTAAGAAATATTAATTAAATCATCATCTCCTTACAAGCAATTCATTATGCTTTCACAAAATAATTTTCCTTGCAAATTTTTGTTTTAAAACTCAATATTATCTGATATTGAATGTTATATGCTATAACTACTCATAATAAAGGTATAATTAGCTAAAATTAGGCTTTATATATTTGGCTAAATTGCTTTTTTTCTAACAAATTTCTCAAAGTCAATATATATCTAAAATTGGCTTTCTTTTTATTTTTTAATTAGAAGAATTGAATTGAATTGAATATCAAAAAATTACTATTTCTACTAATATTTTGAAACAAATTAAATATAAATTTTTTGTTATACACAGTTTAATAATAGGTAATAATTCATTTTATCTAGTTTGTTTTGTAGTTAAACTGAAAAATTCTATTTTTGTTATAATTTAACTCTAATAAAAAATCTTAATTTAGATGGTAATAAATTTAATTTAGTATTTTATTATTTGAGTAAAATATATTTTTTATTTTTTAATTTATTTATACTTAAAATTAAATATTGTTGAATATTAAGGTTTAAAGAGAGATTAGAAATGTAAAAAACTTTGATCAATTTTTAAAAAATTTTTAATAAATTGAATTAATTATTTTTATAATGAATAAGTTAATAAATTAAAACAATCATTTAATGATTGATATAAATGATTTATAATATTTTTAAAACTAAATACTGTAAATTATTGTTTATTATCGCCCTCTTTAATAAAGTGCAATTTTGAATAACTTTAGAAAAAGTTTTTAAACAATATTTAGATTTCATATATTTTTTACTTTAAAAATTACCCAATTTTACCAGTAAATATTATATATATCATATATTTTATCAAATAAAACAAATTATATATTTATAAACTTCTTAACTTAGTTTATACATTTATTTATTATTCATAGTTTTTATCCTGTTTGTTGATATTGTTGTAAGAAAATTTTTGGGTACTTTTAGGAACTTTTAGTAGATATTCCATAAGAAATATTTGTATTATTGTTCATTTAGTAAACCTTAAATTAGTTTGCCATAGACTTGATATAAAATTATTTTTTTTACTTAAATTCATAACCTATTTAATGACTTTAATCTTTTTGTGTTTGATTTGAAAATATTAATTTTCTAATGTTATTATTTTAATGTTAGTTATAATCTTTTATTACAAATTTATAATTACTAAAAGGGAAATAATATTTAAATTATTTCATTTCATCAAAGTAATTAAGTAATATTTTTTGTTATTCTAAAGTAGAACTTTTGCTGACCAAATGTTTTGCTTTCTATCCATTACCATGTTTTTTATTTGATTTTAGAACTTATGATTATATGTTTCCATTATAATAAGTTTCTTATTTATCATGCGAAGATAAGGTTCTTATAGAGTTTTAACTTATACTTTACTCTTTAAAATTACTGATTTATTCATCTTTACAAAATTTTAGGATTTTAGTTTCTTATGATTTCCAATTAACACTTTTTTTTTCTTCAGGGAAGAGTTAGATATTTGCTAAACTTGATAGCTATTTATGATATTTTTATTCCTAAGGATAATTAGATTCTGCAATTAAATTTGCGGAGATGTTGATAGACTCTTGATCCAAATAATTTATAAAAGCTAGCGACTATTTAGATTAGTCTACTTAGATATTTTCTATAAAATTATTATGTTTTAAAATACTTGATTATTTTTTTCTAATCGAAACTGTATTTTTCTAAGTGAAGTTTTCATTTTTGCTGCCTAATTTTATATATTTTAATTTAATGCTTTGGTAATTTCAAAAAGAAAGTATTAATAAATACATGTATCTAAAGCAGAAATAGATTATTTTAGAGAGTAATCATCATACAGAGTACTTTATTAGTAAACGTCTAATTCTTTATCTTAAATATTTTCATCATGCTTAATATTGAAATCAATTCTCGTATTTTTATTAGAAAATTGTTAAATTAAACTTTTATTTGAGTTAGCAAAGTGTTAGTCTGATGACATTTATTTATTACTTACAGGAAATTCATCTAAATTACAAATTGACTGTTTATAGAGTGAGTTGAAATAGAATTCTTCTTCTTGTTCAAAGAAATTTCCTTAATGCTTTAATTCTTCTATTTTTTTGTTTGAAAAACCTTATTCACTATCATTTATCTTCGAATTGAAAAAATTTTAATGCTTAGGCTCTGTTTTCATTTGATTAAATATTTTTTTGTTTTGACCTATCAAACATCTTTTGAATTATTAACAGTTAGTTATTATTTTAAATTATTTAATAATAGAAAAATTTCATTTTTAATATGATAATTTATAAAATATTTTTGAATAAAAAATATAAATTATTTTTTAATTTTACTTTGCTTTAAAAAGCTTTGTCAAATGTCTTTTATTTAATTACTTCCTTTCCTAAAATTGACTAAAATTGTATTTTAACTTTATCAGTTAATGGTCAAATTTTAAATTTAATAATGGGCATTTCTATATAATGTGGTTATTAGATTCACAAGCATAGCATCTCATTTTAATTTATTTATAGTCTTTATTCAGAGTAATTTTATGTTGTAAAGCTTTGAAAATTTCAAAATCAGTTTGATTTTGATGAATTACTTATATAAAATCTTTTCTTTCGATTTTACATAATGTTGAAAAGCATGTACTTCTAGCTGAAGCAGTTCTTGGTTATTCTGAAAAAAAAGCAATTTCACCGAAAATCTAATCAGTTGATAATGTTTTAAGGATAAAAGAGTGAGAATCTCTTTTAGTTTCTTTTAAAAATATCTCAATTTGGCCACTTAGAATTAAATAAATTGAATCATCAAGATCTCCTTCTTAAAAGATAGCTTCACCTGGAGAAACTGTTATTTCTTTCATCTAGAAAATAATTTTATTAATAGTTTATTGATGAAAGCAATTAAATATTTTAAATTTTTGTATAGTTTTGAGATTTGACTCCTTAATAACCTCTTATCTAAGATTAGGTGTTAAAAGAGAAAGTACTTCGTCAGTTTATTTTATTTATTTATTTTTTTCTTCTAATAAGGCACTAAGATAAGCTTATATTTGAATTTTAAGCTAAAAGCTAATGTTTTTTGTTTTCAAATATCTAATAAAAAACAAAAAAAACTTATGAATTTGTTTATTTTTCAATAAAATCAATTTACTATTAAATGATTTAAACTTATTTGTTAAAATCTTGATGCTAAATGTAAATTTCATTAAAAATATGACCAATTTTATTTATATAGCGAACCAATAAAAAGCTAAAAATTATTGCAAATATTGATATGTATAAAGCTTCCACATAATTTGTAGGTGATATGTCTCCGCTCCCAACTGATAAAATAAAAAATTTTAAAATGTAAATTGTTTAATATTTATTAATTAAAAAAAGCAAATTATAAATTATTGATTGATTGATTGAAAATTACATTTAGAAATGTAAGGATATAAATTGGTTGATTAAAAATTTACCAGTTGTTATTGTTAAAATTGCCCAGTAAAAAGAATAAATGTACTTAATATAATATTCGCTGTTCTCTATGTTGATGCGCTAAAGCCAATTTTTTTCATGGTTTTAGATAAATGTTAAACAATAAAACCCTACGCATGCTTTTTTAAAAATATTTTTTATAATTTTTAATAAATATATGTAATTATTTTACATATATGAGCAATTTAAACAAAGCAAAAAATTTAGCTGAAAAATTAAAAAAAGTGCACTTAGAACTAACTTAAGGTTAATAAATTTTTTAATTTTTTGATTTTCAGCTTTAATCCATATATTTTTGCAAATATAAAGATTATTTAAGTATATTTTAGCAAACTTCTTTAAGGATTATAAGTAATTTGATTTGAGTGAGGAATTAATTAAGCTAGTAGAGCAATAATGCTCAATATATCTGAAAAAAAACATAAGCTAAAAATATATTTCTTTACTATTTATCTCCTATCAAAAATTATGTTGCCGCTTATAATTAAAGCTCTATTTAAATTACTTAAGATATCAAACGCCATTATGAATAAACTAAGAATACAAATAGCTACGAAAATATTAGAGTTTAATTCATTTTAATTGAAGAAAGCAAAAATTGATAGAGTAAAAAAGAAAAGATAAAGATAAATTATGCTTATGATATCAAAAATTATAATAAACCTATTAGTAGGGTAGAAAATAGGAATTTAATTAAATATTTCTTTAGTTTTTTCATTGAAATTATAAAAAGTAGAGCCAATCTTGGTAAGATCATTTTCAAAATAATAAGTTTTATCAGAAATCAGTTTAACTTTTTATCTTGAAAAATGATTTAATTTTCTATTATTACTCAAATATTTTAATTTCAAGATAAATTGGTAAACATTGTATTTTATTTAAGCTATCTTTGATGGTTAAATCTTAGTTTTTGTTATAATTTCTTCACACTTTTATGATGTGAGAGGAATATTTTTGAAACTTTAATTTAACTTTTTGTCTCTCTTTATAATTGAATTGTCATTTTAGATTTTAAAAAAACCTTTCTCTATTATCTATCTTACTTGCTTTGCATTTTTTTGATTTAAATTTTCTTTATTATAACCCTCTAGCTGTTTACAGCATCCTTTATTTTTAGGAAATTAATGAGCAAGACAAATGTATAAAAACTATAAATAAGTAGAAGTTCTAAAAAACAATAAATAATTTTTAAATATTACCTTATTCTTTGATTTCAAAAAAAAAACTATTTTATTAAATATTATAGCTATAGTTTGATTCATCAAGATCGTTTTTTTCTTTTGATTTAAAGATTTCGCTTGTAATTCTTTTTTAAAGTTCTGCATTTGCATTTTATTATTTACCATTTCTTTCTTTTGGATTGTGATTTGTCCAAAATCCTAAATCTTTCTGTTAATTGCAATCGTTAATATTCAAGTTTTAATTAGTTTAATCAAATAAACTATCTTTTTGGAAATTTGATTGAGGTAATAACTAAGAATGGTTATTATTTTCGACAGAAATGTCTAAATTTTTTTAAAAATCCATTTGCTTTTCTCAAAAATTAGATTATTTTTACTCTATTTTTAATTATGTTATTAAATTAAAAAAATACTACTGATTTCACCAGAATTTTTCACAAATATAAAAATATATTAAGGAAGTCTTTTTTTTTGTATTAAAGGCAATATTTCAAATAATTTAATAAATTATTACCTTGCAATTTAGAAAAAAAATAATTATCACTTTTTGAAAATTATAATTTATAAAGATAAACCATATTAAGTATCTCTTAAAGTACTTATAAATAATGGAAGTGATTAAAAGTATTATTAATTAACTTGATTATTTTAATAATTCAATATATTGAATATTTAATTATAAACATTAGATTAGAAATTGATTCATGTTTTTTAAAAAACTTAGCAAGAAACAAAATCTATCTAAAAAATGAAGAAAAAAATTAATTTAAATATTCTTTTGGAAAATGAATTTTATAATGAAAAAATTGAATGATAAAAATTATATCTAATCCCAATTAATTATGCTCAAAGATAATAAGGGACAAAATATATTGGTTAAAAAAATAAATTTAATTCTGAAAATTATAAAAATTTATTTAGAGATCTTGGGCATATAAATTATTTTTATTAATTAACCTCAAGATATTCTTATATATATTATTATTTTAAATGTACTATTTGAGTATATCATTTAAGAAAAGAATTAATTTTCAAAAGTAATACAAATTATATAATAGATAGAAAAGTTCAAATAATAAAATCATTTTTTATTGGTTTTAGGTATAATTCGGAGCTAATTCATTTCAATTGACCTTTACCCATTAGACTATGATGGACTGTTTTATTAATTTGACTAGTCTTTATTATTTTTATCATTCTAAATTTTTTATTTTTATGAATTGACCTTAATTTAATTTGTTGCAAACAAGTTGAAAATTTATTCAATAGAAGCTTGCTTTACTGAATAATTTTCAACCAACAACTGATTTTTATTGTTTTCGAAAACTTCAAACATTCTACCAATAGATATGTCAGACTAAATTCTAAATCTGTAGAAATCATCAAAATGTTCAATAATACTATATTCACCTAATTTTTTTTCTATAAATGTTTTTAGGTTTTCTCCATTTTATTCTAATATCACATATTGTGCTAGAGATAATAAGCTTACTCCGTAATCAGAAGTCAATCTAGCGTACAATTATTTACCATTACCTTAATCATTGATTTACTCATAGAGATTGAAAGCATTCATTTTTTAAAGATATTATTCAAGCTAACCATAGTGAATTTATTCTTTAACTTAAGCTTAGGAAATCCCGTATGAACTAAGTTTCTGAATAAGCTCTTATTCTGTAGGTATTTTTAATTTGATTTCAACCTCATAACCTTCACCAAATTTATCCTTAATTTATTATATACTTCCAATGCACTTCAAAATACCTTCTACTTAAATAGCAACTCTTGTTGAGAGAGCTTCAGCTTCTTCCATTGAATGGGTTGTTAATATTACACTTGAACTTTTACGTTTAGTAGATATTCTTGAAATAACATCCCACATAAAACGTCTAGCTGCAGGATCCATTCCTGTAGAAGGCTCGTCAAGAAAAACAATAGGAGGATTACCTAACATAGCTATAGCTACGCTTAGCTTACGTTTGTTACCTCCACTATAAGTACCTGCTAGCTTATGTTCGAATTCTGTCAAATCCATTTCTTTGATTTTTTTAGCAACTAATTTTTCTCTCATTTCTATAGGAATTCCTTTAATTAATGCATACATTTCTAAATGTTCTCTTGCTGTTAAATTATCACACAAGGCATCGAATTATGGACAATAGCCAATATAATTACGTGCTTGATTAATTTGAGTTTATAAATCATATCCCATAATGTGGCATTCTCCTGAAGTTTGTTAAATTTCACCTGATAAAATTTTAAATGTTGTAGTTTTTCCTGCACCATTTACTCCCAAAAGAGTGAAGCATTCGCCATTTCCAATACCAAATGATACCTAATCAACAGCTACTTTGATTCTGTCTTTTGCTGGAATAAAAACTTTTCTTAGTTTGTTAACTCTAACAGTATAATCTGAAGGATCGGTTTGATTGATAATATCAATTTCTTTCTAAACATCTTCATCATATTCTTTTGGTTCATACTTAACTTATTTTTCTTTTGAAAACATGTTACTTAGGAAAGAAATTTGGTTGTAATTTTCAACTATAAACACTAATAAGTAGTAAATAATTCCTTCTATTATCATAAAAATAATATCTGCGCCAGCAATATCAATAGAGAAAGGTGAATCAAGTTCCTTTTAGTTATTTTACAAGGCATATAAATTTCTATTGCCTATGTTCATTATACCATAACCAAAGCTGAAGGAAGGAACTATTCTAAGTATCCATCCTAAAGCTTTTCCTGCTGATTTAGTTGAATCTATAATTCTGAGAATGAAAATTACCATAGGCATGATACCACCAAATAAGAAGTTTATAAAGAAAGCTGAAACTTATGCATTGCCATAGTCGCCAAAAACAAAACCAATGAAATATGAGAAGGGTATAATTGACCATCCATAGAGGAACATCATAAAAGATACAGCTCCGAAGCAGGAACCATCAGTGAAAGAGGATATATCATAAGCAAGAATCATTAGAATAGAAAATACTGCAGGGACAATATGCTTTATAAAATCAACAAAGTAATTACTGAACCAATATGTGTATAAACTGACTCCGCTTACTAATTATTAATGCTTAATTTTTTCAGTACGCTCTTTTACTATAAACGAGATAAGGGAAGCAGGAATAAATGAAAAAGCTATAGCATATATAAAACTAGCCACAAGACCTTATGCTGTACCAGAGAGGTTTTTTAATGTATATGTTAAAGGTAATGGTTAATTAGTAATCTATAGAGTGATTGATGGTTTTCCTAATTTAGAAAGTTTATAATTAATATATGCTTCATTCATCTAGTTTATATATAAGGGAGCTGCGTCTCTATAAATTGTGTTAACTTCTGTTGTATATTTAAATATATTTGATGAATCAATGTCTTCAATATAGTAAGAACCTGTTACACTATCAGTTTTTGCTTTGTAAGCCGATTACTCCCATTAACTAGCTTATAAATCATATTATTCATTAAAATTATACAAGCCTTTCTTATTAAATGAGCTAAATAGAGCATCAATACTTGAATGAGGTAAACCAGGTGAATTACTAGAAACTACTTTGAGTGGTTAGGGGAAATTGATAGGATCTATTATAATAGTGTCTTGTTCTTTGATAAAAGTTATTAAAGTTAAACTTAATCCTACAACAACAATCAAGCATGGTAAAATAACCTCACATAAAAGTGATCTTATATCTCTTTTAAATGATATTATTCTCTTAACAATTAAAGCTCTCATATGATATTAAAATTTTTGATAAGTTTTTGTTACTCTTACTTGATTTAAATCGAAATTATCGACTTCATCTATACAATTTTCTTCAGATCCATTTCTGCTTTAACCCTATTAGTTCTCAATATCTCCATTAACATCTTATGAATTAGGAATATTTAAGTAGATTTTGCTGTTTTTTTAATGATCAGCTTACTATTACTTCTTTTTCTATTCCTTTATTTTTTCTTCTTTTAAATGGGCAACTTTTAAGAAAACTTCTTCTAAAGTAGTAATTGAAATACCATATGTTTAGATACTTAACTATTAAAATGAGTTGTCAAGTTCTAAGAAAAGTGCAGGGAATTTTGGAGCATGCTCATTTTAAAGTTAGAAAACAACCTCAGCTGATACATCTGATAAAATAACAGCAGTATTGATATGTTTCTTAACTAAATTTATAATTGGTTATGAGTCGTCTGTAGGATTCTTCTTTACAACTGTTAAATTATAACCAGTTCCAAATTTATTCTTTAAGAAAAGAGGTTTTCCCAAACAAACAAGTTATCCATCTGCCATTATTCCTATTCTATCTCCAAGATAATCTGCTTCATCCATAAAATGTGTAGTCAAGCAAATAATTCTGTCGTTCTTATACCTTTTAAGCATATCCCAAATATGTCTACGAGCAGATGTATCCATACCACTAGTTGGCTCATCTAAATAGACTAATTTGCTACCTCCGATAAAGGCTATTGCAACACTAAGTCTTCTTCTTTACCCACCAGAGAGATTTTTTGCAAGTTCATTAGTTTTTTCTTACAAATCAACATCTTCAATGTGTTTTTGTACTTATTTTTGTATTTCTTGATTATCTGTCATACCTTTAAAAGATGCAAATAGCTCTAAATGTTCTTTAACTGATAAGTTATCAAATAAAATGTCATATTGAGGACAAACTCCCATAAAAGTACGAATTTCTTGCATTTCAGATTCAACATCTCTTCCCAAAGCAGTAGCAGCACCATCAGTCATTTCATACATACCAGTAAGCATAGATATTGTTGAAGTTTTACCAGCGCCATTATGTCCTAACAACGCAAATATTTAGCCATTGTACATAGAAAAGCTCAAACCATTAACTGCACTCTTTCCTGAAGGATAAATTTTCCTTAAATTTGTTATTTTTACTGCTTAGTTAAGTTCTTCTTGGTCTTTTAGGTTTTATGGAACATCTTCGAAATTATCATTGAAGTCAAACTGTTATTCACCCTTTGCATTTTCTAAAAGTTTTCTTTTCTTTTCTTCAGGAGTCAATTTTTTTTCCCAAATCCAACTAATAAAGAATAGAGGATGACGCTTTTTTCCAAAATCATTAGGAAATACTTAGTCAAAGTATAAGGCAAGAATAATAAAGATAATGATATTTATGATATCCATAATCATATTAATAGCTACAGAGTAGTTGACAATTTCGTCAGTTAAATTTGACCACTAAATTCCTTTCTTTGAGCTTTCTGAAATTAGGAAGACATCACAACCCAAAACTGTACCTGCTTAAGGCAAGATTGAAATTCCAACTTTAGTAGATTTTGTAGGATTATCATCGCTACTTAGAATCATATTAGCCATATACTAAAATAAGAAGAAAACCATAGCAAATATATTTCCTACTTGAGCCTTAGTAAAAAAGGTAGTGATAAAAAGACTTTAGAAAATCAGAGAAATTCCAAATAGCAAATGCCAGATAAAGATAACACTCCAGTCAGATGAAACATAAATAGAAGCCTTTAGAGCACTGGCAACAAGAATACTACACATGATATAGATGATTAAATAGTAAATAATCCATGAAGCATAGAAACTAGAATCACTCATTCCCATAACTTTCATGCCTTCTCTAATTTTCTTTTCTTTCTCGATAAGAAGTCCATATGTCATTCTTAAATAAACCAAAATCATTGGTAAAACAATGAAGACTCCCATATTGCCTTTTAAACTTTCTACCAAAGGATTTTTATAGTGATCGTCAACAAGCATTGAAGTAATGCTGGCTTAAATTTGCTAAGTGGTATCTTATGTGGTGTACTATAAAATCTAGTTATCTGTGTATTATCATATTAAAATAAAATTATATTTTGCAAAAATGAAATTTAAAAAAATTAATAAATAGAACAATATTTACCTATCCAGTTTTAAATGGTAAGAAATCCGCTATCAACCCAAGGATCAAGTTGATTTTTTTTATCTTCAAAAAGATACTTAATGACATCAGGTTTAATAGTTTGTGGTATCTCAGGATCATTTGCAGTAGAAGCATTGAAAAAAAGACGATATTTAAAAATATTATTTTAGAACGAATCTATAGCAATACCTAAACAAATATCATTATTATAGTCTTTAGAAGAAGCGTAAGAAGTCATATCTTCAACGGAGGTGTATCTTTTAGTTTAGTAGTTATAGTTTTATTTGAAAATATTCTCTAAAGGCTTAAGTAAATCATCTGGACCTATAGTGGCAATGTATCCATTTCTATAAGATGGATATTTAGATGAACTTCCAGTGAGACAATCTTTCATATGAGGAGGAATAGGGGCTCCATTTTTAGGATTAGTTCCTAAAGATTAGTAGTTTGGAGGTAAAACAGTTTTCTAATTTTTAATTAAAAAATTTTAAATATTTGTCTTTAATTCTTTTTAAATTTACTTCAGGATAAAATGACTTCATAGGAATAAAATCATCATCAACCTAGCCTCTAAGAACAACGAAAATCAAAACTAAGAGAAAAGGAAGCAGTATTTCGAAAATAGAGCAACACATATTCCTTTTCCAAAGAATATAGTTTTTCTTCATTAAAGCCTTTAAATGCTTACTGAATTTCATTTTTTGATGTTTATATTTAATTTTAATTTGTTTTAATTTTAGTTAAATTAATAAATTATATCAAAAACTTTAAGATTATTTAGTAGTATTTTTAAATGGAAATTTATATTTCAATAATAATAATATGAAATTTAATATTTAATAGTACAGTTTCGATTATTTTTCTTTTTCTAAATGATTTTGCATAGTTTTGATTTCTTAATTAATTTAATCAAGTTCAAAGTATAATTTTAAATTGTCTATTTTAATGAATTAATTTTTTTAATAAATTGAATACAAAAGGTAATTACATCTAAAAAATCAATTTTTACCTTAACACTTCTTTTGTAGTTTTCACTAAAAACTTTGTATTTATTTATCTATCACTCTAAATTATGTAATGGATATTATTTTTGACAACAAATTCTAGTATTTAGATACTAAATAAGTTTTGTTAAAAAGTTTTTATTTATCTAAAACAAAGAGCTAATCACATTTTAAATACTAAAACAATAGTAAAATACCTTAGTTTGTTTTTTTACTTATGTATCTTAAATATAAATTGAAAACAAAATAAGATGATGGTAGAATTTATTTAAAAATTATTTTAAAATAAATTATTGTAAACAATAGTTTTTTGTAACACCTAATATTTAAAAAATATTCACAAAATTATATTTTTATAATCTATTAAAAATAGGTATAATTGATGATAAATACTGTTAGATAATATATTTTTAAGCTTGAAAATCTAGTTTTACATTTAAAAATTACTTTCTAACTCTTATTTTTTAACCAATAAGTGATAAATCTTATTAATTCTTAATGAAGATTTCAAATGATTAGTTTCTGTCACTGGTTTATTTTTGATGAAATAGATTCTTATAAATAATTAATTAATTTATTCTTTAAAACAATTACTACTAGTTTTTACTCTTTAAAATTAATTTTCAATCATGAAATTAAATGCTGGATTTGTTTTTATATTTGAGTAATTAAAATAAAGAAATCAATCAAAAGCATCAGTTTCTTTTGTGATTTTAAAAATAAGAAGAAATTTATTAATACAATCATTTATATATTTTTAATATCCCAAAAATAACTTCTTAAACCCACTAAAATATTTATGCTTAAGTTAGTATTTAAAAGTTTTAAATATATTATATTTTATTCATTTAAAGCTATTATCTATCACTATTTTATTAGTAACTTAATTAATTTATTTTCACGAATTTGATTAATCCTTATTATTTTTTGAATGATTTCTTTCTATTTTATTTTTTTTCTATTTTAATTTAATAATTTTGATTTATGTATTGTGAGAATATGATTCATTAATATTGAATTTTTATTATTTTACTTAAAATAGGGCAAATACTTATTATCATAAGTAGAAATTTTATTATAAATTGTTAAAATATATTTAAATAAAGATAATAATAACTAATTTGTTGTTTCTTGTAAATTAAAAATATTTTTTATTTTAAGGGAATAGTAAATTAGATTTAAAAGTGAGCTATAAATATGTTTAAGGAAAATTTCAGATAAATGTCATAAACAAATTTAATGAATCAAATATTTTTAAATAATTCGAAATTTAATGGTCTTATTTTGAAACTTATTATTCAGTAAAATACTCAAAAATATAATATAAAGATACTATTAAATTATTCAAAAACAATGACGAAATAATTTAAAAATTGTAATAATTATGTTTTATATAATCAGTAAAATTGACATAGTATATTATATATAAAGCGAAGAAATAAAATCTAACAATATCTTATGATATTATACACAAACCAATAAATTTACCTATTTTATCAAAAATAAAAATTAAGATAATATGAATTAACTTTTAAATTTATAATTGATAAAGTCTAGTTAAATTCTAAAAAATTATGAATGAAAAAATAAATGTTTAGAATACATTAATTTTAAGCTTAATATTTAATTGAAAATCCTAATAATTTAAATATTGAAATATCATTTCAAGAAATAAATTGTTTAACGAGTTATTTTATCTTAATAAATAATATGAATAGATTTAAAAATTAAAAATAATGATGTAGTTTATTTAATGGTGTTGATTTTTAAAAATAATCTGAAATGGAAAGCATATGAATTAATTTAAAAATTAATAATTTTATTTAAGATGCTTTGATGAATTGTTAATATTGAAAGTATAAAATGATTTAAAAACAAAAAAAAAGATTTTTAAAAAATTTTGAATATGTGTAAAATAAAAACCTGATCACTAAAGAATATAAATAATATCTTCAATCTAAAAATATTTATTTTTGAATTTAATAAAATTTTTTCAATCTTCAATTTAATATCAAACCATTGTTAAATTTAAAGTTTAGTCTTCTTATTATCTGACATCCATCCAACTAAATACAATATTAATAAACAAAAATCGTCATCAGTTGAGAAGAATTATTAAAATTTATTGCAAATTCATTATTATCTCTTCTGTTTGTTTAGTTTTACTAAAATTTAAATAGAAACTCCTCTAAAGATTAAGCGAAAAATTAATTAAAAATATATAACTATTTATTACTATTTATTGGGCTGTTTTAATCATGAAAACACCAATAATTCTTAAAATGCTTTGTTAATTATATTTAATTTACAGGTTAATCAATAATATTAGTATATTGAATAGTTTAACTAATTTTTATTAATTAAAAAATTTTAAGAGGAAATTATGATAAATCATCTTATCTTTAATTTTCTGTATTAGCTATAGTATTTAATTATACCTGAGCAAGTATTAATGCTGTTTAAAAAGTTTTTATAATTTAATTTTTAAGTTTGATTTACACCACACTCAATAACTATATAATATTATCTATTCTCAATATCAAGATATCTATAAATAGTTAAAACTAGTAGTTAATTAAATTGTTTCTATTAAGAATTGAGATTATGATAATCATTTTTATTAACATTTATTTTATTTAAATTGAAATTTTTTAATTTGTGCTAGTACAAATATAATGAGAATGAACAAAGATTAGTACCGTCAATTCTATTAATAAAGAACCTGAAAAAAATTAATTATTTTTGAAAAAATGATTCTTATTAAAAAACACTCATATATTAAATCTTAATTCTTATATTAAAGAAAATAAAATTCAAATATTAATATATATTCATAAAAAAATTATATAATATAAAATTTATTTATTTATCATTTTAAATCATTTCAATGTGTTATTGCTACTCTTAGATGAACTGTTGTAAGATGACTTTCTGTTACTCTCTGACCTATTCTAATTAGATAAGTTATTATTATTATTATTATCTGGCTGATTAGAACTCTCTGACTGACTAGAATTCTCTGATTGACTAGATCAATCATTGCCGCTTTCATATTAAGTATCATTATATACATTATTGGAGAGATCCTCTATTATATCATTGAGCAAATCCTATTGTTGTTATTCGTCTTTCATTAATATGGTTTGCTTTTATAATTAGATTTCTATTTCATTAGTACATTAGTTAGGTTCTAATAATTCTAAAAAATAGATTTATCATAAATACTCCAAAATAACATTGATTTGAGTCCAAATTTTACTTAGATTATTAAAATCACCATGAGATAGCTGTCTTTCATCATATTTAGTATCTATAATTAGTAGTCAATAAGTTTATTTATTAAAGAATCTATGGAAAATAATTAAATCAGTATTTTTCATCATTATTATTAAATCATCCTTAATTAAATTCCACTTATACTATAAAATTAACAGTATTTGTGTTAATAAAACTAATAAAAAAACATGTAATTACCTAATATCTCTTTGTAAAATTAGCTTTACTATTTATGTAGTTTCTAAGGATTAGTAAAACCTTTTTAATATAAGCTTTATACTTAATGGTTTAAAGTTAGTTAGATATCAATTTTTTTAACCATATTTTTTTCTTCAAATAAATAAAGTTTAAATTAAAATTGCTCATAAAAATATAATAATAATAAATATTAATCCTATATTCTTATTGTATCGATACTGGACTTTATATAAATTAATAAGAAATATGATTATCAAATATAGAGTCAGCTAACTTACAATCAACAAAATTAAAAATTCTAACTGTATGTATCAGATTAGAATTTTATTATCTCTAATATTTGTTAAGCAATTATTGAATTATGTAAAAAAATTACCATATTTATAGTATAATTAATATTTGCATTTTAAGATATAGTTGATTACTAATAATTCAATTAAGCTAATATATATTGAGATGTTGTCTTGAGAATTGATATTTCATTAATAATTTTTTTTTTTGAGAATTTGGGATTAAAAGAGCAGACAAAAATAATCATGAACACACAAAAATTTAACATATTCTTTGTTATATTTTAAAAAGATTTATATTTTTTATTCTAAAAATCTTAATTATTTTTAAAAAAATGCTATCCAAAATAAAAAAAACCAAAAAAGCAATAAATATTTATATATCTCATTTTTATTTTTGCATAGAGTTATTTTTAAAATTATAATGTTAATTTTTTGAAAAAGAATATATGAAACTTTAAACATATTTATGCCTTTAAAATTAAAATATAAATTAATGAATAAGCATTAAAAAAATTATTTTAATTTTAAAAAAATTTCCAAATACATAAAAATTATGATTTTTAATTAGATGATATAAAAAATGAAAGAATAAACATTTAAATATAATAAAAATATTTACAAATTATTTATTAAAAGATTGTAGGATTCTACTAATATTTTAGTTGATATTCTATATAATAAATTAATAAGATCTTATTTTTATGGATTTCTGCCATCTGTTTAAGTTAATTTCATTAAACATTTTTATTTTTTGTTATATTCATTCAATTCAACAAAATTTTTAATTTTTGAAAATAAAAATTTTTCTTGTGTTAATGCTTTACTTTAAATTGTAATATTTGATAACTAAATTTGAGTTATTATAAGTGAAATAGTATTTGTAATCTTTCATTTTATCAAAATTGTATAAAAATAGTTTTTAAGCTGTTTAAATTGATTATGTCTTATATATTGTTGAAAATTGATGATAATCTCCATCTTAAGCTATCTAAAATTTTTAAATCTACTATCTTCTAACTATAGAAGTGGTTTTTTCTTTATTTCCATTTGAAGAATGAGTCAAAATTGATTATTAACTTTAAGAAGATAATTCATTCATTAGATCACTTTATAATTCATCTTTAATCAGTTTCAATTTTTTATTTTCTTAAATTTTGGAATTAGTGGTTTTCTTTTTTTTATCTTCAGGATAAAGTTATAAAGTAACAACGCTTGGTAAATATTTATGATACTTTTAATCCTAGGTGTAATGAGATTCTGAAATGAGATTTGCAGATAGGTTGATTGATTCCTACTCAATTTAGTTATTAGAGCAGGATTGAATTTTATCAACTTAAATATTATCAATGTAATTACTGTGCTTCAAAATAGTAGATTTTTTTTTCCTTTTGCGGATAGAGATTTTAGTATTTGAGGAGACTCCATCATTTTTATTACCTATAAATTTATTAAGTTTGAAAATTAATTTTTACTTAAATATTTATATTAATATTACAAACATCGCCTTAAGAATTAAAGTTGCTAAATGACATTTCTTCTTATGTAATACCACCTATTTAAGCATCATATTGCTTTTCTATTTAATTTTCATCATTGACCATGCTTTTTTATGCTTAATCAATAGAAACTATGTTAGCTATATTTTGTATTTAGTTTTTACTAGAATTAATAAACTATTAATCTATTTGAATCTATCTTTTGCTAAGCGATACCTATTCAAAATTACTTACAGAATAATTAAATTCATTTAACTAATTAAGATATTATTAACTGTTTTCATTTAGACATCCTTACTACTTTGCTTCTTCTATTTAAATATTTGAAAAACCTTAATTACTCTATTATTAAGCTGAATTAAAATAGCTCTGGTATTATAAATCCATTTTTAACTGGCTTTAGATTTTTAAGTTTGATTCAACTAAGTTTCTTTTTAAAAATAAAATATTAATTTCAAATATTATTTTAATATTAGAGTGGATGTATTAAAATAATTTAATTGAGTTATTATTAAAAAAATAATTTTGTTTTTTATATTTCAAATGAATTAAATGAAATTATTTAAATTACTTAGCCTTAAAAATTTTGGAATTTTTTCTTTTATATTGACTTCTTTCTTAAAATTTACGATAACAACTTTTTAAGTTTATCAGCTAATTGTCAAAATAGGAATTTATAATTGGACATTTCTAGATTATGTGATAGGGAGAGTTGCAAGAATAGCATTTAGTTTATATTTATCTGAAATTTTAATTCAATAAAATGTTATGCTAAATTGTTTTAAAAATTTCAAAATCTCTTTGGTTTCCTTAAATTATTTCAATAAAATCTTTTCTTTCAATTTTATAAAGCATAGATAATTTAATACACTTGGCTGTAGCTGTTCTTGGCATTTAAGAAAAAAATGCTAATTCACCAAATATTTAGTTTTCTGATAATGTTTTTAGTTGAAATGATAAACAGTTTTTATGTGCAGTATTTCGCAAAATCTCAATTTATCCACTATTTATCAAATAAATTGAATCATCTATATCTCCTTCTGAGAATATGACTTCTCCAGGAGATAATATGATTTCTTTCATAAAGAAAACAAGTTTATTGATTGATTATTGAGAAAAACAATTAAAGATGTTAAATTTTTTTAGTATTTAAAAATTTGCTTCCTAAATAATTTCTTCTCTTAGTTTAGGGGATAGAAAAGAAAGTACTTATTCTTCTTCTTCTAGTATTTTGCTATTAATTTCCTCTTCCTTAAAGTGTAAATACTAAATAGCACGGGCTTTAAGTTGTATGTTGACATTTTTTCTTTTTAAATATCTAAATAGAAATTATTTTATTTTTATATTTATTTTATATATTTACTTCTCAATGACTTTTGTTTTGTCTTTAATATTTTGATATGAAATTTAAAAATTATGGAGTATTTATCCTATATTATTTATCGAGAAGATAAATACGCAACTAAAGATGATTGTGTTGATAGATATGTATAAGGCTTCGCTATAGTTTGTAGCTACAATGTCTCCATACCCAACTATTTATAAGTATAATAAATAAATAATTGCGAAAATGTTTTTTTTAATTAATAAATTACTAGTTGTTATTGTATTTATTGCCCAGTAAAAAGAATAAATGTACTTAATATAATAAGCACTATTCTCTATATTTATATGCTAAAGCCAATTTTTTTCTTAACTTTAAAAAACAGTTAATAAATACCATCCTATGCATGCTTTATAAAAAAAAAATAAAATTCATTTTTGAAAAATATTTTTAAATTTTTTACAAATATGGGCTATTGCAAATATAAAAATAATGTGACTGAGCAATTCGTAAACTCTCTTTTAGCCTTAGCTAAGCATAATAATGTTTTATAGTCTATTAATTTTTTATTTCACACTATAAAGCTTAATGAATATGGTTAAAATCAACACATATTTAAATATACTATTTTCAGGGTTATAAGTAATTTAATTGGGCTTATAATTAATCTCCATATACAAAATAGCTAGGCTTATAAAATCTGCCAAAAAATGAAAGCTTAATAGGTAAGATTTTATTATGAAACTCCTATTTAGTATGATATCATCACTTCTAAATATAGCTTAATTTAAAGCTTAAAGTATATCTAAACCCATTATTGATATGGCTACAATGCAATAAATAGTAAACTAAGTAGAATTTTAATCATTTTGGTTAAAGAATGCTAAAACTGAAAGAAAAAAAAAGAAACCAAAACAATAAGTTATACTAAGTATATCGTAAAGAATGATAGTTTTGCTTGTGGGAATAAAAATAGGCAATTATTTAATTAATTCTTCTAAGCTTTGTTAAAATTATAAGATAGTAGAATTTTAGTAAAATTAATTATCTTCAAAATAATAACAGCTGTCTGCAATTTTTTCAATTTGGAACTTTGATAAATTTTCTGGTTTTCTATTTTTACTTATTAACTTGACGTTTTTTATGAATTTTAATACCTTTGCATGAACCATTCTAGGTAGCAAATTAAATTAAATTATCTTCTATTGTTTATTCTATAAATTCTTCTTATTTACAATAACTGAACATCTTTGATCCTTCTAATTTTGGTTGATCAAAGGTTTTTATAATTTTTTAAACAAAAGGTTCGATTAATTGTCATTTTTATTCAAATAAATATCATTTTTTTAAATGAATAAATCCTATTTAGGTAGAATATTTTACAAGTTGTGGCTTATATGCATTTGGTTGGTAAGGCTGTTATCATATTAAGTATAACCTTTTTTATTTTAATAATAATTTTATCAATATTAATCTTGTAAGTAGAAGTAATTATTAGATATAAATATTTTTATAAATATTATACCTTAATATTTGGTATAAAATTAGGAACAGCTTTTCTGCTTGCTACAGCTTGTATTAACCTAATTCATTTGGCTTCTCTCTAGCTCATTTAAGATAGTATTTTCAATTTAAATTTTTTCATTTATCTAATATATTTAGTTTTAAGTCACTTCATCAAAATTAAAAGAAACTTTTAGATCAGAATCACCCTGCAAACCTTATTTGATTTGATCACTCCTATCGTCAATTATCCAAGACTTTTTAAATGTACTTTCATTTTACTTATTATTATTATTATCTAAAAACTCAGATTCAGTTTTATTGTCTGCCATGGAACTTTATATATTCATTTACCTTTTTTTAATTAATAACTTTTTAATGCGATATTTTTTTAACATTAATTCTTTATATAAAGAATATAATTTGATAGATTTTTTTTTCAATTATATTATCTTTAATAAGCTTTACCACTAAGCTAGAAATCAATCAGGTTCATAAATGTAATGTGTGGGTGGAAAGCAACAAAATAATATTTTTTAAAAAAATTAGACCTTTAAAGCCTATCCTTAGATGCTATATTAACCTTAAAATAAATCTTTAAAATAAAAAATTCTTTTTACTTATTTATTTTTAAATAAAATATATGTTATTCAGAAAGTGAATTTAAATTAAAATAATATTAATACTTTTTAAAAAATTTGTTTAGTTGTTTTTAGGAAATGTTAAAATGATTGGCTTATATATTACTTTTTAATATTAATTAATAGATTGATATGAGACATAAAATATATAAATTAATCAATTAGCTAGGGAAGTTAAGAGGATTATCTCAAAGAACTAATAAAAACTAAATATATTTGTGTATTATTAATTAGATAAATTTTTTTAGACATCAAATTTCTTAAATGATAAAAGTTCGTTTAAAGCAAAATTTTAATTAATTAAAAAAGTTTCCAGTAAAAAATTGTTAATTATAACTATGCTTGATCTATTTGTCATTAATAAAGAGCATTTTAATAAATAGAAAGAACTTGGGGAAGTTTTTTAAATCAACATAAATTTTAAAATAAATGCTTATGAAATTTAAATTAGTCATTTTTAATGCATTTCCTTATCTCAAAATTTTATTACAAAAAATGTGAACTTTCTTAAAATAAACATTAAACAAAGAGAAAGAAATTTAATTATTAAAAAGCATATATTGAATTTTAAATAAAATAAGCAATTGAATGAATACATTTAAATATGGCTTAGAAATTAATTTTTTTTATATGATATGTTTTATAAGTATATATAAATTAAATAAATAGATAAACTTTTTAATCATTTTAAGATCATTGTTATTTCAAATATTTTTATCAAAAACTTTGGGGTTCTTGCTACAAGATTTTGTTGATATTCCATAGCAAATCTTATTTTTTTGTTATTTCTTCAAAAATAAATATCTTGATCTAGGAGAAAGTCTAAATTTTAGTTTGTCATTTTCGCTATAATGATTAGAAGAACTTATTCTTGAAAAAAGCAATTTAAAATTTATATTTAATAATGCATTATACTCTTTTATAATTAAGTTGTAATTATTTTATGGTAAAAAGTATTTGTAATTTTTTGCTAAATCAAAATCATATTAAAACAATTTTTAAAGGACTTCAACCGATAATCTATTACCTGATATTGTGTATTATTGATCTCCATCTAGCGTTTTACATGCTTTTTAAATTAAAGTTTTCTTTCCCAAAGATGTAGTTTTTTCTCTTTTACCATTTGAAGAAGTAGTCATCCCTGATAATTGGCTTTAATAAGATTAATCATTCTTATCATTTTATAAGTCATCCTTACAAAATTTAATTATCTTATTTTCTTGAGCTTTGGAACTATTAATTTTATTTTTTTTATCCTCTGGATAAAGTTATAAAGTAGCATTGATTGGTAAATATTTATAATACTTTTAATCTTATGAGTAAACAAATTCTGTAATTAGATTTGATGATAAATTGATCGATTCCTATTCAAATTGATTAGTAGAACAAGGTTGAATTTTATCAACTTAAATGCTATCTGTGCAATTGGAATGTTTTAAAATAATAGAATCTTTTTTCCTTTTATGATTAGATGTTTTTGTATTAGATGAGATGCCATCATTTTTATTACCTTTAAAATATTAAGTTTGATATGTTAATTTCAATCTTTAATTTTTATATTAAATTACAAATGTCGCCTAAAGAATTAACGTGGCTCAATGATAATTCTTCCTATCCAAGTCCTTATTAAAGATCTTACTCTTTTTCAAATTAAACGCCTTCGTTAAGAGTATTATTTCTTGAACTTATACCTAATAAAACTATATTAGCTATGTTTTGAGCTTAATTTTTAGTAGGATTAATATACTATTAATCAATTTAAATTAATTTTTTGCTATAAGCAACTTATTCGCAGATGTTTGCTTAGCTATTATAATCATTTTGCTGATTTAAATTTTACTAACTATTTTAGTTAATAGACCCCTTTATTTTTGATTCCTCCATTTAAATATTTGATGTAAATTACTAACTTAAAACAGGTTCAGAATTAAAAAAATTCTAGTATTCTAAATTCATTTTTAACTAGCTTAGTATTTCTACATTTAGACCTTCTAAATTTCTTTTTTATTTAAGATTAATTAAAATATTTATCTTCTTTAATAAAAATATTTATACAGATATTTTACTCTGAATATTTTCCATTATAAATTTTAGTTTATATTTTTATAGATAAAAAAAATTAAAAAAAACTCAAGGATACCCAAAGTAAAATATCTGTTTTTCAAAACTTCAAATTCAAAGTAGAACTAAGAATTAAGAAATAAACGAACAAATAAATATATTTAATTTTAATGAGTTTTTTATAAATTACTTTGCTTAGAATACTCTTACATTTTTTCTATTGAACTTCTTCCTCTCTTATTAGGTGTGATAATTATTTTTTAAATTTATTAACTAATAATCAAAAGCTTAATTGACAATTGGGCATTTTTAGATTATATGGTTGCTAGAATTGCAAGAATAGCATTTAGTTTATATTTATTTGAAATCATGATTGAGTAAAATTTAATGTTAAATTGATTTAAAAACTTCAAAATCCATTTGATTTTGTTAAATGATTTCAATAAAATCTTTTCTTTCTATTTTGTAAAGTGTGGATAAATTTAAACTCTTTGCAGTTGCTGTTCTTGGCATTTAAGAAAAAAATGCTATCTCACCAAATATTTAATTTTCTGATAATGTTTTCAGTATGAAATTTGAACAGCTTTTTGATGTAGTGTTTTGCAAAATCTAAATTTTTCCTTTAGTTATCAAATAAATTGAATCATCTATATCTCCTTCTGAGAATATGATTTCTCCAGGAGAAACTATTATTTCTTTCATTTAGAAAACTAGTTTATTAATTGATTGTTGAGAAAAACTATTGAAAATATTAAATTTTTTAAGTATTTAAGAATTTGCTTCCTAAATGATTTCCTCTCTAAGTTTAAGAGATAAAACAGAGACAACTTATTCTTCTTCTTTCAATAATTTGCTATTAATTTCTTCTTCTAAAAAAAAAAGATATTAAATAACACGAGTTTTCAGTTATATGTTGACATTCTTTCTTTTGAGATATCTATTTAAAAATTATTTTATTTTTTATTATTTTTAAAAAATTTACTTTTCAATAATTTAGGTTTAGTTTTTAATATTTTAATTTGACATCTAAACTTCATGGAGTATTTAACCTATGTTATTAATTGAAAAAGCAAAAACGCAGCTAAAAATGATTGTGTTGATAGATATGTATAAGGCTTCACTATAGTTTGTTGCAACAATATCTCCGTAGCCAACTATATATTTATTATATTGCAAAATTAATTAATTAATTGAGCTTATAAAAATTTAAATAAAAATTAAGGTTTTAAAAGAGTTAATTAATTTATTTCTTGAATTCTACCTGTTGACATTGTAATAATTGCCCAGTAAAAAGAGTAAATATACTTTATATGGTAAGCGCTGTTCTCTAAATTAATTTTTTAAAGCCAATTTCTTTCATTTTCTAGAATAAATGTTAAAGAGTACCATCCTATGCAGGCTTTTAAAAAATTATTTTAAATATTTCTAATAAAAAGTAAAGATATATATATATTTACATATGTGTGCTATTTAAAGGACACTAAAAATTTAGCTAATTAACTAATATAAATGCTTTTAATTTTAACTGAGTGTCATCACATTTTTAATTCTTTATATTTTTTGCTTCACACCAAAGAGCTTTACAAATATGATAACAATTTACATATATTTCCAAAAATTATTTTCAGGATTGAAAGTAATTTAATTAGGGCTAGAAACTATCAAAGAAAATAGCGCTATAAGACTAACAAAATCTGTTAAGAAATGAAAACTTAGCAAATATGATTTAATTATGAATTCTCTTTCTAAAACTATGATATCCCATTTAAATATAGCCATGTTGAAGGACTCAAGTATATCTAGAAGCATTATGACTACACTTAAAAGACAAGTAAAAGCGAATTAGTTTGAATTTAATTCAGCTTAGTTGAAGAAAGCAAATATTGAAAAGAAAAAAAAGAACAAGTAGAAATAAATAATGCCTAATAAATCAAAAAGAATTATTATCTTGTTAGTAGGAATCAAAATAGGGATATGTTAAATTAATTGCTAAGTTTTTTTTAACAAATTAAAAAAAATAGAGTTATTCTATGGTGAATCCTTTTCAAAATAGTAGCAACTATCTGAAATAATTTCAATTTAAAATTTAGATATGTTATCTAATTTTCTGTTTTTGTATAAAAGCTTCATCTTTTTTATAAACTCTAAAACTTTTAGCCTTACATTTACCATGGTATATAATTAGTTTGCCTTTTTAATTTTTTGTTAGTTAGATTAGATATGATTGATATGTTAAGAGCTTTTCTTATCTTTCTATCTGTTGCTTATTTAAAATACTAATGAATTTCGATGAAGATTTTATTTTTAATGCTCGTCATGTTTAGAATGTATTCTATTTCTTGAGGTTAAGCAGTTATGAACTTGTATTTCGTTTTGACTGTTCAAACTTTATTATTTCTAATCTTCGACTCTTTTTTTTTAATGTTCACCATATAATTGTTTTTCTTTTTTAAAAACAAAGCTAAAGTTAAAATTAAAGTTATTTGAATAAAATATTTACCATTATCTTTGATATTAAAGATGAAAATATTATTTTACTTGCTACAGTTAGTGTTAAATTGAAAGAATTAGGTTTTTTCTATATCATTTACGTTGTTATTATCTGTTTACACTTTTTATTTTATTTTCGAGTTTGCATTTTGAATAATATCTTCAAAGCTACTGATAGCTTTAAGACCTGAATCTCCTTGCAATCCCTATTTGATTTACTCACACCTATCATCTATAATATATTTTTAGCAAGGTCTTTCAAATATACTATCATTTTATTGTTCTTTTTTTGCTAAGAATTCGGATTCAGTGTTATTTTCAATTATTGTACTTAATTTATTAAGATCCATTTATTAAAAGCTTCAATGAATGTATGTTAATCTTTTTTTCTAATCTTTTTAATTGTAATAAATTATTGCTTTACTTTAATTAACTTTTATAATTTTATATAAAATTAATATTAAACATAAGCTTTTAAAAAAATTATTGCCTTTTTGTGATATACTAAATAATTAATAATAAACAATAAATCCCTCACTAAAAAAGAAATTAATTTGTTTGAAAGTATCTCCATTTTAAAGATTGTATTGAAATCAAAGCAAGACTAATCAAATAATAGGATTTTCTCATCATCAAAAAATATTGCTCTATTAGATTTTATTTTATTTCTTTTTTTGATATGTAAATTTATTTATATTTTAATTTGTTTTACTTCTATAACACAAATTATTAATAAAGCTTTTTTACCAATTTCAATATTAACTATTAACTTATTTTTTTCTAGTACTTATAAATGACGGAATTAAAACTAATTATAAGATTAATCTTTTAATATATGGTTAATCAGAAACAAAAAAGAAAAATAATTATTAAACATGTTTGTTTTAATTAAATTAATTTTTTTAATAAGAAAATAGTTTGCATAAAAATAAAATAAACAAATAATTTAACATAAAAATGAAACATTATAAACAAATTAATATTATTTATTTTATATATTAGATAAATTATGTCTTTCTCACTATTAAGGTTCAGCAGGAGCTCTGCTATTAAATTATTGTGATATTTAAAGTGTGGTTAAAAATATTTTCAATTAAAATACTGATCTAATATGAGGTGCTTTTTGATACCAAGGAAATTTGCTTTAGTTTTTAAAAAAATAAAATTAATTTAAAGTTAAAAACCTAAAATTTAAATAAGAACTGAGTCTGATTATATAGAAGAAATAATACTCCCTATCCTATTTTTATGTTATAAAAAGTTAATATAAAGATCTTAAAAAGATTTCAATTAATTCACATATAATATTCACCTAAAAAAAATACAAAGAATAGCTATAGATTTTTTCACAATTATATTATCTTTAGCAAGCCTTAGCTCTAAGCTAGAAATTAAAAAAAATTTGTGGGTCAAAAGCAACAAAATAATAATTTTTTTAAAAATTAGACTTTTAAAGCTTATCCTTAGATGCTATATTAACTTTAAAATAAAAAGTCCTTTTTGCTTATTTATTTTTAAATATAAAATATGTTATTCATAAAGTGAATTCAAATTAAAATAATATTAATACTTTTTATAAATTTGTTTAGTTGTTCATATGAATTATTTGTATGATTGGTTGATAATTACTTTTTAATATTAATTAATAGATTGATATGAGATATAAAATATCAAAATCAATCAATTAATTAGGGAATTTAAGAGAATAATCTCAAACAACTAATAAAAACTAAATATATTTGTGAATTATTAATTAGATCTATTTTTTTAGACATCAAATTTTTAAATAATAAAAGTTCGTTAAAGCAAAATTTTAATTAATTAAAAGAGTTTCCAGTAAAATTTTGTTAATTATAACTATGCTTGATCTATTTGTCTTTAAAAAAGAACATTTTAATAAATAGAAAGAACTTGGGGAAGTTTTTTAAATCAACATAAATTTTAAAATAAATGATAATTAAATATAAATTAGCCATTTTAAATGCGTATTCTTATCTAAAATTGTATTTAAAAAAATGTGAATTTCCTTAAAATAAACATTAAAGAAAAAGAAAGAAATTCAATTATTTTTCAAAATTTATAAAAAAATAATAATTCATAAACATAGATCTAATTTTCAATAAAATAAGCAATAGAATGAATATATTCAATTAAAACTTAGAAATTAATTTTTATATGATATGTTTTATAAGTGAAAAAAAATAAATAAATAGATTTAAAATAATTTTTTAATTATGTTATTTCAAATATTTTTATCAAAAACTTTGGGGTTCTTGTTACAAGATTTTGTTGATACTCCATAGCAAATCTTATTTTTTTGTTATTTCTTCATAAATATATATCTTGATCTAGGAGAGAGTCTAGGTTTTAGCTTATCATTATCGTTCTACTACTTTGAAGTTTATGTTCCTGAAAAAAATAATTTAAAATTTATATTTTATAGTGCGTTATACTCCTTTATAACTAAGTTGTAATTATTAAATGGTAAAAAGTATTTGTAATTTTTTGCTAAGTCAAAATCATATTAAAACAATTTTTATAGTGCTACAATCGATTGTCTATTACCTAACATTGTCTATTATTAATCTCCATCATGCGTTTTTAATACTTTTTATAATTAAGATTTTCTACCCAAAGATGTAGTTTTTTCTCTTTTACCATTTGAAGAAGTAGTCATCATTGATAATTGGCTTTACTAAGATTATTCATTCTTTAAATCATTTTATAACTCATCTTTACATAGTTTAATTATCTTATTTTCTTGAGTTTTGGAGCTGATTATTTTATTTTTTTTATCCTCTGGATAAAGTTATAAAGAAGCATAGCTTGGTAAATATTTATGAAACTTTTAATCCTGTGAATAATGAGATTCTGTAATTAGATTTGCGGACAAATTGATTGATTCCTATTCAAATTAATTAGTAGAACAAGATTGAATTTTATCAACTTAAATGTTATCTATGTAATTATAATTCTTTAAAATAGTCGATTTTTTTTTACTTTTATGAATAGATATTTTTGAATTAGATGAGATACCATCATTTTTATTACCTTTAAAGTTATTAAGTTAGATATGTTAATTTTAATCTTTAAATTTTATATAAATTACAAATGTCGCCTAAAGAATGAAAGTGGCTAAATGATACTTCATCCTATCCAAGTCCTTATTAAAAATCTTACTCTTTTTCAAATTAAATGCCTTCATTAATGGTATTGTTTCTTAAACTTAAATCTCCTAAAACTTTATTAGCTACGTTTTGAGATTGATTTTTAGTAGGATTAATATACTATTAATCTATTTAAATTAAGTTTTTACTCTTTGTAACTTATTCACAATTATTTAATGTGTTATTAAAATCATTTAGTTAATTAAAATATAACTAACTATTTTCGTTAATACATCCATGTAGTTTTGATTCTTCCATTTAAATATTTGATGCAAATTACTAACTTAATTCAAGTTCAGAATTAAAAAAATTCTAGTATTCTAAATCCATTTTTAACTAATTTTGTATTTATATATTTAGACCTGCTAAATTTCTTTTTTATTTAAGAATAATTTAAGTTTTCATAAATTATAAAATTTATACAGATATTTTACTCGAATATTTCCTTTAAAAATTTTAGTTTATATCTACCGTAATTAATTTTTATTGATAAAAAAATTTAAAAAAATCAGGGTTACCCAAAGTAAAATATCTGCTTTCAAAACTTCAAAATAACAAAATAAGAATTAAGAAATAAATGAACAAATATAATTAATTTTAATGAATTATATAAATTACTTTGCTTAGTATATTCTTATATTTTGTCTATTGAATTTCTGTCTCACTTATTATGTGTGATAATTATTTTTTAAGTTTATTAACTAGCAATCAAAAGCTTAATGGACAATCGGGCATTTTTAGATTATATGATTGCTAGAATTGCAAGAATAGCATTTAGTTTATATTTATTTGAAATCATAATTGAGTAAAATTTAATGTTAAATTGATTTAAAAACTTCAAAATCCATTTGATTTTGTTAAACTATTTCAATAAAATCTTTTCTTTCTATTTTGTAAAGTGTGGATAAATTTAAACTCTTTGCAGTTGCTGTTCTTGGCATTTAAGAAAAAAATGCTATCTCACCAAATATTTAATTTTCTGATAATGTTTTCAGTTGGAATATTGAACAACTTTTTTATGCAGTATTTTACAAAATCTAAATTTATCCGCTAGTTATCAAATAAATTGAATCATCTCTATCTCCTTCTGAGAATATGACTTCTCCAGGAGAAACTATTATTTCTTTCATTTAGAAAACTAGTTTATTGATTGATTGTTGAGAAAAACAATTAAAAATATTAAATTTTTTAAGTATTTAAGAATTTGCTTCCTAAATGATTTCCTCTCTAAGTTTAAGAGATAAAATAGAGAGAACTTATTCTTCTTCTTTTAATAATTTACTATTTATTTCTTCTTCTAAAAAAAAAAGATATTAAATAACACGAGTTTTAAGTTATATGTTGACATTCTTTCTTTTGAGATATCTAATTAAAAATAATTTTATTTTTTATTATTTTTAAAAAATTTACTTTTCAATAACTTAAGTTTGGTTTTTAATATTCTAATGTGACATCTAAATATCATGGAGGATTTATCCTATGTTATTAATTGAAAAAGCAAATACACAGCTAAAAATGATTGTGTTGATAGATATGTATAAGGCTTCACTATAGTTTGTTGCAACAATGTCTCCGTAGCCAACTATATATTTATGTTACAAAATAAATTAATTGAGCTTATAAAAAATTTAAATAAAAATTAAGGTTGTAAAAGACGTAATTAATTTATTTCTTAAATTCTACCTGTTGACATTGTAATAATTGCCCAGTAAAATGAGTAAATATACTTTATATGGTAAGCGCTGTTCTCTAAATTAATTTTTTAAAGCCAATTTCTTTCATTTTCTTGAATAAATGTTAATGAATACCACCCTATACATGCTTTTTTAAAAATTATTTTAAATATTTCTAATAAAAAGTAAAGATATATATATTTACATATGTGAGCTATTTAAAGGACACTAAAAATTTAGCTAACTAATTTATAGAAATGCTTTTAATTTTAACTGAGCGTAATGACATTTTTAATTCTTTATATTTTTTGCTTCACACCATAGAGCTTTACAAATACAATAACAATTTAAATATATTTCCAAATATTATTTTCAGGATTGAAAGTAATTTAGTTAGGGTTAGAAACTATCTCTGAAAATAGAGCTATAAGACTAACAAAATCTGTTAAGAAATGAAAACTTAGCAAATATGATTTAATTATGAATTCTCTTTCTAAAATTATGATATCCCTTCTAAATACAGCCATATTGAAAGATTCAAGTATATCTAAAAGCATTAGGACTACACTTAAAAGACAAGTAAAAGCGAATTAGTTTGAGTTTAATTCAGCTTAGTTGAAGAAAGCAAATATTGAAAAGAAAAAAAAGAACAAGTAGAAATAGATAATGCCTAATAAATCAAAAAGAATTATTATCTTGTTAGTAGGAATCAAAATAGGGATATGTTAAATTAATTTCTTAGTTCTTTTGAACAAATTAAAAAAAATGGAGTGTTTCTATGATAAATCTTTTTCAAAATAGTAGCAACTATCTGAAATAACTTCAATTTAAAATTTAGATAAGTTATCTAATTTTCTGTTTTTGTATATAAGCTTCATCTTTTTTACAAACTCTAAAACTTTTAGCTTTACATTTACCATAGTATATAATTAGTTTGCTTTTTTAATTTTTTGTTAGTTAAATTAGCTTTAATTGATATATAAAGAGCATGTCTTATCTCTCTATCTGCTCATTGTTTAAATGACTTATGTATTTCGACGGGTATTTTATTTTAAATGTTCGTCATATTTAGAATTTTATTTATTTCTTGTTGCTGAGCAGATATTAACTTATATCTCATTTTGATTATTCAATACTTATTATTTCTAATCTTCTACTTTTTTTTATTAATTTTCACTAGATGAGTTTTCTTCTTTTTTAAAAAAAACAAAGCTAAAGCTAAAATCAATAGTAGAAATAATAAAATTAAAGTTGTTTGGATTAAATATTTACCGTTATCGTTGATATTAAAGATGGACATATTATTTTACTTGCTACAAGTAATGTTAAATTGATAGAATTAGCTTTTATCTAACTCATTTATGTTGTTATTATCTATTTACACTTTTTATTTTATTTTTGAGTTTGCATTTTGGATAACATCTTCAAAGCTGCTGATTACTTTAAGGCCTGAATCTCCTTGCAATCCCTACTTGATTTACTCACTCCTATCATCTATAATCCATTTTTAGCAAGATCTTTCAAATATATTTGCACTTTGTTGCTCTTTTTTTGCTAAGAATTCAGATTCAGTGTTATTTTCAATTATTGTACTTAATTTATTAAGATCCATTTATTAGAAACTTCAATGGATGTATATTAATCTATTTTTCTAATCTTTTAATTGTGATAAATTATTGCTTTGATTTAGCTAATTATTATAAATATATTTACAATTTATATTAAAAATAAGCTTATAAAAATTATTGCCTTTTCATATATACTCAATAAACTAGCACTAAGAATAAATGATAATTTAGTTAAAAAGAAATTAATTTTTTTGAAAGCCTTTCCATTTAAAAAAATGTATTGATATCAAAGCAATAATTATCAAAAAATGGGAGTATCTCTCCATTAAAAAAATGCTCTATTAAATTTTATATTAATTTATCAATAAATAAATAAAGAAATAAATAAATATATTAAATAGCATTAAGTTATAATCACTTTTAAAAAATTATTTTATTTTATTTTTTATTTTTATATGCAAATTCTGACCATAAAATAAATTATAAACATAACATTTAAACAAATTTTAAATTAAATATCCACCATTTTTTTAATATTAATTATTAAATGATGTAATTAAAACTATTTATTAGATTAATTTTTAATATTAATTTATGGACAATTAAAAACAATAAAAAAAATTAATTTTTAAATGAAAATAATTATTAAAACAAAATATTTTATATTAATTAAATTAATTATTTTTATAAGTTAATTGTTAGAGTAAAAATATAGAAAAACAATTTTTTTAACTTTAGAAAGAAACATTTTGTACAAATTAATATTAAATATATAAAAATAAGATAAATTATACTTTTAGTAAAAATACAAAAGAAATTTAAAATTATTTTATTTATTTCCTTGTTTTTAATTTTAATTATTTTTTACTAAAAAGATTAAGTTAAATAAAAATATTTTCAAAAAGCATATTATAATTTCTCCATATAAGTAGAAAAGACTAAATACAAGAAATATAATTTTAAGCTGCTCCAAATTTTTAAAAACCTCAAGCATCATTATGTAAATAAGTAAGTGTTAACGGATATAGAAAAGTTATTACTATTTTATAAAAAAAAATAATATAGCTGTTCCTTATTTTTAAATTCCACTGATTGAATATAATTAACCACATAATTTGCATTAGTATTTACATAAAAAATTATTTTGGGGCTATTTAAAAGAAAATTTTTAATATTTTATACAAACAATTTTTTTTAAATGTGACGATAGAGATAGGGTAGATTTTATGAAAAATAAAAATTAAATTTCTTTTATCAATTAATCTTCAGGGGTGATGATGTCATATAAAACCGTTATTTGCATAATGTTGTAATAGATGTTTATTACTTAATATATACGATATTCAATCAAATAAGTAATAAAAAATAGCAATTATATCTATATTTGATAAATGGACTATGAAAATCTAATATTAATGATAGTTTCTATTATGTTTATTAATGAAAAATAAAAAATTTAAATAATTAATTATTTTATGATATGAATAGTGTTAGTAATCTAACACAAAATGATAGAAAAGCAATTTTACTTTCTAATTTATTTAAATTTTTTTGAAGAAATTTGCTTTTAATAAAAAATTAACAAGAAAAGAAAGAAAGAAATGAATTTAAGAATTTTGATAATAATTAATTTTATTTTCACTAAGATTATCCCATGTGCTAGTTAAGATGGTCCTATTAATAGCTAATGTGATTAAATTTGTTAGAATTGCTCAAGTGATAAAATATTTCAATGTCTTGGATGCAAATATCCATATTATTTTGATCAGGATAGTTAGGATTGTGTTTTATCTTGCCCTAGTAGAACATATTAAAACTAATAAATGGAATGTGCTACTTGCATTTCTAAATATTGCTTAAGTTGTTCATCTTCTGAATGCTTCTAATGCTAATCTGGATACTCTCTGGACCCATAAAATAATGTAAGTTTTCTTTTGATATTTTTAAAATAATTATATTTTTACACTTCAGTAAGAATGTATTGCTAATTGTGAAAATGGCTAGTATTTGTTAGATGGAGAATGCGTTTATGAATGTAGCCTTTAATCACTGAACCTCTCCTTAGATACATCTTCTAATACATGTATTTAACTTTAGAGCTGTCCTTTGCTATCTTATATTCCTACAACTTAGGCAGTAGGTTAAATTCAATATTTCAGTACATTTATTGATGAAAGTAAATTGAAAGTTTATTTAATTAATTGCGTTTTTTCATTATTTTGTTTGCATTATTATATTTTTAAATTTATTAAGAATCAAATATAATACAAACTTGATTTTTAGTAACTTAAAAAGGGAATGCTTTTTAAAAACCTACTTCTTTAAAATTAATCTTTTAAAGAAATTTAAATTTTACAAAAGTTTTTTAGGTAGATAAAAAGTGGGATTTGCCTTTATTTTTTACTAAAAGTAAAAACATTTATGAAATAATCAAATACAATAAGATTTAAAAACTAAAAATTGATAGAATTAAAATAAATAAATTTTTTGTTAAAAAATATTTTTTCTGAATTTATTAAAAATATTGATTGAATTAGTATTATAAAAACTATAAATTTCAACACAAATCTTTGCTAATTTTTAATTTAAAAATTTTATATGTTATTATTCATTTTAGAAATATTTAAAAAAATTATTTATAAAAAAGTAAAAACTAAAATTATTTTATTTTTTAAAAAGCTTAAAGCGTGCTGCTTTAGATAGATGAATACGGAAAAGTAATTGTGAAATCCTTTCCATAACTTATACCTTAAGTTTATTATTATATACCATATCTCACATTTGTAAAATATTATTTTTCTTATAACATCATACTTAATTAAGAATAATTAATAGATATATAATTGCGTACAGTTGGTAGATCAATTAACTCAAAGATAATTGTTTTCTTGTATAAATTCATTTAGCTAAGTTTTTACTTTTGATATCTTTTCTGGAGTGATTTTACATAAAAATGATACATTCAATTAAGAGATTGTAAATTATGATGTCTTTGAAAATTAAATGGTTTTTATTACTGCTTTAGGATGGATATTCTAATATGATTTCTAATCTTTTTAATTTACTGTGATTGATTAATAATCAGATATATTAGTTTAAATAATAATTATTTAAAATTATTAGTAAAAAGATGATCAATATATTATTGCTATAAACTCTACTAATACAATATATTATTATGATTAATAATTTAGGAAGAGAATACTTTTATAATCATTATCTCAAAACTTTATTTAAATGGTAAATATAAATACATCAAATTATTGGGTGATCTACTAGTACAAGTATACTGAATTAGATATTTACTTTATCTTATTTGGCTCAGTTCCTCAGTATATCAAATCTATCACTTCTTTGAATAACGTCTAATATATTATCAGATCTAATTAAGTTAAAAATTTTTACTTTTTAATATTTAAAAATATTTAATAAAATGTTTATAAAAATAGACTTTGATTTTATTAGGTGGTCAAAATTTAATTGCATTTTAAGTTTTTGAGATAGATTAAAATAAAGAATTTATTGAAACCACTCATTTAGTACCATCAACTTTGTTAAATTCAGATTGCTTTTGGCGTACTAAAGACATTTTTTTCTCTCAATATTAAAACTAACTCTACATTTTCAATTTTACAGATAATAATTTTACCCTTTCTTACACTTTAAAACTAGATTAACCTCTAATTTGCAGTTAATGTGATTTAGATGTTTTGCAAGTAAATGGTAAATTTTATCTCTTAACTAAAATTAAATAAGATATATCAGTCTAAGAACTTATTTAAAACCAGTCAGAAAGCTAGAATTCCAATCAAATTTTTTTCTCTTCTGAATAACATGCATTTTTTAAAACATCTTATCTTTTTCAAATTCCAACTAATAATATATTAAATGCCTCAAACAATAATCAGTTATTGGAGCTTAAAAGTAATGGAGTAGTTAATTAATATGATCTGATATCAAGAAAAATTACAAAACAATTTTATGTATGGGATGACTTTTTTTATTAAGTTTAATTTTAAACTCAAGGCCTTGTATTATACAATTGCATATTTGTAGAAGAAGAAGAAAAAATTATACTGACTGGTATAAAAAATGGTATTTTGGCAATAAAAGAAATTAATTTATTTACTTTTGAAGTAATTTTAGAAAATACTTTTAGCAACATAGATATTACACCAAGCTAAATAAAATCATTTAATCAACCATTTTATATAAAGAACTCTAGAACATTAATAGTTTATATTAATAATTTATTCATCAGTCAACTCGGTACATAAAGAAGATAGCTCCATATTCTTCGTTACAGCTCAGTTAATAACCAATACAATTATAAATACTCATTAAGATATATTGTAAATGATGTTTAGGTATCATAAACAACTGGTGATATTATTTGCTTCTTAGTATATTAAGTTTACCTCATCTAAATAGCGATTTTTAACGCCTACAAAAATGTAAAATTTGTAAATATAAAATTATTTTATAATTCATTTTTAAAAATAGTAAAATCCTGTTTATGTATCTAAGTAATTCTACAATGTTTGCTCAAATCACATAGGATATTTCAATTAAAACTAAGACACTATTTACTATTCAGATTTTTTTACAGGAATAATTAGCATGAACCTTCTCAACTAGTATAAAATAAAGTTATTTAGTAGCGACAAGTTAATATTATCTTTTTACATATCTCCAAATTAAAACTACAAAATTTTTAGTTTAAATCCTTATAATTAGGCATAAATAGTTTCTGTTAAAGACAATACTGTCCTATAGGTAATTTTCTTAATAATTAAAAACGATATTTTTATATAAAACATTTATCAAACTAGGTAATTCCTATAGGTAATTACATTCCATAATTTATTAGTTATGGAAATAAAGTGATAGTTTGTACTAACACTTATAGTTTAACTTACTACGATGGAGATACTAATTCACTTATCACTTTTCAAAATTAATATTATGGTTAGAACATAGATGCATTTCTTCATAACTAAAATTAATTGATTTTTTTAAATACTTAAGTCTTTCTCATGATAAGTTTAGATGATCCAAATCTCCAATTATAGCAAGTATACAAGTTTAAATTTATTTTTATGTTTCAACAATTTTTTTAAAAATAAAAGCTATCATTTAAAACTATTCGACATACATATACTTTTAACGATGTTTTAATTCCTTTTACTAATAGTTAAAATAAGTTATAGTTGATGATAGATATTAAATAACTATTTTGTTATAAGTATTAAAATAATGATTTTTTAAATTAGTAAATAAATTTGCTTGCTATAAACTTATATGAATAAGACATATAGTTAAATTTGTACTAGAGCTATATTGAAGTGATCAAATATCAACAAAGAATTGCTAAAATATTTATTGATTTAACATAAACTAAAGTTTTAGTCAATTAAAATTATTAGTACTATTTGCTTTATGATCGTAAAGGATTTTATTATCCTTATCATGATTATATGGTTATAATAGCAGGCTATCATCTAATTTTTATAGACTCATCTACTTTTAAAATAGTAAAATTTTAATTAAATTATTTACTTTTTTCTTCTTTTTTATTTATAAGCTTTTTAAAAATTTGATAGCTTCTTCATTATGTGTCTCAAAATTCATTTTAAAATGTTGCTTATGACATTGAATTAGGATGCATTGCTTTCTCAGATAATTTGAAAGATTGTATAATCAGTTTAGATGTAAATCAACATTCAAAAATTAAATTTATTTATCAATTTGTTTTATAATATTTTAAGCAAATTTCTACAAATTGCATCCCTAACACGAATTAATTTAGTGAAGATTTATTGCATGGGACTATCATATCGAGGACATATCAATTAATTGTATTTTATAGTTAATTTAGTATAAGGATATATTCTTTAAAAGAATAAATATACAAGTTGAACTATTACTCATCTCATTTTACAGCTTATTCTGTATATTATGATAGATTTAGTAGTATAATAATTTTTGGAGAATATTTTAGCTAAGCTTTTTCAATATTAAATTTAATCACATACAAAATACAACCTACCCCCTTCCCTCTATTTAACACAAAAAATTTAGAAGACTAATATAAGGTAAGATAACCTATTATCACATGTTAGTTAATTTTATTTTTTTATAATAGTTTTATTTTTTTTCAGATCAAAAAAAAGTGATGCTGTTTTCATCGTATGTTTCTTTCATACAAATATATGACTTAGATACCTAAGCCAGTCCGTAAACTATTTAGCTTTAATACTAGTTTAATTAGTAGAGTCAAGTAGTTGTTGATGAAAATCTTAATTTAGTTATGTTTATTGATAACTAAAACTAAATTGAAATCATATCATATTAAACTAATCAAATTATTAAGATTTATTAAGTAAATTCATAACATTTTTCTTGAAAATTTTATAATTTTATTTAAAAATTAATTCAACCTCCATAAAAACTACTAAATATTTTTTATATATAAATAGTTGGACTATATTAAAAATGAAGCAAATGCATATTAAAAAATATTAATTTGGGATAGCTTTAAGAGAAAGATCTTTGTCAGCTCAAACAATATATTTTATATTTTAGACTATGATAATAATAATTTTATTTGCAAATACTAATTTCAGCGAACAATTTTTGATATTTATATAAGCTTTAATAAAAATCAAATTTTTGTTACAGATTTTTTAAATTTGAGAGTTTTTGACTATTCTATAATAGAGTTTGATTAAATCCTACTACCTTAGTATTTAATACCTAAAATATTACAAATAAATTAAAACTAATACATATTATTTGATGATAGTTAATCAACAATTAAAAATATTGTTCAAGGAGAAGTAAAGGACTTTAAATACTATAATTCACTACATCATGCACCTTTTTACTTTAATTTTTATAATAATAATAGCTCTTAGTTTTATTTAATAACATTTAACTAGCTTTCTATATTATAAATTAGTTCAACTAAGCTAACTCTAATATTTTCTCAATTGCTAGACTCTTAAATAATCACTTTTATCAGTGAATCTGATTCAGAAGTTCTTTTTTTAACATAAAAGTAAACTTTATATTGCCTTACTAAAAATCTAATTAACCCACAACTAATTGCCTTAACATATATCTCAACTGGAATAGGAGAATTTATAATGATCAACAATACTTACTTAATTTACAGTTCAACTAAAAACTCGAGTTAATGGAATAAGATAATTCTTTAAAATACTTAGTCTAATTCTACTGGAATTAAATTAGAACAATTTATATTTAATTTAGAAAAAAATGATACAGTTTAGCAACTTATTAAAATAGATAATACTTTGAGTGTTATAATGCTAACCAAAAAATATATCTAAATAGTTGATGTTTAAACAGGAAATGTCTAACACAATACTCAATTAGATTTCTAAAACCAATAATCTTAAATTTACTTTGATGCTCTTTATGGAAGAGTTTTTTATTCAGACAGAATTATTGGAGTCAAAGTTTATGATATCCAATTATAAGTTATTAAAAATAGTTTACCAAGTTCAGGTATAAGATTAAAAATTAAAGATTCTTTCATATTCATGCTTTCGTTTAATTCAGTGAGTATATATTTAAGAAAAGACCTCAAATTTTTTTAATTAATTAGAAATTTTAACAATACTGAATCACTTATTGATATAGAATACATGGGATATAATTATATCTTTATTTTATATTTTGATTAGTAAATTACTTTTATGTATACTTCACCTTTCTAATAACCATGGCTAATTGATATTCTCTCAGTAAGTAATTATGTTATATTATCTAGCTAAGTAAGTTAGAAGAGTTCTTAATACTTGATAGTTAATATGGCTATTTTAACTTTTGAATACACCATTGAATACATTACTGAGCTAAATATTAGTGGATATTAAAATAAATTTTGTTCTGCTTAACTACAAATAAAAACAAGTTAAAGCGATCAACTAACAAAGATGCAATAAAGTGATTATTAAAATTTACTATCGCTTAAATAACTTTTAATTTAGAACATTATTTATAGTTTATACATAGATAATGGTGAATAGACAGACTTAATGTATCCTTTTATTAACTCTAGCTCTGTAACTAAAGATTATTCACTCAAAATTTAAGCTTAAAACTCTAATAGTATTTATCTAAAAACTTAAAATAGTACCGATTAGAACATAGTAGATCTCTAACTTAACAGTTTAAAACTTTCATTTTAAAATATAAATAAGACCTAATACTTATTTGGTAATTAGACATTCTAAAAATTAGCTAGGCTGTATTTAAATGATATTGAATTATTAGAAATCGGTAATAATTAGCTAATATTTTAAGGAATAGATCATATTTTTATTACAAATCTAATTATAAATGGGGAATCAATCTAATTAACTAACAATCATATAATTATTTTCTAAGATATTAATTTTGTAATTGTTTAAAACATTACATTAATAAATTGCTAATTTAGCAATATATTTAATATATTATCATTTAATAATATAAATTAATTGATTATAAGCAATCTTTATATTAGATTAAACAAGTTAGCTTCTATTATTAATCAAAATTCACTTATAAATATCTCAAATATTAATAATCTCACTATTAGCAATACTTATGTTTAATAAAATTCTCTAGAAAATGTTGAAATATTTAAAATAAGTAATGCTACTGAAGTTAGCATTAGCAATATGAAATTATCTGAAAACTAAATGATTCTAAACTAAGCAATCGATTTATAAGGAATCATATTCTATTTTGAAGCAACTCCGTATATTTCTATAGAACAAATAGAATTTAACAAATTGAATATTTCTTCCAACTCATCCCTTTCTCTGATAAAATTTTCTAATGTTAATCAAACTTTACAATTTAATGATCTTACTTTTACATAGTCTATAATAAATGACTATCAAACGAGCTTTGTATTCAATTAACAGTAGTTTATTATAGAATGTGAAGGTATACTATTTTCAAATTTCTCAAACATCTATATAAGTAATTCTGATAGAATAAGCTTTGTTTATATGCATGAATTGACCAATATAAATGGAGTTACCATAAAAAATTAAAAGTCCATCTATAGTAATTATTCTCATTATTATTCAGATACAAATCAACTTATGCTACTAAATGCATAATAATTAAATATATCAAATGCCAATTTTACATCTATTTCTAATTAAAATTCTAACTCTGCTTTAATTTAAATTTAAGTTAGCTAAAATTTGCTATTAGATTAAATTAGCATAAAAAATATTAGTCTCAAATAAAATAACTTTATTAGCATTCTACAAAGCTCGTAAGTAATAATATAATATATTGAATCTAAATATATTGACACAAAAAGCATAGCAAGTACTATTTACTTTGAGTAAATTTCAAAATTAATCATGAAAAATAATAAATTTATCTTGAACTTATCTTATTTGGATGGAGGAGCAATATATATGAATTAGATAAATGAAATCATTTTTATTAATAATACTTTTTAGGAAAATCAATCTCTAACTGGAAATGGAGGGGCCATATACTGTTTTAATAGTATCTTTTCTAAATTTGAGAGCAATGATTTTATATAGAATTCATGTCCTTCAGGTTCAGGAGGAGCTTTGCAATTAAATAACTGTGATATCTAAGAAATGGTACAAAATACATTCAAGTAAAACAATGCCCTAATAGGAGGTGCTTTTAGATATTAAGGAATATAACCTAAAGTTTTATAAAAATCTAATGTTAGTTAACGGTTACTTACCTTAAATTTCAATTATTTTATTAAAAACTCAGCACAATTATATGGAAAAGATATAGGCTCCTATCCAGTTTTATTGGATGTGAAAAATCAATTTGTTGATGATAATAGAGTTTCAAAAGCTAAATTAGAAAATTTATAAAGTGGCAGCACGTCTAAACCAATATCAATCAGACTAATTGATGAGGAAATGAGAGAAGTAAGCTTTTTAAAAAACATATCAAACATAAATTAGGAAATCCTTATTGAATTTGGATATTATTTCCTTGAAGTTTAAAGTTAGTAAGTTGGATTAGATGGAAATTTAAGATAAAATTATAATTTTGATTAATTTGGTTTTGTCTTTAATGTATCTTATTCTTATATGCCTAATTCTAATTCCTCTATTCTAATTAAAACAGTAAGCACTATTCCTGTTCTTAACACAACAACTTTTAAATTTGATGAGTAATAACTAAGTTTATCTATTGATGTTAGTTTTAGGAAATGTTAATAAGGAGAAATTTTATAAAATTTACAAAAATATAAAATATGCTATACTTGTCAATAAGGTATAAGGAATATTTATTATGATTTATTATTTATCTTTTAGTATAAGAATTTAATTTTTCATTAACAAGCAAATAATATTTTTTTTATTAAAAGGTAATTATTGTTTAGAAGATCCTAACTAAAATGAAAATTTATAGTGTTTAAAATGTCCTTTTGGTTCTAAAAATTGTCATTCAAATGTAATCTAATTATAAAATGGATATTGGAGTTAGAGTTAGAACTCAGACTAAATTTATTAATGCCTTAATCCTCAAAATTGCATTCCTGAAGATCCTTCAAATAAATTCGGATGTTTAGAAGGACATATTGGGGCTATATGTGAATCCTGTGATAGTGATGGAACTGTTTGGGGAAAAATATATGGTAAAAATAATAACGGTGTTTAATGTTAAGAATGTATTTAATAAAATTAAATTTATTCAATTATTATTTTGTGCTTATTAGTGGTTATGTTTTGTTGCTATTTAATCTTTTAAGTTCATAGGTAGCTAGCATTCTTATAAAAAAAAATGAGCTGGTTTTATTTGAGAAAACTAAAAATTATGTTGCTCTATAGCTAAAATATAAGCACTAGTTCATCATATATAAAAATTCTAATTAACTATTTACAGTTTTTAGCACTTATTAACAATTTAGGCATTTAAACTTATGACTATTTAAGTATTATTGAGATTGGAGGTGGCGATCCTGCTTAGCATACAGTTTATAACTTAGATTGTATTTTTAATAGCTTAAATTCAGAGCTTCCTTTGTATGCTATTAGAGTCTTATTTATTAATTGCTAAATAATAATTATTTATTTATTGATGTAACTAGTAAATTAGCTGACAAATATTTTTAAAATAGAAAATGATTAATTTTAAATATCTTCTTTTATATTAGTATATCTTTTCTTTAGTTCATCCATAATAAAAGTACTAATACAGTCTTCATCTTGCCGAGAAATATCAAGTAAGTTATATATAATTTAAGAAATGCAATACGAATGCTATACTTATGAACACAATAGCATTATTTTCTACTTAATAGGACCCTTGCTTTTGATATGGTTTATATTAATTCCATTTATTTTTTCTTGGCATTTGTACAGAAAAAGATCAAAATTATAAAGCTTGATTTTATTAAAGAAATTTGGGCTTTTGTATTAAGTAAATATTGTTTTAAATATTTAATGCATTGAAAACATTTTATTATTTTTATAAATAGGAATACAAAGAAGAGTCTTATTATTGGGATTTAGTAAGAAACTAAACTAGGACTTCACTAGTTATATTTTTAAATTTGATTAGGACTTCATCGTTGCTGAAATCTTAATATTTATAATTTCTAATGTTTATTTACTTTAGGTTTTTAAAGAAAGTAAGCCCATATTAAAGATAGTAAATGAACAAAATAGATTAACTATCTTGTAAATTTGTTATGTTAAGTATATTCTTAATATAGTTGATAATACTTACAGATAGTTCAAAAGTTTAACAAATATTCTAAGTAATTTTGATTATTTTAAATGTTTGTTTCATAGGAATCCTAATCTTACTAATAATACAAAAACCCATACCTTAAATTGCAACAAACAGAAATATGTATTAGAGATTCTAAGTTATTTTGTCAAAACTAATACCAAATTCTATATACTAAGTTAATTATTAAAAGCAGGTTAATATATTGAGGATAAACTCTTTATGGAAAAAAGTTAGAAGCTCCTTAAGATAAATTATTGAGTTCGAAGTAGATATTAAAAATTAAAAATGGGTTTAATCAAAGCTTATTAAGACATAAGGACTAAATTAAAGCAAAAAATAAAGAATAATCCATCATCAAAGGGTAAATTTCTAAATAGATTTTTAGAAAAGTATATTTATAGATAATAATATAAAATGAATAAAGTTGTTTTTTAGAATTATGTATTCAATTTTATAGGATTTTGAAATATTTGTTTGTTTTTCAAATAAATTTCATTCAGTTTTATATTTTAAATTTCATTAAATTTATGAATTAATTAGGCTAAATTTTAAATAAATAAGAGTATATTTATTTTTAAAGGCTTAAATAAATTGATAAGTAAGTTAAATTATAATTTGTGTTAAATTGATATTTATAAAAAAAAATAAATAAATAATTTATGAGTTTGAAAAGCTTGTTGGTATAATAAACAAATTAAGCTTATTATTTTAACAAGAAAAAAGTGAATAATTTTAAATTTGATATATTTATTTTAGTAATTTATTTATAAGTCTACTTAATTAACTATATTTAATATTAATAAAGACTTTTATTTATTTATTAATAAATTAAATAAATTGATTAAAATTAGGGACTATCAAACAATAAGGAAAAAGAACAGTAAGAGTTAGTTTAGATAGATTAAAAGAAATAAATGGAAAAAATATTCATGAAAATTTTTAATATTTTATACTAACAATTTTTTTTTAATGTGACGATAGAGATAGAGCAGATTATATGTTAAAAAAATTAAAAAATAAATTTATTTTATCAATTAATCTACAGGGGTGATTATGTCATATAAAATTATTATTTGCATAATGTAGCAATAGATGTTTATTACTTAATGAATATGATATTCAATCAAATAAATAATAAAAAATAAAGATTATATTTATATTTGATAAATAAATTATTAAAATCTAATATTAATAATAGTTTTTATTAAGTTTATTAATGAAAAATATATAATTTAAAAGTTCAATTATTTTAAGAGATAAATAGTGTTAGTTATTTGAATGAAATGATAGCAGAGCTATTTTCATTTCTAATTTATTTAAATTGCTTTGAAGAAATTTGCTATTTTACTAAAAAATTAACAAGAAAAGAAAGAAAGAAAGAAATGAATTTAAGAATTTTGATAATAATTAATTTTGTTTTCACTAAAATTATCCCATGTGTGAGTCAAGATGGCCCTATTAATAGCTAATGTGATGAAATTTGTTAGAATTGCTCAAGCGATAAAATATTTTAATGTCTTGGATGCAAATATCCATATTATTTTGATCAGGAAAGTTAGGATTGTGTTTTATCTTGCCCTAATAGAACATATTAAAACTAATAAATGGAATGTGTTTCTTGCATTTCTAAATATTGTTTAAGCTGTTCATCTTCTGAATGCTTCTAATGCTAACCCGGATACTCTCTGAACCCACAAAATAATGTAAGTTTTCTTTTGATATTTTTAAAATAATTATATTTTTACACTTCAGTAAGAATGTATTGCTAATTGTGAAAATGGCTAGTATTTGTTAGATGGAGAATGCGTTTATGAATGTAGCCTTTAATCATAGAGCCTCTCCTTAGATAAATCTTCTAATACATGCATTTAGCTATAGAACTGTCCTTTGCTATCTTATATTCCTTCAACTTAGGCAGTAGGTTAAATTCAATATTTCACAACATTTATTGATGAAAGTAAATTGAAAGTTTATTTAATTAATTGCGTTTTTTCATTATTTTGTTTGCATTATTATCTTTTTAAATTTACTAAGAAGCAAATATAATACAAACTTGATTTTTAGCAAAAGGGAATGATTTTTAAAAACCTACTTCTTAAAATGAAATTTAAATGTATACAAAAGTTATTTAGGTAGATAAAAAATGGGATTTTCATATATTTTTTACTAAAAGAAAAAAAATTATGAAATAATCGAGTACAATAAGATTTATTTATAAATGCAATATATAAATAAATAAAAATAGAGGAATAGTAAGATTAAAAATTGATAGAATTAAAATAAATCAATTTTTTATAAAAAAAATATTGATTGAATTTGTAGATCAAATATTTCACACGCTAATCTTTGCTAATTTTTAATTTAAAAATTTTATATGTTATTATTAATTTTAGAAATATTTAAAAAAATTATTTATAAAAAAGTAAAAACTAAAATTATTTTATTTTTTAAAAAGCTTAAAGTGTGTTGCTTTAGATAGATGAATACGGAAAAGTAATTGTGAAATCCTTTCCATAACTTATACCTTAAGTTTATTATTATATACCATATCTCACATTTGTAAAATATTATTTTTCTTATAACATCATATTTAATTAAGAATAATTAATAGATACAAAATTGTGTTCAGTTAGTAGATCAATTAGCTCAAAGATACTTGCTTTCTTGTGTAAATTCATCAAGCTAAGTTTTTACTTTTGATATCTTTTCTGGAGTGATTTTACATAAAAATGATACATTCAATTAAGAGATTGTAAATTATGATGTCATTGAAAATTAAATGGTTTTTACTACTGCTTTAGGATGGATATTCTAATATGATTTCTAATCTTTTTAATTTACTGTGGTTGATTAATAATCAGATATATTAGTTTAAATTATATATATTTAAAATTATTAGAAAAAAGATGATTAATATATTATTGCTATAAACTCTACTAATACAATATATTATTATGATTAATAATTTAGAAAGAGAATACTTTTATAATAGTTATCTAAAAATTTTATTTAAATGGTAAATATAAATACATCAAATTATTGGGTGATCTACTAGTACTAGTATACTGAATTAGATATTTACTTTATCTTATTTGGCTCAGTTCCTCAGTATATCAAATCTATCACTTCTTTGAATAACGTCTAATATATTATCAGATCTAATTAAGTTAAAAATTTTTACTTTTTTAATATTTAAAAATATTTAATAAAATGTTTATAAAAATAGACTTTGATTTTATTAGGTGGTCAAAATTCAACGGCATTTTAAGTTTTTAAAATAGATTAGAATAAATAATTTATTGAAACCACTCAATTAGTACCATCTACTTTGTTAAATTCAGATTGCTTATGGCGTACTAACGACATTTTTTTCTCTCAATATTAAAACTAACTCTACATTTTCAATTTTAAAGAAAATAATTTTACCCTTTCTTACACTTTAAAATTAGATTAACCTATAATCTGCAAATATAGTGATTTAGGTGTTTTTCAAACAAGTGATAAATTTTATCTCTTAATTAGAATAAAATAAGATATATCAGTTTAAGAACTTACTTAAAGCTAGTCAGAAAGCTAAAGCTCAGATCAAATTTTTTTCTCTTCTGAATAACATGCATTTTTTTATGCATCTTATCTTTTTAAAATTCCAACTATTAATATATTAAATGTCTCAAACAATAATCAGTTATTGGAGCTTAAAAGTAATGGAGTAGTTAATTAATATGATCTGATATCAAGAAAAATTACAAAACAATTTTATGTATGGGATGACTTTTTTAATTAAGTTTAATTTTAAACTCAAGGCCTTGTATTATACAATTGCATATTTGTAGAAGAAGAAGAAAAAATAATACTGACTGGTATAAAAAATGGTATTTTGGCAATAAAAGAAATTAATTTATTTACTTTTGAAGTAATTTTAGAAAATACTTTTAGCAACATAGATATTACACCAAGCTAAATATAATCATTTAATCAACCATTTTATATAAAGAACTCTAGAACATTAATAGTTTATATAAATAATTAATTCATCAGTCAACTCGGTACATAAAGAAGATAGCTCCATATTCTTCGTTACAGCTCAGTTAATAACCAATACAATTATAAATACTCATTAAGATATATTGTAAATGATGTTTAGGTATCATAAACAACTGGTGATATTATTTGCTTCTTAGTATATTAAGTTTACCTCATCTAAATAGCGATTTTTAACGCCTACAAAAATGTAAAATTTGTAAATATAAAATTATTTTATAATTCATTTTTAAAAATAGTAAAATCCTGTTTTTGTATCTAAGTAATTCTACAATGTTTGCTCAAATCACTTAGGTTATTTCAATTAAAACTAAGACACTATTTACTATTCAGATTTTTTTACAGGAATAATTAGTATGAACCTTCTCAACTAGTATAAAATAAAGTTATTTAGTAGCGACAAGTTAATATTATCTTTTTACATATCTCCAAATTAAAACTACAAAATTTTTAGTTTAAATCCTTATAATTAGGCATAAATAGTTTCTGTTAAAGACAATACTGTCCTATAGGTATCTTTTTAGATAATCAAAAAAAATATATTTATAATTATATATTTATCAAACTAGGTATTTCCTATAGGTAATTACATTCCATAATTTATTAGTTACGGAAATAAAGTGATAGTTTGTACTAATACTTATCATTTAACTTACTATGATGGAGATACTAATTAACTTATAACTTTTCAAAATTAATATTATGGTTAGAACATAGATGCATTTCTTCATAACTAAAATTAATTGATTTTTGTAAATACTTAAGTCTTTTTCATGATTAGTTTAGATGATCCAAATCTTCAATTATAGCAAGTATACAAGTTTAAATTTGTTTTTATGTTTCAATAATTTTTTAAAATAAAAGCTATCATTTTAAACTTTCCGACATACATATACTTTTAACAATGCTTTAATTCCTTTGACTAATAGTTCAAATAAGTTATAGTTGATGATAGATATTAAATAACTATTTTGCTATCAGTATTAAAATAATGATTTTTTAAATTAGTAAATAAAATTGTTTGCTATAAACTTATATGAATAAGACATATAGTTAAATTTGTACTTGAGCTATATTGAAGTAATCAAATATCAACAAAGAATTGCTAAAATATTAATTGATTTAACATAGACTAAAGTTTTAATCAATTAAAATTACTAGTATTATTTGCTTTATGATTGTAAAGGATTTTATTATCCTTATCATGATTATATGGTTATAATAGCAGGCTATCATCTAATTTTTATAGACTCAACTACTTTTAAAATAGTAAAATTTTAATTAAAATTATTTACTTTTTTCTTCTTTTTTATTTATAAGCTTTTTTAAAAATTTGATAGCTTCATCATTATGTGTCTCAAAATTCATTTTAAAATGTTGCTTATGACATTGAATTAGGATACATTGCTTTCTCAGATAATTTGAAAGATTGTATAGTCAGTTTAGATGTAAATCAACATTTAAAAATTTAATTTATTAATCAATTTGTTATAATATTTAAAGCAAATTTCTACAAACTGCATCCCTAACACGAATTAATTTAGTGAAGATTTATTGCATGGGACTATCATATCGAGAACATATCAATTAATTATATTTTATAATTAATTTAGTATAAGGGTATATTCTTTAAAAGAATAAATATACAAATTGAACTATTACTCATCTCATTTTACAGCTTATTCTGTATATTTTGATAGATTTAGTAGTATAATAATTTTTGGAGAATATTTTAGCTAAGATTTTTTAATATTAAATTTAATAACATACAAAATACAACCTACCCCCTTCCCTCTATTTAACACAAAAAATTTAGAAGACTAATATAAGGTAAGATAACCTATTGTCACATGTTAGTTAATTTTATTTTTTTATAATAGTTTTATTTTTTTTCAGATCAAAAAAGAGTGATGCTGCTTTCCTCATATGTTTCTTTCATACAAATATATGACTTAGATACCTAAGCCAGTCCGTAAACTATTTAGCTTTAATACTAGTTTAATTAGTAGAGTCAAGTAGTTGTTGATGAAAATCTTAATTTAGTTATGTTTATAGATAACTAAAACTAAATTGAAATCATATCATATCAAGCTAATCAAATTGTTAAGACATATTAAGTAAATTTATAATATTTTTCTTGAAAATTTCATTAAAAAATCATTGGATTACCATAAAATCCACTAAATATTTTTTATATATATATAGTTGGACTATATTAAAAATGAAGTAAATGCATATTAAAAAGTATTAATTTGGGATAGCTTTAAGAGAAAGATCTTTGTCAGCTCAAACAATATATTTTATATTTTAGACTATGATAACAATAATTTTATTTGCAAATACTAATTTCAGCGAACAATTTTTGATATTTATATAAGCTTTAATAAAAATCAAATTTTTGTTACAGACTATTTGAATTTAAGAGTTTTTGACTATTCTATAATAGAGTTTGATTAAATCCTAATACCTTAGTATTTAATACCTAAATTTTTACAAATAAATTAAAACTAATACATATTATTTGATGATAGTTAATCAACAATTAAAAATATTGTTCAAGGAGAAGTAAAGGACTTTAAATACTTTAATTCACTACATCATGCACCTTTTTACTTCAATTTTTATAATAATAATAGCTCATAGTTTTATTTAATTACATTTAACTAGCTTTATATATTATAAATTAGTTCAACTAAGCTAACTACGATATTTTATCAATTGCTTGACTCTTAAATAATCACTTTTATCAGTGAATCTGATTCAGAAGTTCTTTTTTTAACATAAAAGTAAACTTTATATTGCCTTACTAAAAATCTAATTAACCCACAACTAATTGCCTTAACATATATCTCAACTGGAATAGGAGAATTTATAATGATCAACAATACTTACTTAATTTATAGCTCAACGAAAAACTCGAGTTAATGGAATAAGATAACTCTTTAAAATACTTAGTCTGATTCAAATGCAATTAAATTAGAACAATTTATATTTAATTTAGAAAAAAATGATACAGTTAAACAACTTATTAAAATAGATAATACTTTAAGTGTTATAATGCTAACCAAAAAATATATACAAATAATTGATGCTTAAACAGGAAATATCTAATAGAGTACTTTATTAGATTTCTAAAACCAATATTCTTAAATTTATTTCGATGCCCTTTATGGTAGAATTTTATATTCAGATAGGATTATTGGAGTCAAGGTATATGATAATCAATTATAAGCAATTAAAAGTAGTTTACCTAGTTCAGGTATAAGATTAAAAATTAAAGATTCCTTCTTATTTATGCTTTCTTTTAATTCAGTGAGTATATATTTAAGAAAAGACCTCTAATTTTTTTAAGTAATTAGAAACTTTAACAGTACCCAATCACTAATCGATATAGAATACACAGGATATAATTATATCTTTCTTTTATATTTTGATAAATAGATTACTTTCATGTAGGTTTCACCTTTCTAATAACCATAGCTAGTTGATATTTTATCAGTAAGTAATTATGTAATATTATCTAAATAAGTAAATTAGAAGAATTCTGAATACTTGGTAGTTAATATGACTATTTTAACTTTTGAGTACACAATTGAATACATCACTGAGCTAAATATTGGTGGATATTAAAATAAATTTTGTTCTGCTTAACTACAAATAAAAACAAGTTAAAGTGATCAACTAACAAAAATGCAATAAACAGATTATTTAAATTTACTATCACTTAAATAACTTTTAATTTAGAACATTATTTATAGTTTATACATAGATAATGGTGAATAGACTGATTTAATGTATCCTTTTATTAGCTCTAGCTCTGTAACTACAGATTATTCACTCAAAATTTAAGCTTAAAACTCTAATAGTATTTATCTAAAAACTCAAAACAGTACGGATTAAAACATTGTAGAACTGTAACTTAACAGTTTAAAACTTTCATTTTAAAATATAAATAAGACTTAATACTTATTTGGTAATTAGACATTCTAAAAATTAGCTAGGCTGTATTTAAATGATATTGAATTATTAGAAATCGGTAATAATTAGCTAATATTTTAAGGAATAGATCATATTTTTATTACAAATCTAATTATAAATGGGGAATCAATCTAATTATCTAATAATAAGACAATCATTTTCTAAGATATTAATTTTGTAATTGTTTAAAACATTACATTAATAAATTGCTAATTTAGCAATATTTTTAATATATTCTCATTTAGCAATATAAATTAATTGATTATAAGCAATCTTTATATTAGATTAAACAAGTTAGCTTCTATTATTAATCAAAATTCACTTATAAATATCTCAAATATTAATAATCTCACTATAAACAATACTTATATTTTATAAAATTCTATAGAAAATGTTGAAATATTTAAAATAAGGAATGTTACTGAAGTTAGCATTAATAGCATGATATTTTCTGAAAACTAAATAATTATTAACTAAGATATCGATTTGTAAGGAATCATATTCTATTTTGAAACAATCCCATATATTTCTATAAATCAAATTCAATTTAACAAATTGAGCATTTCTTCCATCTCCTCTCTTTCTCTGCTAAAATTTTCAAATATTAATTAAACTTTACAATTTAAAGATCTTATTTTTAAATACTCTATAATCAGTGACAATCAAAATAACTTTGTATCTAATTAAGAGTATTTTATTATAGAATGTGAAGGGATAGTTTTATCGAATTTCTCAAACATCTCTATAAGTAATTCTGATAGAATAAGCTTTGTTTATATGCATTAATAGACAAACATAAAGGGAATTATTATTTATAATTAAATATCTATCATTAGTAATTACTGTCATTATAATTCAGATACAAATCAACTTATGATACTAAACGCATAATAAATAAATATATAAAATTCCAATTTTACATCTATTTCTAATCAAAATTCTAATTCTGCTTTAGTTTAAATTTAAGTCAGCTAAAATTTGCTATTAGATTAAATTAACATAACAAATATTAGTATTAAAGAAAATAGCTTTATTAGCATCCTAAAAAGCTAGTAAGTAGTAATCTAATATATTGAAGCTAAATATATTTATACAAAAAGTAAAGCAAGTACTATTTACTTTGAGTAAATTTAATAATTAATCATGAAAAATAACAAATTTATCTTGAACTTATCTTATTTGGATGGAGGAGCAATATATATGAATTAGATAAATGAAATCGATTTGATTAATAATACCTTTTAGGAAAATTAATCACAAACTGGAAATGGAGGGGCAATATACTGTTATAATAGTATCTTTTCTAAATTTGAGAGTAACAATTTCATATAGAATTCATGCACTTCAGGTTCAGGAGGAGCTTTGTAATTGAATAACTGTGATATCTAAGAAATGGTAGAAAATACATTCAAGTAAAATAAAGCCCTAATAGGAGGAGCTTTTAGATATTAAGGAATATAACCTAAAGTTTTACAAAAATCTAATGTTAGCTAACGGATACTTACCTTAAGTATAAATTAATTTATTAAGAACTCAGCATAATTATATGGAAAAGATATAGGCTCCTATCCAGTTTTATTGGATGTGAAAAATTAATTCGATGATGATAATAGAGCTTCAAAAGCTAAATTAGAAAATTTGTAAAGTGGCAGTACATCTACACCAATATTGATCCGACTAATTGATGAAGAAATGAGAGAAGTAAGCTTTTTAAAAAACACATCAAACATAAATTAGGAAATCCTAATAGAATTTGGAAATTATTTGCTAGAAGTTTAAAGTTAGTAAGTTGGACTAGATGGAAATCTAAGATAAAATTATAATTTTGATTAATTTGGTTTTGTCTTTAATGTATCTTATTCTTATTATCCTAACTCTAATTCCACTATTCTAATCAAAACAGTAAGCACTATTCCTGTTCTTAATAGAACAACTTTTAAATTTGATGAGCAAGAACTAAGTTTATATATTGATGTCAATTTTAGGAAATGTTAATAAGGAGAGATTTTATAAGCTTTTCAAAAATATAAAATATGTTATACTTGTCAATAAGGTATTAAGAATATTTATCATAATTTATTATTTAGTTTAAGAATTTTATTTACTTTTACAAATTATTTTTTTAAAATTAATTTTTTTTATTAAAAGGCAATTATTGCTTAGAAGATCCAGACTAAAATGAAAATTTATAGTGTTTAAAATGTCCTTTGGGTTCTAAAAATTGTCATTCAAATGTCATTTAATTATATAATGGATTTTGGAGTTTAAGTTTGAACTCAGACTAAATTTATTAATGCATTAATCCTCAGAACTGCATTTCTGAAGATCCTTCAAATAAATTTGGATGTTTACAGGGATATATTGGGGCTTTATGTGAATCCTGCGATAGTCATGGCACTGTTTGGGGAAAAAAATATGGTAAAAGTAATGATGGAGTTTAATGTTAAGAATGCATTTAATAAAATTAAATTTATTCTATTATTATTTTGTGCTTATTATTGGTTATGTTTTGCTGCTATTTAATCTTTTAAGCTCATAAGTAGCTAGAATTCTTATAAAAAAAAATGAGCTGGTTTTATTTGAGGAAACTTAAAATTATGTTGCTTTATAGCCAAAACATAAGGAGCAATTCATAATATATCTAAATTCTTACTAACTATTTACAGTTTTTAGCACTTGTTAATAATTTAGGCATTTAAAAATAGGAATATTTAAGTGTTATTGAAATTGGAGGTGGTGATCCTTCTTAGCATACAGTTTATAGCTTAGATTGTTTTTTTAATAGCTTAAATATATAGCTTCCTTTGTATGCTATTAGAGTTTTGTTCATTAATTGCTAAATAATTATTATCTATTTATTGATGTAATTACTAAACTAGCTAATAAATATGTTTAAAATAGAAAAAGATTAATTTCAAATATCTTCTTTTATATCAGTTTACTTATTCTTTAGTTCATCTGTAATAAAAGTGCTAATACAATCTTTATCTTGCAGAGAAATATCTAGTAAGTTATATATAATTTAAGAAATGCAGTATGAGTGCTATACTAATTAACACAATCGCATTATTTTCTACTTAATAGGACCCTTGCTTTTGATATGGTTTATATTAATTCCATTTATTTTTACTTTGCATTTGTACAGAAAAAGATCAAAATTATAAAGCTTGATATTATTAAAGAAATTTGGGCTTCTGTATTAAGTAAATATTGTTTTAAAAGTTTAATGTATTTAAAAAATTTAATTCTTTTTATAAATAGAAATACAAAGAAGAGTCTTATTATTGGGATTTAGTAAGAAACTAAGCAAAGGCTTCACTAGTTATATTTTTAAATTTGATTAGAACTTCACCGTTGCTGAAATCTTAATATTTATAACTTCTAATGTTTATTTACTTTAGATTTTTAAAGATAGTAAGTCCATATTAAAGACAGCAAATGAATAGAATAGATTAACTATCTTGTAAATTTGTTATGTTGAGTATATTCTTAATATAGTTGATAATACTTACAGATAATTCAAAATTTTAACAAATATTGTAAGTAATTTTGATTGTTTTCAATGTTTATTTCATAGGAATCCTAATTTTACTGATTGTACAAAAACCGATTCCCTAAATTGCAAAAAACAGAAATATGTATTAGATATTCTTAGTTTAATTGTCAAAACTAATACCTAATTCTATATATTAAGTTTAATATTAAAAGCAGGTTAATATATTGAGGATAAACTCTTTATGGAAAAAAGTTAAAAGCTCCTTAAGATAAATTATTGAATTCGAAGCAGATGTTAAAAATTAAAAATGGGTTTAATCAAAGCTTAGTAAGACATAAGAATTAAATAAAAGCAAAAAATTAAGAACAAGTCATCTTCAAAGGGTACATTTCTAAATAGAATTTTAGAAAAGTATGAACATCGATAAAAATATAAAATGAATAAAGTTTTTTTTTTTTAGTTTTGTGTATTCAATATTATTGGATTTTTAAATATTTTTTGTTTTTTCAAATAAAGTTCATTCATTTTTATGTTTTAGTATATCATTAAATTCATGAGTTAATTAAGCTGAATTTTTAAATAAATGAGAGAGAAAGTATATTTATTATTTAATAGCTTAAACAAATTGATAAACAAGTTAAATTATAATTTGTGTTAAATTGATATTTATAAAAAAAATTAAATAAATTTTGTATTTATTTGTAAATAATTTTATGAGTTAGAAAAGCTTGTTGTAAATTGTAAAAAAATTAAAAAAGTTATTATTAACAAGAAAAAAGTGAATAATTTTTAAATTTGCTTTAGTCACTTTAGTAATTTATTTATAAGTCTACTTAATTAACCATATTTAACATTAAATAAGACTTTTATTTATTTATTAATAAATTAAATTAATTGATTAAAAGTAGGGATTATTAAACAATAAGGAATAAGAATAGCAAGAGTCAGTTTAGATAAATTAAAAGAAATAAATGGAAAAAATATTCAAAAGTCAAAATTTTTATAAATCAGAATAAAATATTTTTGATATTTAGAGGAAAGCAAAGATTTTTGAAAATGCGAAATTAATTACTATATCATTTTTCTACATTTTTATAGATTACGTTTATTTTTTTTACTTATAATAAATAATAATTGCAGTACTTTTGCTATTTAGCATATGTTTCTATATTCCAACTAAGTTGATTCAATTGAGTTAGCATGAAATATGTTATTAAAGATAGTAAAAACCTAATATGAAATTTACTTTCGTTTAAAGGTTATTTAAGTATATCAGCAATATCATATTCGCATAGATCTCAGAATATATTATGGTGGCAATATAATATACACTTTGCTTAAATGTTTTGGTTTTACTCAAAGAAAAATCACACCTCTTAATTCTTTTATCATTCACACAAAGTTTAGTGGCTTATAATCAAATAACATATCTAAAAAATAATAAATATTCAATGATTTTGTTAATTCTTGAGCATTTTGCTACATTTGTATACTTTTAAATAACTTTAAAAATAAATGTAGAAGTATTAATAGTTAACTTGATTTATTCTTTGTTAGTATTCCTTTAGTGGAAGCATAGATAACTAGATAGCTTAGAGAAATGTTTAAAAAAATCTGTTAAAAAAGCTTAAGCAAAGATGATAATGTGCCTGTATTAGAGTATTTTATCAACTACGCCTGAAGGAATAGCTGTAATAAACTCATAAAAAAAGCTTATTTATGCTAATTCCTCACTAAAGTTGATATTTAGTTCAAAAAAAAAAGCTGATATATAGAATATTATTTTAAATTTAGGCAAAAAGAATGAATAACAAGATAATGGAACAAAAAATTAATAAAATGTAAAGGAAAATGACAAATAATGTGAGCTATAAAAAGTATTAAAATAATAAATGTTTGATGATAAAAATTAGAATCACAAAGGCTAATTCCCTAGTAATAACAATTCTGAAGAAAAATAATAAAATAATATCAATTAAACGCAAAATATAAATAGTAATCTATATTAAAAAAAATAGAGAGACATTATTTTAAATGAAGAAAACACTACTCAATTATAAAATAAGACTTCTAGGTTATTGATTAGTTAAAAAGACATATCTTCAAATGCAAGTTAACATATAAGAGAAGATAAAATATTTTCATAAAAGATTATTAAATAAACAATTTAAAATGATAAATGCTAGCAAGAGATAAATTTATTTGAAAATAAAGAAATATGCTTGGTAGAGAAGCAAACTAAAATTTCAAAAATTAGCAATAGTCATTAAAAGCTTTGTGCATAAGGAGTAAAACATTTAGAACATAACAAGGATAGCTTATAGAACTCATTAATAAAGGATGTTAAGTCTGAAAAGCATGTATTTAATTTATTTTTAATAAAATTAAAAGCAAAAAATTTATATAATTTAATATAATTTAAAAAATTAAAAGATTTCAAAGCATCGTTTTTCTTTATCTAATCGCTATTCAAATACTGCATTTGTATCTGATTAAAGTGAAATTATTTCCTACAAGGGTTTTGGACTAAATTTTTGTGAAGAAGATCTGAGCATACTGCAAAATATTGATTCTTCTAAAAAGAAAAAAAATAATTCAAAAATTATAAAAGCTAACTAAATGAATTATTTACCATATGCGAGTAATTAAAACTTTAATTTGTAAAGCTAAGATTAGAGTAAGTGTAATTAATAATATGATCATAATGAAGATCATAATTAATAAATAATATACTGTTAATTTAATGATTATGATCAATAATATGAAGAAGTAAGCAACAAATTTAAATAAAATTTAAATAAAAATCAATAAAATTTAATAACTTTGCTTAATAAAGATCATCTAAACTAATAAATTACCTAAAAAAATAAAGAAGATTAATAAATTTAAGCTAATTTAACTAAATTAGGAGATAATCTTAAACAAGAAAACAATAAAGCTAATAATGAAAATCAAATCGTTTGTTTTAAGTTAAAATAAAAAAGTAATTTAATATTTAATTAATTCTTATTACAACTTTTATTAAAATAAAACATCCATAAATAAGTAAGATAATATAAAAGATTAATTTTTAAAAAAAATAGATTAAATTTCTCATGATAGTTCTCAACCAACAGAAGTTACTAATGCTTAAAATATTTTAGAAAATATATTTAAAGAAAGCATGGGTAAGAATGACCAAGGATAAACTGAAATTTAGTAAGATGAGGAAACTTATGTTTAAAAAAAAGAAAAAATTATCAAATTGCAAGTAATTTATATTTTAAATACAATAATCTTATTGGAAATTTATCTTAAAAAATTAGGTTAAACATTAGAATAAAGAATTATTTTTGTAATTTATATCTGCAGATGTCATACTGTAAAATAGAAAGGTTGATACTGTAGCTTTTGTTATAGTCTAAGATGTTTGGGAAGATTTATATATGAAAAAAGTTGAAGAAATTTAGTAGGAAAAAATGAAAATTTTTGGAAGTTTATCTCATGAGTTAAGAACTCCACTTAATTGCTCTATCTCTATGCTGGAAGTGTTAAAAGATGAAATGTAAGAGATAAATCCTTAATATATCACTGATTATTTGAATCCTGCTTTGTTTTCTAATAAACTTTTACTTAATTAAATAAATGACATTCTTGACTTTGTTTAAATGGATAAAGGAAAGTTTAAGTATTCGTTTTAAGAATTCAATATTTTAAATCTACTTAATGATTGTTAAAAGTTAGTTAGTATTTAAGCTTAAATGAAAAATTTGTAAATTAGAATCAATATTGATAAAGGAATGCCTGAATATATTTGCTCAGATCCAAACAGAATAAGATAGATTCTTTTGAATTTCCTATCTAACTCTTTGAAATTTACTAAACAAGGTTACATTGAAATAAATTTTTCAAATTTCGATAATGGTGTTTACAAAATAGCAGTTTAAGATACAGGCATAGGTATTAAGCCAGAAAATTTGAAGGAAATATTTTAATTTTGTGCCAAGGTATTTAATTAATTAATCATGTTTTTCCAATAAAAATTAAATTTTATTTTTTTAAATAGATAAATTACAGTAATAAAGATGAATTGCTGAATTCTTAAGGATGTGGACTTGGCTTATACATTTCTAACTCTATAGCAAAAGGATTAGTGAAAAATGATAAATTAAACAGCGGTGTTTCAGTAGAATCCGACTATGGAAAAGGATCAGTATTTAGCTTTCTTGTTTAGGATTAGAATTATATAGAGCTATTTTCTCGTTTTAGTTAAGTGCAAGTCGAAGCAACGAAAATGTCAATAAGAGCCTTTTCAAAATAGATTGATGGATCTTCTAAAAATTCTATGCTAACTTCTGCTAAAAAAAGTCGAAATAATAATAGCTAGAAAACTTAAAATTAAATGGTGAAAATTTTAAAGTAAAATGCTACTTAACATTCATTAAATGAATAATATACTTAAGATTAAGATGAGTAGAGTAAAAATGATAGCTTTTCACTAAAAATTCAAGATTAAAAAGACGAAATTAATAACCTGTCAGTATAATAAAAAAATGAAGAGCAGTTTGATTCTTCTATCTTGGTAGAATTAGATGAGCAAACGGACTCAAAAATATGCTCATTTTCTCCTAATTTCATTAAATAAAACAATGTTAAATTTTAAGAAGAATAAGATTAAAATAACAAAAATTCTTTATTTGGATTCTTAAATAAATCTAATTCAGTCAAAATAAATTAATCAGATCAAAATAAATAAGCAGAATTATATAAAAAATCAACTTTTGACTAAATGTAAACTTCTAATAAAAGCAGCAATTATGAACAAAGTATTTAAGAATAACAAAAATCTTTTACAAATGATGATAGGATTTTAACTGATTCTAATTTAAGCTAAGAAACTAGTAAAAATATTAAATTTTCAAAAAATAAATCTAAATATTAATCAGTTTCATCTATTAAGTACGATTAAAAGCATGAAGGATTTACATCATATACTCCTTTTAATAAATTAATTGAAAATCAAATGAGTTCATAAAATAATATCGCTTCTAGCAGCAAAAAAATAGTAAAATTTGTTTAATCACAAGTTAAAATAAACTCTTTATCGAATGATTAATACTTCAGTCAATGCACACTGGAAATAGCTAATCCCTAGTATGTTATAGATTAGATTATTTTAAATAACATATCGAAATAAAAAAAGTGTAATTGCCCCCAGATTTTAATAATAGATGATAATTAGTTTAACATTTATGCTTTATCAAAAACTATTGAAACATTCTAATTTTAAACTCATTCTATTTCAGACAGTTTGGAGGTTTTGGATTATGTAAAAGATATTTTTCACTAAAACTGTTGCCTTTATCCTAAAATAATATTTATGGATATTGAAATGCCATTTAAAAATGGTTATTAGCTCTCTGTTGAAGTTAATTAATTTTATAATAATGTTTAGCTTAAATAGTTACCTGTAATAATAGCATGCACAGCCTATGTAGGTCAAGAGGATAATTAAAAAGCAATATAGGCAGGGATGAGTGATTTTATTAACAAACCTTTACTAAAAAATGCCTTTTAGTAGCTTATTTTAAATTGGCAAGATTTATTTTTATGATATAATTCAAACTTACTTTTGTTAATTATAATTCAATTAAATTACCTTAAATTTATATACTGCATTTATAATAATATTTAAACTTTATATATTCTTTTTTATTCTTAATTCATCTAGCATAATTTTTTAAGATTTTGATGTATTTTTAATTCGATATAGTTGTGAATATAATTAAACTACAGTAAATTAGATTATAATCTATTTATATTAATATAAATCCAATATAAACCAAAAAAAAAAAACTCTATATTTTTTATAAGAAAAAATGGCATATAAAGTGATGTATTGAATATACATACTTATACTTGATAATATGATAGAAGGTATTTAGCCTTCATACCTGATGAGGGAATATTTTAAAAAAAGTAATTTTAACTAAAATAGTGATGATTAAATATTAGAATAAATAATAAATTATTTAAATAAAAGATACTTTTAATATCAGAAAATTAATTAATTAAATACTGATGAATTAAGAATTCATAAATAACTCAATTTTCACATTTTTCTATGAAAAAAAGCAAGAAAATTTTAGAGGTTCTCTTGATGACATTGAAAAACAAATAGATAAAATCTTATAGCTATAACCTAAAAATATAAGGTCTTTACTTATAAAAGCTTAAATACTTTACAAGTATAAGCTCTAATTTGATGAAGCATTAAGAATTCTTTAAATAGTTATTTAAATCGATAAGATTAACATTGACGCAAGATTAGACATTATTTAAATTTGCATACTAAAAAAACTTAAAAATATCCAACAATAGTAATTTTTATTAGATGAATGCTTTTAGCTTGATAATCTTTATTGGAGAAACTTGTACATTTAGTGCATTTTTTTCTTCCACTAAGAAAAAGTTGATGATGTGTTTAATATAGCCAAATAGTAAATCGATTTAATGCCATATAATTATTGGTTAATGGCTCAAATGGCACAAATATATTCTGATAGGAAAATGGGCACAGACTTGGAAGAATCAAAATAAATTGTTGATAAAATTATGAAAGAGGAAGAAAAAGATTTTGAAATTATGATAAGATTAGCATATACGTATATAAATCTATAGGAAAATGAATTAACTGAATAACTACTAACAAAAGCCTTAGAGCTCAATCCAAACTCTACGAAAGCATACAATAATTATGGGTATTTGCTTAGAGTCAATAAAGATTATTAAAAATCAATAGATATGTGCTAAAAAGCTATAATTTTAGATTCTAACTACTTAGATGCCATCTATAATGCTGCATGTTCTTATTTTAATTTGTAAGATTATGAAAACTCTGTCAAACTCTTCAAAAAATGTACACAAATTAATAGATAAAAACTTAATTCTTACCAGGAATTAGCCTATATTTATATGGAATTAATTAAAGAAGAAAATAGTGCAAGTTATTATCTCAGCAAATTTCCAAAATAATTTCCTAATGATGAATATGGAAATAATTTGTATGTTTTACATTAGTTTAGGTAGTTTATTGAGAACAAGCCAATTGATCTTGAATAAGCAGAGTATACATAGTTTTCTAACATAAATAGAATAAAGAAAAAGGGTTCTTGCTACCCTTTTATTACATACAAAAACTCATAGTCAACATTAAATTATTTGTATAATGAATGAATATTTGTAAAATTTAGATGATTTTATTACCTTATAAAAACGTGCGTGATAATTTATATTTGCAAATTTTTAAAAAATTTATAAGTTTTTTTTCTAAAATCCTGTAATCCCCTATAGTCTAGCAGGTTAGGATAGAAGGTTTTCACCCTTCAGACCCGGGTTCAAGTCCCGGTGGGGGAATATTTTTTATATCAAAATTAAAAAAAGAGTAATTTCTTTAAATTAATTTTTGGTTGAAGAATTTAAATTCTACTTAAAAATGAATTGTTTTAGATAAAGAAAATGATTATTTTAAAAATATATTAACTAAGTTTATTCATTAAATAGTAAACAAATATTTAAATTCTATAAATTTCCCTTAAATATTTGAAATACATACCAAGACACCTTAATATGATTTTTGGTTGAAGAATTTAAATTCTACTTAAAAATGAATTGTTCTATAAAATGAAAATGATTATTTTAAAAATATATTAACTAATTTTATTTATTAAATAGTAAATAATTCTTTTAATTTCCCTCAAATATTTGAAATACTAAACACCTTAATATGATTTTTGGTTGAAGAATTTAAACTCACTACTTAAAAATGAATATGATTATTTTAAAATTTACTAAGTTTATTCATAAAATTATTAAAATATTTTTAAATTCTATAAATTTCCCTCAAATATTTGTAAAACTAAGACACATTAATATGATTATTTAATTTTTTTTGTTTCTAAATTGTTATTTTTAGTAATTAATAAAATTGAATTTATATTTGAAGATTTTAATTAAAAATTGATTTGATTTTTTTAAGCGTATTTATTCTACATTTAACATTTTTTATAAAATTTAGATAAGTAAATTCTTCGAAAAATAATGCTTTAAGATAAATAATTCAATGAATTCTGATACATTTATTTATATATTTTTTGCTTAAAAGGAAACAATTTATTATCATCAGTCACTAGAAGATATTGAAAAAGGGATTAACAAAGAACTGGTAGATTGCAGTTGTAATGTGAAGATGCTACTTATTAAATTACAAATAGAGTATAGATATAAAAATAATTTTTAAAATGCGTTAGCTATTTGCAAAAAGATTTTGTAAATTGATTCTTAGAATATCGATGCTAGATTAGATTTGATCCATATAATACAAATGATGAATGATAACTAAAAAAAGATTAATTTTAAAGAAATTATTCGTGAGTGCTTAATTTTAGATAGCTAATATTGGAGGACTAAATATGTAGAGCTTTGTTTTGCATAAAATAAGAAAACTAAAATACATATTATGAATTCTATTTAATAATTACATTAAATTTATCCTGATAATCCATGGATAGGTGCTTATCTATGCTAATTCTACTCTGAAATTGCTGAAAAATAAAATTTGGCTATAGACATTGTATCAAAAATTGAAAAATAATTATCTATTGACTATGAGATTTTAATAAGGCTGGCTTTCGTATATTTATCATTAAAATAATTAGAAAAATGCAAAAATATTTTTAAAAAAGCAATCAAATTAAATCCTTAATCTCCTTAGCCATATAACTATTATAGCTATTTCAATAGGGAATATATGTTTAACTACTCTAAATCTATAAAATATGCACAAAAAGCCATTGAAAGAGATCCAAATTCATAAATGGGCTATTATAACTTAGCTTAATCTTACTAAGAAATTTAAGATAGAAAACAAAGCTTGCACTTTTATAAGCTTTTTTATAATTTTAAAAACAAAAAATATCAAAAATAGTGTCTTAAGTAAATATACAGTCTTATAATATAGCTAAAGAATTAGTAAAAAAGAGACTATTATCTTTAATAATATATAAATTTATATCCTCAAGACTAGTTTGGCTACTTCAAATATTTAAATAATTATGGTTTTCGAGATATTGAATTGACTACTGATTTAGAAAAAGAAGAAGAATATTAAAATAAATATTTAAGTCTTTTAAAAGAATAGTAAAATTATTAGCTTTATTATTCTTCCTCTAAAAAAAACAATAGAATTTACCAATGAAAATTATCTGTTTATTTTATATAATTTAATTTATTTGTGATGAAATTTAAATAATCTAAATTAATTTATTTTAAAGCTTAAAGAATTTAAAGTGAAAATTACATAAGGAAATCAATATGATCAATTTTAAAAATATTTTTTTGTGATTGTTATAAAAATTAGTCATTTATATTGTCAAATTAATGTTTTTTTTTAAAGATATTTAGATTTTTTTTTTCAATAATCAATAATTTTGATCAGATAGATAGATTCTGAATTTACTTTTTTTTATTATATTATTCAAATTGTTTACTTTATCATCATAAAAATCTAATAAAAATATATATGTAATGATAATATATTTATATGAATTTATTATAAGAATAAAGCAAAGACGTATTTGTATTTTTTGCTAACAAATAGTCAATTTATTTTGAAAAGCCGATCAAATAAATTGAAAGAGAAGCAAAGTAAAAACTAAAAGCTAATCCAAGAGATGTTATCAGCTTGCTGATTTAAGTTTAAATTCTGTATAAATTTATGGCAAAAGAAAGAAATGCTTTGGAGATTTTAAAATAAATACTATAAATTGACCCATTGAATATTGATGCAAGGATAGAAATTGTTTTAATTTTATTTAAAAGGAAGAACTCACCACTAAGCTAGATAGAAATGCTAATAAATGAGTGTTTTTAATTAGACTAAAACTATTGGAGAATTTACTATATTTAAGCTTTAAACTATCTTCATTCAAATTAATTGTTAAAATCTAAACAAGTAATGGCTTAGTCTTATGAAAAATTTCCTAATGTTTCCTGGGTTAGAATTTTTTACGCTTAATTGCTCTCTGAATACAAAGGCACTCAATGGCTATCTTAACAGATTATATAAGAAGAAATTTAAAAAAATAAACTAGACTATGAATCAATTATCAGAATAGCTTATGCATATTTTAATTTAAATGATTAAGTTGTGGCAGAAAAATATTTACATAAAGCTATTTAGCTTAACTCTAATTCATCAAAGGGAAACAATAATTTAGGTTATTTTTATAGGTTTCATAAATAAGATGATGATCTATGCATTAAATATTGCAAAAAAGCATTAGAGATAGATAATAATTGCGATAGTTCATATTATAATTTAGGGGTTAGTTATTCTAAGAAAAAGAATTATAAAATATCTATTGATTTCCTTAAAAAATGCATAGCTATCAATAAAAACTATGAAAGTGCCTATTAAGACTTAGCTTTTATTAACTACAAACACCTTAATTAAATAGAATAAACCTATTATTTTCTCTATAAAATGATGAAAATATTTCCTAAAAATTAATATGGTTCATATTTCTTATTATTTATTTAAGTTTATAATTTTTAAAACTAAAGTAACCACTTTTAAAAAGATTTAGAACTAACAGAAATTCTAGGATAAGTTTTAATTAATGATTTTGAATAGAGAGGATCAAAACATGACTTTATTTCACTCAACAATATAAATATTTTATTAAATTCAAATTACAGTAATAATTGAAAATATTTTTATATAATAATCGTTTTTGTAAATAAGATATGCATTCTTTGTAGTAATTCATAGATAAAATAAGCAAATTTATTTATTACTTACTAATTATTAATTTTGTTAATTTAAGTTTTGTAATTAATTTAAAATCAAGTTTATAATTTTGGAAAAGAGGGATGCATGTATGTATGTATCCATCCTACAATTAGAATATATAAAATATTAGATAAGTTTAAAAATGATTGAGTAAGGCATAAGAAAAATACTAATTCTTCATTATAAAAGATCTACTTGTCTTAATAGTTTGAGTATGTTTTTTATTAAGCAAATTTATATATCAGCGATTATTTTAAAATTTGGATTACCCAATATTGACAAGAAATGTTACTTTACATTAATCTACTATTATTATATTAATTTATTCTAAGAAATATTAATTTAATAAAATAAAAAATTTATTAAATTGTTAATAAATTTTATTTATTTTTTTGAATATTTAATCAAAAAACATTTTAATATAAAGGGCTGATTATATATTAATTTTAAAGCTTAATTAGCATAATTTATGTAATTTATTTAAGCTTAAAATTCAGTAATATTGAAAAAATCAATAATTAATATAAAAAGAAAAGAGATTTTTAACTTAAAGAAGACAATTTGTAGAGTATTGTCTCATAGAAATTACTTTAATAGAATTACTAACTAATTTCATAAAATAATAAATGAAGTTTGTTGGTCTTGTAGATGATGTAAAAAGACTTCCATACATGAGTCTTTATTATAGTGCTTTACATAGCAGTTCTTTTGGGTTAGGCATAGTTTCCTTCATATATTTTTTAAAAAACTCATATTCAAATGGGATAATATTGTTAGGTATGCTATTATTATGCAGAGCAGTTTCTATCACTTTAAGCGTGGTTTCAATCTATAAAAATAAGAAGTTAAAGTTTTTTATCAAGCTATTTAAAAATGTATTTTACTTTGATGACGAGTATATTTATCGAAGCACTTACTTGATTTCTTTTGGGATGAAGCACTTTCTTTATTTTTATATCTAGAGTATTTTTGTGCTAATCATTATTGTAAGTTAAAATATAGAAGATTATAGCGTCATTTTTTGCTTTTTAGTGAGTAGCTTGTCTTCAGTTTCTTTATTTTATACTGAGGATATTATATAGAGCAGTTCGAAGCTTAATTCAATAATAATGATTCTCAATAATTTCTTAGGGATGACAATAGTTCTTGGATTTTTGCTAGTTTGTCATTAAATTGACTACTTCTTTTTTTACAACATTATAATTGCTATACTATATTTTGTTCTTCGTGATTTGAAAAGACCTATTAAATCTCTAATAGGAAGCAAATATGATGTGATATCTCCCAACCAAATGTTTATGATAGTATTTTGCTTCTTGAGTGCTCAGTATTTTGGATTAATGAGGATGAATTAAAGCAAGAAGAATAGTCGATCTTACTTGCTATCAAACAATTATAAGTATCTTATTAACGGGTATATGTCCATAATAGTGTTGATTCAGCTTGTTCTAGATAGACAATTCAACAATTTAGACAATTTATAGAATTTAAGAAGAATTTTATATATATTCACTTTTATATTCATTCCATTCTTTGCTGATATATTCTTGAATATGATAAATTTTTTACGGTTCGGTCCTTATGAAAGATGGATGCAAATAGATTGCAGCAAATGTACAAACTTAACATTTGAGTAAATGAAAAGATAATTTTTGTAACTCAAAAAAAATCAGTTTTAAATAAACCTTTATATAAAACAAATCGATTGGGAAGCTTTTGATAACTTGTTGAAAGTTTGTCTAGAAGAAAAAGAAAAGAATTTTAGACTTGAGTATCACTATGAAACAATTAACAAAAAAGAGTCATTAGAAATAGAAAATAATATGATTTAGACAAAAATTACATTAAATCTATATTCAATAGAATTTACCAAAAATGTGATGGTTTCTCTAAACAAAATTAGAAAAAATGTCCTCTTTTCATTTAAATTTCATTTTGTAAATCCTCTTCATATAGAGAAAAAGTTTTAAATATTTAAAGAACTCTTTAAGTATCCTCATCTGTTTGCTATGCATGAAGAGTAGCTAGAATTTTGCGAAGTAAAGTAAATAATACCTATCATAAAAGAGTATTAATAGACTATGCTATAAATATTTACTTTTAATACAAACATACAATCATTTCTAACAATAAATCCTACTTAAGTAATTTATGATCTCCTCTTAGATGTTCAGTGAAATATTAATATAAAAATTATAGTACATAAATTTTAGTTAAAGAAAAAAATGTAATAATATAAAATACTAAATTAAACACAGATTAAATATAATCTAATTAAATATTTTAACAAAAAGATAATTATATTTTAAAGTAAAATGTATAATAATAAATAAATATTTCTTAATTTTTTATAATTCTGAATTGTAATAAATTTACCTAATAATAAAGAGATTATTTCTTTTTGAAATATTAAATATAATCATTATTTAATATGATCTTTTAATTATACTTTTGCAATTATTTTATTTAAATTATTAAGAGTTAACAATTTTTAGAATTTAAAAATGTTTCATAATAGTGAGAGAAATAACTATTTATTTAAATAAATAAATAAATAAATAAATAAATAAATAAATAAAGCATAAAGAATTTATTTATAAACTATAAAAGAAATAAATATTTTTTATATTTATTATATATATTTAATATTGATATATAGACATAAACATTATATATTTACAATTATATATTATCCCTCGTTTATTAAATTAGCTTTTATTAAAACCAAGTTTTGAGTTTTTTACAATGTTGTTCATAGGTGATATTTATATTGAGGAATTGCAGCATTTAGGTTCAGTAATATTACAAATTAATTAATTAAGTGATTAAAATATCATTTTTGAACTTAAAATTTTATTGTTAAACCTTATTAATAGCCTATTTAAGTTTAATGAAAGTCATATAAATAAATTTGTTAAGTGCCAAATATTATTTTTATGTAAGTTTTTCTTATTTATTAATTAAATTATTTTATTCATATTTTTTTGAATTTATCTATGAAATTTGTTATAAATTTATTAAATTAAAAAACTAATTAGTAATGTTTAATAACTAAGTAAGTGAGGGTTTATTAACTAAATACTCACTAAAATTTTTTGAAATTTTATTATTATTGTGAATTTCATTTTATCTGTTATTTCCAATTAATATTTTTTTCTTTTGTTTGTTCATTTTTTTTTTGGTTCACTAATTAAAATATTAATTTTTATCTGCAATGCTACTTAGATTTGCTTGGAATATGTTTCTACTTTAAATTTTATTTTAACCATTATTATTTTGTGGATTAGTATTTATATGGATTTAATTTGGGTCTATTTGAGGAGATTTTGAAGAAATCATCTAGTTCTACATTTCTATTTGCCTTTAATCTTAATTATTTCTAGACCTTGAGAGAAATGAAGTCTAAAATTATATAAATATAAATAATTTAATAATAAAATAACTAAATAAATAAATACATTATTAACATCAGATCTCGATGAATCATTAAGCCTTCTTGATGAAGCTTGGCTATCAGGTTATGTTGTAAATGATAAATTTGGATTATTGCTTACCTATTGTAAGTTAATAATACTTTATCTGGGATTAGCTACTTACTAATTGAATGTTGATTAATTAATATATTAATTGTAATTTATTTCTTAGCTCTTTTTTTCATAAATAATGTCTGGGAAATCTATTTTATCATCTATATTATTATCATTAGTATCGTTGTTTATGTTTTATTTTCCATAAAGCACTTAAGATCTTTTTGGAGAATTAGACTGAAAATCTGATAGATTTTAATTGGACTTAACTTTTTTGCCTTATTCTAACTTTCTTCTTTCTTGCTCTAAGTATTTGACTTCTTTTTCATATCTTTCTCTATCAAAGTAGTATTACTTAAAAAAATGCTGAATGTTTTAAAGTTTTTTTTAGTTCATTTTGTCTTACTCTTCCATTTACTGTTCTAACAATTTTCTTTGTTACTCTTACTGTTAGTTTTAAATATCTTATTATTAATTTTTGTATAGTTATTACAACCTTAATTGTTAAATTTATTTCTATGCTTTAGATTCTTTTTCTTCTCTATCTTAGCTATAATCAGAACCATTTGTTTCAGTCGGACTATCAACATCGTTTTTCTTTTAATTTTCCCTTTCTATATCTTCATCATATTTTTAAATCTGTTCTTACAAGAACTTAAATCTATCGTAAATATAATAATTAATTTTTTTAATTTAACAACTAGTTAGTTATTCATTCAATACAAATTTCATTAAAAATAATAAAATTCGAATTATTTAAAATTAATTTAAATTAAATTTTTCTCTAATTTCTAAATTCGTAAAATAAAAAAAGTCAAATAAAAATAGGAATCTCTTATTAGATTTTTGTTTAATTTTATATCAAAAATTTAAAACAAGTCAGCTTAGTAAAAATATTTTAAAATTATCAAATAAATAAGAGTTTAATAATAATAAATTTCTTACAATTTAGACCTCTTTATAGATCTCTAAATATGAGATTAGTTAAAAGGTATATTTTTGTATTTTTTTGCAGCAAGTCTATCAAAGTCAATATCTCTAAACCAATTATGTTCAAGAACTTTTTCTATATTGTCATAGCCAATTCTTTTTGTTGGCTATCTTTGTAAGCACTTTGTTGTTAAAAGTAAGTTTATTAAATTAAAGTTAAATACTTGAAAAAGTTTGTTTATTTTTTACTTAATTCATAAAATCTATTCCTTCATTACTCCAATCTTGGGGAGCAACAACTTTCGTTATTCCATTAATAGGATTAGTAGTGTCTATTTATCCAGGCTTTTAACCAGGCTTATAAGGAACCACTTCTATTTAGCTTTATAGGATGTTTTTAAGTAATTCCTTATTGTAGTTATCTTTTTCAGGTTTATCATTTTCGTAAGGTTTCTGAATTATTCAAAATTAAAATTAATTTTTTTTTTTTGAGAATTCATATGAAAATTACCTTGGTAAGCATTAATTCATAACATATTACTCCCACTGCATAATAATCTACTGCATAACTTTAGTTAAAAATTAAGCAAATTATTTATTGAGGAAAATATTATTTCCAAAATATTACTTGTGATTTTAGCGGCAAAGAACCTCTGGTGCTAATTAATTAATTTTAATAAAATTAATAATAAAATTTAATTGGAAATTTAGAAAAATATCGAGTTAAATTTATTATTTAAGAGAGTTGAATGCTAAAAATAAATAAAGAAAATTGCAATATTACCTATATAGCCAGGAGTACCTGATATATCTACGTTGTTGTTTGGTCTAAATTTCTTCGAAATACCCAAATCTGTAACTCTCAAGTAACCATCGTCTTCAAAGATAATATTTGCAGGTTTGATATCTTTGTGAATAATTTTATTGTTGTGTAAATAATTTAAAGCCAAACACAGCTGGGCTATTATAAATCCTTTTTTATTCAAATAAAATTATTATTTGCCAAAAAAACAAAATATTTTATCAAACTTGCTTAATTTTCTGTAAAACATGATGGGTCAACTTCTATTTTCTTATTATCAGCTGCTCCTTTGCTAGTATCAGGAGTATTTTTCTTTATTCTCTCAAGTTGAACTTTCTTTTGTTCTAAATCAAAGTATTTCTATTTAAGCATTAGATCATCTTTGAGTTTAAAATTGACTAAATGAAAATGAAGATCATAGCCTTTCAATTCTTCCATAACTAAGTATAAGTATGTTTCATCATGGAACGCCCATTTCATGTTGATCAAAAAGCTGCAAAAGTTTTGTAAAAAAAAGTTAATTTTACACTAAATAATATTTTATTAATTAATTTAATAATCAATTAATTACGGGTGCTATATATCTCTCAGAATAAACATTTCATTAAGTGTAGTCTAAATATTGTTCTTTTTAGAAACCCTTTTGAAATTAGTAAAAAAAAATGATCACTATCATCAAAATTCTTTTTAGTTTGTCATTTATTAATTTATTAATGATATTTTACTGATATTTTTCCATCATTTTCATAGCGTATGTAGGGCCCTACTCTCCTTTCTTTCTAACCCTTTTAACCTTATTAATTGTAAAATGTATTTATAGTTGTTATCAAAAAACATAGATAAATATATTAAAGATATAAAAAAAATAGCTTCATCAATAAATGATTTAATTACCACACCAAAACCACCTTAACCAATAATTTCTTCTACCCATTCTCTACCTACTTATTTCTTCGAACACTCAAAATCATTAATAGTAATTTCTGATTAAATTTGTAAAATAATATTAAACAAGTAGAAAATTTGATATTTGCTTATAAAAATTTAAATTATTTTACTCTAATAATTGTCATTATATCCTATAAAGCTAGTCTTTTTGCAAATATTTCCCATAATTAATCAATATATTCAACTACTTATTTATTTTTTTATAAATTTGTATGCCTTTTGATGCTATTTCTAATGTATTTGTTGATTATTTACTTACTAATCACAAATTTTTAACAAATACTTAGTTAAATTAATTAATTAATTAATTGATTAATTTATTTCCAATTAGTTGTTTAAAAAAATTTCAAGTAAATAATGCATGTAAAAAATATTAAGCATATTTGGTATAATCTAATTATTTGTTATTGTCTTCTTTTTTATAAAACAAATTCTTTGGTTGTCAATATAAGTCAAATAAATACCATCAATTTTTAATTAAATATTTATATTATTAATACATAAATATTTATATTATTAATACATAAATATTCATACTAAGTTTGCAAAAATTATTTATTTGATAAAGAAATAATATATTTACCTTTCATTAATATTAATTAATTTTTCAAAAATGATTTTTTTCTTTCTTTTTTTGCGTTTAATTCTAAAATTTGATTGTATTTATTTAAACAATCTAAATTTTCTTATCTATGAATTATAAATAACATAATTTTTTGTACATTTTTTTGGTTTGCCATATCTAAATTTAATAAATTGTTTATTTATTTAATTTACTAATTTATTTTTGAGTATCAATTCAATGTTTAGTTAAAAATTTTAATTTATTTTTTAAGCTCAATAGATCATCTGATAAAATACTAAAAAAAGATAAAAATATACTTTTATTTGATTAGCTATAAAAGTATTTTAGTTATTTATTTTCCATAATTTGATAAGTAAATGGCTAGTTTTTATAATTAATAATCAATAGATTTATTTAATCTGAATCTATAAAGTTGATTATTCTTTTATCATATTTTATATCAACCATTATTCTCATATTTTAATGAAAATTTAAAAAAAGTTAATCATGGTAGGTATACATTTATTAAAAATATAAAACGTTAACTAAAGTAATATTTTTTTAAAAATATTTAATATTTCATAAAAAATTATTTAAATAGTAAATATTAATAACAAAAATTCAAGAATGATTGATTAATTAGCACTTTAATTAAAATGAAAAGGGTTTTTAAAATAAATATGTCGAACTCATTTTTATATTAAATTAAATCTTAAAAAAATATGGAAAATTTAAGCTTGTTGAGAATTAATTTAAAATATTTTACAAATGAATTCTTAAAATGTTTTCTAAAAAATGATTCTCTAAAAAATCTTTACATTTATTATCTATCTATCTATCTTTCTATTTATTTATTTACCTCTTTATTTTTTATCATTTTATTGTCTAAAAAAATATTAAAAAGATAATTTAAGTAAGCAGGTAGCTAAGGAATATTTTAACTCTTGAAATTTCAATAACAAAAACATAAAAAAAATAGAGGTGCTCACATAAAATACTTCTAAATAATCAAAACTTAGAAGCAATTTGAGAAAAGCAAAATCCAGCAGCAAAAGTGTAAAGCTTTGTAGAAATCCAATAACCATTATTTTCTGCAAGCTAAATAAGAGAACTTAGTAATTAACTATCCAAGTTTACTAAATGGACTCGAATATTTTCAGCCTCATCCAATTCTTGTGTTATTTTTTAATTTCTAATGTCTTTGTAGTCTACTTTAACAACGATAAATTTGCCTGATCCACTGCATAAACCAGGATCATCTACAGAAATAGGTATATTTGGAAAAGATAATTCTTCAATTTAACTTTATTTATCCATATAATAACCAGTTTCTTCCTTCAATTCTCTCTCTGCATTTTCAAATAAGTTATCGCTTTCAACTAGTCCCGCAGGAAATTCTAACATAAATTTGCCAGCAGGAGGTCTAAATTAAGCAATTATAATTATCTACTTAATTCCTGTAGGAGTATTATAGAGTATAGGTGCCATCGAAACTCCATCGAATTCTTTAAATACCTTATCAGATTTATTTCTTTCAACACACTCATATTCTTTAATTACTTTGTCTCCTATCGAAAAATCCTTTTTTAATACCTTGATCCACTTTCCTTCATAAACCACTTATTACTTGATGATTTAACTTTCCTTATCCATTTGTATTTCTACTATTTAAAATAATATCTAAACTACTTATTTTTTTATGTATTCAATTTCTAATAATTTTTCTATTAAAAAATAATAAATTCCAGATAAGTAAATCAGAATATTTGTCAATAAATTTAAGAGTAAATTATAAAATTATTTGCTATTTTATCTTATGATTATATCATCGATGGATTTTCTAAAAGATTCAAACATCTTTTACTTTCTTATAAATAATTTTTTAAGAAGAATAAAAAAGATTTGATTCATTTTTCAAAATATTATAAATGCATTTATAAATTAACAATTCTTCTTTCTTTATATAAATTTCCCTAATTTATTTTATTAAAATAATTATTAATAATTTTGATAAAATGAATGTGTTAAATTAAAAATCAAATAATTAAAAAATTACTACAGAATTTGCTGAAATTCTAAATACAGACAAGCATGAACATAATAATTTTACAAATATACAACTAAAATTTTAATCCAAAAAGCAAAAAATTAAAAAATACATTAGATTTTTTTATTCAGTGAGTTGTTTCAAAAATTTAAGTTTAAAATAGATAATATGCAAAGCTAAAATATAAAATTTGCATAACCTAGAATATAGATAGATAGATAGCTCTTATTCAAATATTATGTATTTAATTTGCCATCGAATTACATAATTTATTTATTGAAAGAAATGAACTCTCTTATTCATTCATTCAGTCAGCTAACAATTTAATAAGTGTATTTATTTTATATAACAATCCAATGGCAAATTATAATTATATGATTATCAATCATTTAATATTATATGCAATTAAGTACTTAATAATCTATACTAATTTCTTGAAAAAATTAAGAAGGATATTTAAACAAAAAACTTTGTTTGTAATTGATAAATATTCATATTAAAATATATAAGAAACAAAAACTTAGTTAAATAAAAGAAATGAATAAATATGAAATTTTAGGTGTAAATGGCGAGGGAGCTTATGGAGTTGTTTTGAAATGCAGAAATAAAGAAACCTAAGAAATAGGTAAAGATTTATCTAAGTTTAATTTAATTGCAAATCATCATTATGATTTACTAAGTTTAATAAATGCTAACTTATTTTTGTTAGATTACTAATGTCATATTTATAATTTTTAAACGTATTTACTAAAAACAAGATAAAAATTTAGCATTTTTAATAATTTTAAAAAGTTGCCATCAAAAAATTCAAAGAGACTGAAGATGATGAAATAGCTAAAAAAAATATATAAAGAGAAGTTAAAATGCTTAGATAGCTACGCCATAAAAATATTGTAGACTTGATAGAAGCTTTTAAAAGGTAAAATAATTTATATTAATTATTTAACTAATTACATGAAAGCAGAGTATAGAAAAGCATTAAGCTCCAATCAAAATTAAAAATATTCACTTTCTTCTAAGTATTTGTATTAAAAATGATACTAAATTCTTATTTTTAAGAAAAGGGAGAATTTATTTAGTATTTGAATATGTAGAAAAAAATCTCTTAGAAGTTTTAGAAGAAAAACCAACTGGCTTAGATGTAATAAATTGAGTTTAAATGAATCTTAATTTTTGATTTGTTATGTAACTTAAAAATGCTTTTTTAACGTTGAAATTGCTAGCGAATATTTAATTAATAGATAAATAAATAAAGATTTTATTTATTTTAAAACCTTTTGAAAAAAAAAGATGAAAGAATAGTTGTAAATTAATCTGTCATATATAAATAAATATACATACATAGAGCTCATATAGAAAATTTATTTAAATGAAAGGGGAAAAAATAAATATTAGATTTTATTAGAAAATTATTAATTTGTTTTAAAGAAATTCAACATTTTCAAGAATTATACTTCCTTCTAGCAAACATAATAACTATGAGCTAGCTTATCTCCTTGTTCTAGCTAATATAAATAATTACTAAATCAACTTATTCTTTTAATAAAATTTCTTTCTATTTTGGCATTAAAACAAATTTAGAAATATAATTAATTATGGTATTTGTAGAAAAATAAAAATTACATTTGTTAACTAAAAAATTTAAGCAAACTTTCAAGATTCAAAAGAACAAAACAATATTATTTAAAACTGAATAAAAATCAATCAATAGTTAATCAAATATCATTTTTTTAACAAAAGCATGAAGTTATTAGAATTATCATGTATTAACTGCTTAAGGCTCTTCATTAATGTCATAAATAAGATGTGATACATAGAGATGTAAAGCCAGAGAACTTATTGGTTAATCCTTATAATTATGAGTTAAAATTATGTGATTTCGGTTTTGCTAGAACTTTGCCTTCTAAGTAAGGAGAAATTATAACTGACTATGTGGCTACAAGATGGTATAGAGCCCCAGAATTACTTTTAAAATATCCTAAATATAGTAAACCTGTTGATATTTGGGCAGTAGCCTGCATTATGGGTGAATTAATTGATGGATAACCCCTTTTTCCAGGATAGAATGAAATAGATCAACTCTATTTGATATAGAAAACTCTTGGCCCGCTCACTCCTGAATAAAAAGAATTATTTATTAAAAACCCTCGTTTCATTGGAACAAAGTTTCCTGAAATAAATAAACCAGAAACTATTGAAAGAAGATATCTAGGGAAGTTAAGTAAAAAAGCATTAAATATCATGAAGGTATTATTTTCATTTAAGCATTAAATACTTGTTCAAACCAAATTAATTTTGATTCTTTTATTTTAAAATTCTCTAAATAAATTCAAATTTTTATTAGATTAGATGAAATTACTAATCATTTTTTTTGAAAAAAACTAAAAATATATTTTATTTTTTTTCATTAGTTAATGCTAAAAATGGACCCTGATGAGAGAATAACTGCTGAGGAAGCGATGAAACATCCTTATTTTGATGGAGTCAGAGAGTAATTTGATAAAGACGATAATGTTACTAAACCAGTAAGTGCAGTTACAATAGATTTAAAGAGAGAAAATTCTCATCTAAAGAAAATGCCTTAAACTGATAAGTAAATAAATCTTTCTAGAAAAGTTGATATTATTGGGTAAAATTAAAACTAACTTATTTTTAAATGATAAAAATTCTCCTTTCTAGAAAAACTGAATCGAATGATATTGATGAAAAAAACAATGGTATGGTTTAAAATAACGAAGATCACAACGAGTATGGAGAATCTTATGGAAAACAATCAATGAAGCTTGAAAAAGTAATTCTTTTAACTTGCTTAATATTTATTTATAATATTTTTCCCTTTAAAAATTATTCAAATTTATTATCAAATATATCAAAATTTTATTTGTATTTTTTATAAAAAATTAAGTCAACTAAACTATTTGGGCAAAAATCAATTCCTACATATTTATAAGGGTAGTAATTTATGTAAAGTTCAGTTTATAATTACAAAGTATCAGATAAAAATCTTGAGGAAGGATCCTTTATAGACCAAGATAAAAATTTGAAAGTAAATTTTTGTATGTATTCAAAGCATATTTAATATAATTTGTTAGAAGAATAATTAAGATAAAAGCTTGGAAAAGAAGACAGCAGCAGTAATACCTGCTCAAGTTGGAGACCAAATTAAAAAAATTCCTTTGAAAAAAAATTTAGTAAAATTAATTGATAAAATGATTTTATTTTAATTCGTTGTTATTAAATTAAAAAAAAGAGCTTAAACAAAATACATAAGACATTTTACTAATCAGTAGGTAAAAATAAATTAAATTAAAAAATTTTGATCTAACTAACTCACTAACAAACAAACATATTTATTTATTTTTTTATTTATTCGACAAAGCGATGAAAGAGGATGATAAGCAATATGCATAATTTAAGTAAACTTAAAGAGATAACAATATTATGAGCTAAAAGCAAGTATTACCATCAATAACAAAAAAATTTCTTATAGATGTACAAATAATTAAAATATACGCTCAATTAACAAATTTTTTTTATTAAAGAATGGAGCAAATTCAAATTCACCCACATCTAGGACTGCTAAGCTTTCTCTGGGATCGACTTCTCAGTTCACTAAATAAACAAATGTATCAATTTTTATATTAATTATTTGATTCATCATAACACATATTAATATTAAAAATTAAAGGGATAATTCATAAACCCGAGCGGAAGTACTACAAATGCAAATAGTACTTCGAGACTAGTGAACGATATGAACTTCTCAAAATTTCATAACCTTAATGTTATTTACAATACTAATACTTATAATTACAACATGCCTCTTACTTAAAAAGCAGCAAACAACACTAAAAAAACAAAACCTAAATACTAAATTTGATTAGAAAGATATATTAATTGAGTTAATCAATTATTTTATAATATAAAATAAAGGTTTATAAATTTAAATATACTCTTAATAATAAGAAAATAAAAGCAATTAAGTAAGATATTTATATATTTATTTAACTTTGCTTTCTTTCTTGCTTGCTTGAAAATTATTAACATAACTTACTTTAATAACTAAATTTAATAATTATATTATTTAATAGCATTTAGAAACACTAAATTTAAATTTATATTTTCTATATTTGTTAATCAAAATCTATTTGCATTGTTAATTAATTTCATTTATTTTTCATTAAATAATTATTGAACTTAAATTTATTTATTTTTTTTTAAATTAAAACATTATCTTAATTTTTATAGAGTTAATTTAAAAAAAAAAAAATACAATTTTTTTCAAGTTAAATAACATTTTTTTACTTTATAAAAAATAGTAATAACAGACATTATTTCTGGTTACATTTTCTATTTTAAGGATTTTTTTATTATTAATTATTGATTTTAATGTGAAACTAATTTGAAATTTATACTAAAATATTTGATATATTCAAATAAATAAAAAATTAATAAAAATATATTTAATATAATGACTAAAAGTAAAAATTAAATTTACAATTGTCACTGAATTTAAAAATTTTATTTTCTAAGATATATTTTTATAACATTTTATTGATAAAATTTTTAAAAACTTATGAAATTTTCACAATTTAAAAAAATTAATATTTGACAGCACTTTGAACATCATTATTGTTATTTTGGTAAGCAAACAATTTATCTTCAAATTATCTCAAAGAAAATGTATTATTTTTAAATAATAGATCCACTTATTTTAAAAATAACTCTAAATAAATTATTCATTCACATTTTGGTTTACAAAAATATTTTGTTTTTTTCTTCTGTAGAGCTTTTAAAGTACTTTTGTCTTTATTGATAAATCTTAATACCTGTGCTATTTTCGCTAATCTAAGATTCGTTTAGGATATCCTTTCTTATTTCTAGGCTGTTTGCCATTTCTTAAGGACTTTATGGAGTTGAAAGGAATGTTTTACTCCTTGAATTGTTAAATTAATTTTTTTGGTTAGAAAATTTTTCTACATTAGTCAGTAAAAATGGTGAGATAATTTATCTCTAATTATAAAATTGACTCTTCAACAAAGATAAGTTATCATCATTAAAAGTATTTGTTTAAAATAATTATGTTAAATTTCTGTCCAACATTTAAATTAGCTTCAAATCTATCTCAGATTACTAGTTTTAGTTTTTATAGATTTCATTAAAAGCTTATTGGGCTTACATAGCCTTTTCATAAGCAGTCCTGTTTTGTATAGTTAAAATGTTGAATTGATTTTTACCATAAGATGAATTATATTCTTATTCTTTTGTATTATTAAAATTGTTATCTTTGCTTTGAAGAGGAGATTAATCTTTTCCTTTTTTTTAAACTGTTTTTGCTTTTAATTGTTTGACAAGTTCTATGTCAATTTTAGGTTTTGGAATGAAATCGAATAGCTTAACTTATTACTCATTTAAAATAACCGTTTTGAGCTTCTCTAACTCAATCAATTTGTTCACAACAAAGCAAACATCAGTGTAACTTAGTATTTATTAAGTACCAAAATTCACCATTTCAATAACATCTGATTTAAATAATTTAAAACAATTCAAATAGTAGTACAAAAATTCACTTGTTTTAACTGAAATTTTATTGAATTATTCTTTCACGTATTATTTGAAACTTTAGTTTCTTGATTAATTTTAAATATCGTCACTCAGTTAGAAAACAGAAAACTTTCGACTAAGCTTTCTATTGATTTTTTTTCTAAATTGATTTTGTTCATTTTATTATTTTTAGATTGTTTTTTTTCTTTCTTTTCTATTTCCATTTGAATTAGAAAAATTTCTCTATAGGTCCTAAATTTCATTTATTTAGTCTTTAGAAGGGAAATAAATGCATTCATCACCACTAAAATTATTGCTATCGTTTGATTTCGAATCATCCTAGACTTTTTCTTTTTTATTTTTATTTATATCAAAAGTAGCATTAAAGAGCTTTCTATTTAACTATAATTAGGAGTAAGGCTAAGCAATAATGCAACCAACTACAAAAAACACGTTGAAAATACCACCTATCTGAGAAAAAGCATCAGATATTTTGATATATGACCTATAGTAGTGTTACTCTTGATTTTTTTGTAGAAATATGTTTACTTAATATAGAGAGTAATTATATATGGTTTACAGCATAGTCCTGTCATTGTTAAATAGTAGTTGGCTTTTTATATTACTATTTGATAATAGCAAAGAATCATCATCTTCAACGTAAGTTTTTACAAATATTAAATTGATATTTTAAAGATAATCAATATTAGTTTCCCAAAATTAAGTTTATCCCATTGGTCTAAAAGGTTCATCCTTATTACTTAATTGTACTAATTAATTAATGTAATAAAGTTACAAAATTGCAGTAGAAAGTATTTAATTTTTTTTTGTTTATTCCATACATTTTACAGAGTTTTTAGGATCTGAATCATCACAAACCACTACATAAATTTGTATTGCAGAGTATTCATCCATTTCAAACTAACCTACAAGATAGAAATCCTCTATATTCTTAAAGCAATACATTTGCTAATACTAAAGTTTCAAGAAATAGCTCTAAGTTCCCTAAACCTGAAAGCTATTTTCATTACAAATCTCAATTTCCATCTCTTTATTTTTAAAAACTGGTTAACCTTCAGATCCATCAGATTTGATTGTTTTTTCTTTGTAAACAAAGTTGCCAACAAATCTAAAAATGCTTGGGTCGTTGATAGGATTAAAACTCGAATCCAACAGAGCCATTACAAAAGAAAAATTTTGTGGATTTAGATTCTGCCTAGATGGATTCGAAACAATTTATTATTCAAAAAGGACTTTTGGATTAGTTTTATAAACCATCTGTTTTACATATTGAAAAAATAACAAACACAAAAATGAGCCTAAAAGTAAAGTAATAATTCCTCCAAATTTTGTCTTGTGCTTACTGTGCTAGTTAAAAGTAAATTGAATACCAACCCCAAAGATATCTATTTTTTCTAAAAAGTGAACTCTATAATTTTGATTTAGCAAACTAGAACTCATTTGTAAAATAAATAATCTCTTTGATATAGTTTTTAATTTTGTTTGATTTTGTTTATTTATTTAAAAACTACTTTTAAATTCTACTAAATCGAATTTTATTTAATTTATAATCAATCAATAACCTTTCTGTAATTTACTGACTTCAAATAATTATTTACTTTCAAGCAGTTTTAAAATTTATTATTAAAAATTATTCAATTAAAACCATATTTTGTTAAAAGATTAAAAAACTATCACCATTTTTTATCAAATTAAAAAATTTTCACTACACAAAACTAACAAAAAAGTATTTAATTTTATTAAATTTAATAGTATTAAAAGAAAAATTTTAAAAAAAGTTGCTTTGAATTTTGAATTATTTATACTAAAAAATATCATTTACAAAGTATTCATGATTAATGATGCATATTTTATTATTTTTTGAGAGGCTATATTTATTTATTTTTATTCATTAATACAAGATAAATTAATTAAAATTATTATTGACTTCATTAAATTTTTCAAATCTTTTAGATATATTTTTAAATTAATTTTTAATGTTTCATAAATAAATAAAAAAATGACAACTGTAACCTTTAAATTTCAACTTTTAGAATTTAAAATTAATAAAATAACAAATATTAAATTACAGAAAGATAAACTTAATTATTTTTTTAATTTTTATGCTTCTGAAACACTTTAAAATTAAAAAAATATTCATTTTATTCTTAATTAAACACTCTTAAAGTTCATAAATCTTATTTATAACTTAAGATTTTTTAAATTACTAATTAATTTATCTGTGAACATATATCAAGCATTTAAAGTAAAGAGAAAAATAATAAAATTCATCCATAAATTGCAGAAAAAGTAATCAAAAGAGACATTATCTAAAATAAAAATATTACATATTTTACTTATTTGTGAAAGGTTTTTTATTAAAAAATTATTTTAAAAGTAGCTTGCAAGTTATAAAAAAAATTTACTACAAAATACAAAATATCAACTTAGTAAATAAGAAAACAATTACACTTAAAACTAGCACATTTTTTACAAGCCGAGCCATTTAATATTTGAAGAATTTTAAATGAAAAAATAAATAAACTATTTTAAATCCTTTTTTTCTTTTAAATTTAATAGCTTTCTGAAATGTTATTTTGAAGGTATAAATATATTCATAAATATTTTTACCTATTTATATAAAAAAATTTTGTTATTCAACTCAATTAATATAAATAATTTTAAATTATTCACTAATCATTATTATTATTAATATTATTATTATTTTCAAAAAGTACCATATTCTTTTCTTCTATAAAATTTTTTAAATTCTTTGGTCTATTATGATAAAGCTAAATTCCTAAGCCATTTTCACTTGTCTAAGAATCGTTTAAAATGTTCTTTCTTTGTTCTGAGAAGTTAATCATTTCTTATGGGCTTTATATATTTAGTGTGAATTTTTTGGTCTTCTAATTATTCTATTAATTTGATTAATTAGAAAATTTTTCTATATTAGTCAGTAAACATGGTGAGATAATTTATCTCTAATTATAAAATTGACTCTTCAACAATGATAAGTTATCATCATTAAAGGTATTTGTTTAAAATAATTAAGTTAAATCTCTGTCCAGCATTTAAATTAGCTTCAAATCTATTTCAGATTACTAATTTTAATTGTTATAGATTTCATTAAAAGCTTATTGAGCTTGCTTAGCTTTTTCATAAACAGTCCTATTTTGTATGGTTAAAATGTTGAATTGCTTTTTTCCTAAAGATGAATAAAATTCTTATTCTTTTGTATTATTCAAATTTTTGTCTTTACTCTGTAGAGGAGGAGATTAATCTTATTGTTTATTTTAAATTGTTTTTTCTTTGAATTCTTTGACTAGTTCTATGTCAATTTTAGGCTTTGGAATAAAATCGAATAGTTTAACTTATTGCTCATTTAAAATAACTGTTTTGAGCTTCTCTAACTCAATTAATTTGTTCACAACAAAGCAAACATCAGTGTAACTTAGTATTTATTAAGTACCAAAATTCACCATTTCAATAACATCTGATTTGAATAATTTAAAACAGTTCAAATAATAATACAAAAATTCACTTGTTTTAACTGAAATTTTGTTGAATTATTCTTTGACATATTATTTGAAACTTTGCTTTTTTTATTATTTTTAAAGATTACCGCTTAGTTAGAAAACAGAAAACTTTTCATTCAGTTTTCTATTGATTTTCTATTTAAATTAATTTTATTCACTTAATTATTTTTAGATTGTTTTATTTTTTTATTTGCTTTTTCTATTTGAATTAGAAGGTTTTTTCTATAAATTCTAAATTTCATTTATTTAGTCATTACATGGGAATTGAATGCCTTCACTCCCACTTGAATTACTGCTATCACTTGATTTAGAATCTTCCTATAAATTTTCTTTATTACTTTTATTTATGTCAAAAGTAGCATTAAAGAGCTTTCTATTTAACTATAATTAGGAGTAAGGTTAAGCAATAATGCAACCTATTACAAAAAACACGTTGAAAATTCCACCTATTTAAGAAAACGCATCAGATATTTTAGTATATGACCTATAATAGTGCTGTTCTTGGTTTTTTTGCAAAAATATGTCTACTTTGTAAAGAGAGTAATTAACTATTGTTTAGAGCATAGTCCTATCATTGCTAAAAAGTAATTGACTCTGTATATTACTATTTGATAAAAATAAAGAATCGTCATCTTCAACATAAGTTTTTACATATACTAAATTGATGTTTTAAAGATAATCAATATTAGTTTCCCAAAATTAAGTTTATCCCACTGGTTTAAAAGGTTATTCCTTATCACTTAATTGCACTAATTAATTAATGTAATAAAGTTACAAAATTGCAGTAGAAAGTATTTGATTCTTTTGTGTTTATTCCATACATTTTACAGAGTTTTTAGGATCTGAATCATCACAAACCACTACATTAATCTGAATTACAGAGTATTCATCCATTTCAAACTAACCTACAAGATAGAAATCCTCTATATTCTTAAAGCAATACATTTGTTTATACTAAAGTTTCAAGAAATAGCTCTGAGTTCCCTAAACCTAAAAGCTATTTTCATTACAAATCTCAATTTCCATCACTTTATTTTTGAAAACTGGCTAACCTTCAGATCCATCAGAGTTGATTGTTTTTTCTTTGTAAACAAAGTTACCAACAAATCTAAAAATACTTGGATCAGTAATAGGATTAAAGCTGGAATCCAACAGAGCCATTACAAAAGAAAAATTTTCTGGATTTAGATTCTGCCTAGATGGATTTGAAACAATTTATTATTCAAAAAGTACTTTTGGATTAGTTTTATAAACCATCTGCTTTACATATTGAATAAACAACAAACACAAAAAAGAGCCTAAAGTTAAAGTAATAAATCCTCCAAACTTTGTCTTGTGCTTACTATGCTAGTTAAAAGTAAATTGAATACCAACCCCAAAGATATCTATTTTTTCTAAAAAAGGAATTTTATAATTATTGTTCAGCAAACTAGAACTCATTTATAAAATAAATAAATAAATTATTTTTCCTTTATTCTTAAATTTTTTGATTTTGTTTTTTGTTATATTGTTTTGTTTGTTTTTTTTAAAAACTATGTTTTTAAATTATTAACTAAAATTTTATATAATTATTAATATTCACTAACCTTTCAATAAATTAATAGTTTTTTGCTTTTAAATAACTTATTTATAATTCATTTCTAAATTTTTTAATGTTTAACTAATTTTATTAAAAATCTACTGCAATTCCATAATAATTTAATTTCATGAAATAATTAATTAATTAATAGCTATCTTTTATGATATAAGTTTTTCGCTTTTATGTTCTTATAAATAATGATACATTTAAAAAAAATAATAAATATTTAATGTAAAATTAAAAAAAATTCTCTATTTTATTTGAATTTAAAAATTTTTTTGCTTGTATAAAAATATCATATTTAAAGTATTCATAATTGCAGTAAATGATACATATTTACTATTTTAAAGACTCTATTTTTACTTATATTTATATATTTTTATTCATTTAAAAAATTAAATAATAAAATTTGATTCAAATATCATTTTTTTTGTCAAATAAAAAATAATTAAAATTTTAATGATCAAAATAAATTTTAAAAACAGTAAATTAAATAATATTTATTTTTCAATTTATATGATAATAGAATTTGTTAAAAATATTATCAAACTTAAAAAAAATAAAACAAATTTCCACAAAATTAATAGAAATGTATTTGAAACTATATTAATAAATATATAAATGATAAATACATTGATTATTTATTTATTACATTTTGTAATTGTTAATTTATAATTTTCATTTTTTATTGTACAAATCAAAGAAAGAATTAATAGTTTATAGAAAATACCAATAAATATTTTTCTATTAATCATAAATTAATATTTTGATAGATACTTAAGATATTGTTTGATTATAAACATTTGTAACGAAAATTAAGTAAGTGTTTTGTATTTTCATTAAATTAGTATCCTTTTTCAAATCTTTTAGATAAATATAATATCCTATAATTAATTTCTAATTATTTTTAAGTTAATGAATGAAAGGTGTAAGTTTTCTATTTCATCTGTAAGGATGAATGTAAGCATTATCAAATTAATAAATATCAGATTGCAGACAAATGGTAATATTTTTTTACTTGAATTCAATCGATTAATGAGTGAAAGGAATATTTAAATAAATGAGTTTTAAAGTACTCATAGAAATCAATTTTAATTAATAAATAAATAGTAAAAAAAAAAAATAGTATCTATCATAATATTCAAATAAAAATCTAACCAGCTTTAATTAAACATTAAACCAATTCTTAAGAGTTTTTTTTCAAATTAATAATCAAAAAACGGTATTTATTTCATTAAAAAAATAAATTTATTTTTCAACAGATGATTTTTCATATTCTTTTTTATAGTTGTGTTAATTTTCTCTGAAATGAAATTAAATAAATTATAAATAGAAATCTATTTTTTTTCAAAATTAATTTTTTTATTTAATATTAAAATTTTAAATAATTTAAGAAAATAACTTTAAATGCCAAGCTTTCTTTTATATTGATTGGTTAATTGATGTTTTAGATTTAAGCAAATAATAGCAATATAGTTATTTATTTATGAAGTTTTTGATTTTTATTGAAAATAAAAACATTTCATTTTAGAGGAATACAAATGTGGATTGGATTCTATCTATCTAGTATTTTTTGATATATATCAATCAAATATTCTTTAATCATTAAATTTTTAAATAAATAATATAGTTTAAATTAATAGTTTTTAATTATTTTTTTATAAATTTGAAGCTAATTTTACTAATAGGTTTAAATTGATTAAATATTAAAAGTTTAATTTTTTTATTAAATTAAATAAATTCTTTGAAATATTTTTATTAAGAGTTCATAATACTAAATTTATTTGAATATCTAGCTAGCTAGCTAGCTAGCTGACTTATACAAGTTAAAGCTATCAATTCAGTGATTATTCCTCTAAGCTAAAATTTTAAATTTATTTTATTTTTATTAAAATCAATGTAATTAATTAAATGGAGCTTAGTAAAATCAAACTTGTTAAGCAAATAAAACTGAGAGATAGCTATTAATTAATATTTATCTACTTCAGCAGATAAATTAAAATTTAAATAAAAGAAATTTTAATATCAAAAAGATGAATAGGTAAGTAAAATGATTAAAATTTAGAATTAATTAATTATTTATTTATAAAGTGATAAGAAAAGCCAAACAATTTAATATAAAGTAACATTTATTTATTTATTTATTTTTATAATTTGTTAAAAAGGATTTAATAAGTAAGCAATAATATTTTAGCAATTTAATGAATTAATTAATATTCATTTTCTTTTTTTTTAACTGAAATTTGTTTTATAAGTTGGAGAGGAGCTGTCACTAATTTGTTCTGCACTATCTATTTAAATTACTAATTTACGTTTAGTTAAATACTTATTATTCTATGGGGTTGAGTTTTAAGAAACCATATCGGAGTATGGAGAAGAGTCTAAAAAATTATTTGAATCATAGCCTTTATCCTTATTGAGTTGTTTCAAAAGTAAATAAGGATTGTTGGAAGGAATTTTTTATTTAGTTTTTATACAATGCTAGTACTCTTTTAATTAGTTCTACAAATACAATTCTTTTGAATATTCTTAATCTACAAAAATAAAATTATCAATCTCTGGATTTTCTTTTTCTTTGACATCTCCCAATTTTGTTTAGCTTTTCTAGATTTGATTAGCTTAATTTGGCCATTTTTTAATTTCTTACAAGCATTCAAAGTAAATTTCTGTGAACTCTCTTTCAGATGTTGGTTTATCTTCAAAAAAGTCAATTTTATTAGTCTTAATGATATCAAATATTTGTTTCTTTTTTTAATTGTATATTTCTTATTTATAAGTGGAATCTTTATCGAAAATTTTCTTTAAAACAAGATTTTATTCCCCTAAAGAGTATTTTAGGTTAATTTGAGATATATTATAATTAGCTATTTTTTTTAACATTAATATGACAATATCAAACAATCTTTCTTGCTCTAAATCTTCTTCAAAATAATAATACTTAAAAGAGTCTTAATAATTTATATTGTCATTATAAATCTTATAAAAATAAACACTATTATTTTTCATGTGATATGCTGACCCAACATACACTGTCGTTTTAAATTATTACTCTTCGATGTCTTCCTCCTAGAATTACTCTTATAAAATATTTTTATTTTGACAAATCTAACTTAATCCTTATTTATTTTATATTTTTGATTAAAAAAATCTATTATTTCTTATTTTTTAACTGCTATTATAATTAATTGTTTTATCTTCATCTTAATTTTCATTGTCTGATTCTATAATAATTATATCTGCTTGCTTTTATCTTGAGTTTGATTCTTTTTCATTGTTATTTTTTTGCAAATATTAATCAACAGCAGAATTTTTAAGTTAAGTTGTCTATTAATTTTCTTCGCATTCGCAATCTTCAATATTTTCTTAGCTTCTCAATTAATATTCCTCATTATTATCAATAAAAATATTTTATTTTTTAATTAATGACGATTATATCTACTCTTAATGAGCCTACTGAGGTGAATTAAAGCAATTAGGGTCCTTGATAAACACAATATTTTAACTAATTTATTACTATAATAATTATTACTCATTTTTCTTATGAGCTTAGTTTAGGAGGGTATACAATTCTTAAACACTATTTATTAGCAATCTTAACGACGGGCTTTAATTTGTATCATTGTCATCATTATAATCATTATTATTATTATTGTTACGCATTTCATCTTATTGTATCAAACATGAAGCAGAATTTATTTATGCCAAAATTTAACTCTAAAATTATTTAGGATCATACTATTAAATATAATTAAATTATTGGATTATTTTTTAAATTTTATTATTCATTTTAATATTAATTATTTTATAATAAGCAACTATTGTTCACCACACTTGTTCTTTTTTACTTATTTTTGTTTTTCTCTTTAATTAAATCTTTAACTCTTGATTAATCAAACAATTTTTTTATTAGAATATTGAGTTCATATCCTTATTTTCTTCTCTTATTTATTATTAGGAGATAGAAAGAAAGAAAGAAATAACAAGCATACAAACAAACAACTAAAAAACCAAATAAAACAATTAAAAATAGATAGATATCTTTTTAACTTATTCCTTATTAAAGGGCATCTTAATTAAAACAAAGAAATGTTATTTTTGTAAAACTGAGTTCCATTTCCTAAAAAATAATAATTAATATTTATTTTTAAGAATAATAAATAAATATATAAACAAATAATTAATTAATTAATTTCATGAATCTTTCAAACATACATTCATTCATTCATTAATAATATAATTGTTGATTATTTTATATTTATTTGTGACTGACTTCTAAATGTATTCGAAAACAATTTTTAATCATTTAAAAAAAAGAAATATATAGAGATGATTTTACTCATTTACGATGTTATGTCTGTCTTTTTTTTATTATATTTATTTAAAAATCAATTTATTTTTTATGTTTGTTTGTTTATTTGTTTGAAATGTTTTTCTTCTTCAAAAATAAAAAATACGAAAGAATTAAAATGAAAGTATGTTGTTTGTTTGTTTAAAATTTGATAATTAATTATTTCATGTGATATTTATTTCAACTAATCTTTTTGTTTTATAAAAAGATTGATATTATTATCTTAATGGTTAATTGTAATAAGACAATTAAAAATCTAAGTGCAAAAATACTATTTAGCTTAAGGTCTTTATATAAGGTTGTAATACTTTGATAGGTATATCAATGTATTGTATTCTTTAGCTTCTAATGATTAATGTTTTTATATTTCTAATATATTCCAAAGACTCTGCAATTTAAATAATAGCCTCTAACTATTAAGAATAATTTAAGTTTATTGTTATTTCTTACAAATTAGAAAATTAAATGAGAGATTTGCAAAAAAAAATCATATTTAAATCATGCAAATCTAAATTTACAAAATATTTTTACAAACTATCTTTACACTCCATTTTATTTTAAAGTTGATTTATTTATACAGAATCAGGCACAGTCAAAGTTAGAGCTAAACACTTCAATAATTTTCTACTTTAAATAGATTCATAGACATCACTGAAACCAGCTGCATCTAAGTCATTATTTTTCTTTATGTTCAAATTAAGAAACTCTAGCATGTCTAGCTATCTTATACATTTTGCTATACTTTATACTCCTAATTATCCAATTTAATTGAAATAGCCAATTTATAAGCTAAGCATTTTTAATTATTCCTTTGAAGTCTAGATCCCCTAGCAAATTCTTTAAATACCCAAATCTCCAACATTTTAAAATTTAGCTAGTTTTATTTTAATACCTTATAATTTCTTAAGTTATACTAAAGTGTCACCTAATAATTCTGCTCCTCTTTAATTAACATTTATGCAAAGAGATAAATTTTGTAAATTTGCAAGATTTTTAAGTCCTTCTCCAAAATAAACAGCTTCCTGTTCTCCAATTTAAAACTAATAGGGTATTTTTACTTCAAAATCTTCTAGATTTGGGAAGCAGCTCAAAAATTTTGATAAATTTTAAAAATCAATTACGCCCACTAGTTTTTCAACATTTATGCTGAGTTATTTAAAACAAAATTCTCTATTTGATTCGAAAAGTTAGCGTCCATCACTCCACCAATCAATAAATAGACATTCACTACCTTCAAATTTTTCTATTTATTTTTATTCATCACAACTTAGATATTTTAAATAAATTGCTGCACATCTTTATCTTTTACTCTACTATCTTTTTTCCTACATCATGGAACATTTATAATATTAAAACTTTCGATGTTATAAATAATGAAGATATCTTTATTTATTAAAAGAATTCATGGATGGTTTTGGCTTGCTTGCTTGCTAGTTTAGTAAATAAAAAGAATTAAAAATATTATATTTTTATTTTAATTGGCAAGAAACTATTTCAACTTAAAATCTACTAAATAAATATACAGTCATACATACAATCATACATAAATGATCAAAAAACAAAATACAAAAAGCTTTCCTGATAAGAAAAAATTAAATTGAATTTCAAATTGGCTTTCTATTTCTTAGAATTCAAAATTTAAAATTGGAATAGAAAAATATTTTAATAAATAAATAAATGATAACACTCTAAAATTTAAAAAATAAAATCTTTTATGAAATTTGTTCATAGCAAATATTAAAATCTAATATAAATAAATAAAATGCATTAAGTAGTTTTCATTTAATAAATTTAATTAAAATTCCAAATCAAAATATTTCTGCTAGAATAATAATTAAAATTTCCATTAGAATAGTTAGAAATTAATTAATTTATTTTCTTCAAAATCTAAAATAAGAGTCCTTTTCTAATTACTTGTTTTTAAAATTGAGTTTTTTATTATTGGTGGAATTAGAAGTAGCAGAAATAGTAGATATTGGAGAGTTTGAATTAGAGGGTTAGTAGTAAACTTTAGCTGGCATTTGAGTAAAGATTAAAGCATTTGAATTCTCATTGCTCTACTTAAAGTTGTTATTTTGAGTGAAAGAATGAGAAGTATAAGATCTAACTTTTGTTTTTGGGCTTTTTGTGCTATCTTTCTTTTCTTTTGGTAATTTTTAAAGCTAGCTTAAATGCTAAGGGTTATATGGGCCATTTAGAATATTGGACAATGTAATATCCTTATTTGTTTAATCAATAGTTTAACTGTTTTCATACTAATTAGGGTAGAAAGAGTATGCTATTTAGTTATTTCCTTTGCTATTATCATTTTCTTACATTTATTTCTTTCCTTGTTAACTCTCATTATTTTAAATGGTTTCTTTTATTGGGTTACTATACATGCTACTTTATTTCATTTAATTAGTTTATTTATTTTAAACATCTTGCTTTGGAAAAGTCTATTTTATAATTTATTTATTTTCTTCCCCCCAAAAAGGAGTTAGATATTCATTTTTTTTAGAGTTCACACTATTTATATAAATTTCAGTGCTAAGCTCTTTTATAGACTCACCATATTAATCCCTAAAGCTTTATGAAAGCTCTCTTCTCTTAGATATTTTAAACTATGCCTTTTATTGAAAGCTGGTATTATTATTTTCATTGCTGTCTTTGGGTTAGTGGTGAAATGTTGGTGAAAGACTTATATTGATTTATTAAGTATGCCTACTTTTTGATTAAGCACTTTAGTTTCTTTAAACAGACCCATTTGAGGTTATTCTGAGATTTTGATATTCAATGCTAGGAATTGTTGGTTCAATAGAATTTTTCCTATCAATAATCTCTTAACACTCTTTAACTGATTGTTTGCCTATTTAATTACAAAATCGTGTTGGGATTTTAGAATCGTTGATTTTTTTGTCATTTTCATAATCTATGGTCTTATGAACCTTCTAGACATTATTTGCATCTTGCTAATTATTAATAGGTAATCTTTCATGCTATAATTCAGTTTTACATCTTTAAATCACCTTGCAATATTCTTACTCATTTAGCAGCTTATTTTAATGAATATTAGATATATCTTAGAATATTTTTTATTATGAATCATCTTACTTTGATTCATTATGATTTGATTAGCTAGGTAGTATTTTTACTCTTCTTTTAATTTATTTATTTTAAGCTTTTGCAATATCATCATGCAGTTAATTTTTTTAATCATTATTTATATTAATTGTCTCTTATTGTATAATATTTTTATTTTATAATTATTCTTCTTTCTTAAGATTGTTTTCCTACTAAATTTCTTATTTAAGTGTTTATTAAAAGTTGTTTGAAGCTGCGTTTTTCTATTTTAATGTTAAGTTATTTGCTGAAATATCTTCAAATTTATACTCTAATTCATTATTATCATCAGCAGCGATATTTTAGTTTTTTTATATATCGTTATATTTGCTATTCTGAATTTGTCTTTCTTTTCTAAGCTACCTAAGTTGAATTTATTATATTTTGTTCTTTTTCTTTTGGGGACTTCCTTTAAAAACAGATTCTTCCTCTTCTTCTTATTCTTCTTATATTTCTTCTATTTGATTTTAGGTTTAACTCTCATCTTGAGTATCTTGAATATATTAATTTTATTTGCCAGTTTCTTAAAGGCCTCCTATTTAAATATTATTTTATTCTGCTTTTATCAATTTCTGTTGATTTATTTAATTGCTTTAAAGTTGCTTTTGTAATTCCTACTGTTGCTGTTGCATTTTTTTATCAAGTTATTGCTATTGAATTTACAAGTAGGTAGTTTGCATGTTAAGTTATTGCTTGATAGCATCTATTTAATTTTAACAGAACTAAGGACTGCTAGATTTTATAAATTACTCAGAGATTTCCTATATAGTTATCTTCTTTCCTGGTATTACAACGTTAAGTATACCTAAAGGAGGTTTATTTTAGTTATCAAGATTATTTTTTTAATCAATTTAATCACCATCGTTTTCTATTTTACTGCGTTCGTCTAATGATGATCTTTGTTCCCTATTAGTTTTTTAGCTACTTTAACTTTTGCTTTCGTTTTCATTAGTTTACAAATTATTCTTATTTTAATTTAATTTAGAAGAAGATATTATTAGCTCATTTTATTCTTTAAAATAAGCAGTGCCTTGACCAAAGTTTTCTTCTGAGTTTTTTGTTGATTTTAATTTTGATATTTTCTGCTATGCAAAAGACTGATTCTCGTCTGTAGTAGTAGTAGACATTTTAGCATTTAAATCACTTTTTTATAAGTTCGTATTTGTAACATTTAAAATTTCTTCTTATTAAGATAATGATTGTTTGTTAATATTGCTTTAATTTTCAATTTCATTAATCTGCTTGCTGATACCAAGAGAGTATGCTAAAGCACTTTTAGATTTAGTATATCTCCTACTTTATTTTGCTTCATTCAATTCTTATTCTTATTTGTTACTTTAATCAAAACTTTTTTATTTAAAATACTATTTTTCAGGAGAAAATGAAAAAGGAGATTAAAAGCTTATTTGCTGTCCATTTTATATCTCTTCTATATTTTTAATAAGCCATTCTTCATCTTATAAAGTGCAATCTTCTTTTGAAATTCCTCTCATATTTACAGAATCGTCTGAATAATCCATCTCTATTGGATTTTAACAGCCTATCTATGTTAAAGTATCTTCATTATTACTTTCTTGTTATTCATAAGTAATTTGTTGTTGTTCCTTATTAATTGTATAGCTTGAATTTTATATTTATAAAGATTTCTCTAATGAACTTTGCTCTAAATTTTTAAAATAGTCTTCATTATACTTTTCAAGGTAGTCCTGATATTTTTTATCTTTTTCTTAGCAATTTTCTTTATGTTTAATATTTATTTTCATTCCTTTGCATTCCTAATTTTTTAATAAATGAGATTAAGTCAAGGAACTTTTAGGCCGAGCTTTTTCTGCAAATCTATCTTTATTTTAGCAGTTTGATGAATTTCCTCTTTTGCAATGCTACTTAAGTTATCCTAATTATTTAAAATAAATTCATCAATCTAAACTCTTTTTAAAATGATCTTACTGCTATTTTAATTGCATACAACAAAAGAATTATTTCCACTGCGCAATGTAGTAACTTAATTTGCATCTTAATAAATTCCATTTGCTTAACTCTAAGGATCTTTATCATTAGCAACTGTAGCTGCCTTATTTAAAGTCTTTTAACAGTTGTAAACTATTCATAATGATAATAAGAATAATCACATTTTAAAAAAAAAATAAAATATGCTGGCTTGCTTTTTGTAATTTATCAGTTGAAAGTTTAAATTATAAATTAATTAATTTATCATGTAATTTCTAAGAAATTTGAATTAAAAATACTTATTTATAAATTATTCTAAAAGGATTACTTCGATAATAATTTCGCTTTATTTAGTTAGCAATAGTGTTCAAATTAGATGACTTGGGCTGAAGAGAGTCTTATAAACATAATTTGAATGAAGACTTGTAATCTATTTAAAGAATTTAGCATAAATAATCTGATCTTTTAGAATATTTTGGTGGAGCGTATTTGTTAGCTTCTAGCTCATGCATGCACGATAATATTTTTATGAGATATTGTTTAAATTACTCTTCGTCGCATTCTTCCTTAGTATAAACCTTAATAACTCTTTTAAAAAGAACAACTACCAGAGCCTCAACACATTTATTATAATTAGTCTCCTACTATCGAGTAGCAAAGCCGCTGTGAATAGTCATTTCTTTTAAGGATATATTCACGTTATTAATTAAAAAGCAGCTATTTATTTAATACTTTTGTTTGATTTTATAAAAACACTAATAAAACCCATCAATCCAACAAAATTTTTTATAAATTAATTAATTAAAATATTCTCAAGTTAATTACAAACTGTTCATTAATATTTATTTGTGTGTAAAAAATTATACAAATTAATTACAATAATAAATATCTTCTCTTAATTAATTTTTTTCTTCTTTTCTTGTCAATTAATTTTGTAAGATAAACAAATTAATTAATTAATTAATTAATTAGATTGCTTCATTTTAATAAGATTATCTGCTCAAAAGAAATATAAATTATTAATTTAATAAAACAAATATAAAAAACTAATTTCAGAAAGAAAAACCAAAATCTTTCGAAAGATAAAATATCTAATGGGCATTCCCATTAAAAACAAACATAAAAAAGAAAATATTTTTGACAAATATTTTCTAAGTTTTTTAAAAGGAAATATATTTTTAATGCATTCTAAGTAATGAAAGTTTTTTAAACATACCAAAAAATAAATAATGACCTCCAATCCTATCGCAAAAGTTTTTAATCTTCATGAATGCAATAAAAATCAATTTAAAAATCCCGGAACCGCTCCCTCAGAGCAATTCTCTTCCGACTCTTATCTTACAATGTTCTTGAATTTATAAAAAGTATTTTTTAAAATAAAAGCTAGCTTAAAAAACAGAGCATCTTCATCACCGCCTCCATCATCATAGACCTGAAAAAAAAATTAAAAAACAAATAAAAAATTTGAATAAATTTAAAAATAAACAAATAAAATTAAAAATAAATAAATAAATTAAAATTAAACAAATAAAAAATAAATAAATAAAAATATCCAATTAAAAATAGATAAATAAATAAACAAATAGATTAAACATAAATGAATAAACAATATAAAATACATAAAATTAATAAATAAAAAAAATTAAAATGAAAAATTATGTTCAGTCAATATGTTAGAGGAAATATTTGTTTTTAATTTTAAACTAATTATTTGCATAAATTTAAATTATTTGTTAGATGCTGTTGGAAATTGTAATTTAATCTTCTAATTTTTTAATATTTCTAAATAATTAATTTTGTAAGCAATTAGAAAACCAAATAAAAATTTAATAAATTTCAAATTAAAAAAATATTTTGAAAAAGAATATTTTTTACAAGACAGACTTGTTACTTAATTAATTAATTTTATATTTAAAAATAAGTAAAATGAATTTGTGGATCAAAATTATATTTCTTGTTTATGACTCATTCATCTACTGTTAATTAAAATTTATAAAAATATATTAAATAATTAGCTTTTAAAAAATTAAATATTGAAGATTTATTTCCAAATTAATTTTTAAAAAAAGCATAGATAGATAGATATTAATAGTTAGCTAATTAGTTAGTTAGTTAATTGCCTTTTAAAATATAGGTTGTATTTTGTAATAAAGCTAAGTTAACAAATAAGTATGAACGTAGACGATTTGCTAAATCAGTTAGATGACCTTGATTTTTCAAATATGAATGTCAAATAAAAGCAATAGGGAAGCTAATAAAAAAGTACTTCAGCTACTGGATCATTTTAATAAACATCTTATCAATCTTATGACCAAAAGCTTACAAGCGTTAGCAATTAACCCAATACTAACTCTACATTAAATAAATATAATCCGTTTCAAGAAGATGAAGATTACTTTAAACCTACTTCAGTTCCAACAAAGCCATAAACAAGTTTATAAAAAGATTAATATATTTCAAATTAAAGCTATAAGCAATCATCTAATGATAATGTAATATGATTAGTTTATCAATAAGTTAATTTTAAATCTCTCTTTCTATAACCTATTATAATTATTTTAAGAATAAAGGATTAGGAGATATTGATGATCTATTAGACATTCTTAATCAAGAAGATTATAAAGTTTAAAAGGGTTAAACAAAGGTAGCATAATAAGATATTTCATAGCCAATTAAATAGAGTGATGCTCCTAAAGCTAATCAAAAGCTAACGTATTAATTTGATTAATATTATACGATATATGTATGATAATAGCAAATAATTTTAAAAATAGAACTTGCTTGAATCCTTATCTTTGTAATGGTAATTCAGATTATGCAAGTGACGAATTTAATATGAGAAAAAGAGTCTGTAATGCTTTAAGGTAACAAACATATTTTATAAATTAAAATCTAACTAAATTTGTTGTACGCAATTTAAAAGATGCTCTTTATGTAATATAATGATCACTAAATTAGTTGATTATAAATGGGCTTAGGATGCAGATCTATTATTCTTTAGGAATAACTTCTCAAGAAAAGAAAAATTGATTACAGTAAAATTTATATTGTTATTCAAAAATAGAAAATATTTATTTGACATACGTTCATATAAAATAGAAAGCCATTAGCGATAGCTCATACAGTGCTTATTCTTGTCAGTGCAGAGGTACTTCTGTTAATAAATTAACTACTCTTGCCGAGTGTAACATGAAAGAGTGGCGCTGCACTGGACACTTCGACTGAAATAAAAAAATAAACTTTAAAAAAATATTTTAACAAATTAATTTATATTAAACAGGCTTTTTATCATTTTATAATTTGCTAATAATCAATAAATCTATCTTAAAAGGATATTAAATATAAAAATAAAACAAACAAACATTTCTCCTAATTTTTAGTCAATTTTACTCAAATCAAAGTACTGTTTTTAAAAATTATCAATTAATGTTATTTTCAATAATTAAACAAACAAACAAACTAATTAAAAATCTATTTATATATATTTATTCTTTATTTGTACTCGAAATGCTATCAGAATATCAAACTAATCATTAAAATTTAATGAATTAATTGTAAATTTCTTGTGATGTTTATCTTTGTTGTGATTGTAACAAATAAGCATATTTGATATCATTTTCACATAAATCGCATCATGCTAGTAACCACCACCAATAATTTAATTATACTAAACTAATAAAAGAATTTACCAAAAAATCTTATTTTCGCATATGTTTATCATCAAAAAAATAAGCAAATCAAATAAATAATAAATAATACAATATAAAAAATAAGATTAAGCTTTTAAAATGAGAAATAAATTCAGCGGTTTAATTTTATTGTGCATAGTTTGCTTCGTATTTTGCGAAATAGAATAGCAATATGATGAAGGGCTAGCTAAATCTTTTATGCACTACGCAGCTACTGCAGGCTGCGGCTCAACTAGAATTTAAGATTGGAGCTGTTCTGTTTGCAGCTATAACTAGAATGTTACAGATATTACAATATATTCAAGTGATAAATTCTAAACTTAAGCTTACACTGCTTACAGTCAAGCCGATAACTAAATAGTTGTTGCTTTTAGAGGGTCTGTAAACCCAAGAAATTACATTTCCGATTTTTCTTTCACTCTTGTCAAGTACCCTTAATGTCACACCAAGTAAGACAATTGTAGAGCTCATTTAGGTTTTTGGAATGCTTACAAGGGATTTAATAATTAAACTCTTTAAGATACTCTAAAGTTGAAGAATAAATATCCAACAGCATCAATTGTCATAACAGGTCACTCATTGGGAGCAGCCATAAGCATTTTTGCTGCTCTTGAATTAAAAAATTATGTCCATATAGATTACATTTATAACTTTGGATAGCCTCGTATTGGCAACAAAGCTTTTGCTTTATATATAATGAATGAATTGCCTCAGATAAAGAGAATAGTCCATGATAAAGATATTGTCCCTCACTTACCTCCTCGCTTCTTAGGATTCCATCATGAGAGCTAAGAAATATGGTATAATGCTAATTTTACTTCTTACAAAGAATGCAATAGTTCAGGTGAAGATCCTAAATGCATGGACTCAGTTATCATTCCTTCTATTAGCTAACACACATTTTATCTTAACGTAACAATGGAAGCCTGCTGAAAGGTTAATTTAATCAGAATTATAAATATATAAATTAATCAAAAATATTTATTTTAGAGGAAATTTATTCTAAAAAAAAATTATTAATAATTTTATATTAAAAATTATTTTATGAGGACTAAAAAATAAAATTAATTGCATTAATTAATCATCAAATTTTTTCTTAAAAATTATTTTTTAAATTGATTCTTCATTTAAAACAATTTTTATTAAAAACAAATAAAATAATTAATTAAATTAAAATCAAGTTTATAAATAAATCTATGAATTTTAACTATAAAAGCATATTTAAATATTTGCTAAAAGCTTGTATTTTTATCTAATTTTACTTTAAAATAGATAAAAAATAAAATAAATTTATTAATATGATAATATCTTAAATCCTCATAACTATATTATAACTTTTTTATTTAATTCCTATTTTTTAAAAAATTTAAACAAGAAAATATTTTATAATCTTATTGAATAAGTAGAATCTAATTTTATTTGAGGATTTAAGTTATTTTTTTTAGAAAAACTTAATTAGTATATTGAATGAAAAGTTGGATAAATATGGAAATAAACAAATATTGTTTGGGATATATCAATAAATCAACCCACCCTCAGTGATTTTACTGTATATTATAATTATTGATAGTTATTGTAATATTAATTAAAATAACACATTAATTGTAATATAAAAATATAAAATTAGAGAGTAACATTTTATAATTTTTAGGGTTTATATGTCTAAAATTAAAATATGGTTAACTAACTGTCTATTAAATAGATTTATTTTAAATTTAAAGAATAAATTAGTAACTTATTTTATTTTTAAATCAAATATTTCTTCTCATAAATTTGAATATTTTAAAATACAAAATTTTACCATTAATATAATTAATTTCAGATAAATATTTTTGGAAATCACAATCAGTCGATTACTATTACTTTAAATTATTTAATAAGGAATTCACATTCAGAGGGAGGGAAAATATAAATCTAAAAATTAAGTAAGTTATCAGTCATACTGAGAAACTGTAACAAAATGAAAATGCTTTCATATTATTTAGTGTTTGATAAAATAGTTTTCAAAAAAATAATTTATTGGATAACTTTGAGATCTAGGATTCGATAATTTTTTTCTAATCTGCTAAACAATTTTAGTAAAATATTAGCCATAGAAAATCAGAAATATTTATTGATATATTGATCCAAAATAAAAGAAATAAGCCAACTTAATTAATGACAAGTGTAACATTAAAATAAGAAAATATAAATCATATTTGATGAATATAAAAGAATTACGCTGTTAAAGTATACATTTATAGTTTATTTTACTTTCTTTAATTGAATTTGAAAAAGAAATTAATTCCATGTGTAATATTTTTAATCAAAGATAGATTCCCTTATAATTGATTCCATAGATTAATTAATTAATAAATAAAAAATAAACCAATTTATTAAACTTTCTATTGATCTATGCATTTTATAAATTGAAACAAAAAATAGAATATTGCTAAATGAAATTTAAACTAATAATTTGGTTAATATAAATTTTCTGGTCTTATACATGAACCAATTAATCTTCAATCGATTTCATAATTAATTAAAATGACAATTGTTAAATCCACAATTTTTTTTCTATTATTTAATTAAAATTGGATATGTGAAAATAGTAAATTAAAAATTCTATTCCAGTTTATTTTAAAAAATAAATTTTTATTGCTATTAGCAACTAGAACATACTCATAAAAATTATGTTATATTTAATAATTAAGACAAATTTATTGAAGTAATCATAGATAATTTTAAAAGAAGTAAATGTAATGAGCAGTATATTATTAATTTGTCAAAGCACTTTTGTTGAGAAAACTATTTATTAGTTTGATATGCAATTAACTTGCTTAGTTTAATTATCAAACAATTAATTATTAATCTATTAAAATTCCATTGGAAATTTAATTTGATCGAATGATTGTTTGATTGTTTGTTTGTTTGTTTGCTTTTTTTTTTTTTTGGTTGATTGATCGATTAGCAAATTGTAAATAAATAAAGAACGTAATTAATTAATATTGACAAAAAACATAAGCAAAAGAATAATTATAGCTTAAGAAAGTAAATAAATAAATAACAAAATCAAATAAAAAAGAATATCTTCAGTAAATACCTCTTTTTAATTTGTATAGCAAAAGTATTCTCCAAATCATTTTAAATAAACATTCAGGCAGGCTCGATAAAATGAATATATAAGAGCTATAAAAAGTGCAATAAATCGAATCTAATTCGTTCATTACTTGTTTTGAAACATTTGCTATGCCTTTCTGTCTTCAGTAATATTTTAAAAATATATTTTTAAACTTATTTTCTTCAACTTGTAAATTGAAATATTTCTAAGCATTGAAAGCTAAAGCATTAATCACTTTTCTTTACAAATTCTTTCTTTCTTTTTTTTGCTTTTGTTTCTTTTATTAATCTTAAATTTTGAGGCACTCCTTCCTTATAAATAAATACATGAAATGAACATAAAAATATTTCATTTTATAAATGAATAAATAAATATATCACTCTTCTAACAAACTTCCATCTTTAATATTTATTTTTTTATTTAATATTAAGACTGCTCTTGCTTCTCTTGGCCAACTTATTTGTGATGGCTTTAGTTTTTATTTAGATCTATAAACGCTTAAAAATATCAATGTCAGCATTCTCAAAAAAGTTGATCATGCTTTACATGCTGGCATCTTAAACAATATGTAATTAATTGCCACTCTTTTTCATTTTAATTTGCAAATTAACATCTTGCTATGCGAAATAAAAAAAAGAACCAAATTACTGACATTTATTTATTCAATAAAAATAAAATTTTCAACATCATAATATTTTTTGCGTTAAAAATAGTATTTGAAATATAAAACATCTACAGACCATATAAATAAACCTACTACGTAATGTACTGGTTCTAAAATGTCTACTACTGCTATTTAGTTTATTATTTTTGCCTTAAAGTTATTAAGTCTTATCAGTAAGAAATTGTTATACAAAGGAAACATATACGAGTTATCCTTTATATATTTTGGTTTTCTTATACTTGCATCCTTATTTTCAACTTTGTACAAGATTCGATGAACCCATAAATACTCTGCAAATGTAATTTAACTTGTTGCTTACTTAATTTAATATAGAAGTATAAGACATTTAATACTATTCATTCTAAAGAAGAAGTTTAATGTCTGATTGCAATAACTTACTTACTTACTTACTAACAATATATTTAAACTATTATTTAAAATTTATCTAGAGAGTATTTTTGGATATACAAGAGGAATCAATTTTATTTTAACTTTAGGCTTTATAATATTAGGTAAATTTTGATTTGATCTATGCATAAAATATATATTCATTATTAGTTTAAATTTCTTTCATCAGTCAAAAATTAATCAATCAATGAATGACCAACTTACTTTTTTCTTTTTAATACTGATTATTTTAAATATTTTTTTCAATAATTAGGAAAGCTATTATAAAAAAGAGTTGACACAATAATATATGTCTCAGGCGTAGAAAATGAGTAGCTTTATAATAAATAAATGGAAAATGTTTGGTAATAATTTTAATTGGTTTTACAAATTACAAATTAAGAGTTAGTTAGATAATTAATTTTAATAAAAATAAATAATAACAAAAAAATGATATTCCATATTATTCAAAAATATTATGCTTAATGTTACTTAATTTTTAATAAAATAGACTTTAGAATTTTTTCAATATCTTACTGATTGATTATTTATTTATTTATTGTTAAATAGAAAAATTAACTTTTCTAAGTAGATTTTTACTAATTAATTTATTATAGGAAACTCATAAAATGGAGCGTAGTTGGATAGCTATTTAATTTAATTGGTACAACATATTTAATACTTAATGATTACCACTGTACATTTGTCCCTTATGTAACTTTTGCATTATTAATTTCATCTTTCATAAACTTTTTGCATATAAAACCAAAATTTAGGATGAAACACAAAGCGATTACTAAATACGAGTTTATATGAATAGCTTAGTTGTTATTTTGTATAGAATAGTATCTTATTTTATACTAATTATAGTCCCTTTGAGGACATTTTGGGTTAAAAACTACCTTAATTACAATAAAAATCTGAATGTAATTTTTTATTTCTTTCTTGATTCCTTTTTATTTACATCAAATTACTTAATTAAGTTACTGAATATTTTATGGGTATTTTTAATTTCATATTTTTTAAAATAAATCAAATAAATTAAAAAGGGGGTCTAAAATATCTTTTTATTGAAAATCAATACTAAATACCTTTAAAAATAGTTTCTTCAGACTATTAAAAAATCTAACGGTTATGATTTCTCCCCCTTATAATTATAAAATTTATAAATAAATTATATAAAATAAATTTGGGATTTATATAATATTTAGAATAATTTTATTATTTATTTAATTATTTTTAATAATAATTTATTTATTCTAAATATATTTTGAAAAAAAAGGATCAATAATTTATACTTATTTATTTATTAATTTATTTATTTATTTTACATTAATCATACTTTAAAAATTTTATAAAATAATAGGATACTATGTAGAGCAGCTTTGATGGAGACAATCAAGCTACATTTTTTTTTAGAGGTTTAGGCCATAAAAGAACCTAATACGATGCCTCTGTAATTAGCAATAATTTAGAAGAATAACTAATAAAAGATTCTTCACCAAATTAAGATTAGAGCAACATATTTGCAAAATCAGATGATCATAATTACTCAGCATCCTACTCAAGTTTTATCTAATAGGATACAAGACTAGGAAAGAAATATACAAATGTTGAAATTTCAGAAACAAGGACTGTTGTTTTTTGAAACAAACAAACAAACAAAATACATTTAAACTAATTATGAATATGAGTGAATTAAAAATGAAATATTTGAAAATTGTGGATTGATTGACTGACTGACTGATTGATTGATTCTTTTTCTACACACATTCATTCTAATATTCTGAAATTTCAATAATAATTATATGAAGAAACTCCACTTTTAAAAAATATAAAATTAGAAACAAAAAAACATACAAAAAAAACAAAAATTATTTATTTTATTAACAAATTAATTTGTAAATATTATCTATCCATCCATATGTCCATTCAACCATCCATCCATTTATATTTTAATAATTAAAAACAAAAAAAACTTAATAAATTAAAATTTCTATTACTTTAAAAATTAAAGTGTTAATTATTATTAAATTTATAAAAATAAAAAGTATAAATCTTACTTTTAATTATCCAAAAACAAATTTAATCACTAAAAAAATATGAAAAATATTATATTTATTTATTTAATTTAATCTCAAGCTCCTACATTTTATTTCTTATAATTATAATTAAATGTTAATGAATAAAAAACTACCAATTTTTTGATATTTAATTAGCATTTTATAGAATCTAAAATTTATTTTTAAAATAGTTTCTATCAATAAGATTATATAGTTTTAGCAAAATTAATTGTTAAATGTATATATTGTTTTTCATTGACTTATCTTTATTATATGATTAAAAAAATTTATTTATTTATTTATTGAATAAATAAATAATTATCAAATATTATTAACTTTATTAAACAAAAAGTTTAAATCTTATTTTTAATATTCGAAAATTAAGTAGAATAAGTAATAAAATATTCTATTGAAAAATAATACTTATTTATTTAATTAATTATTAATTTAATTTAATCTCAAGCTCCTCCATTATAGATAGTATAATTGCAATTAAATATTGGTTAATTAAAAACAACCAATTTATTGAGTTTTTTTATACATTGAATTTAAAGTATATTTTTTAAATCAGAGCTATCAATAATATCGTATAATTTCAGATATGTTAATTATCTATTTTTTATCAAGGAAGAAACAAAAGGTTCATAATCATTACATTTTTTCTTTTAAACAGGTTAATAATCCAAAACGAATTGTAATTCTAATCCTATAAATTATCTTTTATTTAATAATTCTTTCAGTAATTTCAATAAAAAGGATTAAGATGTTGTTTATTCAATAAATTTTAATTGCAATAAATTCAGATTGTTAAGCTAGTTTAATGAACTCATAAGTAATTTAATATTATTTTCACTAATTTAAATATTAATTTGTAAGTTCAATTGTCTAATGTAGGCAAAATTAGTGAGACCATTAAATAGATTTTAAATTACTGGCTCTGTCTTTGCTTTACTTGGAATTTATGGACTATCTTTATCCTCATATTATTAACAAATCTAATATATGCTTATTGTTTGTAGTTGTTGTTTTATTTGAGATAAGCTTTTCGCCATACAACTTATCATCATTGGACTTAATTTTAGATTTTTCAAATTTTTAAGATTTGATATACTATCAGCTAATTCTGCGTAACTAATATTAAAATTCCAAAAAATATCAAGCTCCAATCTAGTTAAATTTTTTAAAAACAAAAGACTCTTAGCAATTAATTTAATACCCTTGTTTGTTATGTCCAAATATCCAAATTTTAATGACAGGTGATTTAAATTTGAATCTAACAATGGATATAACTATTAAAATAATTAATCTCCTTCATTGTCAAATTATTTTTCTGATAAATTTCCAAAATCTATCTCAAGATAACATTTAGATAAATTGAATTCAAATAATATTTTGTTTAAATATATTGAGAGTTTTTGATTATTAATTTGAAGTAAAATTAAATAAATTAAATTTATATTTGCTTAGGCACATCTTATATGTAAAGTTTTAAGACTTTACAAAGTTGCCAAATTATCCTTTAATACTTTCACGCTTTCAAGTGATAAGTGTTGTTGATTAAAATTAATATCTAAGTCATATAAGTTCTTAAATTTTACGTTAAATATATGATTAACAGTAGTTTAATCGAGATTCTCATCGTTTATAAATAATTATAATTTTTATTAATTCTAAAAGCTCTTAAATATTTCTTTTGTTGTTTAGTTTCTCAGTTAGCAGTTATTTAAGTAAAAGTTAAATACTTCTAAGGTTTATATTTTTTCTATCTATTATCCCAATATTTTAGCATTATTCTCATCTATCCTGTTAAAAATATTAATACTAAAACGTTTTAGTAAAGGAAGATCATCAAAACCTTGTAAAAGATTTGGTATCAATATAGAAGGCAAAGAAATATTTAAAAGAGTCAATAATTAAATATTTTTCCAAGTAATAAAATATTAGTTGATCTCTTCCTTAATAATCGAATTTATGCTTAAATCTAAAGTATTGAGATTACAAAAGTTCGTAAAAGCTTAACTCAATGTTTGAATATCTTGAGGCGAATATATTTAGAATTTAATGTTAAGAATTTATAGATGTTATAAATTACATTGACTTAAATAAATAAGATCATTTGATAATAAATTCTAATTATATTTAAATACTTTTAATTGTTTTTAGAATTTTATCAAAGGTATTTCTTAAAAATAAGACTTATGTCCATCCTCAATTTAATTATCTAATTTTTTTGAAATTTTTACTTATTTGAAGCTTTCCAATTAAACTAAATCTGTTTTGTTTTATTCTTGCATCTATATTTCTAATTCTTCTAAAAAGTTAATTTCTTGAAATTCCTAAAATTATATTTCATTTGAAATATCATGCAAAGTCAATTTTTTAACATTTTAATTTAGTTTTAGACTTTCTAAAATAGTTTCATAAATAGATTATTGCTCAATTTTTAATTATTAAGCATCATCCATGCTAATTATCTTTACTTCTTAAATATCTTAGTCTTATTCTATTTATTTATTAAGTCCAATAAACTAGGATTAGTTGATAATGTTACCATCTCTATTAACTCTAACAAAGAATATATTGCTTTAATTATTTTTTTTTAAAGAAATCTTAATAGCGTTATACTCTTAGTTTTGTTATTATGAGTTATAATATGCTTTTTATAAAGTATTTTTCTTCATTTTTTTATTAAATCTAATTTTTTAATTTATTTATTAATGTTTATAATCAATTTAATAATGTGGTTTTTGGTAATCATTTAAAGACTTTTTTATATATATAAATAAGAATTAATCAAGTCTTAGCGTTTCAATCTAATACTCACAAATTCAAAAGGCAATCAATTATTTCTTGTGATTAAATTTTATCAAATAGGCTGAACAAAAAAGTTAAAAATGTAAACTTAATTCATATTTATTTTCAGCGATAATTTTAAGATATAAAATAGGAATATATATAATCTATTATAGTATTCTCTTTATTTATAACAAAAAAAATACTAAATAAAACTCATTTAGATTTTATCAAATCTATTAATTTAAAATTTAGACTTAAATTCTATTAAAATACCTATCTATCTACTTAAATATTAAAATTCTTAATTCTATTCAATTTATTCATTTAAAATTAGATATGATTAATTTTTCAAAATAAATCTACAAATCATTAAAAAAAATTAAAAAACCAAGAAGTTTCTAAAAATACATTTGCTTTATATTAAATAACAATTTTAATATACCTAAAATTTCATTTATCCATTTTATATTTCAATATTTAGCTCACAAAAAAACTTATACTATTCATTTAAATATATTTATGATTTTAAATTTGTTACAGTATATCTAATTGGTATGAATAAATTTTGAAAAATATAAACTAAATTAAAATTATAATCAAATTAGCTTTTTTTAAGGTCTGTCTATAAGATATATTTTATAATTAAATTAATTAATTAAGAAAAAATCAGGTATTTAAATTTCTATTTTTGTCTTTTAATATCAAAAATTAGTTTTTAATTTCAATTATCAAACCTTTTTTTCTATATTAAGTTCACACAGACTTAATAATTAAATTTTAGTTAATTTTTTTCAAATAAATAAGGTTGGTTGAATGTACATGTTAAAAAATGTAAATTAAATTAAAATTATTATGATTTTTGGTAAAATCAAAAGATATATTTTTTTTTAATTCAAATAAGAATAAAAATTTATTTTTTTTTAAATTTAAAATGAGAAAAATAAACAATTCAATTTAATATTCTAAATTTTAATACAATTAATTTATCTATGAAATATATTCATTCATTCATTCATTCCAATTCATCTATACATCCATTCTTTTTTAGTTAAATTATGATTATAAACCAAAATTTATTTTAATTTACTATACATTTCTTTAACAATATAAATTCTGCTACCTACCATAAATTTAACAAAATTTCAAAAAATATATTAAAACAAAAAAATTTTGCTATCAAATTATATAATTCCAATATAATAAATTTTAAATATTATTCTCATAAGCAAATATATAATGAATTAATCAATCAATCAATCTGCAGCTAGCTACTAATAAATAAATAAATAAATAAATAAATAAATAAATAAATAAAGATAAATAAATTCTTTTTTACATTAAATTAAAACAAATAAATTTAAAATATTTAGGAAAGTTATTATTTAAATTAATAGTTTAAAACAGACAGAAAATATAAATTTTTGCGCATTAAGATCTTTGAAATCATTAATTATTAAGTTAAAAATAGGAAAATAAATTATTTATCAATTATTTTAAAAGTAATTAAAACAATTTTTAGAAACATAAAAATTTTTCTTTTCATAAATAAGCATGTATTCATGCATTTATTCATGCTTAAAACTTATTTCAATTTATTTAACTTCGGATTTATTGGTGTACCAAATATTTTAATTTTCTTTTAAGAAAAGATAGCACCATGTTTCTTGCATGAGGCTATTTAACAAAGTTAAAATTTAATGTGTGTAATTAACTCAAAGTAAGTAATTCTTAACAAAATAACTGTCCTTATTTTATACTTAAATGGCTAATGTGTGAATAAAAATAATTTTTGATTATATTTATTTTTAAATATTCCAAACTCTTTAAATTCTTGAAGATTATAGCCAAATCTTAAACATTCGTAACACTAGTATAATTACTTGCTAATTTAATGATAACTGATTTTAGGTTTTTACAAGATTATAAACTTTGATTTAGAAGAGTATAGCTATTTATTGGGTTTTCTACACTTTGATACTTAAGGTAGAGTTTATTTAAAAATTTTGAATTTTCTATACAATATGCTAAGCTTTAAAAGTCATCAAGCTCGAAAAAAAACAGCTCACCAAAATCCAAGTGTAAATGAGTTAGTTTTGTTAGATTTTATATTGAATTAAATAGTTCTCCTACTTTAGGCTTAAATTCATATTTCTTTATAAAAATCAAAGTTACTCTTAATATTTATAAATTATTTAGATACTTAATCCCTTCACTCAAATAGTTTACCACCTCTGTATTAAGAACATTTTGGTACCCTACGTAAATACTGAGTTCCCTTAACATTTAGCATTGAGATAAACAAGAAAAATCTATATACTTTAATTGCATACCACCAAATTTATTTTATTCTGCAAAATGTAAATCCAATTGCTATAAAATTGAAAGGTCAGGCAAAATACTCATTACATTTTAAAAAATAGAAATTTAAGCATTATTTCTTTAACCAAAATAAAGCTATAAACTTTCTAATTATTTTAAATTTTTTAGCAAGCTTATTTGATCTGAATATTAATCTGAGTTAATTTTATTTTCATGACCAATAGCAAACTTAAGTTTTTTTAGCTTTTCCAAGCAAGAAATAGAGCTGTAAAGGTATTAAATTCCATTAATTTAAACATCATTTTCTTCCCCAATGAATAGATTTAAATTAGTTAAGTTTGAGAGTGAGGATAAATTTTCAGCAATCTTTATTGCTCCTTTTTATCCAATTCCATTCCTTTACATTATAGTAAATGATAATTCAACTAGATTTTTCTTACCATTCAAACTTTCTCCTAATTTGCTACATCCACTTTCATTTATATTATTGTTAGAACCAAACATCAATCTAAGAGTTTTTAAATTGCATAAATTCTTTAAACCATTAGCTATTCCTTCTGCTCCAATAGAAGCAACTTAATTTTAGCTTTCTATTTCCAAATCTAAAAGCTCCAAATTACTTAATTGACCTATTGAATCTCCAAGTGAACACCACCCAGCATGCTCTATTTATTACATTTTTCCTATTTTAATTTGCAAAAACTTCAATTTAATTAAACCAGAAATACCATCAGATATACAAATTAATCCCTCAGATTTTATTTTTTTTTTAGCTGAAAAATTTAAGCTTAGTTCCTAAAGATTTATAAGATTTTTCAAACTTTTACCTATTGATTAAGCTCCCTTATCTTCTATTTTATTACCATACAATATTTAGAAATTAAGCTTTTCAAGTTTATTTAAATTTCTTATTCCTTAAAATATAAACCCTGTTTCAGGTGAACTTATGCAATTAGATTCACAAATCAATAACTCTAACTCACTCAATTATTTTAATTATTGCAATTCTTAAGCAAAATCCTCAGCGAATGCATATGCTCCATAAAAAGATCTAACAGGTATCAAGACATTAATTTTTTGTATATCCAAAATTTTACTAAAAGAATTTGTTTGAATATTTTTTCCATTAAAATAACTACTTTATTCATTTTTGTTTTGATAAAGTACAAATTCATACATTGACTAAAAGTTAAAATACCTGATATCATCTTTAAATAAGAAATTAAACTAGTTTTAACTCATTTTTTTTTTATTTTTTATAATTATTTATGCTTGATATCTTAATGAATTAATTAAATTCAATCATTAAATTTTAATTGTTCTTTATGACTATTTATTTCTGTTCAAATACTTTCATTCAATATCTATCAAATTAATAATTATGACTGGAAAAATGATAATTATGTGGAATTTAATAGCACAAATTAATTAAATAATTATATGCATTGAAACAACATACATACATATATATTTTGTTTTTGATCAATATATAAATATTATAACATTTAAGCAATAAATAACAATATATTTTATCAATATAAGCTAGGGAGGATATGGGCTTCAAATCTCCAACAAGCTAAAGCTTTTAAAAAATAAAGCTTGATAATCTGGATAACTACTCATAATACTCTTTTAATCTAGAAAAAGTAAGTAGTAGCGGGACTCCGATGGTAAGAAATCACTCTAATAGCCATATTTCTAACACACCATCAAGTGTTTATGTTAGAGAGTAACTAAGCTAATTTTAAAATAAAAATTCTAATAAATTCAAAAAATTGAAAGAGCTAACAATGTCAGTTAATAGCCCAACATATTTTTAATCTTTGTCTACACCTTAAAATCCAGTTTATTTAAACACCACTGCAAGTAATAGCTTGCTAAATAGCGAAACAAAAAAACCATTATTCAAATCGCCAAATTTAGTGTAACGATAATTAGCATCTGCATCTAAGATAGTCTCAGTAAGCTAAGTATAGCTCGCAAGAGGAATTCCCAAGAAGATAGAATTTATTACAGAAGATATCAATTAAGCAACTATAAACTCAGCTTAAAAGGAGTTATCAAGTGCTACCAAAAGTGAGAATCAATAGGAAAGCTTTTTTACAAAAGAATAAAAGTAGAAGCTTAGCAAACTGAAAAAAATGTACAAAAATATTTAAGAGCAATAGGAAGCAGAATTAAAAATAGCAAGCAAATTATAAGAAGAACTAAATTAATAGGTGTCAGGAGATAAAAAGGTTTTTTATGGTCCTATTGAGGCTGTACATGAGTTTGAAAACTAAATTATAGGAGAAGCTGCACCAATGTATTCTGCATCTCCTTCGTTAAACAAAAAAATAATAAAGCTCCATACAGAATATGTTCCAGACGCTATCATGAACCCTTAATAGCAGCTTTAGTAGATCCATAATTAATCTTACACAGCTTATGAAAGTGTTAAATAAAGCAGAATAGAAAGTGCGAAATTATACAGAAATGCTGTTGCCTCAATGAGCAAGTAAATAAAGCCAGTTTCGAAAGAATTTGAAGAACTGAAGTAAAAATTAAATGGTAAACATACTGACTAGATTGAAAAAATACTAATAAAGCTTAGTATCATAAACATCGATAAAAACTAGAGGCTAAAAGATAATGCAAATAATTAAATAGTATTTGACAAAATGATGACAGAAATTTGCAAAAAGAGGGAGAAAGTAACTAAGCATTCAATTGCAAGAACTAAAGTGAAAGAAAAGTTGAATGAAGAGGACTTGAAAATTAATTATGTGAACATACCTAAGTTTGATAGCAACTACAAAAAAGATTTTTTTGTACTAGATAACCAAACTGTCTAAAGATATAGAAAATATCCAGATGATTTAATAGACTTAATTTAAAGTTATAGTCATGGTTAAGAACAGCTTATTGAATCACTTAAGGATCAAAATGCTCCATGTCTCTTTGACATAAATAAATTTTCTGAAAGTGAGTTTGATCCTTATTTCACAAATATCTACTTAAAAGAAGTAATGTCCAAACATCTGATCTTCAAAAAAGGATAAAAATTAGATTTCTTTGGGAAAAAGCAAATAAAAAAAAGAACAATCGAAGATATTCTAAATAAATTTAACCACCCAAGTTAATGCTCTTCTTCCTTTGATTCAGAATCGTCATTTTATTATTTATCAACAAATGAATAGCTCATAGAGGAAGAAAAATGAATGATAAAAAAGATGGTTTTTTTTTAAATAAAAACATATTTCAAAAGCCTAATTAAACAAAAAATAAATAAATAAATAAATTATCACAAAAAAATACTAATTAAATTTATAACTAAATAAGTATTCAAAATACCATAAATTCAATATTTGCTTTACACATAATTATTTATATTTATAAGAGTAAATAAGTATTCACTTTTTTAAAAGTCTCTTTTACTCCTGTACTTAATTCAAAAATTAAAAATCATTAAGAATTATATTAAAAAATTTAGAATATTAAGGAATTATTTATTTTTTTTGAGTTATCTTTTTAATTATTTTTTTCTCCAAGTTAATCCTCTTCTTCCCTTGATTCTGAATCGTCATTTTATTATTTATCTACAAATGAATAGTACATAGAAAAAGAAAAATGAATGTAAAATAGATGGTTTTTTTTAAATAAAAACAAATTTCTAAAACCTAATTAAACAAAAAATAAATAAATCAATAAATTATCACAAAAAAATACTAATTAAATTTATAACTAATGTAAAATAGATGGTTTTTTTTAAATAAAAACAAATTTCTAAAACCTAATTAAACAAAAAATAAATAAATAAATTATCACAAAAAAATACTAATTAAATTTATAACTAAATAAGTATTCAAAATACCATAAATTCAATATTTGCTTTACACATAATTATTTATATTTATAAGAGTAAATAAGTATTCACTTTTTTAAAAGTCTCTTTTACGCCTGTGCTTAATTCAAAAATTAAAAATCATTAAGAATTATAATTAAACATTTAGAAATATTAAGGAATTATTTTTTTTTTTTGAGTTATTTTTTCTTTCTAGTTTGGCTTGTCTTAAATAAATATCTATTTCATACATTTTTTTTTTTATAATTTGTTTGATATTAAATAAAATTAATTAACTGATAAATGAATATGATAGTAAATTTTAATTGTCAAAACAAGTAATCCATGATTTTCAATTAAACCAATTTTACAATAGACATATAAAATGAACGTTTAGAAGCTAAAGTATTTCATAAAATATAATAAATATGATGCTTTTTATAATTCTAGATTTTAGATTTTTTGGATTTATTCAGTTTATTATTACGTAATTAAAAATATTTATTCGTCATTTTGATTAGCTTATAGGTTTTTATATAAGAATAATATTTATTTAAACAAGAAAATCTTTGTTTTAAAAATTATAAACAAAATTATTCGTAAATAAATTAATCATAAATAATATCTTTGCCAAAAGATAATATAGTGTTTACTCTTGGTAATTATAAAATATCAAATAATAAAATGGGCTCTCAATTAGAAAAGCCATCTTAGAAATATCCATAACTTAATGATCAATAAAAGATAAATTTATCTTAATAAAATAAGGATAATCCTGACAAATCTAATTCTAAAACTCCTAGCTAATATAATTCTATTAATGATGAGAAAGAAAAATATAAAAAAGAGTTTTTAATATAAAATAATTTTCTTGATAGTAGATATGAAAAGGATCAAATTCTTAAAGGAAATTAAAGTTAAATATCCTAGATTATTCCAATAGCCAGAGATCATAAAAAACTTTAGTAGAGCCTTAATCCTAGATAAACATAGATTTTTTAAAATCTACTTTTAAAACTTAAAGAAAATTATTATTCCGATTCATTTTAATTTATAGGCGCTGGAAGTTTTTCAATGGTCTATTCTGCAAAAAAGATAAAAAATAACCAAAATATAGCTCTTAGAATATAAGAAGTTCACGATTAGGATTAGGATGATTTTAATAATTATATTTCTATTTGCAAGTAGATTCAAATGCCTCTTATAGCTGAGTTATATGATGTGTATTACATAGATATAGAAAAGAGTAAATTTGCTATCTTTGAACTTGAATTAGCTTAATGTAATTTTTATTTTAATTTCATAAATTTAAAATTTTTAATTTTTTGAAAAGGCGATTTAAATTAGCTGCTTAAAGGATAAGAATAAAATGGATAATTAAATGAGGAAGATAAAATGATAATTGCAAAATAGTTGATTGAAGTTATAAATTATGTTCATAACTTCAATATTATTTTGAGAGATATAAAACCTAGTAAAATTGGATTAAAATTGAGTGATAGCAATTAGATATCAATAAAACTATGTAAACTCTTTAGATTTATATTCATTTATTCAATCAATCATTGATATACATTCAACCTTTCTCATAATTTTATTAATAATAACTTTAATAATTTTTAAATTGAGAGTTACTTAATATTTTAATAATATTTTTGAAATTTAAGTTATCTCTTACTGGACTATAAGATTAAAAGATGGATCAAATGCTATAAAAACAAAATAAGTAAGTATATATATATATATGCTTTTGAAAAATCAGAGTATCATTAAATAAAAAAATTTTATTTATTTTAATAGCCAGTAGGAGCATTGGTGTTTTCAGCCCCTGAAAACAATAAAGAAAATTAAGATGATTTTGTTTATTCTAAAGAAGTAAAAAAAAAATATTACACCAAATTAAAGTTTTAATGATTATCTTATTTGTTATAAAAAGTCAGATATATTCTCTCTTGGAGCCACTTTATGTGTGTTAGACAATTATGAGATTTTAAAAAATAAACTTCGATAATTAGTTTTATCATCGTTAGAACCTCATTTCAAATAACCTTTTGAAAAATTATAAATAAACAGATAGTCTTAGATATATAAATTCATAGAATAATTTTGCAAATATGAAATAAAATAGAGAAAGCCTCTATAAAGTATCATAGATTAAAATCAAAAAGAGTTATTATCAAATAAGGAGCAAATATAAAAAGATTTGTAAAAAAAATAACTGTTTCTATATAATTCTGGATGTAAACTACTATAAAGCATTACATAATATGGCTTAGAAGTTGAATTAAATTATGGGTAAATTCACAAAATTAAAATAAACTAATTAATTTCCATATACTTTAACAAAATATTTTTTTAAAAGACAAGACTGCAAAGAATTTTTTTCTCTACATGAAGATGAAAAATCTAACGGATAAGTTAATATATTATCTAATAAAGAAATTAATGATAAGATTAAGAGGCACTGCGAAATAATGAATCCTCACATATCTAAATTTGAATAGGAAGATATTAGCTTTACATATGATTACTTCCTCTATTATAAAACTGTCCATTAAGATTCTAAAAAGGTGGAATTGCTGGAGTAATAAACGCAACAAATAATAAATACAATTTATAAAAAAGTAAACTCTCTTGATCTAACCAAACCTATCTAACAATAAAAACCTGAAGATTAGTTCAATATTTTAAAGGGAGTTTTATTTACTTACTTTAGAAATGCAGGTCATTAAGTTTAACTAAGTAATGAACAAGGCAGTGAAGAAGATTTGGTTAGCTTCTATTAATCCCTTACTTTTTTGACAGGCTAATTAAACAATTCTTAATATTATGAATTGACTATTCCAGATACTGATGAATTAAATTATGAAAATATTACATCCGATTACACTTATTTAAAATAATTTATTTAAAAATTTATAACTGCAGCTTCTAAAGCTTATTAAGTACCAGAGACAAGTATACAAATACTAAATATAAAAAAGGGATCAGTTAAACTTCATTACTTTATCCAACAAAGTGTAAATATTTCCTATGATTAAATTTTATAATAACTTTAAAAAATATTTTAAAACCTTACAATTGAATTAAAATCTAATATATCTAACACTGTAATTAAAGATTCATATTTTAATTCTGAATTCAATTTTTATTGGGATAAAAGACATGAAAAAATCAAAGATTATCGAGGTTCTTTAACTAAAAAAAATAAAAAAGAAGATCCAAAAATATATTATTTTCCATTGGACTATTTAGGTTTTGCTATTAATGTATAGAAATTTATTTAAGATAACTCTGAATGGTTGAGTAAGGGACCAAAAGCATGGATTGTCCTCTATCATGGAACAGATCTCAAAGGATATTAATGTATTCCTGAATCATATATCAAACCTGGCAATAGAAATGCTTATGGAAATTATAAATGTAGGTTAACAGGCGAATTTATTAAAGAAGGAAGCTAGGCTAATACTTATCTATCAGACCTAGCTACTTTAGGTAAATATAAGGCAACTTTTAAAGACACAGCAGAAAATTACTGCACACCAATTGAGTTTTGTAATAAATAATATAAATTGATATTTTAATGCAGAGTAAATCCAAAATATGTAAAGAGTCCTAAAGATAGAGTACACTATTTTACTGTTGAAGCTTAGTATGCATAGGAAAATATAAGACCTTACAGAATTTTATTGAAAGAACATATATAATGAAATAGGGGGTCTAGTGCACTTGTGATTATTTTATAAAAAATTTTTTTAAAAATTAATTTAATTTAAAACTAACTAAACTTTTAGTCTGCAAAATTAATTTCTCTTATACGATGCTTGCTATATGTATAATTATTTATAAATATAGAGTAAAAAAGTATTATCTTTTAAAAAAATCTATATTACACTGATATTTACTTAACACTAAATTAGAAATCATTAAGAATTTTAATTAAAAATTAAGAAATAGTAAGGAATTATTTATTTTTTTGAGTTATTTTTTCTTTCTAGTTTGGCTTGTCAATAAATAAATAAATATCTATTCTTACATTTTTTTTTAAAACTCATTTGATATTAAATAAAATTAACTTACAAATAAATGAATATAGCTTATTTTTAATAAAGTAAATTTAAATGATAAAAACAAACAAGTAATCCACAATTTTCAATTAAACTATGATTACATATAAACATATAAAATGGATGTTTAAAAACTAAATTATATGATAATATATAATAAATATGTGAAATATACAATTAATAATTATATATTATAGATTTTGTTGGATTTAATCAGTTTATTATTTCATAATTTAATTTATTTAATGGTCTTTTGATTAGCTTTTAGATTTTAAAAAAAGATAAATATTAATTAATTATTTTTAAATTACCAACAAAGGAAATATTTTATTTTAACAATTCTAAACAAATCAAACGATTGTTAAATAAACCATTTGTACATGTAAACATATAGATAAAAAAGGATGCTTAGAAAGAAAATAATGTATATCATAAAATATAACAAATATTGCTAATTCAGGTATTAAAATATGATGAACCGAACAGGATTATATGTTTATACCTAGTTTAAGTTTAATTGAAAATGAAAAAATATTTATGAAAAATTTAGTAGAGGCAATAAATAATCAAAAAAATATATAAATAGAGCATAATATTTATATATTATATAAAGTGTTCTAGCATTGCTAAATACCATTCTAAAATCTAGTGAAGCTTATTTTTAAGAAAGGTCTTTATTCCCAAAAATTTGAAAAAATATTGAATATTGTATTTGAACACCTTTTATACTAAATATCAATATATTATATTAAATTTTTGAAATTTATTGATTATAATGCTATTTAGTTGATCATATAATAATACTTAGATAAGTAATATGTGAAATATGAAGTTAATAATTCAATATTACAGATTTTATTGGATTTAATCAGTTTGTTGTTACATAATTTAAATTATTTATTGATTTTTTGATTTTATTTTAGATTAAAAAAAGAGAAATATAAATTATTTTTAAATTAGCGGCAAAAGAAATCTTAGTTCTAAAAATATAAAACAAAACAAACAATTATTTAATTAAATCATAAATAATATTTTTTCTAAAAAATAACATAGAGATATACTCTCAATAAGTATAAAATATCAAATAATAAATAAGATGGACTCTCAAAAAGAAAGATCAAATTAGCAATATCCATAACATAAGAATCAATAAGAGAGAAATGTATCTTAATAAAATAAAGATTCTCCTGATGGATCTTATCCTGAAACTCCTGGCTAAGAGAATTCTAATGATAATGAAAAAGAAGACTAGAAAAATTCTTTACTTGAAAGTCAAGTAAAGAGAATAAGATCTCAATAAAATAACGATAGTTATCATGAAACTCCTGGTTAAGAGAATTCTAATAATAATGAGAAAGAGAATTCTAGAAAATAGTAATTAATGTAAAATAATTCTCCTGAAAGAAGATTTGAAGATGATCAAACTCCTAATGAAAATAACAGTTAAATATCTAATTTTATTCCAGTAAACAGAGATTATAAACAACTTTAAGAATAAGAGTAGTTCCATGATTTGTTTAGAAGTGGGCTTTTATAAAAGCTACTTTTAAAGCTTAAAGTAAATTAGAAATACGAGTCATTTTAATTTATAGGCTCTGGAACTTTTTCAATGGTCTATTCTGCAAGAAAAATAAAAAATAACCAAAATATAGCTCTTAGAATATAAGAAGTTAAGGATTAGGTTTATTTTAATAATTATATTTCAATTTACAAGTAGATTCAAATGCCTCTTGTAATTGAGTTATATGATGTGTATTACATAGATATAGAAATTCATAAATTTGCTATATTTGAACTTGAATTAGTTGATTGTAATTTTTTATTTTCACTTCATAAATTTAAAATTAAAAATAATTTGAAAAGGCGATTTAATGTAGCTGCTTGAGGGATAAGAATAGTATGGGTAATTAAATGATGAAAATAAAATGAGCATTGCAAAATAGTTGATTGATGCTATAAATTATCTTCATAACTTCAATATTATTAACAGAGATATAAAACCTAGTAATATTGGATTAAAATTTAATCGTAGCAATTAGATATAAATCAAACTATGTAAACACTTTTTCCATTTAAAAACAAATTTATATTCATTCCTTCATTCAATCATCGATAGATAGATACCCACTCTTTCACATAATTTCATGAAAAAGAATTTTTAAATTGAAAGATAATATTTTAATAATATTTTTTAAATTTTAGTTATTCCTTACCCGATTATAAGATTAAAAAATGGCTCAGATGTTTACAATACAAATTAAGTAAATAAATATATTTATATATATGAATATGCTTTTGAAAAAGCAGAGTATCATAAAATAAAAAAATTTTATTTATTTTTATAGTTGGTAGGGACTATGTTGTTTAGCGCTCCCGAAAATATGGTAGAACCATATGATCGTTTTGTTTATTCTAAAGAAGTAAATAAAAATATTACACCAAATTAAAATTTAAATGACTATCTTATTTATTCTAAAAAGTCAGACATATTCTCTCTTGGAGCGACTTTATGTATGTTAGACAATTTTAAGAGTTATAATTCTGAAGAATTTGGAAAATATTTAACAATGATAAAATCTTATTTCTAGTAGCCTTTTGAGAAATTCTAAATAAACAGATAGTCTTAGATATATTAATTCATAGAATAATTTTGCCAATATGAAATCGACTAGAGAATACCTCTATTTTGTATCGTAGATTAAAATCCAAATGATTTTTTATCAAATGAGTAGGAAATAAAAAAAGCTAAGTATAAAAAATAACTGGTTCTACTTAATTTTTGATACCAACTACTATAAAACATTACATAAAATGGCTCATAAGTTGAATTAAATTATGGGTAAATTCAAAAAATAAATCAAAATAAACTAATTAACATACATTTACTTTTAACTAACAAAATTTTTTTTTAAGACAAGATTGCTAGGAATTTTTTACTTTACAAAACGAAGAAAAATAATAAGAAGAATAAAAATCTAATGGATAAGATAATACATATGTATTATCTAAGAAAGAACTTAAAGATAAGATTGAGAGGCACTGTAAAATATTGAATCCCCACATCTCTAAATTAGAATAGGAAGACATTAACTTTACTCATGATTACTTCCTCTTTTATAATACTGTCCACTAAGATTCTGAAAAAATTTAACTGCTGGAGTAGTAAACAGAAAAAGTCATAAATAATATAACTGAAAAAGTAAAAACTCTTGATCTAACCAAACCTATATAAGAATAAAAACCTGAAGATAAGTCCAGCATTTTAAAGGGAGTTTTATTTACTTACTTTAGAAATGAAGGTCATTAAGTTTAACTAAGTGAAGGAAAAGGTAGTGAAGAAGACTTGGTAAGCTTTAATTAATCCCTTTCTTTTTTGACAGGTTAATTAAACAATTCTTAATATTATGAATTGAGCATTCCAGATACTGATGAACTTACTTATGAAACTATTACATCAGATGAAAATAATTTGAAATAGTTTATTTAAAAATTTATAACCGCAACCTCTTAAGCTTACTAAGTACCAGAGACAAGTATACAAATACTAAATATAAAAAAGGGATCAGTTAAAGTTCATTACTTCATCAAAGAGAGATTAAATGCTTGTGTAGATAAAATTAAATCAATGCTCTCAGAAACATTTAAAAATATTTCAATTGCTCTAAAATCTTTACTATCTAATACTGTAATTAAAGATTCATATTTTGATTCGAAATTTAATTATTATTGGGATGAAGGTCATTAAAAAATCAGAGCTTATAGAGGTTCTTTAACTTAAATTGATAAAAAACAAGAACAGAAATTATATTATTTTCCATTGGAATATTTTGGTTTTGCTATTAATGTTTAGAAGATTATTAAAGACAACCCTCAATTGTTATAAAAGGGACCAGATGCTTGGATTGTACTCTATCATGGAACAAATCTCTTAGGATATTAAGGTATTACTGAATCATATATCAAACCTGGCACTGAAAATTTTTATGGAGATAAAAATTTTAAATGCAGGCTAACAGGCGAACCTATAAAAGGAGGAGAAAGAGCTAATACTTATCTATCAGACCTAGCTACTTTAGGTAAATATAATGCAACTTTTAGAGACACAGCAGAATATTACAGCCAAAAAAAACCAATTGAGTTTTGTGGTAAAAAGTATTTATTGATGTTTTAATGCAGAGTAAATCCAAAATATGTAAAGAGTCCTGAAAAGAAAAGCCATTTTTTTACTGTTGAAGCTTAGTATGCAAAGGAAAACATAGTACCTTACAGAGTTTTAGTGAAATAAGTTTAATACTGATCCTTAAATGATAAATGAATTAATTTAGTGAAATTTTTATTAAAAATATGTGAGTATTATTTTTTCAATTCAATATTCTATTATATTTTTTTAGTAAAACTTAATAAAAAAAGATTTCTAACTTTTAATTTTTACCAAAACAATCTAAAATTTTATATTAAAATTGGTAGATATATATATATATATTATCAAGATTATTTATTTTTCTAAAAATCATAATTTAGGATAGAGAAGAAATACTATTTAAATTAAAAGAAAACACTTCTATAAATTTTATTATCCTATCTCCAAATATAAAAAATCAATCAATTAATCAAACAAATTACTTCAGTTAAGATCTAAAGTATTATTTAAATATTCTTATTAGATCTCTTCCTCACTCAAGTCAGTTATTATTTAATTGAAATATATTATTTATATTTATTTATTTATTTCTTTTTTCATTTTTTGAGAAAAAAATTTATTAAATTTTAAAAGCAAGAAAAATAAATTTTAGGTATCTATCTTATTAAATAAAACAAAGTAAAAATTTCTAAAGCTTAAAAAAGAAAGAAATAAATAATATAATTTTGAAACAATATGAAAAATAAATGAAATATAATAATTTTATTGGTCAATATATTTTTTTAAATAAAGACCTTCTTTAAGTAAAATTAGATTTTTAAATTCCTTCAATCCATTTTTTCATGAAATAATTGTGCTTTTTCTTAATCTACTCCATAATGACTGATAAATTGTACTCTGGGAAATATAATTTATATTCTTTGCATCTTTCAAAGTTAGTTAGGGAAATTTCAAAGTCTTAATTGTTTACAATTGTGCTATTTAACCTATTAAAATTTCTTTTTTTCTTTTTTTTTCTACGAGAAATACTTAAGTTGGACATCGATTAGCTCTATTTATTCATAATATCAAGTACTCCTTTTTAAAAGGTTGAAATATAATTTAATATGCTCATGATTTAATTTTATTAATCGTTTATCATTTATGACTATGGTTATATCTAATGTTGTGATTTATTTTCTAAATCTGATTTTTACTCAGTTATATTTAGATTTGAATTATGTTTTCCATCTTGCTGTTATTAATTGCTTTTATCACAACTTTGTCTCCTTTTTTATAATTTCAAAATAAATTTTAAACTTAATTAAATAAATAAATAATGTTTAAAGTATGATTTACCTTGACAAATTTTTTTCTGAAATGGTGTCTCTCATTTTATATGAGTTCTTCTGTATGGTTTTTTATGAATCTCTCTTTTACCTATCTTCGTTTTGATGTTCTAGAGAAATTTTTTTGTTTGAGCTTTACTTAAACAATTCTTCAATAGTTGTTTAAGAAATCTACTAACTTTCTCTTAGCTTTATAGAATTTAATCTTTACTTTTTGATAGAAATCTAAGTACTCTTTAAATCATCATCTTTACAACCTATGCTCTGAAGGTCATAATAACTGTTATTTTCCTTTTAAGATTATTCATAATATTCACTATCTCCCAAATCATCCTCATCTTCTTCTTCCTCTTCTTCTTCATCTTCATAGTCAATATAGTCACATACATCATATCTAGATTCTCTGACTTACTAATCTTACTCATCATCATTCCATCTTACCTTAATCTTTATAGGAAGTCTTTGCATGAATACTTTATCCGTCCATAAAAGTATATGCTCAGTCCATTTTTGATCTTAAAAAGAGCTTAAATTTTTCTTTTAATCATCGTCTAAATTGTCAAGTCTATATTTTTTAAACATCACTCTTATCTTATGAAGCTCTGAAAGACAGCAAATCTTAGTAAGTAAGTAATTGAAAAAAAATAAATTAACATTTTAAATGCAAAATGTATAAAAATAGTAATAATAAATAAATAATTTGAAATCATACTTTTGATTTAAATCTTTATTTATGAACCTTTTATCTTTTTTGATCCATGCTAAAGGCATGTCTGTTTACGACAATGTCTCTTTGGGGCTAAAACGTAACTGAGGGACATTATGAAAGGGTATGGTTGAATTACTGGCAAGATTAGCATTGCTCATAGGAAAAGAAAGGATTCGTAAGTTTCTGTTGAATTAAATCTTTTATCATGAAGTACTTTTCCTATTTGTTTTTGATTTTATTTGAATTTTAATTAAGCAAATTTTTTTTTCTTCATTTTAAAAATAAAATTACAAAATCTTGTTGAAACTAACAGAGGAGGTTTTTAAAATCATTAAAATCTATATAAATCAATGTACACATATTTTAGCTCTTAAGAGTTGCTTCGTAGTTTTGTTAGGCAATAAATCGTTCTATGGATATTATTTAACCGCTCTATAAAATAAATAAATAAATAAAAAAACAAACAAATGTGATTACTTTAATTTAACTTCAATAATAAATTTTTACTTAAAAACTAGATATTTATTAATCAGTGTCTCCTTCAAAAACATATTCAATAACTCCTTTGAAAATCATATATATTCTTTATATTTACTCTCCTCTTTTATGAAGAATCTAATTTGGATATAAACTTTTTAGAATGTTTAAAAAATGATTTAAAATTCTGATTTATATCTATCTGTTTTTAGTTTTACATCATTTCTTTCATATGAAGACTTAGCTTAAACAAAAATTGCTGTGAAAAAATCCTCTTCATGATTACATGATTTTAAATATACTTCAGATATATGTCTTTTTTAACCTCATTTCTCAAACCTTCTCCAAGTTTACTTATAAGATGTTCTCCTTTTTAAGAGCTTTCTTAATAATTAATATATTCAAGCTATTTAGCCACTTGAGTTTGAATGTGGTTAGATACACCTCTTAACTTTAAATACTTAAAAATTTCAAGCTGCTGGTTGCTTTTTAGTTACAAAAAAATATATTTATTAGTTAATAATTTAGTAGATTAATCGAAGAAATAAATAAAAATTGATTGATTGATTACATAACAACCATATTTTCTTGTTCCTTAATTCTGAATATTTCACTCATAACATTTATGTAATATCCAAATAGACCACAATTAAATACCATTATAATCATCACAAAAGTTTTTTCAATCAAATTTACAGGAGTTATGTCACCATATCCTACTGTTATCATTGTTACTATAGAAAAATATAAGCTATTTATATATATATTTCCCCAACTTTATCCTTACAAACTTTATTTTGCAATCCAATTGTTATTTTAGTCAGTGTTACTTCCAATCCATATAAAACCACAAGCAAAAAAGTGGGCAGAAAGCAGAAGAATTCCTAACATTTTAGCTAATCTAAAGCTAGGAAATCTCTACCTATTTATTATTTTTAATTTAAATTTTTAAAAAATAAATTATTTCATTAAATTGATATTCTAAATCAATAAAAATTTAATTAAAAGCAAGTTAAAAATATTATTTCAAAGATAAGTTTAATTATATTTATGAAGAAGTTCAATCATATTTGTATTTATAATTTTTTTATACGTTTTGAAAGTTAAATAAAAAAAAGGTTGCTATTACTTTATTTGGTAGTTAGAATCTAAGATAGAAAGAAATACAAAAAATTAAGTCACTCTAAAAACAATAAGTAAAAATAAAATAAATGAATGTTATCCTTGAGAGCATAGTAGGAATATTGCAGTTGTAAGATCTAAGGGCAGCTGAAAAGACGCATATTGCTTAAAGATAGTAAATTTATCAAATACAATTATTCCTTCTTAATAAATTGCTGTATTTAAGCTGGCTATCAAGTAAAATATAAATATAAAGAAAGAGAGTATATTAAAATAACTTGATACTTCTAGTTCATAAATTTAATCTTCAAACAACATTTGAATTGGGAGCCACCAGCATTAACATATAATTACAGCCAACTATAGCAGTTTAACAACTATGGTAAATGTGTTTTCTGGACGAAAGGTATCAATAGAAAATTTCTAAAATATTTTGAGTAAGTTTTCAAACTTTCTTAAATATTTATTTTTTTACTTTTTCTTTGAATTTACCTAAGAAGCCTTATCATTAATTAAGTAGAAAAACTTCTCGCTTAAGTATTTCAAGCTCTTTTTCAAAACCTTTTAACAAAATAAATAACTTAAATTTTAAAAGAAAATAAAATTTTTGATTACATTTTACTTCATTTTTCTATAAAATTTTAGGATGAAAACTAGTCTCTTGAGAAAATTTGGTTTATAATATATTTTATCTTTAAAGAGGCAGTTACTCAATATATTTTATTTGATTTATTTTATAGATTATTTAAGTAAAATGCTATTATTTTCTATTTAGTGTTGGAATTCTTTAGATAGGTAGGAGCTATGCCTTTTAGAATTAGAAGGACTTAGTAGTGAGTGTGCTGCTAATAAATCTTTCAAAAACAAACTATTTTTTTAAAAGCATACCAAAGATGAATAATATAATATTACGTGGATTAATGGATAAGATGTTTTTTTAATTTTGTTGATTCCGCTATTGTTTGTTTTCTGATTCAGAAGAGGAAGAGGAGGACTATGAAGATGAAGAACTATCAGAAGAAGATTCTGATGTCACTTCTTATTTTTAACTTGGTTCATGAATTTTGATTTGCAAATCTTATTTATTTGTTAATGATTAAAGAGCCTATTAATTATTATTTTATAAAGAAGACTCTAAGTTTTGCATACTTTGCAACGAGTCATTGCATTCTGTAGTATTTTAAGGATCTTTTTAGTCCATATGCACTAAATTTATATTTGAAGATCTATATTTTGCTCCTATGAGCAAAGAAGAGTCATTTTCTGTCTTTAAATAAGATGATTATAGATCTTATTAATTTATCATCTCCTTTTGTTGAGATACTTCTACTTATTTATTAACTTAAGCAAATATATGAATTAATAATTATTGAACTCTAACTTTATACTTCCTCTAACTTAAAACTTTAAGATTATTTTACTAATTAATAAAAAAACAGTAATTTTAAGAGTTAAAAATTAAATTATTCATCTATCTATCTATCTACTTATCTATTTATCAAAATATTTATCTGCTTTGTAATAATCTAACTATTTAACATTTTTATTAAGTTTTGTTTAATCAATTATAAAGATTTAAATTTAAATACAAGTAAATTTTATTATATATTATTTAAATTAAAATTAATTGCTTCACACTAAATTAATTGATTCAAAAAATATTTATATAATATTAATTAATACATTTTTAGAACTTCTTTAATTAAGCTCAATAAAAGTTATTTAGATTAATAAAATGAAAAACCTTGTATTAATTACGATTATAAAAAGAAATATCCTGCAATAACTTAAAAAAAATATAATTTTATTGATTATAAAAATCATTTTAGAGGAGATTTTATTCTTTTATCTCTTTCATAAACAAAAATATAAAATAAAAAAAAATGTAGAATTTATTAAAGTAATTGGTTCAATACATTTATATATTATTTTTTATTTTTTTAGTACTTATGGACGTACACTCAATAAAAGTTTTTGAGATAAATTAAATTTAAAAAATTAGATTACTTACTTACTATTATAATTAGAAATATCCAGTAATAAGTTATAAAAAAATATAATTTTATTGATTATAAAAATTAATAAGAGAGAAGAACATACATGTTCTACAATCTATTTCACTCAAGTTATTTGACATCTAGCACTTGATTATAAATAGTTTAATTTAATTTATTTGGTAATCCTCTGCTACCTATTTATTGTTTAAAGTTATTCATTAAATTAAATATTTATTTTATATTTTATTAAATAAAAGTATTTTGCTATTTAATTGACTGCTTTTATTATTTTTGCAAGAAAATTATTGCAAAAATTTTTGTAGATACTTAAATAACTAAACTGCTTCTAATTCTTCTTTTGTTAGAATAAATATCATCGCCTTTTTCAGGAGTATTATGTTTGTTTTTGTAAAATTTCAAAAAATATAAACTATTATCTACATCTCATTTAAGGAAGTTAAAAAATGTTATAATAGAACTTTATACTCTAAGTATTACAACTAGGCTTAAATTTTAAACTACAAGTAATTCTTCTTCTTAATAGGTAAAAAACTTGAATAAAACAATTTAGGAGTAATAATAATAATTAATCATAGCTTTTATTTTTAATTTTTTTTAGAATAAATAATTAAATATAAAATATGGAAAATTAATTAATAAACACATATTGCAAATAGATTAAGTTAAAATTAAATTTTTAATATCACAATTTATCATTAAAAAATTTATTTTGAAAAAGACTTTATTTTTTAAATGATAAATTTTGTTTGTTCAAGTTTTAATGTTTAAATTTATTTAAAACTTATAAATCATATAATTTTAATGAAAAATTAATTATTAATATATAAAGTAATGTATGCATGTATATTTAAGAATTTCAAATACAAAAACATTTAATTACTTAAAATTTATGATATTTATTTTATAAGTTTTATATTTTATATTAAATTATTGGATTTTTTATTTTCAATAATTTGTTATGTTCTTAATTATAAAATTATAACTTTTTCTAAATTAAGGGATGTGAGTTTTTTTAATCGTATAGAATGCCTATGCGCATAAAAATGCAAGCAACATAATGGTGCTATTTATTGTGTTGCTATTAAAGAATTAAATTAAGCACATTGGCAGCATGAAAATGAAATTGAAACTGTAAATTAAAGCATAAAAGCAGTTAAGATAATGATATGATATTGTTTGCCTCAAATCTAATGTCCTAAATATATCTCGTAAATTCATAGGGACATTGCAGAAGGTGGCATATCTTAAAATGTAGATATTCTCACACCCAGATTATTTTTCACTTAAAGCAACAGCTATAAATAACAGTGTTAGTCCATGGTGAATAAATAGCCACCAGTTAAGCTATTTTTTAATGAATTTAGCCACAATATCAAATCCAAAGTAAGAGCAGGTAAGAACATGGAAATACATCTAAATCTCAGTTAATTCATTTCCAAATACTTTAAATTATACATCTTTATCCAACTCAATAGAAACAATCAGTTAGAAATAGATAAAAGCAAATAGCCAGTGCACCATTGATAAGATAGAAAAAGCTATTTGAGAGCACATGTATTTACACAATTATCTAAAAGCTTGTATCCAAAATATTACTAGTAAAGTGAATAGTACGAAAGCCATTTTTTTTATTTCTTGTATTTTTTTTAATTTTCTAATAAAATGCCAATTTTATTTGTTTTAATTCAAATTATAAATTTATAAATTTTGTGTTTGGTATTTAAACTAAAATGTTAATCTGCTTTTTTTTGTATGTATGTTCAGAATGAATACATATTAGGAATAAGAAATAAATGTTTTTTGGGTTTTCAAATAAAAAAAATACTTTTTTTCTGGATAAAGCTATTAAAAATGCAGATAAAAGTATGATCTTAGAATATTTAATAATTCAAAAATAAAATTATCTTAGAGAATTTACCCATAATTTTTTAATAGATATATTCTACTTTAGATGATTGAATCAATTATTTGCTTCATTAAATAAACTTAAGCTAATATTTTTAAATAAAATAATTTTGGTTTGCTCTTAAATAAAAAAATAAATAGATAAATCAAGAAAAATTAATTAAGAAATTTATTAGTTTTGTTTGTTTTTTAATTTAGTTAGATTTAATCAGGATAAATATTAACTTAATATAAAAAGTATTTTAATTAAATAAAAATGTTTTTTATTAAAATAAAGTATTTTTAAATAGACAAAATCAAATAAAAGTATTTCTCATAAAATTATTATTTTATTTAGAAAAAAATATTAATAAAAATAATTAGATTAATATATAATTCCTGGTTTTAAGATTCAATAAAAGTATTTTTTTTATATCTTAAAAAAAGTATGTATTTTATTTAGTAATTTTTTGATTTTCTTTTTTTAAAAACCTCTCAAATATTTGAGCCCATTATACTCTAGCTAGTATTAAAATTTAGATTATTTCTAGCATTAATTTAACAAATTTATATTTAATTTGAATCAGATTTTAATCAAAATAATAGAAATTAAGCTTTTAATTAAAAATAATTCTTCAATTTAAAGTGCGAAAAAAAGTTATTTGATTTTCATAGATGATTAATTTGAAAATTTAAAGGAGTAGTAATTAAAGAAACAAAGAAATCTATAAATATTTCCATAATAATTACTTAATTAAATGGTTAAATCTCTACTGGAGAAATATTAGGAATTTTTAGTTAGTAATTCCTGCCCTACTAAAAAATGCTTCTATTTTGCTTTAATGCTCCATAACGTCAATGCATAAATTATTAAGGATTTCAATTAAAGCAATTTTTTACTTCTACTTATGTTTATAGTTGCTAAATATGGCAAATATTAAAATGAAAATTAATAATGATATAAAGTAATATGTGGATTTACGCCCACTTATAAAAAATGAAAAAATTTTGATCCTTCAGATTCCAATTTTTTTTAAAAATTAAAAGGTTCTTTTTATTTTTAATAAAATTATCAATCAGATAAATTTTCATATATAAACAAAAAAGCACGAAGAATAGATACTGTTCAATTTTTAAATAAAAACTTATTGAAATTCAGATGGCATGATTGATGTATCCAGTCAGCATAAATTCCAGGATTAGCTATAAATAAATTCTAACTGCTATTAGTATTCTATTATGCTTTTATTTAATATTTTATTTAAAATGAATACTCCTCTTTGAAAGATAATGATGCTTGCTCTTGACGTGAAATACCAAAATTGTCTTAAAATTTATTTAGTGTTTATCTATCTAAGACAGCTCTGAAATAAGTTGTTGTCTTATTATTTATTATTTACAATTATTGCATATTATATCAATAAAAAACTATAAACTAATTAATAGAGGATGACCACACTTTATTTTAAGAGATAAATTTTACATAAAATATAATATTATTGGACATTTTCTTAGGGAAACATTACTATATATATAATAGTTTATTAAATTAATCAAGCCAGTACATGTTTATTTTTATGATCTATTAGCCAAACCAACTTAAAATTAATAAAATTTTATGAGATTGATTAGATTAAAAATATTTGATTACTTTATGAAATACAAGAACATTTAATGACAACAAAGCATAATATATATATAATATTATCGTATATAAAAAAATATCAAATTATAGAAGAATATATTCTTTAATCTATTTCACTCAAGTTTTCTTGTCCCTAGCACTTTTGTAAAAATAACTTAATTTAGTTTATTTGGTAATCCTCTGATAATGAAACTGCTATCTATTCTTCAAAGTGATTCATGCTAGATTCATCTAATTAAATTAATTTTTGTTGTGAATAAAATAAAATTAAATTAATTAGATGTTTTAAATTACTTAGAGTTTATTATTCTTAACTACAAAATTATTGCAAGAATTCATCTGAACACTTAACTAACTAAAGAGCAGCCATTTGGTCTTTTGTTAGAATCATCATCATCGCCTTTTTCACGAGTATTAAGTCTTTGAAAAATTTCAAAAAGTCTAAACTGTTATCTACCTAGTTGTTTAAGCAATTTAAAATCTATGGATCAAGACCTTTAGACTTTAAATATTCTTTCTTGTTCAAAAGTCTATTTATTAATTTATATAAAATATTAATAATATTTTTGTTAAATTATTATCTTAATAAAAAAGTAAAATAAAATTTATTTTATGGATGATTGATTTTTTGGAGTAGAATAAAATTAAAAAGGTATTTAAAAATATGTTTGCGTAATTAAACAAACAAGTAACTACTGAGCTAATTTATGAATGTATGTAAATTTATTAAATTAGAGAGATATAAGAAACTTTCTTATCAAATAAAAAGTCAAAAAATAATGCAATTTACTTAAACTTAAATAAAACATCTTCTAATTTTTTGGCTGTTGTTTAGCTCTAAACGAATTTGAGGTTAGCTTCAATCTTCTTCAAATCTAAATGCGCTTTATTTAATTTTTTCTATTATTAGGATAGTTTATCATTTTGGATTGTTTTTTTTTTGATATTTTAAACCCCTAATGCTTAGTTAAAAATAAAATTTTACTTGCTCTACTTTATATTTAAATTTGCGATTGGAGAATTCGTATTTTAAACTTAATAAAGTGATTATTTATCTTATTATTGTTTATTTTCTAAATTTATCATTGGCTCTGATCTGTCTGAATTCATTTCAAAGGTATTTATCTATTCACTTTGATCTTAGCAACATTAATTTTTCAAATTTGGTTAATGTTCGTTTTAATAAAGAAATTTATCCTTTTGAAATTATTAGTTTTTTAAAAAAATGTCATCTTCTTCCTTAATTTCATCTTTTTAGGAAGGATTAATATTGTTCTAATAATCCCTAAGTGTGCTTAAAACTGACTCTCTTGAATTAATTCTAATAGAGCGAACTTAAATTGGACTCTGATTGTCCTCACTTTCGATTATCTCTTTGCTTTCTGTCAATTCAATTAGTTTATTTTCTTCATTTGACTAATACAACTAATTGACTTTTAATATTTTTTCTAAAGTTCCTAAATAATAACTTTGCAAAATTGTAATTAATAAACTCTACTTTATTAATTTATTGGCCATATACTTACCTAAAATACCTAAACACATCAAAAGAGATAAAGTACTATTACATAATGCTAAAACTTCAGGAAATGTAGGGAATTAAATTTGAATGTATTAAGCAGATTCATCAACTAATAACGTAAACTGCATAAAGTGTTTTCTATTGGTCATTTGTACAAAAGTTTTGTAATCTAAATATTAAGTTGAAGCAGTAATAGAAATAGGAGCAGAGTAAATATTTTATGATTATACAAGCAAACCATCATTGACTAAAGTTGTTTACTTCTACACCTACATACCTACAAGTTAAATCTATGCCCCTGACATAAATGTGAAAATATTTTTATAATTAACTTGATTTTCCTTTGAAGTTATATTGTATTGCTAAGTCAATAGCTTAAATCTAAAGGAGTTGTTTAAATTATTAATATATTTTTCAATATCAATAGGATTAGCACAATTTTTAGGAGCTTTAGGCTTGAATACATCTGTGTCTTAGCATCTATAAACTAACAGGGTTAAAGTAGATAGAATATTGTTTTTGTTACCTATTTTTATTGAAGCAAACTCTGGGTTTTTAGAGAAATCTAAGCAGTAAAACCCCTTTAGAGATGGATCTTAACATTTTATTATATCAATTTGGGTAGGGATGTAATCAGTGCTGTTTCTGTAAGAGCGTACAGCTGTGAAAGTTAGGTATGTCTATCCTGATTTATCTTATATTTAATCTAAGGTGATTTTGGTATTAATATCTTACACTTAGAAGGCAATATTATTGTTCTTTAATGGAATTTCTACATCCTCATCTGTAACAAAGGTCTATGATCGAAATTTTGGATCCATTTAATTAGAAAAGTAAAGAAGAGTTAAATAAATGAAATAGAGGAGAGTTATCAATATTATAGTGATTGATAAAAATGCTCCTACAAATGTTCTCTTCTTCAAACTTTGCTTCGATGAGTTGAATTAAAATGGCTAAGAAAAGATATCTAAATTTTTAATGTATTTACTTATCATTTCTTAAAAGTTAGTTGTAATTTTTTTACTAATAATTCAAACAAACAATTTACCAACAATTACTTTTTTTGGGAATTTTGTTAAAATTTAAATGATATAATTTATTTGGAAATCAAAAAACTTCTATTTAAACTTTATATCATTTATTTAATGTGTAAATTCAAATAGCATAGAAAAAAAACTTTGTTTTCAATTGTAACTAGCAAAAGCAGTTATTTTATTTAATTTAAAAAACAGAGAGATTAGATTGGTTAACTGATTTCGATTTTATTTTCATTATAGCAAATTTAAACATAATTTATTTATTTAGTTATCACAATAACAAAAACTTTTTAAAAATTTCAATTATTTTTAGCAAAAATGAAAGAAAACAATAGTTATTTAATATTTAATTAAATTCAAACTTCACTCCTACATAACTAATTTTTGGTAATTAAATAAATAAGCTTAAATTAATTTGAGACTATAAGAAATTCTTTATAATGTCAATCTATTTTAAATAAAACATTTTTTGAGTAAAAATTATAACTAATCTTAAATGATATTATTATTGAAACTTATTACAAAATATATTATTTATTTAAATATTTTATGAATAAAATTAATTAACTCCATACATAAAAATTACAGATTAAATTTAATATCATAATTTTTTGATAAAAAACAAATAATGTAAAGGGAAAATATTTTTTATGATCTATTTATTCAAATTTTAATATTTTAAGTTATTTAAAATATATGAATCTAATTTGATTAGGTTTGAAAAATTATTTATTAATAAGAATTTCAAATATAAAAACATTTAATTGCTTTAAGTTTATAATATTTATTTATTTTGTTTATATTTATTTAATCTCGTTTGATTGTTTGATTGGGTTTTCAATAGTTTCTTATGTTCTTAATTATAAAATTAGAACTTTTTGTAAATTAAGGGATGTGAGTTTTTTTAATTGTATAGAGTGCCTATGCGCATAAAAATGCAAGCAATATAATGGTGCTATTTATTGTATTGCTATATAAGAATTAAATTAAGCACATTGGCAGCATGAAAATGAAATTGAAACTGTAAATTAAAGCATAAAGGCAGTTAAGATAATGATATGATATTGTTTGCCTCAAATCTAATGCCCTAAATATATCTCGTAAATTCATAGGGACATTACAGAAGGTGGCATATCTTAAAATGTAGATATTCTCACACCCAGATTATTTTTCACTTAAAGCAAAAGCTATAAATAACAGTGTTAGTCCATGGTGAATAAATAGCCACAAGTTAAGCTATTTTTTAATGAATTTCGCCACAATATCAAATCCAAAGTAAGAGCAGGTAAGAACATGGAAATACATCTAAATCTCAGTTAATTCATTTCCAAATACTTTAAATTATACATCTTTATCCAACTCAATAGAAACAATCAGTTATAAATAGATAAAAGCAAATAGCCAGTGCACCATTGATAAGATAGAAAAAGCTATTTGAGAGCACATGTATTTACACAATTATCTAAAAGCTTGTATCCAAAATATTACAAGTAAAGTGAATAGTATGTAAGGGAAAGGCATTTTTTTTATTTCTTGTACTTTTTTTAATTTTCTAATAAAATGTCAATTTTATTTATTTTAATTCAAATTATAAATTTATAAATTTTGTGTTTGGTATTTAAAATAAAATATTAATCTGCTTTCTTCTGTATGTTCAGAATACATATTAAGAATAAAAAATAAATGTTTTTTGGGTTTTCAAATAAAAAAAATACTTTTTTTCTGGATAAAGCTTTTAAAAATGTAGATAAAAGTATTATCTTAGAATATTTAATAATTCAAAAATAAAATTATCTTCGAAAATTTACCCATAATTTTTTTATAGATATATTCTACTTTAGATGATTGAATCAATTATTTGCTTGATTAAACAAACTTAAGCTGATATTTTTAAAAAAAATAATTTTGATATGCTTCAAAAAAATAAATAGATATTAAGATAAATCAAGAAAAATTAAGAAATTTATTTATGTTTAGGAAAGTATTTTAATTTAGTTAGATTTAATCAGGATAGATATTAATTTAATTTAATGAAGAGTATTTTAATTAATTTCAATTCAATTAAACAAAAATGTTATTTATTAAAATAGAATATTTTTAAGTAGACGAACTCAAATAAAAGTATTTCTGATGAATATTATTTTATTTATAAAAGTCTTTTAGAGAAATATTAATAAAAATAATTAGATAGATGCTGTTGTAAGATTAAATAAAAGTATTTTTTATAGATCTTAAAAAAAGTATTTTAGTACTTCCCATTTTCTTTTTACATTTTTTTGATTTTCTTTTTTTAAAAACCTCTCAAATATTAAAGCCCATTTTTCTCTAGCTAGTATTAAAATTTTGATTATTTCTAGTAATAATTTAACAAATTTTTCTTTAATTTGAATCAGATTTTAATCAAAATAATAAATTAAGCTTTTAATTCAAAATAATTCTTCAATTTAAAGCGCGAAAAAAAGTTATTTGATTTTCATATATGATTAATTTGATTTTAAAGGAGTAATAATTAAAGAAACTAACAAACAAACAAACAAACAAACAAACGAAATAACAAAGAAATCTATAAATATTTCCATAATAATTACTTAATTAAATGGCTAAATGCCTATAAGAGAAATATTTGGAATTTCTAGTTAGTAATTCCTGCCCTACTAAAAAATGCTCCTATATTGCTTTAATACCCTATAACATTAATGCATAAATTATTAAGGATTTCAATTAAAGCCATTTGGTTACTTCTACTTGTGTTTAAAGTTGCTAAATATGTAAAATATTAAAATGAAAATTAATAATGATATAAAGTAAAATATGGATTTACACTCACTTTTAAAAAATAATAAAATTTTGATCCTACAGATTCCCAATTTAGATTAAAAATATTTGATTACTATATGAAATACAAGAACATTTAATGACAAAAAAGCATAATATATAATATTTTCGAATATAAAAAAATATCAAATTATAGAAGAATATATTCTTTAATCTATTTCATTCAAGTTTTCTTGTACCTAGCACTTTTGTAAAAATAACTTAATTTAGTTTATTTGGTAATCCTCTGATAATGAAACTGCTATCTATTCTTCAAAGTGATTCATGCTAGATTCATCTAATTGAATTAATTTTTGTTGTAAATATCATAAAATTAAATTAATTAGATGTTTTAAATTACTTAGCGTTTATTATTCTTAACTACAAAACTATTGTAAGAATTCATCTGAACACTTAACTAACTAAAGAGCAGCCATTTGGTCTTTTGTTAGAATCATCATCATCGCCTTTTTCAGGAGTATTAAGTCTTTGAAAAATTTCAAAAAGTCTAAACTGTTATCTACCTAGTCGTTTAAGCAATTTAAAATCTATGGATCAAGACCTTTAGACTTCAAATATTCTTTCTTGTTCAAAAGTCTATTTATTTATTTAAAAAAATATTAATAATATTTTTGTTAAATTATTATCTTAATAATTAATTAATAAAAATGAAAAGTAAATAAATTTAAATTTATTTTTTATGAAGGATTTTTTGGAGTAGAATAAAATTAAAAAAGTTTTTAAAAATATGTTTGCCTAATTAAACAAACAAGAAACTAATGAGCTAATTTAAGAATGTAAGTAAATTTATTAAATTAGAGAGATATAAGAAACTTTCTTATCAAATAAAAAGTCAAAAAATAATGCAATTTACTTAAACTTAAATAAAACATCTTCTAATTTTTTGGCTGTTGTTTAGCTCTAAACGAATTTGAGGTTAGCTAATCTTCTTCAAATCTAAATGCGCTTTATTTAATTTTTTCTATTATTAGGATAGTTTATCATTTTGGATTGTTTTTTTTTTGATATTTTAACCCCCTAATGCTTAGCTAAAAATAAAATTTTACTTGCTCTACTTTATATTTAAATTTGCGATTGGAGATTTCGTATTTTAAACTTAATAAAGTGATTATTTATCTTATTATTGTTTATATTCTAAATTTATCATTGGTTCTGATCTGTCTGAATTCATTTCAATGGTATTTATCTATTCACTTTGATCTTAGCAACATTAATTTTTCAAATTTGGTTAATGTTCGTTTTAATAAAGAAATTTATCCTTTTGAAATTATTAGTTTTTTAAAAAAATGTCATCTTCTTCCTTAATTTCATCTTTTTAGGAAGGATTAATATTGTTCTAATAATCCCTAAGTGTGCTTAAAACTGACTCTCTTGAATTAATTCTAATAGAGCGAACTTAAATTGGACTCTGATTGTCCTCACTTTCGATTATCTCTTTGCTTTCTGTCAATTCAATTAGTTTATTTTCTTCATTTGACTAATACAACTAATTGACTTTTAATATTTTTTCTAAAGTTCCTTAATAATAACTTTGCAAAATTGTAATTAATAAATTCTACTTTATTAATTTATTGGCCATATACTTACCTACAATACCTAAACACATCAAAAGAGATAAAGTACTATTACATAATGCTAAAACTTCAGGAAATGTAGGGAATTAAATTTGAATGTATTAAGCAGATTCATCAACTGTAAACGAATACTGCATAAAGTATTTTCTATTGGTCGTTTGTACAAAAGTTTAGTAATTTAAATATTAAGTTCCAGTAGAAATAGAAATAGGAGCAGAGTAAATATTTTATGATTATACAAGCAAACCATCATTGACTAAAGTTGTTTACTTCTACACCTACATACCTATAATTGCAAGCTATGCCCCTGACATAAATGTGAAAATATTTTTATAATTAACTTGATTTTCCTTTGAAGTTATATTGTATTGCTAAGTCAATAGCTTAAATTTAATGGAGTTGTTTACATTATTAATATATTTTTCAATATCAATAGGATTAGCACAATTTTTAGGAGCTTTAGGCTTGTATACATCTGTGTCTTAGCATCTATAAACTAACAGACTTAAAGTAGATAGAATATTGTTATTGTTACCTATTTCTATTGAAGCAGACTCTGGATTTTTAGAGAAATCTAAGCAGTAAAACCCCTTTAGAGATGGATCTTAACATTATATTATATCAATTTCGGTACGGATGTAATCAGTACTGTTTCTGTAAGAGCGTACAGCTGTGAAAGTTAGGTATATCTATCCTGATTTATCTTATATTTAATCTAAGGTGATTTTGCTATTAATATCTTACACTTAGAAGGCAATATTATTGTCCTTTAATGGAATTTCTACATTCTCATCTGTAACAAAGGTCTATGATCGAAATTTTGGATCCATTTAATTAGAAAAGTAAAGAAGAGTTAAATAAATGAAATAGAGGAGAGTTATCAATATTATAGTGATTGATAAAAATGCTCCTACAAATGTTCTCTTCCTCAAACTTTGCTTCGATGAGTTGAATTGAAATGGCTAAGAAAAGATATCTAAATTTTTAATGTATTTACTTATCATTTCTCAATGTTTTTTCTAGTTTTTTTACAAATAATTTAAACAAACAACCAACCAACCTACAATTACTTTTTTTGATAATTTTCTCAAAATTTAAATGATATAATTTATTTGGAAATCAAAAAACTTCTATTTAAACTTTATCTCATTTATGAAATGATAGATTCAAATGACATAGAAAAATAACTTTGTTTTCAATTTTTACTAGCAAAAGAAGTTATTTTATTGAATTTAACAAACCAAACTGGTAAACTGGTTTTGATTTTATTTTCATTGAAGCAAATTTAAACAAAAAAAAACAACATTTATTTATTTATTTATCATAATTACAATTCAATTTTTAAAAAATTCAATTATTTTTAGCAAAAATGAAAGTAAACAATAGATATTTAATACTTAATTAAATTCAAACTTCAATCCTACATAACTAATTTGTGGTAATTAAATAAATAAGCTTAAATTTGAGACTATAAAAAATTCTTTATAATGTCAATCTATTTTAAATAAAACAATTTTTGAGTAAAAATAATAACTAATATTAAATGCTAATATTATTGAAACTTATTACAAAAATATATTTATTTATATATTTGATGAATAATATTAATTAACTCCATACATAAAAATTACAGATTAAATTTAATATCATAATTTTTTGATAAAAAAGAAATAATGTAAAGGTAAAATATTTTTTATGATCTATTTATTCAAATTTTAATATTTTAAGTTATTTAAAATATATGAATCTTATTTGATTCGGTTTGAAAAATTATATATTAATAAGAATTTCAAATACAAAAACATTTAATTACTTTAAATTTATAATATTTATTTATTTATTTTGTTTATATTTATTTTATCTTGTTTGATTGGATTTTCAATAGTTTCTTATGTTCTTAATTATAAAATTAGAACTTTTTGTAAATTGAGGGATGTGAGTTTTTTTAATCGTATAGAGTGCTTATGCGCATAAAAATGCAAGCAATATAATGGTGCTATTTATTGTATTGCTATATAAGAATTAAATTAAGCACATTGGCAGCATGAAAATGAAATTGAAACTGTAAATTATAGCATAAAGGCAGTTAAGATAATGATATGATATTGTTTGCCTCAAATCTAATGCCCTAAATATATCTCGTAAATTCATAGGGACATTGCAGAAGGTGGCATATCTTAAAATGTAGATATTCTCACACCCAGATTATTTTTCACTTAAAGCAACAGCTATAAATAACAGTGTTAGTCCATGGTGAATAAATAGCCACAAGTTAAGCTATTTTTTAATGAATTTAGCCACAATATCAAATCCAAAGTAAGAGCAGGTAAGAACATGGAAATACATCTAAATCTCAGTTAGTTCATTTCCAAATACTTTAAATTATACATCTTTATCCAACTCAATAGAAACAATCAGTTAGAAATAGATAAAAGCAAATAGCCAGTGCACCATTGATAAGATAGAAAAAGCTATTTGAGAGCACACGTATTTACACAACTATCTAAAAGCTTGTATCCAAAATATTACTAGTAAAGTGAATAGTATGTAAGGGAAAGGCATTTTTTTTATTTCTTGTACTTTTTTTAATTTTCTAATAAAATGTCAATTTTAATTGTTTTAATTCATTATAAATTCAAACCTAAGTGCTAATCTGCTTTTTTATTTTCAAAATTCCTAGTAAGAATAAAAAATAAATTAAAATTGTTTTTCGGATTTTCAAATATAAAAAAAAATACTTTTTTTCTGGATAAAGCTTTTAAAAATGCAAATAAAAGTATTATCTTAGAATATTTAATAATTCAAAAATAAAATTATCTTAGAGAATTTACCCATAATTTTTTTGTAGATAAAATCTACTTTAGATGATTGAATAAATTATTTGCTTCATTAAACAAACTTATTCTGATATTTTTCAAAAATAATTTTGAGAAACTCTTTAAAAAATAAATAGATAAATCATAACAGAAATGAGCAACTTTATTTATGTTTTAGAAAATTGAGAATCAATCAATCAGATCTTTAGATCTTAATTAATTTTATGAAAAGTATTTTAATAAATTTCAAATGAAAATATTCTTTAGTAAAATAGAATATTTATTGACGCTTTTATAAATTAAATAAAAGTATTTCTTCTTATGAATATCATTTTATTTAAGAAGTCTTTTTAGAAAAATAGTGATAATAATAATAATAATAATTAGATGCCGTTGTAAGATTCAATAAAAGTATTTTTTTTAGGTCTTAAAAAAAGTATTTTTTAATACTTCACATTTTATTTTTTTATTTTCCTTTTTTTAAAACCTCTCAAAAATTTTAAGCCTCTCATATTTTAATCAAATATTTAAGTCCCTCATATTTTAATCAAATATTAAATTAAATGATTAAGCTCTTTTTATATCACTTACATAACAGAGGTTCACACATAAAAAGCACTAAATTTTGTATCTAAATTGACTATAAAATTTAATAATACAATATATTTAGATAAGAAATTGATCAAAATAATTATTTTACTTTTATAATTTATATATGAAAATATTAGAGTTTTTTAAGAATCTATGATTTAGCTTTTGATTAATTCCTCAATTTAAAATGTAAAAAAAATTCAAAAAGTGCCTATTTTAGATAATTATTTGATTTAAATAAATATATAGCTTGATAATTAATTTGAAGGAGTAATAAATATTTCAAATCTATGAATATTAATTTATTTATTTATGATAATTATTTTCATAAAAATTACTTCTTTAATATGTTAAATTTCTACTGATGAAATATTTGGAACTCTTAATTACTAATGCCTATCCCGTTAAAAAAATTTCCTATCTTGGTATAATTCTATTAATGCATAAATTATTCTAAGAAATTCTATTAAAACCATTTGAATCTTCTACTTGTTATTAAAATGAATCTAATAATTTCAAAAATTTAAAGCGGAGGGATGAATTAAATTTTATCCTCCAAAAAATGCCTTTTATGTATTGAAAATAATTTATCTAATTTTCTTTTAATTAAATATTCATTAGTTTTGATAGCCTATCCTAAATTAAAAAGGCATTTAACTCTATCTAAATCATTCATTCAATTCTTTAAATTTTCATCATCATAATAGAATTTAAGGAAAATTATAAAAAAATTGAAGCTAAGAAATTATTCAATTTTAGCAAATATTAGAAACGATTCATTTTAAATTTACTTTTAATATCATTCTTACTGCTTTGAAGTAGATATTTTGATATAAATTTGAATGGAATTAGTTGATTGATTAAATTGATGTTTTAAAATTTTGTATTTAAAAGATTTTAAAAGGAAATATTTTAATAGATGATTATTTATTATTAATAAACATAAAAATTTTAATACTTGTTATTTTATTAAAATTAACAAAATTATGTAATAGTTAATTCATTATTGATTAGGTTCATCATATTATTCTTAGATTATTGCCTATTTTATAATTTGCTTTTTGTCAAAATCAAGCTAAGAATTTTTTTAATTAATACAACACATTTATAGAGCATTCCTTAGACTATATTTTGTATTTATTTTTTTAGGAGTTTTAGTTTTAGTTGAAGTACTTTAATATTATTATTATTAAGATTATTCTTTCATGTTGCTTCCAAACATTTCTGAATCTATATTGTTATTAGGTTCTTTGCTCGAAGTTAAAGAAGAGCTTTCACGAAAAGTCTCACCTTTAGCTTTGGCATTATATCGTTCATATGTTGTTTAGTTTAAAAAGAGATTATTAATCTATACAAAGCAGAGAACAGATAACATACAGAAAAATGGAAGAGTAATTGCAACTATCAAAGCAGCAGCAACATATTTAGTAATCAAAAGAGAATGTAGAGTGTTTTCAGATAAATTCTTGAACCAATTCAATATAAATGTATCTTCATCATCGTATTATGTCAACAAATGAAGGAAAGTTAAAACAAGTAGCGTTAATTTATTTAACCATAATAAAATTATGAATGAAATAAAATATTTATAATTATTAGCTCCAACACAATTATTTACCCAAGGACAATGATGGTCATAAACTTTGATACATTTTTTACAAATTTCACAATGCTTTGAGCGCAAGGGTCTTATAATTTAGCAGTCTAAGCATATAGTTTCAATAGGGTGTGATTTTAAAAGCAATATAAGCTCATCTTTTTATATTATTTGATTCTATGCTAAAAGTGGTTCTTCAAGCTAGCCTTTACTCTCATCAAGTATTCTAACTGATTAAGGTTTCTTTGATTCAATAATAGAATCTAAATTTTCTCCTTGTTCATGATTTTATGCAGATGTTAACTTATTATAACCATTTTATCGAATAGAATACTTATTTAATGATTCAGTAGCAGACGAACTAACACAACTAAATTAATTTAAATTTTATATTTAACGCTAAATTACTAATGTCTCCTTATTATTAATTCCAGTAACCTCACCAGGATTAACATTCCAAACTATAATTTACATGATCAGTGTGATACAGGATAACGATGCCCAAATGCTAAACTAAATAAACTATTCATCTAGACAAGGAATGTAAAAAGTAGCAAATAAAGATTATACAAAAAGAAATAAGACGTAAAATATTATGACTTATTTTAAATTCTTATCAATTGGACGAAACGGCTAACGAATGTTGCAATATTCTTCAAAACCATCATCATTATCTATCATGTTAGCTATGTTTTCATAGCCTTCTTACTATGCAAGTTAACCAGGTGTCTTATCTTTTTTATCTATCAAGTTTCTATTTGCTCCTTTAAGGAGAAGACGTTTTACTGCTTTGGCATTTCCACTAATAACAGCTAGGTGTAAAGGTGATAGTCCTTGCTTTTATTTTAAGTAAAAAGAATTAAAAAAAATAATATTTTAATTTTGATCATTTTTAAACAGACAAATTTTAGAAATTAAATTGAAAATTTTTTTGCGAATTTATAACAAACAAACAATAAATTTAAATTTTATAAAATAAAAATAAAAAAGTTAATTCATTCTTTATTTTTCTAGAAAGTAAGTTTTTTTAAATTTATTATTCAAAAAAACCTATTTTTATTATATTTTGGATTTTTAAGATTTAATCATCAAAAAATAATTAAAAAGATCAAATTGATCTAGTTAGCACGCACTCAACGTTATTAACAACTAGTAAACAAGTAAGGCTATTAAAGTTTAAAAGTAGTGCAAAGTGATGAGTTTTAATATAAAAAATTCAATTTATTTTTCTTAGATAAATAAAAGCAAGTAAAAATATTCAAAGCTAAGTAAAAATCTAAGTGCATATTTTATATTAGAAGCAATTAATTATGTTTATGAATTTAGATGTATAAAATTTTTGTTCTATAAAATTTTGTTACTGAGTCAGGTTGATTGATATCAATTTCAGAGTATGAAGTCAAATAGTTTATTGCATTTTCATTTCCCAAAAAGCAAGCCCAATGAAGGGGATTTCCTTGTTTATAATCTAAATCTAATGCGTTTAACCCTATTTTTTAAAAATATCTGATCGAAATAGGCTAATCACCCTATGCAGCAATATGCACCGAATTCAATCCTTTACTGTTTCTTGCTTGGATATCAGCGCCATTATTAATCAAAAATTGTATTATTTTTAAATCTCCTCTATATGAAGCAAAATGAAGAGCTGTAAACCCACCTTCTGTTTTTATATTAAACCAATTAGCCAAATTTTGTTTAACATCTGCTTCCTATAGTCTATTGCATTTGAAAAACTTTTTTACATAGTCAGTAATCTTTACAAGGTATGTAATATTCTGATTTAAAACTATTTTATGAGCTAATGTGTAATTTTTTCTATCTACTAAAGTAGTTATATCTAAATTTTAATTCTAGTTTAATAACTTTTCAAGATTTTCGAATTAGTTATTGTTGAAAAATTAATTAGCTAAGTTCAACTATTATTATGCGCTATATTTTGTTAAATCAGTTTGATTGAAGTTAAAGTTTTCAAATTTATCTTCTTGGCTACTCTAGAAAAACTAAGATGAATTCATATCACCTTCGCTATTAGCTCCATTTTCATCTATTCTCTCCATAAATGAAATACCTTTAAATTTTATATTCCCTTCACTTTACTAACTATCTAACTAACAGAATTTATTTATTTGTATCTTTAGCTAATTCTATTAACCTAAATCAATTGATATTTTTTAGTTATTCCTTTTAATATTCTTTTATAAAAATATTAGATAAGCACTTAATAATTAAAATTCATTACTTAATATTTGCTTGCTTGCTTGATTGTTTCTTTTAATTTCCAATAACAACATAATATAAAAATTAAAAAGAAATAATTTATTGTATGAAAATATATTTATCTTTTTTAATATTTACTACTATCAATCAATTAATTAATTAAATACCTTGCAATAATTTTATTATTTATTAAAAATCAATTTTTTATTTAAAAAACAAACACTATTTATTCAAAAATAGATACAATGTTAAACAATTTTAAATAAAATTTATTTAAAATAATTGAATAGTTAAATCTAATAAAATCTCTTCATTTTTGAATGAAAAAAAAATATTTTAAATAAACTTTATAATTTCAAAAATTGTCAAAAGTTAATTAAACAAACTACTTAATATATAATATGAAACAATATTATTTTTTTTTATTATAATAAATATAAAATCTGCTTTTAAAAAATACTTTATTATTCTTACACAGTTTTTAAAATCAATTTTATATTTATGAGTTTTGAAATAAAAATTTCAATTTTCTATATTCTAACTATATTTCTAAATAAGATCTAAAATTTCTTTGGAACTGCAATGTCCATTTGAGCTATCATCTACAAAGGTGTAAATTATTTTTCCATCTGTTTCAAATATATAAGTTCCTCCTAACTTTTAATTTATAGAAGTGCGAATTAAATTAATTTGTTGAATGTGAAATTTTTAATTTTACTTGATAAATGTCTCCTTGCCTTTTCTTAGTAATAATACTGCAAGCAGTTTTGCATAAACCGCAAAAAGTAGAAGTTTTTGTGTCCTCTGATTTCTTTCCTGATCTTACTTAGGAAATAGTTTCAGCCCTCATCATTCCTAATTTATTATAGGTGAAGCGTTAAGTGTCAACATATATAAGTTAACTAGGGAATTTTGTTTCTAATGAAAAATTTTTAATTCCACTTATTTCTCCACACCCAACAACATAGAGGTTTATATTTTTTTATTTTAGATCGCCAAAGTTAATATCTTGTGCAAGAGCTCTCACAAAATCTTAGCAAACATAGCAAAAGAAATGACGTATAAATACTATAATTGTACGTTTGTCCTCAAAAAGAGTCTTAAATTTTATTCCTTAAGCATTTTCATTGTATACTAGAAAATTTCCCAACTCAGAATCTACTTTAGTTGGTACTTTCATTAATTTTTTATTATCCATAATATTTTAAAATTAATTTATTCTTTTTTATTAATTTTTTTTTCTTCAATTTATTAGATTATAAAATAAAATATTGAAAAAATAATTGTAAATTTATACTCAAATATAAAGTATATGTGATAGTCATATTGAGAAAATGGAATTTTTCTGGAATGATTGTAAATAGAATGCAAATTTGAAATTTAATTAAATTTTCTGTAATTAACTTTCTGATAAATTCTAATGAGACATTAAAAAATAAAGATTAAAAAATTTATAAAAATGTAATTTTTTTAAAGCAGCATTTAAAGTTTCATCAGATTTCAAAAAAAAAAATGTGGTATTTTTAGATTCATTTCATTTATCAAATTAAATCTAGCAAGATACAAAACAAATTATGTTGTTTGAAAATTTATTTAAAATCTAGTTTATCTCAAAATAAACCAATTAATTAATAATAAAAATATTTATAATTAATTTGTTTAATATTCATACAGAAATTACATTTTTATAATAAATCAATTTAATATTCGATTTAATTAAAATATTATTTTGATTTGGTATTTTATTATTTAAATATTAAAAGAAAATTGAATATTTTTCTATTATTGTATATAAATGAAATTACATAAAATAGATGTCAGTCAAACTATGTTAAATCAAAACTTATTTGATTAAATATCTAATTATCTCTATATTTTTATATTTTGAAATCAAATAAAATTATATTTTAAGTCTCTTTGAATTTATTTAATTGTTTTCACAAAAACTTCGTTTTTTAAGTAAATAAATTTTGTTTTATTTTATTAAAACTTGTTCAAATAAATTTATTATTTTATTATTTGAATAGAAAATGATAATAAAATTTTTGTTTACTGATAAAAATACATAAATTTAAGTCTTAATAATAGAAAAACTATTTTGTTCAAAATATAACCTTCTTTATAGATTTAGATTAAATTTATCATTGCAGTTTTACTAACTAAAAATGACTTTCTTTATATTATTTTTTATATACAAAATAAGTAAATTTTTTTTTCTTTATCAAGCATTCTGGCCATATTTTTCAACTAAATCAGTTATTTCTGTTGAACTAACATGCCCATTCGAGCTTTCATCCACAAAACTATAAGTAATTTTGCCATCAGTCTCAAAAATATACGTTCCTCCTAACTTTTATATAAATTTTATTAAATAAAGCTCAAAATAATTTTAAAATAATATTAATAAAGTCATATTTAATTTAGTTTTACTTAATAAACATCTCCTTATTTTTCTTTAGAAATCATTTTACAGATAGACCAACATAATCCTCCACAAAATGAAGATTTTGTATCCTTTGATTTCTTTCCTTTACTTATTTAAGATATAGTTTCAGCTCTCATCATTCCTAATTTTGTGTAGGTGAAACGCTCAGAATCGACATATAATAATTAACTAGGGAATTTAGTATCTAATGAAAAATTTTTAATACCATTAATCTTTCCACATCCAATCACATAGAGATTGATATTCTTTTACTTTAGATCATCAAAGTTTATTTCTTATGCAAGAGCTCTGATGAAATCTTTGCAAACATATCAAAAGAAATGACGTATAAAAACAATTATAGAGCGTTTCTCCTCATAAAGAGTCTTAAATTATATTGCGTTACCGTTTTCATCATGAATAAGATAACTACCCAGCTTAGAGTCAACCTAAGAAGGTACTTTTTTTAGTTTATCATTATCCATTCTGTTAATTTAGATTTTGATAATTTACTTTTAATTAATAATTAATTTTTGATCATTTGGTGATTTCAATTTTTAAGACAATTTTAATGGCTATCTATATATAGTAGTAGAATATTTACATAAAAGCCAATATGTAATATAGAAATTCTTAGAAGGATTATGCATAATCAGGTAATTTAAATTTTATTTTTGTTAAATTCTTATGAAATTAAAAATATTACTTAAAATAACATTTAATTCATGCAAAATTCATGATTTTTTTACAATAATTTATTGATTAATTAAAAGCATAAATACTTAATATATACCTTTAATTTTGTATTAATAATCGTAACATCAATTATTAAAACTTTTTTGTTACATAACTAAAAAAAATCCATAAAAATTGACTATTTAATAAAAACAAAAGCTTAATTGCTTGAAAGCTGATTTGTTTCAAACAAAACAATTACTTAAATATTTCGAAATAGATTTTTTAAAAATAAAATTACTAAGAATGCTCATTAATTTTTTATTTTTAATAGATTTTCAATTTTGTTTTTAACAATAAAATATTTAAATAAAGTACCAAATTAAAATTAAATATGAATTTATATGGATATATACAAATTTATTATTAAAGATTTTAGAAATTAAATAATTGTTAATTGATATTTTGAGTTATAATTTAATTTATTTTCAAAAAGTAATCGGAGGAATTATCGTTAGAGTTTCTAAAATAAAGTTAGGAGGAGTATCAATTAGTAGCTTTATAAAATTTTAGTTGAATTTTTTTTATTGAGATTTTTCTTTTAGGATATCATTTAAGTAAGATTATAAGGTAATTCTTGAGTTTTAAATGGTGAAAAATACTTTGGAGTTAAGCTTAAAATTAAATTTAATAATTTCTAAATGCAATTGATCTATTTATTTATAAAGAGAGATAAAATACTTCAATAAGTGAGCTGATATTTTAAAATTTAATTTAATTGAAAATGATTTCATTGTTTTAGGTATTTTAGAAAGCATATTATCATTTATTTAAATTTTATCTAATGTAAACTTTGGTTACTTTAAAGAAAGCTTAAAATATTTTAATTATTTTGGAAATTAATCAAGATTATCAATTATAAATTAAATGCTTTTATAGTCTGTCTCTTCGTCATTAAGAGTTAAACGTAGATGTGTAATATTTTGATTTTAATATAATCTTTTAAAGAAATCTATAATATCATCGTCGCTATTATAATTTTCACTAAAGTCTAAATATACTTTTTAAAGGTTGTTTAAAGGAAATACTTTTAATGAGTCGTTTGTGTTATAACCAGATACTTAGCAGTAGAATTTTATAAGATTAGTAGGCAAATACTTAATCACTATATTTAACGAGTCTTGTGAAATTAAATTTTATGGAAAGAACAATCTAAGTTTTGTTAAGTGAGCAAAATTTTTACTGAGAGCTTGCATAAAATATTGAATTTCATCATTTGAATATTAAGCAGATTTACATTTAATCTTTATATTATTTATTGAATGAGGCATGCTTTGAAATATTTAATAAAATGGCTCAAGTGAGCTTATTTCATCTATGACAATATTAATTTTTTGCAGATTTCGTGGTAGTCTACTTAAATTTTGTGCAAAGGTAGCAAACTAAATAGGAGATAGCTAAATGTTTTTTACGACAAGCTTAAGTCTTTTTAGATTTTAAGGTAGAGTATCAAATTTTTTAGAGAGCTCTAATAAGTTAGAAAATCCGCTGAGGTTCAACTTTAATGCTAAGAGTCGAGGGTTAAATCTAGGTAGATTTATAATTAAAAAGCGAGAAACATTATCTTCATTATCGTAGAATACCATCGAAACATGTATGGTAAGTATCCCTTTTGGTAAAAATAGAAAATTTTTAAAAAGCAAATCTGCTGTTTCGATATCCATATTATAGGGACTGACATAAAAGTTAGCCTTTTGCAATGTCTAAGGAAGATTTCTCATATTCTCAAGAATGCTGAATACATTTAGTTTTGTTATATATAAGAAATGTATTTCAACCAAATTTTAATTCTACAAAGCGAGTAAATCTTATCCAAGAACTTCATTTAAGTTTGAAGCTTTATAAACTACAGGGTATTGTTCATGAATGTTTTCAAAAAGAAATTCAAAAGATTTATTTTTATCTTCATTGTGAGAACTGTTAATTACTATTTTATTTTTCATCATTTTTTTTTCTATATAAATTTGAAGTAGATTGAGAAATAAATAGAAATTCTTACTACTTTTTTTAAAAGTAACAATTTTAGATTGATTGATTAATTTATTAATTAATTATATTTCAAAAGATTAATTTAAGTGCCTAAAACTAAAAATAAATAAATAATATTTGACAACTATTTCAGATCATTTTAAATGGATTAAAGTATTTTTGATACAATAAGAAATTGTTATTAGACAGCTTATGAGATTTAAACAGCATTAAGTAACAAATTTGATATGGGATTTAAAATTTTGATGGTTCATAGTGTAACAGATGGGTATATATCTGAGTAAGATTTAGCAGCTTCTAGAAAAGATTTTGCCAAACATTGCAACAAATTAGCAGAATTACATGACAGACGTACATAAAAATATGTAAGCCAAAGGTTAGAATAGTTTAAAACTTGTGCTGTCTAGGTTAGAAATTATACAAAAGAGTACTCATCCCTTTATGAATACTCAACGAACTGTTTCGATGAGTTTAGTGATAAATAATAAGGAAGATTATGATAACTCTACTATTTTGAGATATGCTTAGTTAAATTAAAAAGAATTCTTAAAATGAATGAAAACAAACTAATTATTTTAATTATAAATATCCAAAAAAAGCAAAAAAGCTTATTTTGAAAATATAAAAATATATCTAAATAAAATTATTATTTAATATGTAAAATCAAGATCTCTATAAAAAATATATAGATAGATATATAGAATAATAATAATAATTTATATTTAGATATAAAATAATTTTTAGCAAGTAATTAAAATTGATTCATAAATGTATTTCATTCATAATAAAATAAATTGTATTTTTTTAAATATTTTTAATATTTATTAAAAAATTATATTCTTTTTATCAAAGGTCAATTTTAATTAAAATAATTAAAATTTAAAATGATATTGATATGATTAATTAATTAATGAATAAATAATATAAATTTTTATATAGATTGATAAGAAATACATCAATAAAAAATAATAAACTTATTTATTTATTTATTTGTTTAGATTTAATAAAATTTGAATATTTTGTTAATTTTTTTTTATAATTTATTTTCTGATTCTTTGTTTTTTTGTGTTTAAAAAAATTATTTTTATTCAGGGAGATTGCTGTTAGTTGTTGTTGATGTTCTTAATTGGAGGGGCGTAGTCGTATTATGGATCTTTAGAATTTTATATACACATTAAATAAGCGTTTTTGAATGAAACTTTTTTTACTCCATACACTAGTTTGTTTCTATTTTATTAATTAGAAGTTCTAGAGTTTGATTAAATTATGGAAGGATTTGCATCTGTAGTAGAAGATTATTCACTTTTTTTAGATGATACAACATTAGCACCATCTCCATTATTATCTACTTCGTTTCCATGTTATTAATGAGTGTTATATCTTTCAAATGTAGTTTAGTTAAGGAAAAGATTATTCAATTAAACGAAGCACAAAATAGAATGAAGAACGAAGAAAAAAATAATCAAAAGTGTCACTAAACCTGAAACTACGTACTTTACAATTTAAATTGTGTCTTGAGTTTAGGCTGATAAATCTGAATACCAATTAAATATCCAGCTGTCTTGAGAAATGTGCTCATCACTGTAGTTTGAAGTTATGTGGAAAAGTATCAAAAGCAATCCAACTAGCATATTGAACCACATAAAAAGAATAAACATTATGAAGTATTTATAATTATTTGCACCTACACAATTATTAATCCATGGGCAATGATGATCATATACTCTAATGCACTTTTTGCAAATTTCGCAATGACGTGATCTCTTAGGCTTTACTATGCAGCACTCCACACAAATTTTGCTTACATCATTATTTTAATAAAGACTTATTAAAAAATTTAAAGTTTCTACTTCCCTCTACTTGCATGAAGTCTTTTTTTATGAACTCAAATCACTGATTTAATTATTTATGTTAATGTCTTAAATGAGATTTTAGTTTAAATCTTAAGCTTCATTCATAGAATTGTTCACGTTAGAGCGAGTAATATGCTCATTTAATCTTGGGGTGGACTGCTATGCTTAATCAAATTAGTTTTCATGAGATTATTCATTTTCTGAAATATTTTAACTTTATTCTAACTTATTTTAAACAATTCCATTAACTTCTCCAGGATTTTTCAACCACGCGAAAAATAAACTAAAGAGAGTTCCAAATAAAAAAAATGCCCAAATTCCTAATTCAATATAATGATAGCTTAGGCAAGGTATAATAAATGCAATAATTGTTCCCTAAGAGAAAAATAGTAGAAGGAAAAGCACTAAAAGCTGTCTTGGATTTTTATCCATAGGTTTGAAAGGTTATTTTATGTTGCAATATTCCTGAAATCCTCCTGTTTTTTCCAGCATTTGCTAAATATTATGAAATTCATTTTCATCAGCTAACTAAGCTGGAGTTTTTTAGTTATTATCTAATGCATTTCTGTTAGCTCCTCTTTGCAAAAGCTTTCTTACTACTCTAGCGTTTCCACTTATTACTGCTAAATGCAATGGAGTTAATCCTTCCTATATATTTTGATATTTATTTAAACATTTTTATTTGAATTATTTTAATATTAATAGGAGAAATTAATGTAATTCGATTATTGTAAGTTAAAAATTAAATCAATAGATTATATTAAAATTAAATTCCTTAAAGTCTAAAATTTCTTTATTACTGAGAAAAATAAATTTCAACATCATTAAAATTATTAGAAAAATTGAGTGGTAATCTTATATTTAAGAGCAAAGTAATCAATCACTCTCACTCACTCACTTCTTTTAAAAATATGATATCCTAAAAAAATTAATAAAAGTTTATCTTACTCCATCTGCGTTGTTTAATTTATCCTTCATCTTAGATACAAGGTAGTTCACTGCATTTTCGCTTCCAAGGTAACATGCCCAGTGGAGCGCAGTACCGCCTTTGTGATCAGTTAAGTTAAGATCTACTCCCAAGCTATCAAAGTAGCATATTGATATAGGCTAATCGCCTTATGCAGCAATATGAAGAACATTTAATCCATTTTTATTAACTAATAATGCATTACTACCTTACGAAATAAGGTATCTTGTTATTTCTACATCTCCCTTAAAAGAAGCATAATGAAGAGCAGTAAATCCGTCCTCATTTTAAAAATTTATCCATTTTTTAATAATCTTATTTTTTTATGCTGAGTCTTTCAGATAATCGCAACCATACTAAACTATAAATTTGACTTCATTAATTTTCATATGCAAGGTCATTCTGTGAATTAGAGTCAAACCTTTTCTATCCCATATTTTAAAAATATTTATATCCTTATTTTACTTCAAAATTTCTATAATATCTAAATATTTATTGTCCAAAAGTTTTTCTTCAATCCTTTAAATTATAGCTTTCTTTCCTTCATCATTAAACACATCCTCATTGAGCATTTTTTTTAGCTCTGAAACAAATGATTGAGCAGCAAAACTGCTGAACCTTTGACTTTCTGTGTACTAAGATTCATTTCTCATTTACCTTTCGCCTGGTGGATTTCTTTAAGTATTTTATGAAATTTTTTTAGAGAGCTAAATAAATTAATTACTTACTATTCCCTAAATAATTCTTGAACAAATTAATAGATTTTTAATTAGAATTATTTATACTATAAGGAACCTAATTAATATTTCTATTTGTGGAAAAATTCATAAAAAAGATAATCAATAAATAAATAAATATAAAAGAGTTATTTATTCCTAAGTAAATTTGTTATTTATGTATGTATATCTAATTACTTATATATTATACTTTTATTTTTACAAGTCATATTAACTATTTGATTCATTAAAAAATGAATCATACATAATATATTAAAATTAAATTTTGCAGATAATTTTTTGTGAATATTAATCATTTTATTTTTTCAAAAAAATAAAATTGAACCAACTCTATTTTTATAAAATCTAGAACTAACTATTCAAGCTAAGCAATACCATAAAAATCAAATTTAAAAAAATGGATATATAGTTAATAAATATCAAGAAAGATCTCATTTTTATAAGATATTATCAATAAAGAGTACTTTTTTGTATATTTTTATGTATTTTGAATATTTAACTAATTAATAATTAAATTTGAAGTATTATCTAAGTGATCAAAAACTATTCAAATTATTAATAAATTGAAAAGAATAAAAAGTAATTCCTTTTTTGAATAAAAAGATTTAAAGGCATAAATAAATATTGAAGGATTCAAAAAGATATAAGTGTAACGAGCCTAAAAATAAAAGGGTCATGCAATTTAATAATCAATAATAGAAAGAAAAAATATTTAACTCTTAAATAGAGTTTGAATAAAATGCTGATTCTAATTAATAGAATGAGTTTATTAGAAGTGATGAGAATGTATAAGAATAGAATGATGAGTAATTTAATACTAATTAAACTTACCAAACTAATCAAGTAGTTAAATATAATGAAATATTTGTTTTTGGAAGCAATAAATACGGTTAAATTGGCTTGAGTGAAAAGAATGCTGGTAAAAATTTTTGTATCCCTCGCTTTTGTCATTTTAACATAGTCTTTACAAGTGTAAGTTGTGGTTCTCATCACTCAATACTTCTTACACAAGATGGCTACGCTTATTCAATAGGAAGTAACATTTATGGGTAATTAGGTGCTGACACAAATTAAATTAATTATTCTTACACGCCAACACTTATTTAAAAACTTCAAGACTATATAATTACCAAAGTCGTTTCTGGAGCTTACCATAATATAGCTCTGACTAACGAAAATTAGCTTTTTTCTTGGGGAAGAAATAATGAAGGTTAATTAGGACTAGGTAATTTGTAAGCATAGTGTTTGTATTCACCTTAGCAAATACAATGTAAATTAATTTCTTTTTAAATATTAAATGAGGGGTTTTAAACCTTTTAAATATGATTACAACAATTAATTTCTCATGTTGTTAATTTCTTTACATAAATTTGCTTGTTTTTTATATAAGCAATGATGAATAAAGCAAAAATTTGATTAAAATTTTGATTAATATTCAAAATTAAAAAACAAAAATAACCGTTAAAAAAGACAAAATTTATAATTTGAAGTATTTATTTAAAATAAAGAATATATTAAAAGACTTAAATAGCAGCAACTACAATCATGATAGAATTTAATTAAATAAAACAAAATTTCATTTTAAATTTAAATAATTATAAAATAATTTATTTATTTAAGTTATTTATTACTTAGTTTATTTCATTTTTATAATAAAGTTGATAAAAAGATCGTTAATGTTTTTAGTGGATGGAATCATTCATTTTTTATTACTAAATAAAATGAATTATATTCTTTTGGTAGTGGTTTATATGGTTAATTAGGATAAGGAAAATGTGAGAATTCAATCACCCCTGATAAAGTTTTATATCATGAAAAAGATTAGAAAATTATTAAAATTGCTTGTGGAGAAACACATTCTTTGCTACTTAGTGAATAAGGATAGGTATTTGCTTGTGGAGAAAATCAAAGAGGATAACTTGGACTTGGGAGAAATAAAAAAGTGGTTTTATAACCTTAATATTTATCTAATGAAAACTTGTTTGCTTCAGAAAGTATTATAGATATAGCTTGCGGTAGGTTTTCTGTTGCTATTACATAAAAAACATAGTCTTTGTATGCTTGGGGTCAGTTCTGTGATACTGATTCTAATCCCATATACACCCCATAATTAGTTTTTTCATTTAATTCTCAAAAAGAAGGCAAAGAGTAGCCAGAGAAAAATCTTGTTAAGAAAGCTGTTGTAGGTGGAGATAGTTGCATCATTTTAATGAAAAATGGAGATTTGTATAGTTGGGGAAAAAATTAATTTGGTGAATGCGGATAAGGAGACTTTGAAAATAAATCAGAAACATTTTATCCAATTAATTTTTTGAAAGGAAAGAAAGTTTTAACCTTCCATCTAGGAGAAGCTCATACCATAGTTTTAGGTAGAGAGGTTTATTCTAGAAATCTTGCAAAAATGAATAACAGTGACTAGTCTTAATAAATATTTTCTAATTGCAATTCTCATCAGGAAGTAGCTTTGATAGAAAAATCACAGTCTTTCATATGCAGTGATTATATGATTGATAATAATAATAATAACGAGTCGTCAAATTATTCAGTTTAATCTTCCTAATATGCATGTTAAAATAATCCTAATTAAAATCAAAACTTAAATGAAAATCATTAATAAACCAGCTTTATTCACAGCAGATAGCAGTCATTTTAATAGAATTAGTCTACTGCATCAGATAAAGATGCTTTAACATCAATTTCATAGCAAAAATTTTAATTTTAATTAGCGAAAACACCTAATTTTTTGAATGAAAACTCTTCTTAGTTTTCTCAACAATATAATTCAAGATAAAATCATAATAGTAATTAACGAGAAAAGCTATCAATAGTGGTCAGAGAAATAGAAAGAACCCACTCTCCAACTGAATCATCTACAAGAAATACAAATATTTAACATTATTTTAATTTTGGAATGAATTAAAACAACACTTCATATGGACAAATTTAAAAAAATAAGTAAGACTTTATGTTATCCCCTAAAAACTAGCTCTTACAAAATAATTAAAAGAAATAAGATAATTAGCAAAATCAAAATAATTTTAAAACGGATTAACAGAATTTAAGCTTTAATTAAGAAAATTTAAGTTTTAAAGAATCAAATCAAAGCTTTAAAGAAAATAATTAAAGTTTCAAAGAATAAAACCAAAGCTTTAAAGAGTAAGATTTATATTTTAAAGAATAAAGCAAAAACGTTTATTAAGAACAACTAAATATTAGAGGAGATAAACAAAGTACATAAGATATAAATTAAAGCGAAAGTGAAGCAAATCTAGATTAGCATCAATTTAATCTTATAAGCGAAAAAAACAATTTTTTTGAAAACTTTTAATAGAGTTTAAAGCAAGTAAATAAATAATAGATATCTTATTTTATTTCTGATAAAGCCCCTAATTATTTTGATTAAGAAATAAAGTAAAGTGAATTAAATACTTCTAATGCATTGGTTTAAGATGATAATTTTGAATAAAATAGATCATTTTAGTAATAAAATACAGGAAATGTAAGATTTTTAACTCCACAACCAACTGCTCAAAGCTCTGCAAATTATGAAACTTTTTCTTATCAGATTGGCGATTAATTTATAAACTTTCCTCATTTTGTTAACAATACTGAAACAATCAATATCAATAAATAGAGTTAAAAACCACTATCTAACTAACACCATTCTAGTTAAAGCAATAATAATTTTAGTTAGCAAGTAAACATTTTTAAATAAAATTTTTATTAATTTAAAAAATAATTTAATAGGCTTCAACAATCAATAATTAGAGCAACTTGAAAGAAACAAATTAGGATAAAATTTATGAGTTACCTTTGTAAATAAAGTAGGTATCTATCAATTAATCCTAAAATAATAGCTCATAATAATCTCAGTAAACTAGAGTCAATAAGTATCTTGCTAATAATTCAGAAAAGAGTGTTGATACTACTACGTGCTCAACTTAAAATCCTTTAATTCTACAAAGTTAAGAATTTAGTGAGAATAAATTATATTTTGACGAAAAACATGGCAATAGTATTTAAGTAAGGAACTAAATAAATCCTTGCGGATAAAAATTTATCTTAGAAAATGCCGATATGTAACAACAGTAGCAGAATAATAAAACAAATGAATTCAAATTTTCAAATTTAAATGACAAATTAAATTAAATGAACAGTGCATTTTAAGGCTTAATTAAAAAATTAGCTCTTGAAAACAATGAAATCAATGAATAAATTTTAAAATCTTTGTCACAAACTTCCACCACATCAAAATAACTTGATGAACGGAGCAATAACACTTTCACCTCTTCTGGAAAAGTTTTAATTACAAACCCAAGCGATGCTAGCATGGCTATTGTAGAAAATTAGAATTTTTTTACACTTGAAACAAATCCTTATACAAATAATCCTAGCTAGAATATAAACAGTCAAAATCAAAACTAAAATTACTAATAAAGCTCTCACTAACATTTTTCAAGAGACAATATAAATGGGATAGATTTTAATTCATCTTAGTGCTGCTTCTAATAAGAATTAAATGAAATAGAGTTAAGAAACAATTTAATGCATCAATAATTTGATAAGCAGCAAAAAAGTATATAAGAATATTTATAAAACATGAAGTCATGTGAGTAAAATGAGGTAGAAAAATAAATCATATAATAAAACATTTCAAATAATAATGATATAAATTATTTCTAATAAAAAGAGCTAATTGATTAAGAAATATATAGGCAGTAGTAAGAATTATAAGAAATTCTTTTCTAATAAAATAATTCTATTCTTACTAGTATCAGTAAATTTAAAACTGAATACTAAGAATTGTAAAACGATGTCAATATACGAAATAAAGTTAAAAAACTTGAATAATTATTAGCTAAAACAGAAGATTCTAATCACTAATAAGAATAAAATCAAAAGAGAAAGTTTTCTGGTTCAGAAAAGGAAAATAGTTAAATTTTTAGTAAATTGAATAACTCACATTAAATTCAACCACAATAGTAATAACAAAAATAAATATTACAAACCAAAACAAATTTTGAAGATTAAAAGTTTGATTCTCATATTTAAAACCTTTCAATATAACTATCATAAAAAGAGAGAGATGTTGCTGATCTACAATTAAATTTAGCAGATAAGGAAGTTTAAATATCAGCACTCTAATTAAAAAATAATATCTAATAACTTTAAAACGAATAAATGAAGTAACAGCTTGAAAAGGCATTAAGTATTATTGAAAACTTTTAGCTATTCTCTAACAATTTCGCAAAGTTAAGACAATGAAAAGCTAAGCAAGCAAAAAATATTTTAGATAATCAGTTAAACAAAATGAAAATTAATTACAAATAATTAGAACAAATACTCATTAAAAAATATAATTTTATATTTTAAAATGTTAAATTAAAATTAATTAATTAGTTATTTATCACTCAAATAAATTCATAATTTTAACAAACTTTAATTTAGTTTATTTTTAAAAGATATATTTCATTTAAATTTTTATTGTTTGTTTATTTGCTTATAATTTTTACTAGTTATTTAAGAAAAAAAATACATCTTTAATTAATAACTTTATCAAAAGCTGTTTATTAAAATATTTAGGAGAAAAGTAAAATTAATTAAATTTTTACTATAAAAAGAAAGACAGACGGATAGATATTTTTATTATTCGAATTAATGCATTTAAACAAAAAATAACCTTTCAAGAAGAAAAAGAAACAGAACAAATCAACTTTTAAATAAGTATTTATATGTCTGATGAGGAACTAAAATAGCATATTTTTTATTAGATTTAAACTAATTAGTGATTATTATTTGATAGTTATTATTTTCAAAAGTAATTTAATTATAATTCTATACAAAAGTTAGCTTTAAATTTGGTTCTATATTTATGGTTTATTTTTTTTGAATTAGCTTATCAACCTCATTTAAATTTCTTTTTCTTTATTGCTAAATTAAATTATTAAGAAATATTTATATTATCTCAAATATATTTTATGCAGAAACCGATTTTTGAAACAGGTCTTGTATAACATTTCTAACTAAATTATTTTACATTTAAGAGTTCTCCTTAAACAGATCAATCAATATATCGATTTATTTTTCTAACTACTTCTATTCAAATTATTCTTTTTCTACTAAATTTTTAATATCTTATAGACAATCTCTATTAAATTGTAAAATAAATTATAATATTAAAGGTGAAAGGATTTCAACAATACTATCACCTATAACAATACATTTATACATTGATTAGTCCACATCACAAACGCCATTTATATATCCATATTTTATCAAAAGTTTTTTTATGTTAATAATTTTTTCGATTTTCCTTAATTCTATTGACTTAAAATTGTACTTTTGTATTTCGCTTTATATTTGTATATTTTTTTCTTAGTTTACGTTGTTCATATATGAACAAATGTTATTTTATTACTTATGCATTTAGTTGTTTTATTTTTTTTCTATTTTATTGTTATGGACTTAAAATTATTTGTTAGAATATTGATCATTTACAAACTGCCTTTGATTTTGACAGTTTTTTAATTAATTTTGCATTTTAATTTGATCATTATCCTTTGTGATATTTAGTTGATTCTAATTTTTGTTTTACCCAGCAAAATAAATTTATTAATTATTGAATTGATCTTTCTATTCATTTTAAATGATTGACTATTAAGAATAATCTAATTCTTTTGCTTAAGAATCAATTACTGAAAATGAAAAATTATTTTATATTTATATTAATTCAGTTTATATTTATTTAAAATCAGGTCTATTTTTAGGATCTTTTTAAAGGCATCTTATAACCAATTTACTAACATCTTAAAATTTATCTTAAAATAAAAGTTAATCAATTATGTCATTGTAGTGAATGAGTTAATTAAAGATCTATTTTTAATCACCTTTAAATATTTACTTGCAAGTAAACATTTCATATAAAATTAATCCAAAAGACCAAACGTCTATTTTATCGTCATATACTGAGCCTTTCTTATAAGCAGATAGTATTTCAGGAGCCATATAATTTGGTGTTCCTACAATTGATTTCAAATCTCTTTATACCTCTTTAGTTAGTCCATAATCTGATATTTTAGCTATAATTTTTTCTCCATCATTATGGATCAATATATTTTCAGGCTTTAAATCTCTATGCGCTAGGTTTAGTTCTTTTAATATCATCATTCCTTTAGTAATTTAAATTGCAATATCTATAACTTCTAGTGCTTATTCAAATGTCTAAACTTCTTATTATTTTTTAATGTGATAAGTATAGAGATCCCCTTCATTGCAGTATTCAATTACTATAAATTTCATTTTTTCCTTTTCACTACTTTAGTCATATATTTTGACTAAATTTTCTAAGTTTTCAGAATATTTATCTTAAATCTTTTTTAAGACTTCATAATCTACTTAAAAGCCTTTTATTTAAAAGAATAATTTTAGCGTTTACCATAAATCAAGCTACCAAAAAGTATAAAAAATGATGTATTACTTGAATCCTTAAAGTATTCTTTAATTACTACCTGCTAATAATTTTTTGAATCAATCGCAAAATATATTTAGGCCTATCCTCCTTATATTATAGTATTTTTATTTTGTTAGTATTTACTCTTTTATCCTACGAAAATTCTATTTTACATTTATAATTTGATGGATTTACTATTTTTATTATATTTATCTAAATTTAATAATAATAACTTTATTAAACCTCCTCTTTCAAAAAACAAAAAAGGCATCGAATAAATTAATTAATAAATAAATAAATAAAACTATTTTATATTTAATATGCCAATTTAAATTTGTTTTTCTTGATTATCTTAAATTCATCCACATATTATTGATATCTAATGTAAAATAATTTAATTGTATCTCTTAAACTAAATATTTTATGTATGTATCAAAGTAATTTATTTGGGTTAAAATATATTTAAATTGTCTTCTGTCCTTTAAAAAAATATTTGATTCTTACCCTCTAATAAAATAATTAATCATCAAAATAGTTTTTAGAATTCAAAAGAAATATTTTAAAGGAGAGTAAAATGATTAAAATAATCATTAAAAATTTATATGCAAATTTGATTTGCAAAGACTAGATAGTTACCTTACATAGGCATGTAATTATTAATAAAATTCTTTTAATTGTAGTTATATTATGTATGTAAATATAATGACTTTTTCTAAGAAATACAAATACGATAAATCAATAAAAATTTTTTAATTATCTATGGCTTATAGGTAAAATTTGCATAAAGCTAATAAAATAATTTGCATTTTAAATATACTTAATTATTAAAACTTATTAAATACGAAATTTAATACTTGTTTAGAGAAGATTATTAAATTTTTTATATTCATTGTAAATATTCAAATCTTTTATTTAATTAATAATTATTTTTAAATCAGTTTTTGTTTTGTTTATAAAATAAATAAATAATAACTTTAGATTATCAATCACTATAAAAGATTTGCAAATAATAATATAAAAGAAGCTATAAAAATAGGAATATTAAGTAATGTCAGCCGAAGTTAAAGCATAATTAGCAGAATCTCTTAATTCTATTCACGATACTTACTAACTCAAATTAAAGACTTTGTAATTAAGATATCAATCTTCATTTGATGAATTGAGTAAATAATAATATTTAATTCATAATCTATAATGAAATGCCAATAAATAAATAATGTTTAAAATTTATGAAAAAGCTAGCTTAAGGTTTTATTAGTGTTATTATGCAATCTTTTGATAATACAATATTTTAATTTTCAGCTTCAACTAAACTTTAATTTTCAACAAAGTTAGTTATTTTATTCATCATTAAAATTTATTTTATTTTCAAGAATCAGGCATAGAAAATTTAGAAAAGTAAGTAGAGGGATATTTGGCTCAAGACAGCAATTCTGGTGATCAAACTAAATCACAATTTAATTTGAACTCTTCATTACAATCTTCATGTAAGTTTATTTTTATAATATAGAGTTTGTAATTTTTTATTTATAAATAAAATAGCTTTATAATCTACTTAATATATTACCAATTTAGGAAGCACATTAGGTATTTCAAACATAACTACTACCTAATAAAATAAATGAAAATTAAACTTTATACATTTTAAACTATATATTTAAGTTTATATCATTTAAATTTAATTTAATTTAAATGAATTATTAATAAAACTATTTAGAAAATTAAAGTTTTAATTCAAAATAGTAGTAGATTTATGAAATGTTTGTTATGTTTCTATTATATTAATTATTTATATATTAATTAATTAAATTAAAAAACTAAACCCAAAATGATATTAAATATCAGTATATTTTTGGAAAAAAATAATATAATAAAAACATTTTAATTTTTTTTGTCTTTGAAGTAATATTTCATCATGTATTTATTTTAAATTCTATAAATAATATTCTTAAATAAAAATAATTAGTTTTTATTTTACAGAGCAAACAAAGCTTAATATTTAATATAAATATATTATTTATAGGGAAAAATGAATTTTAAAATTGATAAATCTTTTTAGTTAAAAACAAAAAATAATATGTATTATTAATATTTAATAATAATTTTCAGATATTTAAAGTATTATCTATTTTATATTCAGTAAAATAAATTAAATTATTATTTTTATCCACATGGTTAACAGAATTTAATTTTATTTATTCATTAGAGTTATCCTTTTTATCTATTTAACTCTCTTTCTAATCCATTGCCATATTTAATTCTTCGAATCCTAATAATTAATTAAAAAATTTAATGATTAAAAAAAAATTATTATATATATTACATTAAAAAAGAGGAGATTAGTTTATCTCTCTGCTATATACAGTATTTGGGTTATTTTCATTATCTTTATCAATGTAATCGTATTCAGAGTTTAATTTGTGTTAATTTTCAATAGCTAAGTATTTTTTTTTTAGTTTTATTAATTTATTAGTGTTATCATCTTTATCTTTTTAACTCTCTTTTTAATTACTTACTAAATTTAAATCTTCAAATTCTAATTAATATTTAATTAAAAAATTTAATGACTAAAATAAAACAAATAAAAATATTACATAAAAAAATAGGAGATTAGTTTGTCTTGCTGGTATATACAGTATTTGGGCTATTCATATTATCTTTACCAAAGTAATAGCTTTCAGAGTTTAATTTTTGTTAATTTTTAGTAGCTAAGTCATTTAGTTTATTTTATTTAATAGTCTAATTAATCTACTAATCTTTAAATAGTCTTTTATGATTTTTACCTATAAATTAAATATATTAAATATAACAAATAACAAGAGTTTTAATACTTATTTATATCTTTAAGCCAGAGAATAAAAGATCATACTTTTGTTCATCACTAAGATTTAAAAATTCTTAAAAAATTCTTTTTATTTTAGCTTTCAATTACGGATTTAATTTTTATTTTTGAAACTTTTGAACAAGCAACTTTGTATAAGAAAATTTTTTTAAAAATGAAATGATAACATTCTTAAATTACATTAAAAGTCCTATAATAACTCTTTTAATTATTACGATAATAAACCAAGCATTGATTGTGATTATAATTATAATAGAAGTGATTACATAATAATTGAAGGGATTATTGCTAATGAATAAACAAAGTAATACAGAAACTGCACACACGTTTGTTTGATAGAAATCAACTGTATTGTACCCGTTCAAACGATAGGGTTATAAAACACTAGATGCTATCCCATATAAAGAAATCATTATAAAAATTAGCACTCCTTTAATATTAGTATCTTGGGAATAGAAGTTAAGAATTATAATGATTAAAATTTTTTCTAAAATTTTCACGAATTCCCAATAATATTTTTGGCTTTTATACTCTTTATATAAAAAGCCATATTTCTTATATACTTAAATGTTTTGTAAATCATTTTTATTTTTGTATAGTATATAAAAAAGTCCAATAGGTATAATAAAAGCAAACACTAATAAGCAAGGAGCTACTAAGGTAGAACTATAGGTTTAGTGCTGGTTAGTGTTGCATTCATAAGTTATATTATAGAGTATATAACTAGAATCTCCAATTATCCTGCATGAAAGAATAGCTATCATTTAAGAAACTAAATCAGGCTAAACTAAAATAAATATAAAGATCGCAGCAGTGCAAATAGAATAATAACGAACTTTTATATTTGTAAATACCCTTTATAATATTAAACTAAGTATAAACACCATTAAATAGCCAATTGGAACACTTAGAGTAAATAGTAGTTTGAGATATATCATTGGTATATCTGTTTATATATCTTTTAATATACATTCAGCGGAATTCATTTATTATCTTACAGGTGTTCCTAAATACTATGAAGTATCAAATATATCTTTTGTTGATAAAATTTAAAAAATTATTTTCATCTTAAAAAATTTAGTTTATATAAATAAATAATCTTGATAAATTAAATAATTTTAATTTTTTTTACCTGTAGTTAATTTTATATTGAAAGTAATAATTGATCCTATTATTTGTAAATAGTTAATGAATACTTTAATATAAACACTAGCTTTTTCTCCATTTCTAGATTTTCTATCTTTTTGGTTATCATATTTGACATTTAATTTAGATTAATATTTAGTCTCTTTTAATGAAGTGATTTGATTTATCTTTAATAAGTGGCTTTTCAGAGCTACTTAAAAAGCATTTATTGCTTATTCCTCTAAGTCTCCTTTTATGGCAAGTCGAATTGAAAATAAAGTCCAGATTACTATTAAGATTGCTTTCCATAATAAAGCACTCAATTCTTTACATTACCCACATTAATAAGATCCAACTTTAGAATAGCTTTCTCCCCAATAGCTTCCATAAATCTTATTAATTTTAAATTTATTGTTAAAGTAATATTTAAAAAATTGTATTTACATCACATTCTTCACATAGAGGTCCTATGTAACCTTCTAAGCATACTTAATTCCCATAAGTATTTCCAATACAGTTTGAAGGCTTATTTACACATTCTACAACAAGAGGACTACTTTCATCTTTTCTCCAGAATCCTTAATTTACATATATAATTCCATTTTAGCATTTTGCTCCAGAAGGACATGAATAACATTATTGTTTATCGAGAGAGTATTTATCTTATTCACAGACAATACATTCTGTATATGTATTGTAAAAATTATCAATTTCACCATAATTACAACTTCTAAAATAAACTTCTAATTCATAAGAATAGTTAGACTCAAATTAATTTGTTTATTTATTTAAAATTTTTATAACATCAGATTTGAACTCAATTATTGCTTTTGAATTTGGAATCCCTATTAATTACATACCTTAAAAAACAAATTATTTCTATTTTAAATCAACAAATGCTGTAGAATTTCCTCTAATGTAATAATTTGATATATTTTTTGTCTTGCTGCTAAATTATGCTTAAATTATTATTTTATCAGCATCTAATGGAAATATTGGTTTAGCTGTTTAATCTTTTAGCTAAAAAATTATATCTGGAATTTAAGCTCCACTTTTAATATTTGATAAAATTAAAGAATTAGTTGACTAATTGAAGTATTTATTTAAATCTGTAGTCATGATCAAACCTAAATGATCAGGATATGAATTGATATTATCTCCATAAAGAGTGGCCTAGTTATTCAATATAATGCTTTAAGAGTCTATAACTGGATTTATACCTAGATTATTAATGCATCCTCCGATAATTGCATTGTTATTTGATAGATTTGTTTTATAAATTTTGATCTATTACTGTGCTGTTGATTCATTTTCTGAGCTAATAAATAATGCTCCACCACTTCCATTTAAAGATTGATTGTCAGTAAATTAGCAATTAGACAAAGTTAAAGTAAAAACCTATTAATTGTATGATTAAAAATTTTAAATTATTTAAAAAAATGAAGTATTACATCATCTTTTTAGGCTTTTAAAAACATAGCTCCTCCATCTGATATGGCAGTATTTCCAATCATTTGAGTGTTTTATATATAATTAAGATTAGAAACCAAACCATTAACTGAAAGAGCACCACCGATATTGGCCTATTTTTAAATAAATATTTAAATTACATAAAAGATTGTATGATATTAAATTATTTTAATCACTTTTGATTCTAAAAACATAGAGTCAGATATAAAAAATTGTGTTTAGTTCAACTAAAGTATAGAGCCAAAGCATAGCATGCAAATTATTTTCTAAAATATTGTTTATTATTAAATTTATAATTTAGATTAATTTAGTGATATAAGTGCTCCTGAATTTATCAGAGAAATCTAGGATTGTAATACTCGTTTTGAGGATATCTAATTTATGTTTATAAATTAAGATTCTTCAATTGTTAGAGATCCTTAATTGACACTAATTAAGTATGTGGAAAACGTAGAGTCTTTAATTATTAATCTTTAAATTATAATACTCGTATTAATAGCATTAATTAGAAGAGGGGAAGTGTTTTGTAAATTTTTTATTATTAAATTTTAAAATCCACAATCAACAATTGAAAGGATAGATTTTTAAAGTTAAAAAAATGACACTGATTAGATGTCAGAAAGCAATGTTATTTAATTCAAATAATCAGGATAGGTTTAGTTAAAATTATTATTAATATTAAAAAGAGTAACATTAGAATTTTAGGTATTCAAAAAATATGAGCTGGTCTAGCCTAAAATATTGGTTAACTCTCCTTCATAGAATAGAATCTAACTTAATAAATTCTAATTTTCTGATTATCTGAATATTGATTTAAAAAAAAAATTAATTTTATATTTAATTTTCATTATTTTATGGTAATAATTTTATGTTAATAAATATTTTTATCGAATCCATTAATTAAATGCGCACCTGGTGCTCATAAAAAAATCAAAATTTATAAAGCACGCATTAGGTGCATAAATTAAAAATTTTTAAGTGCCATTTTTTAAATTTTTGATTCGCGCACTAGTACGCATTTATACAAAGTTACCATTTTTATCTTAAATTAAAATAATTTACATTATTGAAATTGAGGAAGAATAAGAACTAAGTGTATAGATATTACTAAAGTTAGATGATTTACACACAAAATTTAAATTTGAGTTTTGTGAATTTATGTAAAATGCACCACCATCAATCTAAGCATAGCCTTCTACAAATGAAGATTTTTCTATAAAAATATTTGTTTCTGAACTAAGACTCTCTAAGTAAATAAACGAGCCTTAGCTTGCTGTGGATTGACTAAAATTTGAAGAAAGAATTTATAAATTGTTTGATTTAGCTCTTAAGCAACCTCCTTATTATATTAAAGTTGTTACATTATCTGTGATAATAAATGAAGATTGCTTGCAATTAGCGTTAATGATGGTTATATTAAGACCAACTATATATTGAAAATTAAAGATACTACTAGATACTGAATTAATATATTGGTTATTAACTAAATATATAGAACCTAATGGATTAATTGCCTGAATTGCAGAAGTTGAATAAGTTTAGGTATTAAGAATTGCATTTAATCTATTTTAGCTAAAAATTGAGTTGCTAATTGTTATATTAGAAGTATAAGTGGAAGTAATTAAAATTGGATTAGCTTAGGAGCTAGTTTAAGTTTATTCAAAATATGAACTTGTAATAACTACTTTTGATAAATTTATTACTGAATTTGTGTAAGCTTAATTTTTTATGACTAAAATAGAATTATTTATTCCTTTAATATAGCTTGATTATAGATTAGTTATGCTAATCTTTTTTATTTCATTAAAAATTAAACATCCACCATACCTTCTATTGACTAAATTATCAAAAATTTTTTTTTCATTTAAGCAAGAAATATTGCTAATTGAAACTAGAGAAGATTAGGATAATTAACAAAATGCTATTTCTTATTAGTTTTTTACTGTAACTTCAGTTATTTAAACTGAAAAAATTTGTTCAGTTAGAACTAATTAAGTAATTCCGAGGTAGATATCTGATTAAACTTAAGAAGAGGGAAAGTAAGAATTATCTGTGAAATTTAACTAACTCATATTTAAAGTGTGTTAGGGAAGAGGATTTATTGAATAAATAGCATCAAAAAAGAGATAATTGTGTGTCGTATAAAATGAGTTATTGTACATAGTTATATTCTAGAACTAAAATGTTTAATTTTTTTGTTTGATTGTGCTCACAGTTGAGAATATCTATAAATTACAAAACTGATTATTGGATATTGTCATATTAGCTACATAGAATTCACCAGCTTCAAATAACTAACCAGAGAATTGTGGATAGTAAGTTTAATTTATATCGCATAGATTATTTTAAATTATTAAAGTATCAATAATAACATTAACATCGCTCTCTTAGGTTAATATACTGAATTTTTCACTTAATTTACAACTATCTATTAGAATATTTTAAAGTACAATCTATTTAATATAATAAAAATATTTCATTTATTTTAAATTTACATTTTAAAAAATTACCTATTAAGAATTAACGATTGTTATTAAAGTTGATGTATTTGAAAAATCTAAACTTTGTAAGTTTATATTTTTAATAGTCAACAAAGAATTATTTATTTAAATAAAGAAGCAATCAGATGTATTATCTGTTGAAGATATACTTATGTTATCTATAGTAGCACTTGAAATAATACCATCGAAATAGACCCCACACTTTTATTAGGAGCTACTAATAATAAAATTAATAAGTATATCATCAATGTTTAGCATAAATAGACCCGAGAATTGGAGCAACTAATTTACATTAATTTAAGCTAATTGATTATTATTCCAGCTCTAAATTGTTAAATTTGTTTATGCAAAAACATATAAAGTTAGCAGTTCACTGTAAAATACCATCTAATTTTAGTTGCTCACTAATATATTGACGTTTAGAATTTCAAATCCGTTTATTAATTCGAAATATTATTAAACCTATTTTTAAATAGAAAAATATTTTGGTAAAATATTTATTTTAAATCTAGAGATTTACTAAAAGTAAAGATGAAATTATACTCAAAGAAGTTGTATAAGGCTATTCAAAAGAACCTATCCCATATATACTTTTAGTATCAGCAGTTTCAGTAGTATTAAAATAAAACTACATTTAGCATTTCTAAGTACAACTAAGTAAATTTTAAAGACATTATCCAATAGGGAAAAATGTATTACTATAGTAATACTAAATAAATAAAACCTAAGTCTTTTCTATATACTGAATATTATTTCCAGCATCTGTTAAAGAAGGAGACTGGAAATGCATAAATTATTCAAATTATTAAGTAACTGTATTAAAACTGAATAAATAAACATCTCCGCTACTTTAATCTCCAACTCCAAACATATTAATTGTATTGAATACATTTAAATAGTATGGATTTGACTTTAGTTTCATTAATGGTTTAAATATTTTATTAGAGAAATTATAGCTAATTATATTGTAATTACCACAAACTATTATTAGAAATTTATTATTATCAGTATGAAATAATTAACCAATTATTGAGTCAGAACAATTGGACGCTTTTTTTTTTTAAATGAATAAATAAAATAATTTTAAAAATATTTTTTTATTTTTTTTAAATTAATGAAAAAAAACTTTTAATTTGTTGGGATATGATTTGATATTTCATTAGTTTATTTTCATCTAAAATAAAATGAAATTAATTCCCATTTTGAATTTTATGTTTGATTTTATTGTAAGATTACCTATTGAGTATTTGAATGAAAGGTCTGTTGAATTCCAAACAAAAATACTTCCATTAACAGCTATTCCAACGATTTCTTAATCTTCTTAGGAATAAAGGGCATAACTTGTATTTTGATTATTTTCTTCTACTTTATCAGAGAGCAATTAAAACTATTATTAAGAGGTAATACTTAAAGCATAAAATAAGAAATTTTCATTATTTTATTTATTAGGTAATCCTACAATAACCCAAATAGCTTGATTAATATCTTAGTAGGGATCAATATTGAAGCTTATTGAATCAGTATCAAGATTTATCTAACTTAAATCGTATACCTGTTTTTATATTTATAATAACTTTAATATTTTTGATATAGATAGAAAAAAAGAAATAATTACTTAAGGAGTGAATGATGAGTCCATTACTTTATAAAATGCTAAGTATGAAGCCTCATGCATAGCAATAAAACAAGTATTACAGTTTTTTACAGCAAAAAATGTATTTTATCTTACTTTGATAATAGAAAAAAGAGGATAAGCAAGGATAGATTTTAGATTACTTGGAGAATCTTTAGTGACTAAAATTTGATCATATGTAGCAGCAGCAAAGTATATTTCTTCATTGAGTTAGAAACTAAATGTTTTTGTAAAACCTATAGAAGAAAAAGCTTAAGTTTTATAGTATAATGGTTAAAGTAAATTTATTTTTGAAATTTTATTTTTACCAAAACGAGTGAGCTAAGTGCTTGTACTATATGAATAAACAAATATAGCTGATTTTAAATTATAATTACTATAGCTGTATGGTGTTAAAAATTATTGACTTTCTTCCAAATGATACCATTCATAACTTAGATCTCCAGGTGGTTAAATAGTAAAAGGTTGATTGATATTAGCAAAGCTAAAAGAATCATATGTATTTGTTTTCTAATTATAGACAAAATTTAAATCTATTCTATAAATAGACTTCGTGCTACTTAGGTATAAACTGCCTTAATTATTTTTAGAATTTATAAAGGTTAAACTGATTATTTCATCTCCTGATGGACAATTTGGTAGATCTATTTTTTAAAATTTTAAGAAATTTATAATGAAAATTATTATTATATTTAATCTACAATTATTCTAAATTCTTTTTATCTAATTTGATTATAAATTAATGATCTAGTAAGCCCTGATTTGACAATACTCTCCTGCTAAAAATATAATATCATAGCTCTAGTGGAAATCTATTAACCTATAATTATCAACTATAAAATAAAATAGAGTGAAATATTATTCTTTAAAAGACTTAAAAAATTAGTTATACAATTTATCGAATAATATCCATTGAATGAGAATTCTAAAGTTTTAAAATCAATTGACCAAGTATAAGCACCATACTAATCAATTACTGCTATAAAATTCTAACCATTTTAAAGCTAAAGTAACTTTGCAGAAGTAATATAATTACCAGCATCAGGATTAAAAGGTATAATATTCAAAGATAGAATTTATTTTCCTTCTATAAAGTCAACAACATATAATAAAAAATTTCCACTATTTAAGACACAATAATTAGATCCTTTCATGAAATGCATACTTTTTAAATCACTGAAGGGTATTGTTTATTTAGATTCAAGAGTATAAGGATCTGCGTATATTAGCTATTATGAATTCAGAGCTAAAATTTGATTTCTTTCTTGTACATACTCCATTTGAAATATAACGTATTTAGCTTTAATAAAATAAAAATTGTTTTAAAAAAGTATAAACTATTTATTTAAATTTACTCCTAACCACATTCACAATATTATCAATTTCACTAGAAATATCATTGTAATATACTATACTCTAAGTCTATGCATCGTTTTAATAAAGTATAGTGTTTATCAAAAGTATATTAGTGTTAGGTAACTTCAAATAATTAGAAGGAGTATAGCCCTCTAAATATTTAGCCTCTGTTTTTAAAAATTTATATCATAATGTATTAAAATATTAATTTAATCTTACGGTGCTACCTAGAAAATGCTTAACAAATTTAAGCATTTAAGTTTTGTATTGATTACAATAAGATTATGACTGTTAAATTCAAAGTAAAGAATGATTTACTCATATTAATAGATATTTTTTCAACCTTCTATTATTACTATTTTTAATTCAAATATGGGTTTTGAGATAAGATTATTGAATTATTTAGTGGAGAGTTTTTTGAATAGCTTCAAACGTTTATCGATTATTATTTTTGATGTTTCTTATTCTTTTCTTATACTATTTTTAATTCAAATATAGGTTTTGAGATAAGATTATTGAATTATTTCGTCGAGAGTTTTTTAAATAACTTCAAATGTTGATTAATTATTATTTTTGATGTTTCTTATTCTTTTCTTCTTATATCTCAAATTTAGGATTTAAATGTACACTTCTATTATTGAAATTAATCTAAAAAAACTAAAAAATGTTCTTTCAACCTTCTATTATTACTATTTTTAATTCAAATATAGGTTTTGAGATGAGATTATTGAATTATTTGGTGGGGAGTTTTTTAAATAACTTCATATGTTGATTAATTATTATTTTTGATGTTTCTAATTCTTTTCTTTTATCTACAATATATATCTACAAAGCTACCTCTAATAACAATAAAGTACTATCCTCAAAATTTTTAATATAAAAACCGGCCCCGGAACAAATCTAAAAAATTTTATGTATGCCCCGTGGGGCAGTTGTCTCATTATATATTATATATTTTTATTCAATTAGATTTAATTACTTTTTTGAATTTTCTTATTTCTACTTAGCTTAGCTAAGCTAAACAATTAATTAATTAAAAACGAATGTATGTAATTAAATACAATTCACTAATATAGTCGTTTCCAAACGACGAAATTTTTGAATGGCATTTTGCTATACTTGTTTAGAGAAGATTATTAAATTTTTTATATTCTGTATATTCATTGTAAATATTCAAATATTTTATTTTATAATTTATATTTTTAAAGCAGTTTTTGTTTTGTTTATAAAAATAAATAATAGCTTTAGATTATCAATCACTATTAAAGTTTTGCAAATAGTAATATAAAAGAAGCTATATAAATAGGAATATTAAGTAATGTCAGCCGAAGCTAAAGCAAAATTAGCAGAATCTCTTAATTCTATTCACGATACTTACAAACTCAAATTAAAGACTTTGTAATTGTATTGACATTTTATTATAAATTAAATTCATAATTTATAAACAAATGCCAAAAAATATTGTTTAAAATTTATGAAAAATCTAGCTTAAGGTTGAATTTTTAGGATTCTATAAAAATATTTTAAAGGAGAATAAATTTTTTTTATTTTTTAGCGAATTTAATTTATTAAATTCTTATATGCAAATTTGATTTGCAAAGAGTAGATACCTTACATACATATAATTATTAACAAAATTCTTTTAATTTTAGTTATGTCATGTAATAATTGTAAATATAATGACTTTTATAAGATATACAAATGACTGGTAGATAAATCAATAAAAGTTATATAATTATCTATAGTTTATTGGTAAAATTTGCATAACACTAATAAAATAATTTGCTATTCAAATATACTTAATTATTAAAACTTATTAAATAGGAAATTTAATACATGTTTAGAGAAAATTATTAAATTTTTTATATTCATTATATTCATTGTAAATATTCAAATATTTTATTTAATTAATATCTATCTATTTTTAAAGCAGTTTTTGTTTTGTTTATAAAAATAAATAATAGCTTTAGATTATCAATCACTATTAAAGTTTTGCAAATAAAATATAAAAGAAGCTATATAAATAGGAATATTAAGTAATGTCAGCCGAAGTTAAAGCATAATTAGCAGAATCTCTTAATTCTATTCATGATACTTACTAACTTAAATTAAAGACTTTGTAATTAAGATATCAATCTTCATTTGATGAATTGAGTAAATTATAATATTGAATTCATAATTTATAATCAAATGTCAATAAATAATGTTTAAAATTTATGTAAAAGCTAGCTTAAGGTTTTATTAGTGTTATTATGCAATCTTTTGATAATACAATATTTTAATTTTCCGCTTCAACTAAATTTTAATTTTCAACAAAGTTAGTTAGTTTGTTTATTCATCATTAAAATTTATTTTATTTTCAAGAATCAGGCATAGAAAATTTAGAAAAATAAGTAGAGGGATATTTGGCTCAAGACAGCAATTCTAGAGTTTGTAATTTTTTATTTATAAATAAAATAGCTTTATAATCTACTTAATATATTACCAATTTAGGAAGCACATTAGGTATTTCATACATAACTATTACCTAATAAAATAAATGAAAATTAAACTTTATAAATTTTAAACTATATATTTAAGTTTATATCATTCAAATTTAATTTAATTTTAAATCAATTATTAATAAAACTATTTAGAAAATTAAAGTTTTAATTCAAAATAGTAGTAGATTTATGAAATGTTTGTTATGTTTCTATTATATTAATTATTTATATATTAAATTAATTAAATTAAAAAACTAAACCCAAAATGATATTAAATATCAGTATATTTGTTGGAAAAAAATAATATAATAAAAACATTTTAATTTTTTTTGTCTTTGAAGTAATCTTTCATAATGTATTTATTTTAAATTCTATAAATAATATTCTTAAATAAAAATAATTAGTTTTTTATTTTACTTACAAAACTAATAAAGCTTAATATTTAATATAAATATATTATTAATAGGAAAAAATGAATTTTAAAATTGATAAATCTTTTTAGTTAAAAACAAAATATAAAATAATATGTATTATTAATATTTAATAACAATTTTCAGATATTTAAAGTATTATCTATTTCATATTCAGTAAAATAAATTAAATTGTTATTTTTATCCACCTGGTTAACAGAATTTAATTTTATTTATTCATTAGAGTTATCCTTTTTATATTTTTAACTCTCTTTCAAATCCATTGCCATATTTAATTCTTCGAATCCTAATATTTAATTAAAAAAATTAATGATTAAAAATAAACTATTATATATATTACATTAAAAAAGAGGAGATTAGTTTATCTCTCTGCTATAAACAGTATTTGGGTTATTTTCATTATCTTTATCAAAGTAATCGCATTCAGAGTTTAATTTTCGTTAATTTTTAGTAGCTAAGTATTTTTGTTTTAATTTTATTAATTTATTAGAGTTATCCTCTTTAACTTTTTAACTCTCTTTCTAATTCCTTACTAAATTTAATTCTTCGAATTCTAATTTTTAATTAAAAAATTTAATGATTAAAAAAAACTATTAAAAGTATTACATAAAAAAATAGGAGATTAGTTTATCTTGCTGGTAGATACAGTATTTGGGCTACTTATATTATCTTTATAAAAGTAATCTCTTTCAGAGTTTATTTTTTGTTAATTTTCAGTAGCTAAGTCATTAAGTTTATTTTATTTAATAGTTTAATTAATCTACTAATCTTTAAATAGTCTTTTATGATTTTTACCTATAAATTAAATATATTAAATATAACAAATAACAAGAGTTTTAATACCTATTTATATCTTAACACCAGATAATAAAAGATCATACTTTTGCTCTTCACTAAGATTTAAAAATTCTTAAAAAATTCTTTTTATTTTAGCTTTCAATTATGGATTTAATTTTTATTTTTGAAACTTTTGAACAAGTGACTTTGTATAAGAAAATTTTTAAAAAAATGAAATGATAACATTCTTAAATTACATTAAAAGTCCTATAATAACTCTTTTAATTATTACAATAATAAACCAAGCATTGATTGTGATTATAATTGCAATAGAAGTGATTACTTAATAATTGAAGGGATTATTGTTTATGAATAAACAAAGTAATACAGAAACTGCACACACGTTTGTTTGATAAAAATCAACTGAATTGTACCCGCTCAAACGATAAGGTTATAAAACAAAAGATGCTATCCCATAGAGAGTAACCACCATAAAAATTAGCACTCCTTTAATATTAATTTCTTAGGAATAGAAGTTAAGAACTATAATGATTATCATTTTTTCTAACATTTTTACGAATTCCCAATAATATTTTTTGCTTTTATACTCTCTGTATAAAAAGCCATATTTCTTATATATTTAAATGTTTTGCAAGTTATTTTTATTTCTGTATAGTATATAAAAAAGTCCAATAGGTATAATAAAAGCAAACACTAATAAGCAAGGAGCTACTAAGATAGAACTATAGGTCTAGTGCTGGCTAGTGTTGCATTCATAAGTTATATTATAGAGTATATAACTAGAATCTCCAATTATCCTGCATGAAAGAATAGCTATCATTTGAAAAACCAAATCAGATTAAACTAAAATAAATATAAAGATCGCAGCAGTACAGATAGAATAATAACGAACTTTTATATTTGTAAATAGCCTTTATAAAATTAAACTAAGTATAAACACCATTAAATAGCCAATTGGAACAATTAGAGTAAATAGTAGTTTAAGATATATCATTGGTATATCTGTTTATATATCTTTTAATATACATTCAACGGAATTCATTTATTATCTTACAGGTGTTCCTAAATACTACGAAGTATCAAATATATCTTTTGTTTGATAAAATTTAAAATATTATTTTCATCTTAAAAAATTTAGTTTTTTTAAATAAATAAATAATCTTGATTGATAAATTAATAATTTAAAAATTTTTTAATTTTAATTTTTTTTACCTGTAGCTAATTTTATATTGAAAGTAATAACTGATCCTATTATTTGTAAATAGTTAATGAATACTTTAATATAAACACTAGCTTTTTCTCCATTTCGAGATTTTCTATCTTTTTGGTTATCATATTTGACATTTAATTTAGATTAATATTTAATCTCTTTTAAGGATGAGCTTTGATTATTCTTTAATGAGTGTCTTTTCAGAGCTGCTTTAAAAGCAATTATTGTTTATTCCTCTAAGTCTCCTTTTATGGCAATCCGAATTGAAAATAAAGTCCAGATTACTATTAAGATTGCTTTCCACAATAAAGCACTCAATTCTTTACATTACCCACATTAATAAGATCCAACTTTAGAATAGCTTTCTCCCCAATAGCTTCCATAAATCTTATTAATTTTA